TACCAAGGTTTAGAATTTGGAAGAGGTGGTCTAGGTATGCATGCGAGATACTATCAAAAGCCTTTTGAAAGTCAGCCACAAGGATTTTGGAGGTGCGCAGCAATTGAAAAAGGTTGGAGTCTGGTCTCATTGAGTGGAAGACTTCTTTGAAAGCAGCAATTTGCTCGAAGGACGTACGTCCTGGGACGAAACCAGTTTGTTCGGAACCCACAAGCTGAGGGATGAATTTGAGTAATCGGTTGTTTAACACTATAGCGAGGATGCGCATATTAGTGTTAATTAATGAGATTGGCCTATAATTGGGTAAAAACTCTTTATTTTTCCTGGGTTTGAGGATTAATGTAATCAAAACCAGACTATAGTCAATAGGGATTGACCCAGCGGAAAGGATAGTGTTGAATTCTTGGAGGAGGATATGCTTAATGTTTTCCCAGGCTTCCTTATAGAATGTATAAGGGATTCCATCAGGACCAGGCTCACTCTTTGAGTTTGCCTGCCATATTGCGTCCTTGATCTCCAGTTCGATAATTGGGTTATCTAACTGTATAGCTTCGTGGGCCATTAGTTTCCTGGAAGAGATCGTCGTTAGGAGGTATTGGCGAATGGCATTCGGATCATGGTAGTCTTTAGCCGAAAAAATGTCCTTGTAATAGGACGTGGCATGGGCCAATAAATCTTGAATATCGGTGAGTTTCCTATCTCCAGCAATGACAAAAGCATCAATTGGATTTGTGTTTGGGTTCTGTTTAAAAACAGAGTTCAATCTTTCATAAGGGTCAGGTAAAATAGATGGGTCACTGCGTTGGAGAGAGTTCAATGCCGTTTTTGTTAGTGGTGCTAACAGTCGGATCTCTGCAATCAAATGGGATATGGATGGCAATTGTGATAACTTCTTGGAGTTAGCAATAAATGGTATTAGTTGGTTGTGCAATTTGAAACGCTTTGGTCCTAGTTGCACTAAATTAAAGGAGAGGGCAAATTTGATGCTAATTTCGTCATGTGTGGAAATAGTACCAAGGGTATTTGTCTGGCTAAGAGCAGTATTCTCCAACAAACCCTCAGAAATATAAAATCGATCTAAGCGACGATTTTTACCGTTTGAGGCTCGGTTAGTGGAAGGGAGACCTTTGGACAGCAGGAGGTAGAAAGCGTCTTTGAGATTGAAGCATTCAATGAAATCGTTTAGTTTTTTTAGATGTTTCAGAATTTTTTTATTTTTTTTTGATTTTGGAATTTCTAAGATATTGTTGAAATCTCCTCCAACCACTATTTCGATGTGTGAGTTTGGGTATTTGATAGCCAAATGGCCCAACAACTCACCGAGTAGCTGGTGCAACTGGGAATGAATAGTCAATTGGGCTTTTTGTTGTCCAGTTGGGTTGTATAGGTTTATCAATAATAATAGAGTTTTGCCATCATTCCAAGATATTACTAGATCAGTAAGGTATCCGGTTAGATGTGACTCAAGTTTATCGGAAATGAAATTTTTTAGTATTACCGTGCCCATGGAGGGGATATTTCTCAATAGTATAGCCGCTCGGGGGTAAGGGGAATTATTTACATGAAAGGAATGTTGATGGAAGTTTCGGATCAAAGCCTCACAGTCTTTCGGAAGTTCTTGAAAGAAAAGGATGTGCTGTTTGTTGTATTTGGAGAGGTGATGTTGGGAGGTGAAATGATATCTCTGAATATTTTGAGATATTAGATTGAAGGATTTCTTATGGGTAGTCATGATTAATTGGATTCGTTTATGCTGATATCTGATATCAGCTCATCATCGTCATTATCATCATCATCATTCGGATTATCCAGGGAGTCAATTTCAATGTGATCACTCTGGTGATCATCTGGTTCATAATCTGAGTCATCATCGTCATTGCTTGAATAGTGTTCATCGAGGAAAGCCAGTAAATTTACCGGTTCTCCATCATGTTTGTCGGCTTTCAGGTTTCCCTTAGTCAGCCGTTCCAGGTCTTGGTTGCTCTGGTGAACAGTTGTATTTTGAGATGTCCTCCGGGTCTTAGAACTCAGGTTATGAGAACTCTTATTAGGAGTGGAGGAGGGTTCCTTGGCTGGAGTTTTTGGCACGAGAATTGGGGAGGTGTCATGTTGAGAATAGATGGTGTTGGATTTTGTGGTTGAAGGGGATGAGACTGGGGATAATGGTTTTGGGGATGAATGTCTTGGTTGGGTAGGATTGGAACTGGTAAATGATGGGGATGTATTTGTGGATGATTTTTGGGGTTTCTCAGTCTTTTGAGATGGCTGGTTGGTGTTGTTCCCTTCAGCTTCCACGCCGGGTTCCGTAATATCCAATTCCGAAGTATCTCCAGCTAAGACATTGAATGGGTTTTGCCCAACCTGCTTATCTGGAACTTGTCTTTGGGAACGGTCCTTTCTGTTTGGTTGTAGTTTTGAGTCTCTGTTCAAAATGGTTCTCTTCTTTCCAGTAACAACTTTGAAGGAGCTATTTGCTTCATGTGCAACATTTTGATTCAGGGATTCTTTTTGTGGGGTGATCTTGGTTTTCTTAGAATGACGTTTAATTGGGCATTCTGGTCCAATGTGGCCTGGTTTTTTACAGATGATACAGTTCCGCTCAGGACAAGAGAACTTGGTATGCTTCCTGGAACCACAGCTAGTACAGTGGAAACAATGGGTCAAGAGTTTGATTTTCAAAATCTTGGATGAGATAATTGGTAGTTCTGTATCTTTTTCCAAGTTTATCATACCATAGAATCTATTTCTTTGGAAGGGGTCAGATGTTATGCAAGCTTGCAAATCAACAAAATTAAAGGCATCGTATGGGATCTTATGTTGTTGGAAGTGGGACTCCAATATGTCGTTTAAAGCATCTCTGTTACTAGTTTGGACTTCGATTTCAATAAAATGACGTTCAACATATTCGTCAATCACAATTTTGGGTTTATAAGTTGTGGTTTCAGTGCTTATTTGTAAAAACTCATTGATATGATTGATGAATGATATTTTTCTTTTTTTGAATTTGTCGTCTGGCAGAGGGAAATCAGGGAAAAAACTTCCAGGAATGACAATTTCATTTTCATCAGAGTTGATATAAATGACTTCCTGGGAATGTCTTAAATCATACTCCAATTTTGTTCTTTGATGACGTTCAGTTTCCTCGATGTTCCCAGATTCAAGGAGCTGTTGTTGTTGATTAGCTAGGTCCATCAAAGCGAATTTAATGAGAGCCAATTGGATTTCTGCGGAGCTTCCTTGCATCAATGGTTTTGGGATTTTGAAATGCAAATTACCTTGGTTCAATTTGTAAATTTGTCTGAAGAGCTGTAATTTTTCATTGGTGGTAAGACCTGCAAGACGTTTCATTTCCATGTCAATCTTTGTTCTAGATTGTTGGCTAAAGTACTCAACAATGAACAAAGTATTATGATATTCCATCATTCTGTCTGGATCATCTGGACGGATTTTATACAGTGTAGATTGATAAATATGATCATTATTGTTGTAGCATTCAATGAAGTGCTCCAACACTTCCCTGTAGTAGAACTTGAGGTCCTTGATGAGGAAAGGCCAGTAAAACGCGTTAGCGAATTTTCGGAAAAGAGGGTCATTTTCCCTGTCGATTTCTTTCCTCCCATTAAAGGGGTTGACCGTGGTCGTAGAAGAATTTTCCATTTCTTCTGGGGCAAGAGTAGAAGCGACAACGGAGGCGAAGGAACGGGCGGAGGTGGAACTAATAAAGGCGTTTTGGGTTTTTTGGGTTTTTTGTTTTTTTTCAGATTGGTTTTCAGTGGAGTTTTCTACGTTTTTTTCGGAGTTTATGGAGGATTTTTCATTTTTTTTGGTGTTTTTTTGTTCCAAGTTCGCATCCTCAACTTCTCCATGTTGAGGGGCCGTTGCGTGCTTAGGTGATTGATTACCTAATAATGCAGGATCGATTTGATTAGCAATCGAAGAATAAATTTGGGTTGCGGCGGGCAGATTTGGGTTTTCTACCGCGTTTTCCTCATCCCTTGAATCATTTGAAGAATAATCGCTTCCATAATTGGAACTTTCATCGTCAAAAGATTCATCTTCGTCATTTTCCGGTGGTTTTTCGACGCTGTTTTCATGAATTTCAGCGTTCTTGTTGTCACGACCTTGATGGTCGCCTTGAGAAGACATATCGACATTATCAGCCACGGAGGGGGATGAATCTCTAGTAAAGGACTTTGGGGGATCATTTGTAGGATCAGTTGAGTAATTAATACTTTGTTTCTTATAACTATCAGGACTTGACATGTTGGTTTTTTTTTTTTTTTTTTTCCAATAATTTCGATTTTTTTTCATAGTTTTTTTTTTTTTTTTTTAAAGACAAAATTCAATATATTAATTAATTATATAACTATATATCTCATAAACTACTTAATATAGTTTTTTCATTAACTACATCTAGTCTAGTCGCATCGTAATATAACAAAAATCTATAGGGTGTGTGGCGCAGTTGGTAGCGCGTTCGCTTCGCATGTGATAGGTCTTGGGTTCGATTCCCAACTCATCCATATACTCCAAGAGTTTAAATTTTATCGTCTAAGATCAGTGTTCGAGAGAGATATGAAATGATCCAAATTTTTTTTATTTTACTTCGTTTTCAACTTTATTAAGTTATTGCTTGTATGAATCCAGAATTATCTTAAATCCGATATTCCTAGACTCTATCTGCCGTCACCAACGCTCGGATAGATTTTACCCTACTTCAAGCCCTAATCGCACGAAGTCGACAATAACACCACTTGTATACTACCAGCTTCTGGCAGGTACTATTTAGAATATGTATTTTTATCATTCCTCCCTTTTTTTTTTTCTCCTTTTTGGTGGTGCGAAAATTGGATTTTTAACAGGATAAGTTCCGAGGACAATGTCAAATGCTTCACCCAGCACCAAGTTGTTGCATTGCCATTTATAATGAAAAAACTTAAATAATAATGAGCTTTTTTTTTTTATTTATATACACATATACATACATATACATACAATCTCTATAAATCTTCTTCAATGTCACCAAATTCCCAACAGCCGAGTCTTTTACTCTTGGCCAATAATTCTAGCTCAAGCAAACTGTCATGCTCTTTCTTTAAGGAAGTTTCCCAAGGAATCAATTTTTTATTGACAATAGCCCAACCGTTTTCCACGAGTTCTCTATTGACCGAGTAATTGGCGTTCTTGGTCGCCTTTTCTGGGTCGTACAAAGTAAAAGACATCTCGACCCCTGGTTCAGGAGAGGCTTTGTTAGCTAGGGCAATTATTTTCTTGTTCATGATTAGTTCATCCAAGAAATCTATGGCGTCATCCAAGTAATTAGTTGGTTTTGATGGTGGCAATTTGATCAATGAAAGAGACCCGACGTGACCCTGTGGAGGAAGCTTATCCAAAGAAAACTGAGATGGAAGTTGACGGAATGCACCCGAAGAAACATGGTCAAAATTACCAAAATCAATGTGCATGACCTTGTATTTCTTGGTAAGCTTGTCAAAGTTGAGGATTCTACCTCTGTAGTATTTCCCATTTCTAGAATAAGCAACAGACACCAAGTCGCCTTTTTTAGGAATATGATCCAAGAGTCTTGGGTAAGAAGACACTGAGCCAAGTTTTGATTTGTCATTGGATTTGATTGGCTGGTTCATGTGGAATTCATGGAATTTCTTCATAAATAGAACTAATTGTTCACTTTCAGAGTTGATGATTTGGAAGGACAATAATCCTTCATTGGAAATGTCATTCACTTCAATGTCGTAATACTTCTTGGTGATTTTAGTTTCGGCAATACTCTTGGCCAAAGTATCGACACTTTCCTCGACTTCTCCGGTCCAGTTGTGCCATATACCCAATTTCTGTTTTTGTGCTTCTTCTTGGGCATCCCAAAGTTGATCAGCAAACTTGGTTTGGTCGATAGAATAATCATGGATTTCATAAAACCCTTGGCTCAATAAATTATATTGCAAAGGCGCCTTTTGACCAGGAAGGTACAAATTACCGATGAACCCACCGATTTTGTCAACATTATAAATGTCTATCACCACATCTCTTTGTAAAGTTTTCTTGGTGACATAATCTAAAGCGGCCTTAGATAAACCAGTATCCTTGGAGGCCTTGTTGGTCAAACCACCAAGCACCAAAACCAATTTGACCCCTTCTTTAGGAAGGATCAATCTCAATCTGTGTGGTGCAGAAACGTAATCGACAACAGCATTGATCTTAGATCTGTTAGCAAAAGTGGCCAAGTAAGTTTTAGCACGACCGGCATTTTCACTAGCATCAACAATTTTTTCAGCAGGTGGTAATTTACCATTCATACCAATTTTTTTTTCAGCAGCGGTTTTTTCTAATTCGACTAAGATATCCCAGTTTTGACTTCTGTTATCATCGCCTCTTCTGTGTCTAATAACGCTGGCCCATCCAGCCTTGACAATTTGCTCGGACAAATCGCCACCATCGCTCAAGGTTATGGAAACCAATGGTCTTTCATCATATTGTTCCGACTTTTCACGGACCCCATCGACAGTCAATTTCACATGTTTGCCAATCAACTTCTTTCTGGCGAATTCTTTGGCGAAAGGAACAAATGGCGCTTGGGCAGGATCAGAGTTCTTTGGAGCACGCAATGAAGAGAGTTGACAAGTGTATTCTTGGTCACCATCTTTGGTTCTGACAACAATAGTATCGGCAGATACAATTTTAGAAACCGTAACATCATGAATAGACCCAATAGAATACAAGGTTTGCTTTGCGGAGGTTTGCTTTTTCGCAACATTGTGTGATTTCCAGATACCCTTTTGGGAAACTTTTGATAATCTTTCACTGGCTCTTAATAAAGACATTTCTCTGGCACCGACTATTGATGATTGCCAATCAACTACTTCAGCCAAACCATTTTCTAATACTTTTTCAGCAATGTTGCCAACCGGGTGGATGATCTTCCCGATCAACACACCATTAGCAGACTCTCCCAATACCGACACTTTAACATCTTGCAATAATAATCTTTTTTCAACGAAATATTTTGCTTCGTTACCGAATGGCTCGCTTTCATCGCTATTGGCAGAAGAGGATCTTGGTGATCTGATACCGGCAATCAACACAGGAGCAACAACATGTTTCTGCTTAGAAATCAAAAATCTGATTAATAATCTATCACCACTGATGACCTTCTCAACAATGGCACTGATTGGTTTAGTTTTCGATCCTTCGATCTCGTCGTATATCAACTCGTTGGCGACAGCAGGTTTGTTTTGGTGGCCCCAAGAACCGAGATTATCGTTCTTGGCCTTATTTTCAAGATCTTGCAATGTGAAATAGTAATCTTCATCAAATGGATCATTAGTTTCCTTCACTTTTACAGCCCCTTTGTTCAAAAGATATTCGATCAAGCTATCAAAAATCGGAGTTTTGATATCGCCAAATTCTCTTTTGGATTCCCCAAGGCCTGGCAAAGTGTAAAGGACTTTGAATTTGATAGTTTTTCCCACAAGAAGCTTTCTTAACAACTCCCTGGCCTCAAAAGAATAAGTCTCGTTCAATGACATCTTTGGAGCTTGGACGTACGCCAACGAAAGTTGACGTTCGACCGGGGCAACATTGGAATTGCCACTATTAACAGGCACCAAGATAATTGTATCGGCAGAGAGCACAGATTTGACTCTGGCAGAATAATAAATGGAACCCATAATGAAATAAATGGAAAAAGGAAAAAAGATACTGATGGAAAAAACTGATAGCAAAAGAATGCCATGTTGTGAAAAATTCGCTGACTTTTGGAGTGTGTGAGGTGTGTGTTCAGGGGCACTTAACCGGCATGCTTCTTGTTGTTCTTTGGAAGAATGCTATTTCAGTAAAACATCGGAATATATCGCTCTTATTGTCTAAATTAAACCTTGCTATTGTTAAATAATTATGTCTATGTAAGATCACTGATATATTAAAGAACAGAAATGTTTAGGTAAGAAAGAAAGTGGTAAGAAAAGCAAGAGAATACAAAAACATTAGAATATTAATAAAAGATTAAACAAGAAAGAACGATTAATTGAATTAAGAATAGAAATAATAAGATAACAATAATAATAAAAAGAGCAAGGATGACCGTCTATTAGTTATTAGGGAAACTAACAATAGACCGGGTATTGGAGTCATTATTTCTAGGTCCGGAACCGGTCAACATGTTCCCTCTTCTAATTAATCTAGAGATGAATGTCCGAGAGTCATCACCATCGTCAACATCAATTGGAGTATTAACTCTACGAAGCCACCAATTGGCCACAATCAAACCAACAACAACAGACAACAACATCACCCCAAGAATACCAAACCACCATCCAAGGTTATCAACACCTTGCCCAGGGACTTTAACGTTCATACCAAATAAACTGCCTACCAAGTTCAATGGCACGAGCAAAGTACCCAATACGGTAACTTTGGACAAAATATCCGTGACTTTGTTGTTTGAATTGAAAGACTCGACTTGAAGCTGGGCAAGGTAATTTGTGTAAGATCTAGAGAGAATCTTTTCATAAGACGACAAATTCATATTGAGAGTGATAATGTGATCCTGAATATCCCCCAAGAAAAGAGCAATTTCGCTTCTAGGCTGAATGGTTTCGCCCATATCGGATCGTCCACTGATTGGGGTAGCATCACCAGTTTGCTTTGGTTGGTGCAAAGAAGCGTTAGTCAAGCTATTTCTCTGGATGTCATTCACATTGGATTGCGAATCCGATGGTCCGGCAGCTAATATGGCATTATTGAGGGCCACTAAATTAGAAAAAGTTTTGTTTTCGGTGATGGTACCTTCACCGACATTGCTTGCTGATGGAAGAATATCAATAACGTGCTCGTGACAACGCTTATACAACATTCTTAGGACATCTGCTTTACCAGAAAGTAGTCTCATCAAGGTCATAACTTTTCTTCGGGACTCACCAATTCTGTGCAACATGGTACTGAAATCCACGTCTCTAATAACAAACACCGAAGCTTCAATGGCATCAGTTTCATAATCAATGGCGTTAATGACAGGGAAAAAAGAATCGGTAATATTATCAATCAAAGCATAACAAATCCAATCAGAACTCAACGGAATATATTCCTTCAATTGTCTAATACGTCTTCTGACATTGATACAATGCACCACTGGGGTTGAGTGGAAAGTCAAGATCCCTGATCTGAATACCACCATGTAGAAATTGATCGGTTCCAAAAACTCTTCCGATTCATTATCGGAATCAAAACTGTGGAAAGTGATGAAATAATAGTCTTTAAAGAATTCGACTTTTTCACGGTTTTCAGACATTCTGATATCTTCGGTGGTCAACGGATGAATACCAAAAGATTTGGCCAAGATCTTGATTTCATTATCGCTGGCACAACAGCAGTCAAGCCACCACACAAAGTTTTGGTCTTCGGTGTTGAATAAATCCTTGATTGTTTGGCCAGGTTGCACCAACGATGGCAAATCATGGGCGTGAATAGTACCTTCGCTATCAGAAGTGAACAAAGAAAAGCGATTAGGAATTGCCTCAACAAGTTTATCGGCTTCATCGTCACTGTCATCGCCTTCTATTTTGTTCATATTGTCATCAAAGTCCACAACTTGCGCGGTCTTTTGGGCGTCTTGTTTTGAGGAAACATCGGAAAAGCTTCCAGCAACGTCGTTATTATTACCAATGTGGATATTGGAAGCGCCTCCCAAGTTCACCAATCCAATACCGTTATCCTCAACGTTTTGATGGTGTAACCATTTTGGAATATACTTCATGGCAGCCTTGGATAACTTTTTTTTGCTATTTTTGAGCCTGTGACGACGTTCTTTATTAAAAGCCACATTATTGCCACCCGAAAGACCATCGTGGAAATTATTGTAATCTTCATTATCGTCATCGATTTTACCGTTTTCCCTGAGCAAGCTACGGTTCTCTTCCCTTTGGAAATCAATAAACTGCTGCAACTCATCAAAATCAATACCATGGTGATCTCTATTATTCTCAGGATCCATAGGAAACCACACGTCCTCTTCGGTGTCAGTGGAAGTGTCAGAGTTTTCTGAGTCGACATCAGATGCACTAGGAATTGAGGTGGGAATCGAGGTTCTTGTCAAACGACGGCCAATCGCGTTTTGCATATTGTTTGATGATACACCCTCATCGTTATTATTATTAGTATGACTAGCAATTCTACTAACGTTACCGGCCAAAAGGTTTCGAGAATTCTCATAATCAGCGTCGTGATTACCATCATTAGCAGGGATGTCATTATTGGCGTTGTTGTTGTTAATGTTGTTGTTGTTCTGGCTGGAACCAGTATGTTTATGGCTTGCTTCAGAACTCATGGCTAGGGTTAGTTCAGCTGCCGGTTGCTGTGTTCATGTTCTCTCTATTTTGCCAAGATTTGTGGATAATCTTTGACAAAAAGATAATTGAAAAAACGGATAAACAGTGGTTTTTCAACAAATTTTTTTCCTCAAAAATTCGCTCTTCTATCAGCAGACTATTGCATAATTACGCATATTACCACAGCCGTGCCTCACAACAACCTCTATTGCACTTATTCTATTCTATGTCATAGCTTGTAGATTAAATTACATTCCCCATGGAACCTGCGGTGCTTCCCAGCTGACGGTGGAGAAAATCCCACCAACTGACCTAATTAAGGGTCAAAAAGTCGATCAAGCCTCGCATTGCTAAAGATTGCGGGTGATGGCACCAGCTTCATCATATAATCATGGCGAAGCTGTCTTTGAGTTTTTAACCGTTTTCAGAGAAAACGTGCTTTCTGACGGCAGACACAAATGTGAAAGAAGTAAAAAAAAAAAATAAAACTGCGCAAAATCTTTTCTATTCGATGACATAGACAGTTTCCAATTGCTTTTTTGCTTTGCTTCTTCTCGTCTATTTGCAACGGTCAACGGCTTAGTCAATTTTATCGTATTAGTGACTGATCGATGACAGAAAGCTATTAAAATTCATAACCTCAAGCTATTAGATGAGTTTGCAACTCGGCAATGGATTCTAAATTCAAGAAAACTATATATTAACTAACAGGAACAGGCAAAGTATAAAATATTATGAGCTCTTGTAGAATATGCCTACTCTCACGTTCACCATTTTTTTATTCATTTTATACAAATGGTACTGATATCTTGTATGGTCATTGAGTAAACCGATAATCAATATCTCATCACAGTATGACCAAAAGAATATCTTATATTGTGATACTCGGGTGGATCTTCCACTGGCAACACCACAACTCTAATAAAAAGCAATGTATATGGAAGGGACTAACATAGGGTGACCACATGAGGTTAGTGCACCCAACATCGTGGGTGCTGCCATTTCTGACATTGGTCATAAATCAGAAGGGATATTGGTATTGTTTTTCGAAGTTTGTTGAATATATGCTCTAGGGAACATTTACATGAACTGAAATGCGTGGTCACGAAACATCGGTTACATGCTAATATATATAGCGCACTCATTTTAAAAAAGTGCCATTGAGTTGCTAAGGGTACTATTACAGCTGTCGCAGTTCTGCAAATAGAACCAACGGGAGTAATAATTTCTAAACGTAGTCTCCTCTTTCCTGAATGGTGTATAAAGCTTCTTTATGGAAGGGCAATCCAGAGAAATATTTACAAATATTATACACTGGCTTCGGATACAACATATGTCTTCGTAGGATAAAAACAATCAATAGATATACATTTGGGATTTTCATTCCCAGAGAAATAATTTCATAAAAATAAAAACAAAGGATTAAAACATTATAGGAAACCATGGATGGTCCATCCAGAAAAAAATGAAAAAACAAAAACAAAAACAATACAATTTTCATATATAATAGAAATGAAGGGTTTTTTTTTTAAAAAAAAATTCAATTTTCATCAACAATACCGTAGGCATTATCCTCAAGTTTCAAATAGTTCAATTTTTTAAAAGGGGTTTTTTCCAGTGATGTCTTCTCACAAAACCCACAACCTGAATTAGCGGTTTCCGTCTCACCTTCAGCAGCATCATCACTTTCCCACCAATTATCATTACTGATAATCCCACAGTATTTAGAAGTAACTTCCGTTGTCGAGCACAGCTGCGGATGATCGCTTAAGCTGCCTAATTTGCTTCGATCGTCCAAAAATATTGATGAAGTTGCAGGGTCTTTGCCTATCCATCTGGCCTTCAGCGACCCGTTGCCGGTTTCCCCAACTTGACCTTTTCTATATTCTTCTTTAATCAATGCTTGTTCGTAATATCTCAACGCAGGTCCCTGGATACCACCCTTCCATTGCATATAACCGTCGGCGTATAACTTCATAATTGGGGCTTTCTGTGGCGTGGTTTTCCCGGCATCGTTAGAGATCCATACCGCTTTTTCTCGAAGTGGGAAGACATTTTTGAAAAGATCGCCATTATTTTGATCTTTAGGATGATCGTTACAGATTAATACCGGTTCAGGAACCCCGACGACCCCGGTACTAAGAATCTTCACCAATTTCTTAGACTTCCCGTCATCCAAAATGTTACTGTAGTCCTTGAATTCCAATTCCGGAATGATGCGGAAACCAATGAAGTAGTTCAGGGAGTCTTGGGCACAAGTGAGATGGACTGCATTTTGGCATAACATACACTTCTTCAACACCCCGCTCTTGATATTGCAAATATCACAAAACCTGAACTCATTTTTGAGTAACGCCAACGGCATATTTACCGCTCCTTGTAAACTCTTGGAGTCCTCGAATTTGATCTCGGCACTAAAGATCGAACAAATGATATGCGCCCATTTGAAATTGATAGTTCTTTTCAACGCGTCTGGAAATGCAGTTGGGGCTCCGACAATCGCCGAATCATGGTCGATTTCTTTTGAGTAACATAAGCTACATCCATAATACGTCAGGCAAACTGGGTGGAGGTCGTTCGAGCAGGAGTCACAGCACCATTCTTTGGTGAACATCTTGATATGAGGATTTACTTCAACCCCATAACAACTGGCATGGACGTTTAACCCACAATTGGAACAAATCAAAATTTCATTCAAGTCATCGGCATCACAGGATCGACAAACACAACATGGACGTTTCGTTGGCGAGAATAACCCATTTGCGCTAATGATGTGCTTAATTCCCGGAGAGTCCTTGGAATTCGAAGACTTGGTCTTTGGTGATAAAGGAATGGTGAAATCGTCTTTCGGTTCCGGCAACCAGTTATCAAATTCGTGGGTTTTTTTATCAAAGTTTTCAAAATTATAGGTGTAATGATCGTTATAAATGTAATGATAAACTGGAGCCGATGGAGTAATATCATTATCAGAGTCGCTTTCATTACTATTATCATCATTATTAGTAACCAACTGCCCAGATTTCTTATTGGAATTTTGTGATTGAGGAGCAGTGAAACGAAGCGTTAGATTAGTTACACCACTGCTATCTTCCTTTTTAGCACGCTTTCCCCTTCCAGAAGCTTGATTGGTAGATTGTACCTTTGTCTGAGATGTTGATGTAACCGCATGAGTGGCGGGTTCTTTTTTAGTTTTCGGTTCTCTTTTGACCTTTGGTTCTTTCTTTACTCTAGTTTGCTTGGTTGTAGAAGCCTTGCCAGCAGAGCCAGGGACTGATGATGATGTGACTTGACTGGATACCGAAGGAGATGGAGAACTAGCACTTTTGATATTTCTTGGTTTTTTAATTGGATCATCAGGGGATGGCGACGATGATTTTCGTTTGAAATTACCTCCGTTGGAGATTCTAAACGCCACTTTCGTCTTTTCCTTTTCGTCCAAGATTCTCATGGCATCTTCGGCCAATTCATGCTCCACTTTTCTCTTCCCTACTCCTTTCAATTTCTTGGACACTTCAAACGGGTCTTCCCATTCAACGGCATAAAGACGCCATAATCTAGCACACCTGAAACACAAGGCAATCACGGTTTCTTTAGGATCACTTGGGGCAACCGAATGCCCAGATGCTCTAAACCACTTGGTGGAGCTGGTAATGTTACAGTGCTTGCACTGGTAATGACGACGCTGTCTGACTGAGGCATCGTTATCATAACTTGAATCATCCTCTGGATCAGCAATCGAATCAACAGAATCGCTCTTGTTGGCGTTCTTCTTAATTTTTTTATTTTTACGACCAGGGAAATTATCCCAAATCAAATGGCCCATCGGGGTTTTTTTCCACAAGTAATAATATCTGACAATCATCCCAAATGACTGGGTGCCCACATGACGATGAACCGGCAACAATTCACTACCATACTTTCTTACCCCTTCATCGAATCTTGTGGCTTCCTCCGAGGTGAACGTTGGTTCTTTCAATGATTGACGAGTGAAATCCTTGATGATACTGTAACTTTTCTCGAAATCAAAGTTGGTATCTAACAAAGTCTTGAAAATTGCATCGAGGAAATTTGGAGAATTATGAAACATTTTCAATTCCTTGGCTATTGGACGGCACTTCTTGAACACAAAAGTATCGATTTGATTTTCGAGTTTCAATTCTTTGGCCGGTTGTTTCCACATGAGGGTAGAAGATGACCCATCATCGAGGCCTCGTTCGATATAGCCCGCTGGTCTGGGTTTCACCCACGGAGGCAATTCTTTGGTAGGGGTACCTTTATACTCGTTTGGCACTTCCAATTTCTTTCCTGCAGCAGCGGGAGTATCTTCAACGCTCTTGCTCTGTTTGCGTTTGGTTTTGTAGTGTCTTTTCTTGGCAACTACCTCCGATTCGTCTGGATCATAGTACACTTCGGGATGTCCGTACCATTCATCGACGTTGGCTTGTTGCTTGGTTCCCAAACGCGAGGATGCTCGTGGATATGGCCGATCTTCGACATCAAGGACATCCTCTAACCTTGCATGCATCCCTAAATAACGATACGGCCATTCTTCTTTAGCTCTTCTCTCTTCCAAAGTCAATCCACTATCATGCTCAAGAAACTCCAATGCGAGCGTTTCAAAACTCGGCTGGAGCGGCGGAGGACTGGTGCTTGTTGTCACATTGTTTTTATTATACTGGTCTATGGAGATGGCAGTGGTCGAGATGGATTCTAGTGAGCTGGCATCACTTCTATCATACTTCTTTTTGAGACTTAAATTATTAGCACGAACTTTCCGCATTTCATCATCCGCCTGCTTCGAGCATTTCGCACAGCTCCAACTGTACCCTCGTGATGGTTTCTTAAGCAACGGAGGAGTTAAACAAAGCATATGGTAGTAGTCCTTGCACTTAGCACATTCCACGGAATCGGTCATCGAGCACCATTGATTACATTTCACGCAATTTTTGGGAGTCACCAACAAGTCATCGCCTCGCCCGGCCTCGACAAACACATAAGCAAAACGTTTCACTAACGCTTTCTGGTAATTGCTGGGTAAATTGATCAAATTCTTAGTAGGTAAAATGTCGTAATACTTAATCATGTACCGATCAAACAACTTCTCGTACCAGAAATGCGACGGTTTGTCTCTGTAGCTATTAAGATCGTCGATTTCGTCCTTGAACTTCACCGTAACTTTACCTCGGAAACTCGATACTGGACAAAGATCAGAGTGCATGGTAGCGTACAATAGTCTTGAGTCGGTCAGGTGTCGCAAGATATCCCTTGGACGGTAGTACCAATTGACCTTTATCATATAGTTATCCACGGCATCCAAATTGGCATTCGATTTGAGGTTTCTCTTCTTTGCAAATCCCATAACCCTGGCAATATAATAAGGTTCGCCAGCGGGTTCAGAGATCATATAAATGTGGTCGTTTTTGGTGATGGTGGTGGTGCCGTCTGCTAATTGGAGCACCGATTTGGCATCATCGAGAAAATTTGCTCCCGAAATATTCATCAACACGGGGAATTTCTGTGATCCATCAGATGAAGGAGCAGGCTGCCAATTGTTGGGAATTTCTGACCGGAAAAACGTCGCTGATTGGAGTTTGGTCGTCGCCGCCTTCAGCAGGTCGAGGAGGGAAATATTACTACTGCCTGACGAAGGAAGATCGACATCATTAGCATTGGCTTCCATTGTAATCACAGGTTCACTAACCATCAGCGATGAAGTATTGGAATTTTGTACAGCAGCCTGGTAATCTGCCACAGCGTTGATAGGGAGTTCATCTTCAACGGAGTTTATTGATTCATTGTAAGAACTTATCTTTTGCACCGCTCTTCTCTTGGGACGAGGGGTTGACATTGCTGTGTGGCTGATAATGCTTTACTTAAGACAATAAGCAACACGATAGAAGTGCTGATTTGTTTTGGTTTATTTCGATGGTTCTTGTGCTTCCTTATTCGCCCCAAAAAATGCTTCTGAAAAACACAACGGCAATGGAAACTTCCAAAAAAAATAAAAAAATAAAAATAAAACAACAACAACAACAAATGACAAAATGGGTTGAAACAACAGCAGTAACAACAGAAAAAAAAAACTAAAGCAACGAGAATATTCAATAAGTATAGCAACAAGTAGCAGCTAATCTATAGGGAAAATAAGCCAATAAAGGAATAAAATCTAAATTACAATAATCCAGCGATGCTCAGCCAAAAAAAAAAGTGCGAAAAAAAAAGAGGGGCACATAACGGTACATGCCACCAATTTGCTTCTCCAAGCAATTGAGAGAGATAATACGGCGACCTAAACAGATAATAATGGTAATAATAGTAGTAATAATAATAGTAATATGTAAAAGAAATAATAATAGTAATATGTAAAAGAAATAATAATTGTAATAATAATAAAATTTCAAAGAAAAAAATAATAATAAAAATATATCACCAAAAATCAACGTCTTTGCTTCTTTTTACCATGGTAATACCCACTGTCATCTTTCTCTGACTTTCTCTTTTCTCTAAACCTAGTATGCTTCTTCATCTTTCTCTTAGCAGCAGCTTCTGGGTTGATTACCTTCATCTGCGATCTCCTGACCTTTCTCTCGACTCTTCTGTTTGTCACAAGAACCCTAACCTTCGCCATCATTTTAGTGTATTCAGACATTCCTAACTTGGTCTCGACAATCTTCAAACATTCGTTGGCAAGCTCAGATAGCATCATCGCATCTTCATCATTGATATCAGGTTCTTCATCGGTGTAATTAAACAATGCCAATGCCATGGCTTGGCCCACGGTTTCCATCCTCAACTTATCTGCCAGTATCACTTGAACAATCATCGCTGCCAATTTGATCGCCGATTTTTTCGATTGAACAAACTGCCCACTGTTATAATCATTCTTAATAATACCACTAGCTTTGTGAACAAGCCATTCCACAGGATATTTATACACTTCATCGTCCTTCTTCTTGATGTATTTGGTATCGTTTTTCTCCCAGCACATCATGATATGAACAATGTTTTTCACCACTTGGGTTCCAAGTTCCTCGGTGATCTTTGGGGCACCAAGCTGACGAATCGACCTATGGGCAATGATTTGAATGTCTTGATCAGTTAAAAATTTCGCCTTAGGCAAGTTAGAAACCATAACCCCAGCCAAACGTGATGCACTCAATCTGACCCATGAGTGTGGGTACAACAAAAGTGAAATCACAAACTTCCAGTACTTCTCATACTTGGTTTCTGTCAATGCGGAAGTTTTAACCACCGACACCACCTTGTTGAACACTCCCAAAGACGCATAAATCAATTCCCATTCATCACCGTCATTATCATCATCATCGCCATCTTCATCAACTGCCAAAATATCGGCCAAACGGGTCAAGAACAAACTATCCAATTCATTATTGTTATTCAAACCCAAAGCAGAAATATAAAGCTTATAGATTTGTAACCCACAACGTAATAACAAGTTGTTGGAAGTCTGTTTCATCCAGGAAATCAAATACAACTCAATATTCTGGCAATTGGAACCGCCCAATTTGGTCATCAACGCTATCAAAATGTTGGTCGCGCTTTCACGACACTTGAGCGAGTCATCGGTAACCGACACATTACTGAGACCAACAAAGAATGAGCCAGAAATCTTCTGCACTAATTCCAAAGTGGCCTTCAAGATCACCGAGTTGATTAATTCTAATACTGATAATCTCCCTGATTCCGCAGGATAACTCAAATTACCAAGTAAGAATTGGAATTCTTTCTCAAGTTTACCTTTCCCTTGGTCGTATTCCATCAAGAATTGGAAATAGGTACTTCTTGCCATATTTCTAATCTCCCTGGTATGGTTAGTCACCATAATCTTTGAAACTTTTTCCATGATATCGTACACTTCAGGAACCATAACGTGTTGCGCTAATACTGCTTTCAAGAAATTGAACGCTAACCCTTGACGACTTGGATCTTCTAAATCTGGCGACAACTTGATCAAGATATAAACAATAGCGGAGGTTTTCAAATCAATATCATCATTCTTGTGGCGCACCACCGACGAAAGATATCTCAAACAAGCTTGGGCTAAATCAGAATTGGTGCTTGGACTATTTTTGAACATTTGCAAAACCCTACGAGTACACACCGTCAATCGTTTTGTGGCGTCTTCATCCAATGGCAACAATAACACAAGGTTCAATACTTTCATTGAGGCAATTAATAACCCTTCATTATCAGAGCGTAAACTCTGTTCCATCAAAGGAATAAACCCATTCAAATTGGCAAATGTCACCAATGATTCATTATGGGCCAAAATCGATCTCAATAATTCCAAAGAGAATTTTCTCAAAGTGTTGGAATATTGAGAAAACTCAAGTTGACTCTTGATCGGTTTGGCATTTAACTTGACCAAAAAGTGATCATCGGATTCCTTTACCACCGTTTGTTTCCGGAGAGCCTTGGTGGTTTCCAATAGTTTATCGGAATCGTTGAAAATTTCATAACACATTGTCAATCCTACCATGGTGTTTGCTTGGGAATTATGGTTCAAACCCAAGGTGAATCTTCTCAATAATTCATCAAGTCTGGTTTGGGTTTTCAAACTGATTTGTTCACCAATCAACAATTTGATAGGTTGTAACATAGAATTAAATTGACTCAAATTAATATAACTTGCCAAAATCTCCGCAGTATCATAACTCTTGTTGTGCTTGACTTCCTTGGTCTTTGAAGAATATCCTTCAGCTTCTTTTTCTTGAGCGGCAGCCCCAAATAAGTCTTCCATGATAATATCCATGATCATTCCTGAACAGTCATCCAATTCACCCATCTCAACCATACCATTCAACATAACTAATAAATAATGCACGGTAAAACTAAGGATATGGATTTGCGGACCACGTCTCAACGCCCCTTTCAATTCCCGAATCACAAACGGCAAATACTTGGTTCCTAAAGTTACAGCAATTTTACCAAGCGATTTTCTCACCGAGTCACGTAATTCTTCAGAACGGGTACGTAAAATCTGCGCCACTTTAGTTAAAACCCCTGGTAATTCAGTGGTTTGTTGTTGTTCTGAAAGACATAAAATCAACGAAACAATGGATTCCGAAATAGAAACCCTGACCACCGCAGTGTCCTCGTCACGAATGCCCAACACTTCATTGAGCTGAGGCAATAAGCTTTTGAGAATGAAATTATCAATTTCATTTTGATCTTTGCACAATCCTTTGATCACCGCTTTATCATGATCCACTTCTTCGGAATCAATCTCCATTACAACATCTCTATTTTTGATGGAAATTTTCAATGCGGTACACGTAGAAACCACCAAATGAACAACATCTCTAAAATAATTGACTTTATTCTTGAGGTAGGAGACAAAACGTTTCATGAGGGCTTTATACTGGTTCCAGTTGATATAACGCACCAAGATCCCAATACTTTCAATGGCATCATTACTCAAGTTTCTGGCATTGCTATTCTCAGTAGTTTCACAATAGACAAACCTCTCAACTATCGGAATTAAGTAATGCGAGATATTGCTTGGGGTGATTTGTGGGGCAAAATTCCCAAGACGACGGACCGCTCTTTGACGTCTATGAATTTGAATATGACCAACATTCAAGAAAAAGTTAGCTTCATCATCATTATCGAATAACAAAACCTTCATATCTGCAAGGTCAGTGTAATACTTCGAATGTTCCACAACGTGAGCTAATAACAACACATATTCTTTTTGGATTCGGTCATTGTCTTTTCTAATACCAACTCTCAAATTAGGCAAAATGACGTCCTTAAGAACATGGTCATAAGGAGCTGCCTGGGTCTCGTCCTTCTTGAGTGAGGTACCGTCAATAAATCTCGATAATGAGTATCTGGCACTGGATCTGATGGAAAATTCTTCATCATTAATAAAGAAGAGACAAGCATGAACTAATGGTAACCATTGAACAGCGTCCAATTGTGAATATTCGACTTCGTTAAGTTTTGCAAAAGCCTCCATCCGTTTTTCGAAATCCGGTTCACCCATACGGGAGGTGTTATTGGCGTTTAATCCACGTAACAAATCACCAACCACCACAAAATGTTCCAAGTGATTGCCAATGGCACAAACAATGTTCACCAAAGCATCACGTAAACCAATATCAGCGTACATCTTGAACGATCTCGCCACAATTTCATAAATGGTCTTGACATCTTCGTACTGAGTGATGTTTAATTTGACCAATAATCCGCAAATGGCAGTCAAAATATCGGTTTTGGTGGCAACGGTCAAACTGAAGTAATTTTCTGAGTTTGATTTATCAAGAGCATTGATCAAAGTATCCACAAGGAGTTTCAATACTTGAGTATCCTTAGAAATCAAATCTCTTTCAATGAATAATAAGATCAAGCGCACCACCTTTGAAACCACTTCTTTAGAAGTTTCTGGACGACTCAAGATCTGTGGTAAAGTAGTTGAACAGCTTGCAATGACCGCATCCCCAACCTTGGCCCATTCATCACTAGTATCATCGGAATTCACAACATTGGTAGCGAAATCGAGGATTTCCATGAGCACCGAGCTTTTACAGTGAGCATTTTCAAATAATTGCAATATGGCAACAGCTGGACTTTGATGGTCTACCACGAGTAATTTATGCAATTCTGTAGATTGGGCACAAGAACAAAGCATCTTCATGATGGCGGATGGGGATTGTAAATTTTCATTAGCAAAGTGTTCAAGACGAGGTTTCACAATTAAATTGTAAATGACCCCAATATACGTATCCCAATCCAAAGTATAATCCACCTTTATAGTATTATCTTCTTCGTCTTCTTCTTCGTCTTCTTCCTCAGTTGTAACATCACCACTGCCAAAAATATTGAACATTCTGCTCAAGTTACGAAGACCCATTTGACGAACTTGTTTACTATATTTCTCAACAATCTTTTCTGGTTGATGATCCACAGCATATTGGGCAGTACCGATGGCATAAATCAAAGGATTCAATGTGCCTTCAAGGGCTCTAGGGAATCTTGCCTTGAGTTCGGTGATAACATCACCAAGCAAATTCATAAACCCAAGCAATTTACGCACCAATCTTTCGGTCACCTTAACTTTACCAAAGACTTCAGTACTGGCGTTGTGTTGGTATTCTTCGAAAATGACCGGGTACTTGAGGTCGTCATAACCCAAACGCAAGAATTGGTCAACATAATTTTCATTAAGAGATCCCAATAATTTCAACACGGCATTCTTTTTACCCTGTTTTGAACCACTACCACTACGAACCTTGGCTTTACCGTACAAGATTCTCAAAATCACTCCAACAACCGTGGATAAATCCTCGGCACGGTTCGAACTGAAAAACGTCACAATTTCATCTTTGAAAGTGGAATCGTCAATAATATTATTCAAATTATCAGTGTACTTTCTAATACCATCGACCTTGAAGGCAAGTACAACTTTGAGAGCAGCCTTTTGGGTCACAGCGCTTTTCGAACATAACAAATTCAAACCGTGGTTATAAACTTCGGAAGATCTATGAATATTTTTGATATTTTTGAACTTCCCAAACAATTCAATCATTAAATTCTTGTCCTTGGTAGTCCAATCAGAGAAGGAATTATCATTGATCTTGGATTCATCATCATTCTCCTGTTCATCATCATCTTCACTGTCAGCATCTTCAGACAAAACAACCGGAACAAGGAATCTTGCCTTCTTTTCCCCAAGCTGAGGAATCTTGAGCAATACTTGCAACGCCTGATATCTCATAAAACTACTGGAATCCTCCTCAGTGCGCTGTTGTTTAGCGTACTCGACAAGATGGCGATCCAAATTACCATAATTACCAAAAGATTCCCGGAATTTTGTATAAGAGTCCGCAAGTCTATAACTCAAAACATTCCAATCATCAAAGATGATTTCATCCGAATACGCAAGCTCCAGTTGATCACTCTTGAAAAACCCATTAGTGACATCGTACTTTTTGAAAATGAAATAATGAATGGTTTCCCAAAGTTCTTCTTCTTCGATGGCAACAAATTGACCAATGATTTCCAAAATCGCGTCCCAGGCAGGCTTGAATCTACTATTCAAATACCCAAGAGACCATTTCACCGCGATTTTCCTATCAGTTGTTGGGGCGGTACTGAGTGCGCTGCCCAATTGACGGGATCTCAATAACAAGTCACGGCCATTTTTAAGGTTGAGCTCAACGTTTTCTAAGCCTTGGACACGGTTAAGCAAGTCCGAAACCGGTTCTCCAGATTTCACCATCAATACACTAATACTACTGAGAGCAGCGGCACGAAGGTCATGGGACGACCCCACTAAACAATTACTCAAGGAGTTGATTAAAAGTGATTTTCTATCGGTGATATATCTTATGGTGGCAGAATTGGATGATTGATCAAGGCCAAGAAGGAAATTATATATACCATCAATAAACGTAGCACTTTTAAGAGCATTGTTATCTTCCATCAACTGGGCCGGTTCAAGAGTGGTATAGGTGATTCCTTCAACAATTGTTTCAATTATCTTAAGACTATCCTTGTCAGATACTTGTTGCTTAGCTAACGAGGTCAAAATGGCCCCACAAATTTCGATGGTGAAACCCGATGAAGAAGCGCTGAAAGTTTTAAGGAAAAGTTCAAGAAATACTTGGTAGTCTTTGAAATTTTTACTGTGCTGCAAAATCAATAATCTCCAATAAATCTCCAAGGTCTGATGATCATCTTTAGATTTCTTATTGGTTAATTCTTGCAAGCCTTTAATAAGATCTTGATAAAATTCTGCAGTGATACTGAGAGAAAGCTTGTTACCACCGCCGGCGCCGCCAGCAAGAATTTCGCTTGGGATTCTGGTGATGAAGCAGGCAATTTCTCTTTCATGGGTTTTCCAGTGTTTGATAATGTAGTCAGAAATAATCTTTGACCCGAAAATCAACGTTTTTTCGCGCTGAATGGAAATTGCCGCCTCGACAAACCCCATAAACCACCGACCATTATCTAAAGTTAACATTGAGTCAAAAATAAAGCGATGAGATTTAGCAAGGACTTCCATTGGGGCATTACGAATAAACAACACGAAAAAGTAACTGACCACCAGGAATGTCGATGGGGTAGAAAATTTTTGATCTTCAAGTTTTTTGATGAGATGGCTCGCAATTGACACAAGGGAGTCCCAAGATGGAGTTTTTCTACCTGATTCTGCAAATAAAAGAGTAGAAAGGATTTGAAAGGCACAAGAAAAGCTTTCAGGGTTGTTGTATGAAGGGTAATTTTCCAAATACCCAATGGTGATTTCGTAAATTGGCACAACATTTTCAGCAGTTCCATGAGCAAGCATCGAAATAACAACATCGCAGTATACATTACACATTACCGGCTCTAAGGCATTGTTCATTAGGAGTTTGAGCACGATATTTAAAGGTTTTGTATGATAAGCATTGGATACATTTTTCACGGACTCTGAGAAAAGAATTACCATGGATTGCTGAAAGGCTGCTTTTTCTTGGTCATTAAGATCATCATCGGCTTGTAATTTTTCTTTAAAGAATTCGACAACTACGGAAATCGCAGCGTCGTTGGATTTTTTAAAAAGAAATGAGATGGCTTCGGCGGCGAATCTTGAAATGTATTGTCGTTTCACGAGAATCAAGCATGGGTAAAACACTTTCAAAGTGATCCGTAACCCATCCTCTTTGGCCAAATCTTTGCTTAGATGCTTGAAAATGAAGGCGATGGCCGTGAAATCCCATTGGATCACATTATCGTTGGACATCAGTTTGTTGGTGGTGGTAGAATTCTCACCAATTGACGAGATGTGAAGCGCCAATTTCGTGAGGCAAACCATGGCTTCTTCATACATGTCCATGAAGTATTCTGCCCCCATATCATGGGTAAAGTTGACCAATAAATCCAAAAGTGGCTCGAGTGAAAGATTGTCATGTTTATCAATGTAGGAAACCAATATCTGGAACACAGTTTTCCGGTGATGAATCAACTGTGCCAAACTGTTGGTGAAGGTATATGTTTCACGACAGTATTCTGTGAAGTTTTTGGAGATATTGAGTTCTTTCCAGTGGTTGATGGATTCATTATAATGGAAAGAATCATCGTCTACTTCATATCGAAGTCTGGAATTTGTGAGGGATCTGGTGCTGCCGGTGATCGAGAGCGTATCAAGGCTTTCTCTGAAAGACTTGTAAGTGAACCGTCTCTGGGACTTGGTTGACTTTGCCGGCTTCCTAGAGTTCTTCATTGTTAATTCCAGAGAGAAAGATGACCTAGAGGATGCCTTCTTTTTGGGGGTTGATGGAAAATTCTTTTGGCGCCAAAATTTTTTTTTTTTTCTGGCGATGATGAGGCACGCGAACATTGCAGCATATCACCGAAAGCGACATAATTATGCATGGTGATCATTTAAGGTGCTTTTAGTAATCGATTATGTAATCTGCTGACATAAAAAATTATTTAATGTGATTACATAATAAATTATGCAAGATGACAACACCGATGACATAATCAGTTACCTTATCAGTAGCACGTGCCTTGGAGATAAAACAAAAACGCCTGTTCCGGAGAATTTTGACAGGATCGTCGTCGAGCATATTATATTAACGAAGAAGTTCGGTAAATTCTTGCAAACCAAAACACTTCTGGGAAGATCTATTATTAGTATCTGATATTCTATTCGAATCGTAATGAATCCCTAGGAAACCCTCAGTTTTTTCTTGGTTTGCTTGAGATATCCACCGTTCTGGTATAGCCACCAACCGGTGTGAGTCACCGGCGAAGCAGAAAATTTTCGGGCAAATCATCAATGAAAAAATTGTCATCTCCTGCAAAAAGAATTTCTTCCGCTTCTCCACGATTACTCATTTTTCAAAGGGTTTACATATATAAATATATTCTGCCTGGTTCCTGGATATTCCTGCATCTTCTTTAAATCATATTCCAATTTTTAAACAGTTATCCGCCTATAATGCTCAGAACCGCGATTTGTCGAAACTCTAAAACCGCCTTAAGAAAGGCCGCTACCACGTCGAACGTTATCAGCAGAGCCACCACTGTTGGTCTTAGGAAAACCACTGGTCTACGTCACAACTCAACTAAAACCGTTCGTGAAGAACCTTCTCCAGCATTTAACCAAACCAGTGCCGAAGAAGCCAGCAAGAGCCTCAAAAAATATGCCAATAAAGATATGGATGACTCGTTTGTCGGGCTTACCGGTGGGGAAATCTTCCACGAAATGATGTTGCGCCACAAAGTTGACACAGTGTTTGGTTATCCTGGTGGGGCCATTTTGCCAGTCTACGATGCAATCTTTGAATCGAAACATTTTGAATTCGTGTTGCCTCGTCATGAACAAGGTGCGGGCCATATGGCTGAAGGGTACGCCAGAGCCACCGGGAAACCTGGGGTGGTGTTGGTCACCAGTGGTCCAGGGGCCACCAACGTCATTACTCCAATGGCCGATGCTCTTGCCGATGGGGTACCGTTGGTGGTGTTTTCTGGTCAAGTGCCGACCTCTGCTATCGGTACCGACGCTTTCCAAGAAGCCGATGTCGTGGGGATCTCACGTTCCTGTACCAAATGGAATGTCATGGTGAAAAACGTTGCCGAACTTCCTCGTAGAATCAACGAGGCCTTTGAAATCGCCACTTCTGGTAGACCAGGTCCAGTGTTGGTGGATTTGCCAAAGGATGTCACCGCGTCAGTGTTGAAACAATCAATTCCAACTGCCACCACTTTACCATCGCAAACCCTTGCCAATATCACAAAACAATTTTTCGCGCAGTCCATCGACGAAAGTATTCAAGAAGCTTCGGATTTGCTCAATGTCGCCAAGAAGCCAGTGCTCTACGTTGGGGCGGGGATCTTGAATCATCCTGAAGGATCAAAGATCCTCAAAGAACTTAGTGAAAAGGCCCAAATTCCTGTCACCACCACCATCCAGGCTCTTGGGAGTTATGACCAAAATGACCACAAATCCCTTGATATGTTGGGGATGCATGGTTCTGGTTTTGCTAACCTCGCAATCCAAAATGCCGATCTTATCATTGCGTTGGGTGCCCGTTTTGACGACCGTGTCACCGGTGCCCTTCCGAAATTTGCTCCAAATGCCAAATTGGCGGCCCAACAAGGTCGTGGGGGTATTATTCATTTTGAAATCTCTCCAAAAAACATCAACAAGGTTGTCGAAGCTACCGTGGCCGTGGAAGGTGATGTCACTGACAACGTCAAGAAATTGCTTCCATTAGTCAACAAAGTGGACGAAGCTTCCCGCGCTAGCTGGTTCAAACAAATTGAAAACTGGAAGAAGCAGTATCCTTATGATTACCAAAAAGAAGTTCCAGGATCAAAAATCAAACCACAAACCTTGATTCAACGTCTTAGTGACCATTGCAGTAAACTTTCCAAAGACGTTGTTGTCACCACTGGTGTGGGTCAGCATCAAATGTGGGCCGCCCAACATTTTAATTGGACTAAGCCTCGTACTTTCATTACCTCTGGTGGTCTTGGGACCATGGGGTACGGTCTTCCTGCGGCAATTGGGGCTCAAGTTGGGAGACCCGATGCTGTGGTGATTGATATCGATGGGGATGCTTCATTCAACATGACTTTAACCGAGCTTAGTACCGCTGTGCAGTTTGGGATTCCTGTCAAAGTGTTATTGTTGAATAATGAAGAACAAGGTATGGTTACCCAATGGCAGTCGTTATTCTACGAACATCGTTACGCACACACCCATCAATCTAATCCAAATTTCATCAAGCTTGCCGAAGCCATGAACCTTAAAGCAATTAAATTGACCAAACAGGAGGATGTTGATGCCAAACTTGATGAATTCTTAAATTATAATGAAGGACCGGTTTTATTGGAAGTTGAAGTGCAAGGTAAAGTCCCAGTGTTGCCAATGGTTCCAGCTGGTAAGGGTCTTGATGAATTTATTTCTTTTGATGCTGAATTTGAAAAGCAGCAGAATGAATTGAGAAAAGAGCGTACCAATGGGAAGTACTGAGGAGATATTTGGAAAAAAAAAAAAAAAAATACAAAAAAAATGTGAATGAGATTTGGAAGGGGGGAAGAATGAAGGAAATATGATAGGGGAGAATCATCAAAAGTTCATCTACAAGAACAGCTTTATTTGATTACTATCGCTCCCTGTTTTCCTTATTATGATTACTATTTGTTGAATTATTTGTCATGATTGTTTTTTATTTATTTGTCATTAACTTTTTTTTTTTTTTTTTTTTATGATTTGCCCAATTCTCTTGTAAAGCACAGTTTTAGCTCTTTTTGTTTGTTTGTTTGATCTACTTAGACTATGAAAGAAGATTATTGATTAATGTATTTTAGTGATAATTGTAGTCATTATGGGTGTGCTCTTAGCAACTCCATAATTGCAATTTTTCTTCTTTTTTTGGTGCGAAAAAGCTGGAAGGTTTCTTTAATGGGATGATTGATAGATGACATAGATATATCAACCGCTAATCAATACTGGTAGTTAATAGACATTGATAGATACGAATAATTGGCAGACATATACCAATATGAGCTCATCTAGCGACAATACCACCTCACACAAGAAAGGAGACAACGATGAAAGCCGAAGAAACCGCCGTAACGCGTTGAAAGAGTTCTACAAGCTCAAGAAGGAAGCGGCCACCGAAGAACCGGAAATCACTGTGAAGTCCCAAGATGACATGGACAGTATTTTGAAGAACGCCAGTTTGAAAGACCTTATTGCCTTAGAAAACAAAGTACACTACCAGATCAACAGCAACAAGTCGCTTATCAAGAACATCATCTACAACAACTATTTCGAACTCATCAAGATCAATGGCTATTTAAACGATATGGTTATCAAAGACAGCACTCCTTCATTTCCCCAGAATGATGAACAGCCAGAAGACGAAGATGATGACGATTTGGTGGCCACCACCACCACCATCGCCACTGCCGCTGGCCAGAAGAAAGAATTGAAACAATTGGGGGCTCTTATAGATGACAATGAACTGGATAATATGACCTCAACAACCACCGGCGCCCAGAATAACTCCAATCACATCCTTGACGAGATCTTCACCCTCCAACGACAATTGGCAAAGATTGTGGATGACACCCGTCTGACCGCCGTCGATTATGTAATCTCTGGTGAAAGTGTTACGTAATACCCCGCACTGGTGATTACGTAACAGTAATGAAGGTGATTGATTGTGATGGGGTTTTCACCATTGCTCTACTTCACGTGCGATTGGGCAGTAGTGGGTGTTTGACACAACTGATATCATATATAAACTGGTGGTAATGTCACAAATTTGATCTGGTATTTTTATTATTTGTTAAGGTTGTTTTATATTTTATTCATTAATTTTCTTTTTTGTTGATTTTTATTCTTATTTTCCTGTCTTTCAATAATGGTTGCTTCTCACTTCGACACCCTTCAAGTGCACGCTGGTCAAGAACCTGAAGGCCCATCTAGAGCAAGAGCCGTCCCTATTTATGCCACTTCGTCTTATGTTTTTGAAAACTCCCAACATGGTGCTCAATTGTTCGGGCTTGAAAAAGAAGGGTTCATCTACTCTCGTATCATGAACCCAACCCAAGACGTTTTTGAAAAACGTATTGCCGCCCTTGAAGGTGGTGCTGCTGCCCTTGCCACTGCTTCGGGTCAAGCTGCCCAACTCATTGCCATCAATGGTTTGGCCCATACTGGGGATAACTTTATCACCACCACTTTTCTTTACGGGGGTACTCACAACCAATTCAAAGTGGCTTTCAAACGGTTTGGTATCGAAGCTCGTTTTGTCAATGGTGACAAGCCAGAAGATTTTGCCGCACAAATTGATGACAGGACTAAGGCGATTTATTTGGAATCGATCGGTAACCCAAAGTACAATATTCCTGACTTTGAGAAAATCGTTGCCGTTGCTCACGACCACGGAATTCCGGTGATTGTTGATAACACTTTTGGTGCTGGTGGGTTTCTCGTGAGACCATTCGACCACGGGGCCGACATTGTGGTGCACTCTGCCACCAAATGGATCAATGGTCATGGTACTGCGATTGCTGGGGTGGTTATTGATAGTGGTAAGTTTCCTTGGGCCAAATACCCAAAGAAGTTCCCGCAATTTTCTGAACCAAGTGAGGGGTACCATGGTTTGATTCTCAATGAAGCATTTGGCAATTTGGCATTTATCGGCCACGCTCGTACCGAATTATTGCGTGACTTGGGCCCTGCGTTATCTCCATTTTCTGCGTTCTTGTTGCTCAATGGGTTGGAAACCTTGTCACTTAGAGTAGAAAGATCCGCCAGTAACACTCTCAAATTGGCCCAACATCTTGAAAAATCCCCATATGTCAGTTGGGTGTCGTATCCTGGGTTAAAGTCTCACCCATACCACGACAATGCAAACAAGTACTTAAATGGTAATGGTTATGGTTGTGTGTTGTCTTTTGGGGTGAAACAGACCTCTGGTGATGCTACTGCCTCGACATTTGAAAAATCAGGGGTCAGAGTGGTTGACGGGTTGAAGGTTGCTTCGAATTTGGCGAACGTTGGTGACTCTAAGACTTTGGTGATTGCTCCGTATTACACCACCCATCAACAATTGAGCCACGAGGAAAAATTGGCCGCCGGGGTCACTGAAGATTTGATCAGAGTTAGTGTTGGTATTGAATTCATTGATGATATCATTGAGGATTTCGAACAATCTTTCAAGGCTGTTTATGGTAATTAGAGGAGTAATATAGAAAGGTGCTGTGTACTTTTTCAGTGTTAATTTTATTGTTGTCTTGATTTTCTTGATGTTGGCTTTGGCTTGTTACTATTTTTTTTTTTATGTTAATATGTTCTATGAATTTTACGTGATGGTTGATAATATTGAATCATTCATAATAGTTGTAGATTGCTTTTGGTGTTTCATTATAAATTTGCGATTTATGAACAACACATTGCAAAATCCTAATAATCTTGTTGGAATTTATCATTTTGACCTCAATTCAAGTAAAAGTAGTTGCAGAAATTCTAGGGGTATCGAGAAAGTTTTGTTAGTGGATTTCAAAACTACATGAGTTTTGCCACTTTTTTTTTTAAAAAAAAATTCCTAATGGCATTTTTCTTTTTAAATGTACAGAGGTTTTAGTTGAGGAATAACTGGAGAGTGGAGTTAACAGAAATGTGCGAAAATGAAAAGAAGACACCTACCTCTATACAACCCAGGTTGAATTCTTTAATATTTTTTTTTCCAACCCAAATATTTTCTCACAACATGAAAAAGGAAATTAAAAAAATAAATTATAAAACGCAGATTTTACATTACAAATAAAAGATAATATTTGAGCAAAAATAGAAGCTATTCACCAATACCTTGCACAATCCTTGGAGTCGTTCTTTTTCTTGCTGATTCTGGTGATAATCAAGCCGTGCAGTGCAAACTTCTTGTGCGGAATGAGTGCGTGCTGAAGGAAGGCTCTTGCTGCACAATGAATGCCCCACTGGAAGAATGCGGGCTGAGGGAGGTGTGAGTTATTCAGGGAATATAGTTTTAGTGTCCAATACTCTTTTATTTATGTTTCCCTCAAATCATCCCATCTTTCCTTATTGTGTTTCTCAATCTTTCTTCCTTTTTTTTTTTTTGACAGCTCTTCTCAATCATTCTTTCGCTGCGTCTCAACTTATTCCAGTTTATTCACAACAGGAACTCATCACTATCACGCATATTTGGTTACATATAGCACGACTCAGTCATTTTTAAAGATCAATCGATATTTGGTTTCACAAGGGGGAAGAAAAAAAAACCCACTCAATCGCCATGAAATCCTTAATATCATTACTCTTTCTAAGTCTTGTGACATCCATCATTTATGCCAGTCCGACGAAATTCGACTTGATTAATGGGAATTCTCTAGAGAAGGTATTGTTAAAACAGAAATCATCAGCACAACCGGTGCCATCACCACCGATTCCTCCAAAAGATGTCCATAGTGATTATGGACCACCGCCAAAATGGACACAATTGGAGAGAGCCGCCCCGTATTTAATGTTGGCAAGTGCTTGTCAAAGTGCAGCTTCTTCTCTTAATTTCTCTAAATCAAATTCTGGAAAAGGTAATACTTCTGGAAGAAAGAACGTATATCAGAGTTCTCTTAGTAATAATGGCTATAATTCCACCAACAATAGCACGAGACATCCTGGATTAAATAATTCTAGCGCAGCAACTAATGGGTCTGATAGTGGACATGGCATTACCAATCTCAGTTGTGGTTATGCTCCATATTCTGGTACTCTTGCGATCTGTTTACATCGAATGGCCAGCAGTTATGAGGAAATTGAAAAAGCCATGCCATCGGTTGCAAAATTCTGTCCAAACATGACCCTTGATCAACTATCCCAGATTTATGACAATGCCAGCAAATATGCCATTTATGAATTCCAAATACCAAATAATCAAAGTGTGGCATTACCGGTGATTATCAGCTCAGAAACTTATCAAATGAATTATAAGAAAGTTTCCGCGGTCCCCATAAATCTCGATCGATCTACCATATATGGGTTGGGGATTCTTTATTATTGGTTTGGGGTGATGATTCTTTCAACAATTATGAGATTCTTGTCTGCTACTGGGGTAATCAACTATTTCAGTGGACCGATATCTAAAAAACTCCAAAGCTCCTTGTTTCTCCCAGGTTTGTTTTTTGAGAACCATTTCCAGATCACCAAATTCTTTGGAATCATTCATGCATATGTCCCCACCAGAGCCGAAAGTGGGGTGATTGCTGGTTATATCATCTTGTACATTGTCTTCATGTCAATTCACTGGGGAGGGTCTACAGCTGTATTGACCAAGCTCATTGCGGACAGGACCGGGGTCATTGCCACGGCCCATTTGCCATTAATTTTCCTCTTTGCAGGAAGAAACAACATCTTGATGCTCCTCACTGGCTTCAATTATTCCACATTCATCCATTTCCATAAATGGACCGGGAGAATGATGTTCTTGAATGCTTTAATTCATGGGGTTTCTTATACCAAGATATACCTTGATCGGGGGACTTATTCTAGGACCATCAAACAAGAATACTTCATTTGGGGGATTGTCGCCACCACTAGTGCTGGAGTTATCATGTTCCAATCATACAATTGGTTCAGAAGGCACTTGTACGAATTTTTCTTGTATACACATATCATGCTCGCGGTGGTGTTCTTGGTTGGTGCTTTCCGTCACATTTACACTTTTGGATGGATGGAATTTGTGGTTACTGCAGTAGCTGTTTGGGCATTTGATAGAATCGTTAGAATTGTCAGGATACTAAATTTCGGAGTCAAAAGAGCCACCATTAAAGTGGTTTCCGAAGATACCTTCAGGCTCACTGTCAAGAGACCTGATGCCTCAAGATGGGCTGCTAGCCCTGGACAATATGCTTTTGTTTATTTTTTCACCCCAAAGACTTTTGGTCAATCCCATCCATTTACCGTCAACGATTCCACTATCAAAGATGGAGAAATTAATCTCTATATCAAATGCAAAAAGGGGGCCACCAAAGCCATCTATGATATGATTTCCCAAAAGCCTGAACAGATCGATGAATCTATTTTGGTGGGGATAGAAGGCCCATATGGTGCATCTGCTCCTAATTACCATTATGATAATATCACTTTGATTGCTGGTGGTAATGGTATTCCTGGGATCTTTGACCATGCGCTTAAGATCTCAAGAAGATATCCAAATGGTCAGAAGAACATTAGAATGGTGTGGGTTGCTAGGGATTTGGCATCCATTAGTTGGTTTCTTCCAGAACTATTGCTATTGAAGCAGGAACCATCGGTTCAAGTGTCGCTTTATCTAACGAGGGAAAACCCGCAGAAAGTTGTTGCTGGTCAACAATTAGCTCACGTTGGTGATTCTGACTCCGATGAGAAGAGTATTGATAAACCAGAAAAGTTACTGACGATTGTTATTGGTTCTGAGGAATGCTTTTTGGCGGCCCAATTGGTGGGGCTCGATGTGGTTTGTGGTAGACCAGATATTCAAAAATTGGTGTGCGATTGGCTCACTAACGATGCTGGGTCGATTTCTATCACTGCTTGTGCATCAAATGCATTGTGCGATTCCTTGAGAAAGAACATTGCGATGTACGTTGAAGATCATGATGGAAGAGTGGATTATCATGAAGAATTGCAAGTTTGGTGATCCTCTTATCCATTGGTATGGTATTTATTTATTTATTTTTCACTTTTTGTACTTTAACTTCTCAATTTCTTTTTAATTCGGCTGTTTATTTTCAGACTCATTTTTTTTTTCTTCACATTCAATTCCCTATTTCAATAGTGTTTTTTGGACTTGGATTTTAGGGCCACCTATTAGATTAAGTAAACACCTCAATCAAAAAAAAAACAAAAACAAATGAAATCATTTGGAGCAAGTTTGCATAAATTAGATTTCAATATCTAAAGATATCTAACAATTAAATCTGTTAGCCAAATTTCGGCATCGGTAATAAATTCTCGACAAATAAACAGAAAATTTTATTAATGATATGACTTATATTTGTAAAAGAAATGACCCACCAATATATTCCCACCCCTAAGAGATCTTTGAGAATGTTATTATTTCCCAACAAAGAGCTTTCATAGACACTTCTTCAATGGTAATTCTAGAAAAAAAAAGCTTTCGCTTTAAATTTTTGCAGTGTAAACACTGATTACAATGATCAGCTAATAAAAGTGGGCTAATTGTTCTATTATTGTAAGCGTTTGACAGTTTCCAAAAGGCAATTTATATTAACAAGACCACGATTTTTTTTTTTTTTTTTTTTGGTTATTTGAGGAGGAGCGGGCCATCAAAGAACCAAGTTCTTATTAATGAACTTAGATAATTTTTGCTATTTCTTGAAAATTATAAGTACCGCTGAGATTTACAGAGAATGTGGAAACCTCGGGAATCTCTACTAAATTATGCAAAACCACAGCTTATTGAAGTTAATGCTTTATATTGTGGGAAAGTGTTGCATGACAGAGTCGTTTCAACATGCATCAGCCATGAAAATCCGATGGAAGGAATAATATGGGAGACACCCACTTCATAGTTGCTGTAGCTGAAGAGGAACCAAACCAAAGTCCCTCCCCCTCATCCCAAAAAAAAAAAAAAAAAGAATAATTCAGGTTTTGTTGTTTGCTGATCCTAGAACTAAGCGAAGGGAATCATATTACTCACAGCAATCAGCTAGCGATCATATCATTTGAGTGTATAATATTGTTAAACAGACAGTAGGTAGCTGATTTCCAATTACTGAATTTTGAAATTCGCTCATGATAAATCATCACCTTTTTTTTTTGAAATCTATATAGCCACTTATTTATTCTCAGTCACCTGTTGTCGCGGAAGCGTTGTCTTGAGATGAGAATCTAGCTTATCAATCATGACGAGGTACGGACTATTATTTGATAGGGACTAATTACTACAGATTACTTCGATATGGACCAAATAAAGTGAACAAATCCCCTCTTTACAGTATAGTTATAGGCAATAATGATTATAAGATAATAAAAATAACAATAACACAGACTTACCAACAGATATGGATAGTTGAAAGATTAGAGATATAATCCCACGTGCAAGCAATATAAGGGTTTGGTAGATATACCCAATTTTTAAATTCGGCGTTACATCAATAGGTATATTCTCAAAGATCATCAAATCATGAAATCGAAGTAGTTATTAGATTTATATATATCACCCAGATGGCGCAGACAGATACTGGCGAGGCAGGTTAGAAATTTTGCAATCTATTTTATTGATCCTAGTTACTGATATTGGTGATTTTCTTTTTCTGCTAATCTATCACTTTCTTCCTACAACCCCAAAGACTTCTTCACATCATTCCTCACAATCTCCTCAAACTTTTTTCTATCATCTCTCCACAACTTGCAGGCATCAATGTTGGCTCCACTTTCGACGTTTGGTTCTGCTAACATGCTGACCACACTCAACAAGATCTTCTCAACGCTTTGTACCGGACTCCATCTTTCTTCGGCCCGTTCGTATTGATTAGGATCTTCTCCTGGAGGGTGTAAGATCGATATGCACACATTACCATCGGCATAGATATTAGGGTGCAAAATTGGAGGATCAAACTTCAACAGTGGTGGAGACAATGGATAATCTTTTGGGAAAGTGAGCACTGCGGAAAATACCCCATTCTCGTATGATGTTCCTGGAGGACCTTCAAGTAGACAATCCCATACAAAAAGGTTGTCTTCGTTGGCAGGCCCAGCAATGATACCTTCTGGTGGGTCTCTCGAGAGCTCTTGGTATTCTTTGAGAAGTCTTCTTTGGGCAGTGCTTCTGGCAGGCATTATTATTTGTGTTTCGATGGATATGGAGGGCCTGCTGTTATCCATGATTGTTGGAGAGCCATCGATTTTTTGGGCGGTGACGAAATCTGAAGTTCTGCTATCCGCACGCTGATTATACACACACTCTCTCTACATATATAAATATATTGCTACATAATCAGATAACATCTAACCCTTTTTATTTATTTATTCATTTATATATCGTAATCATAAAGAAGTTATAAAACTAATAGTCTAACTGTTCAACGGTATTTTCACCTACTGTCATACTCTCTGGATCATCGGTATTGGGGTCATCATCGTCTCGGCTGACCGAAACGTAAATCGTTTTAGATTTTTTGCTGACAGTTTCCATAAGAGATTTATTGGCTTGTCTGATTTCCTCAAGTTGTTGTCGCAATCTATCATTCTTGGAGAGTTTGTTTTTGAATTGCATGATTTCCTCTTCGGAGATCTCCGGAACCTCCATTGCCAACCACGTCCGTTTCTGACGATTCAATCTTGAGTTTTTCCAAACTCCAAGACTATGATACTCAGCAGAGATATCACCCTGGCTCAGTTTCTGTTTCAAGGATTCATTGGTTTCCAAATTCAGTGAGGCGGTGGATAATTGTGGTCTTGAAGAAAATATTTTTGTCAAGTTTCGGTTACCAAACTTGATACCAAACAGATTTTCAAAAGTATTGCTTTTTGATAGTGATAATTTAACGTCTTCTATCAGTTTTTTGAATACTTCAAAGTCTGGGGTGATATTAAAAATTGAAAACTGATGCAATTTCCAAAAGAACCAATGGGCATCATTCTGGGTTGAGCAGGTGCCAACGGTGAAGCCTAATGATTCGCAATGATCGTTGAAAAATTCCTTGATGGCTTTTCTAATCCCCAAGTAATAATCGTAATCTCTTCCCAGAGCTGGGAGAGTGGAATAGATTCCTTTGAATTTGGTCCATTCTACTGGAGCAATCAAAGGAATTCGGGAATTTTCTTCACTTTGCTTCTGTAATTGTTTGATATATTCATTATAACCATTCGTGAGTTTTGTCACCTCGTCAAACCGTTCTTTTTTATACCGTTCGGCCAAGTTGGTCATATATTCGGTGATGATGAGAATCTGGACAAGGGTTTCCAAACGGAACCGCACATCATCAAATTTTTGTTTTCTAAATGTAGCAAACGAGTATAGTGGACCAACGGAATTGAAACGAAGCGGCGAATCGCTGTAATAATCCATTTTTTCTTTGTGGAGTTCTTGGTGGTAAAAATCGTCAACGAATTTAGCATCGCCATTTTCCACAAAGTTTTTCAATTCATCGGCAGAACCTTGCTTATAACTATCTCTGAACCCTGAGTCTCTATCAAATGAGTCGATTATCTCCAGGACAATCGCTCGTTGGTCCTTTAACAAGTAAGCATTCTTCTCACTGTCAATAGGGTCACTTAGCCAATTCTTTAGCTGCCAGAACCTAAAGAAATGGACATCTCCAAATTTTCTTTGTGATTTCAAATCACGAATGAAATCGCGGTTGAATTTGAACTTGTGATCCGAAAACAAGTCATCATTGATGGCAAAAGTACTGAAAATATAAAGATAAACCCTTCCTAAAAATAAACTATCATCTTCAAAAACACTGTCTTTAGGATTCTCCATCCTTTGGATCAACTTCTTTAGCGTTGCAGATAACTCGGCCCCTGGTCTTCTTAAACCAACAATGTACCGATTTCTAACGGTATTGACCAAAGAACGTGTCCCACTTTTTTTCATGTATTCCCCATTGTTGAACGAAAGAAACTTGATCAAATTGGCGTGTCTAGTCTCCAAGACACACCAGAACTTTTTGATAAACCGAATGGTATTTAGCTCGATAACGTTGGAAACCAATATGAATCCCAAATCATTCTGGGCATCATGGTTGTCATTATTCACCAAGTAGTTTGCAAAATCAATGATTACACTGTAAAAATTGAGTTTCAAATTGTCGATTTTTCGCTGCTGACGATCATTATCATCATCCAGGGATTCTTTTTGTTGGTTCGTGGCAGCAGCAGCATTTTCAAACCTCTGTAATGCAGCCGTAAACGCCATTTCAATGTACAATCTTTGGTTGTCGTCTTTTGGCACCACACCGATGAACGCTTCGTAATATGGCTTTAGGAACTCGTCGGCAATGACATTGTCATTCAACGGAAGTTCCACCAGCGACTCAACGATGGTCAATTCTGCCTTATTGACATCTGAGACGTCGTGATATTCTGGAACAGCACTGTAAACGATCCCCCACAACGCCTTCCAGAGTGACTCGGAACAGGTTTTTGTGAGCTGGCCATAGTCGTTCAAAGAGTTCTCCATGGCTATTTGCTTGTTGGTGTTGTTATTGTTATTGTTATTGATCACCCACTACCACTAGGATCAGCAGCAGCAGAAGAAGAAAGAAAAATGCTGCTGCTGCTGGTGTTTGGGTGGTAGTCGTCCCACGGTGCTGGAACATCATCACCAGTACTTTTTGGTTCTCATCGGTCGATCACCAACATCAACAAACAACATCGAAAAACCAGCTATATATAAAGAAATGAGGTTTTGTCACTGGTGGGTGCTTCTCCAGGGAACACTTATAGCTGCCTCAGGGGTATCGGTGCATCTCTTGTTGATGTCGAGAATCCACTCGCAGCTTCCCGAAGATGTCAAGCCGTTCTACAGTTACTTGCAAGCCGGGGCATTCTTTCCTGATAGTTACTACAATTGTTTTGGAGATAAGCTCGACGAGGCAGCAGAAGATGCCCATTGGCCTCCTTTCTTGTTGAGTGCTGCAAAATATCACCACCACCAGCAAGGTAAACCCAAAGTTGACTGGAAAGCTGCCAAAATGGTGCACTTGTCCATGGCCAATTCCCACCACGACGACGACGACAACCGCAAAAAATTCAGAGCATTTCTTTATGGGATATTCAGCCACCAGATTGCCGATGCCACCTGGCACTCAATCAGAATGAATCATGGGCTACTACTGCATTTGGCGGCGTTGGAATTCGATGGCGATGTCGAAGCGGCCCATAGTTTTTTAGACACTGGGGGAGACCTACTAGTACTAAGGAAACTTTCAGCCAACACTGATATATTTTCCAAAGAGCAATCGATTCAAGATTATTTCATGGTACCTTGGAAAGCCCCGATTAAAGAAATGGTGGAGATTTACCATCGGTTGGGTCATTACGATGTCTCAGACTACAACATGAAGTTCTGTCTCAATAGGGGCTTTACCGGACTCTCGCTAGAGATGAAGGGCTATAAACTTAGCTCGCACGCTTATATTGAGCAATCTCCGCATTTATACGATATTCTCGATGACTATTATCTTGGAGGTTTAGAGGAGATAGAGACATCTATTCTTCGATGCATGCCCAATCTCGATGAATGGCTAGACGATGCGAACTCCGAATTGAATAATATGGATCCTTGGGAATTGTGTAGGGCAAAATTGGTGGAACCGCGAACTGCGGCAACATTACAGGATAATCACCAAGTAATTCAGAAGTCGTTGAACGATGATGGGTATTTTGTATCGCCAATGGTCCCGAATGGCAGGTTTGGAAAAGACATTGAGTTGGGGAACTTTCTAGGGGAACAGGTAGGGTTATGTGCTGCAGTGGGGTCGATATACGAAGATCTCGATGGAACAATCTACATTATTCCATTAATGGGATTGCGCGCATTAGAAAATGTCAAAATGACAAAAGTCAACCAATCCATTAAAAAGGTATCCGGCAGTCCAGAAAAATATGGGTATAAAATCAAGAATTTTGTTGTTGAGACGGTTACTGGCGATAATATTGTGATCAGGCATGAGTTGTTAGTAGTGGTTTCTCCTGGTTCAGGAACCGTTGATATTATCAAAGGTTCCAATACTCTCCTTAGATTTAACTTTGGTGGGGAATTTGAACAAATGGGCACGGATTTCGAACTTGCTGATATGAATGGTGATGGGATTGAAGATTTTGTGTTCAGTTCGCCCTTTTCCGGGAAGAATCAAAGAGGATCGGTGGTGGTTTTGGATGGTAAGAAAATTCTTATCAAAGTATTGACAGAAAGCCCTCAATATTTCCAACAAGACTTTGTGAACGTATTTGTGTCGCAAGATTATCCAACTAACAGAATAAACGCTGAGATTGTGGATGTCAGTTACAAGGAGTTCGATCCGATAATCCTCACCATCCCTGACGCTTTAAGATTACTGACCGGGTATGAAAATTTTGGCTCAACGATTTCAGTCAGTGGGGAATACCTTTATGTTGGAGTTACCAGTATCAGCAGAGTACTAGTTTACGATAAGTTAGCGATCACCACATCATCTTCCAAATCGCTACCCAAATTTATTATCCCACATTATGGAGGAGCTCCGTATGAATTTGATGGTAAAGCGATTCCCCGAATCACCTCGCGGTTTTCCGGTCAGTTTGGCTCGAAATTCATGGCGTCTGGAACCTATGATGGAGTAGAATGGATTCTCATTGGTGCCCATAGTGAATCTTACTCTAATTGCAAGAGATGCGGCGGCTTGTATTTGTACACCATTGTTGGAAATCATTGCAAACTTGTCACAAAGGTGATTATGAAGGTTGATAGTTTCCCAGAATACGATTTAAGTTTTTCAAAGTTTGGGATCTCGGGACACCTTGATGCAAACGGTACCACGGTGTACATATCTAGTCCATATTTGAACAACACTGGTGCGATTTGGAAGTTCGATGTTTCCACATTATTGGAAATTTCTACTGCTACTGCTACAGCCACGCCGGACGTGGTGGAATTGGAAGATATTGTGGCCATTGGGGTTTCCGGGAATGGGTATACTGGTTTTGGTAATGCCTTAAAAACTTACTGTGATGTTTATGGCGAGACCCGGTTGATTGTAGGGCTTCCAGATTATGGATATCGAGAGTTGGCCAATGATGCGTGGAAGTTGGTTGGAAGAGTTGGGATTTACACGTTGTAGATTGGGTGATTTTTTATAAATATATATATATATATATATTCGTTGGATGAATGATGTTTTGTTTTGTTTTTTTTTTTTTATTTTTACGCTTATCGTTTTATTTTTTAACTTTTTTGTTCCAAAAATACAGCTTTTATGTTATCTGTTGCTAGTTCTTTTTTTTTTTTGTTGTTGTTGTTTCAACACCTCATTTTTTTGGCAGAACATCTTCTGGAAATGATAAGACAAATCCCGCTTTTTGAAACGCTTACTGTAAAAATGGAATATTAACGCTTGAAAGATATACTAACGTATTTCTCTTGTTGAAGATATTATATATAGTTTCCCTGCTGATCCAAATGATTTTTTTTTTTTTTTTTTCAGCAGGTAAGTTAAGTTTCTCTCTCAGGGAGGTATGCTACTATTGGAGAGGTTGGAGTACATCAAAGCTTTTCATTTGCTTGTCCACATATATATAGTATATATTATTGATAATCACTATCATCTTACTTAGACTCTCCTTAATTTTCATTAGAAGTTCAATATTTACAATGGATTATGTGATCAGGAATGAGCCGTTTTCGTGCGACGCCAATATGTTTTAAATGCCAAATATCTTACACTTCTTTCAATTTTTTGTAACAAGATTTCATTACTTTTAATTTTGATGGTGTGGGAACATCGACCTTAACTGAAGAAGTGAAAAAATATGAATTGTAAAAACAATTTTCATGATAGTTAAGTAACCAAGATTAACAAGCGTTTTAGATAGTGCGGACAACTCCTGCAACGCTTTTCAATGTAGAGGATTAAATAGTTTTTTTTGTTTTTTTTTAATTCTTCAAGGCTTTTCAACTGATGTAAATTATCTATATCTTTCTAAATAATTTTCAACAAGATTCAAATATTTTAGCTTGGGCATACTTAGACCTTAGATTTTCAGGGTTTTGCAAAAGTTATGGCACTCAATATCGAGATAATAATCTAATTTAGGCAACGGAAATAACTCAAGATCGTAAGTCACGTTTACTAGTGGAACATGTAACTGTTTGGTATTATGTGTGTAATTTATCTCACTTTAATTAAGATGAGAGGGGCCGACAGATGGTAAATTATATTTTCCAAGATATCACGATTTTTGTAATTGCAGATCGATATTGTATCATCTTCAGAAGATGGAGGCAATATATTCTGATTCTGGTTAATAGGCGTGTATCATCACTGGTGGCTTCATTAAGTCCCCCATTAAATTCATCTGTAATTGCTAAAAAAATATCCCCTAAACATCGAGGATTCTCATTCCTATCTTGGCAATAAATGTCCACCGTTTCAAGTAGCACAAACAGAAAGCACTAGTAATTAATATTATAACCATTAAGCTACTGTTTAGTAAAGTGATGAGGAATGTTTTTTTTTTTTGATAGCAACCAGAACGTAGTTCTATTCTTATTCAAAGTTTCGCTGCAAAATGAGGCCCCTCAAAATTCGTGAGTTTGGTTGCATGCTCCATATATCTAGTTTGGCCAAGTGTCAGAATCATATGAGTAATAATGATTTTTACTTTCTATGGAAAACGTACAAGAGTTAAAAAAAAAAAGGGTATAAGAAAGTAGATGAAATTGGAGGTAGGTAGATGTTTGTTTAAGAATATTGCTGATATTATTTTGTGGCACAGAATACTTTTATCTATAATCTATATGTTGCCGGTTATCCTGTGTAGCGATTGAATGCTATCATATTCAATTGGATGGATACTCTTTATTATAATACTATTTACTTTCAGTGGATCGAATTATTTCTTATTATGTAGTTCTCTCTGGATGGTCCCCTCGGCTTACTGTGTTTGGTGGAACGTATTATCATGATATTATTATTTTATTACATTCTTACCATTGCAGGGGGTGGGTGCACATCACTTTATTAAACGTTACTATATGTACCATTCCTATAAAACTTCAACTGTAATCGCTAGAGAATAATAAACTTGAAAAGATAAAGAATAAATCAAAAAAAAAAATGCAATAAGAGAAGAATAAAGATAATGAATACTATTTTATTTGTTAGATGGTTAAAAAAAAAATGGGGGGCGGGGAGTTGGAGCACTCACCTAATTTACAACACCATACAACAGTGGTGTTTTAATATCCATAGATAAACTTAGTTGGTCTTTAAGTCAGAGCTTTGTAGAATCAAAAGCCCCACAGGTAGATATATTAAGACTAGTATTATAGACCACTCCGACAAAATTGTTAAATTTAAAAGAATTCTTATGGTTAAATTGGTCTGAATTAGTTAGAAGCGTATATATTATATCCTATAAAAAGAAGGAAGTTTTATTATTTCTCTTATATTGTACCATCGAAAGTTGATACGACAGAAAGTAGAAGTTCGCCGGAGTTATATGAATAAATATATATATACACACACATAATATTCTAGATATCGTGATATTTCCATGGCCGTTTACGTTTTATTTACTCATCAATAGCTTGTGATACTTTAAAATTTAGAAGCATCAATGACCAATCCTCACCATTTTTTTATTTTTAATTTAAAATGGCCAAAACTTTGCCATCAGAGGAGACATATACCATTCTTCTTTCTAAATATATTGTGATACATCAAGAAAACAAAATATTACATACTATAAATCGGGGTGTCTGGCATGAACTACTACTATTACTACTACTACAACAAAAAGGATATGATTTTCATGGATCACTGATAATTTACAAGAAACAAAATAAGGAGTACTGCTAATTATTGAGGAGTCAACTTTAAAGTGCTCCGAGGGGACAGTAGAGATCACCTACCTCTCCAGAATTTAGGCTCGTTTTTTTTTTTTTTTTGTTTCTATTTCTTGCTGAGATCCTCTAAAAAATTTACCATCTCTGCATTTTGATTTGCGAGTGATTCGACCCATTTTTCTGGATCCCCATCCTAATTTATATTTTAGACTGATATATAGTCCCATTAGCGAGGATCGAGTGGCCTGGAGGATTTCCAACCACAAGCAATGAATGGTGACTCTTTTTGACCCTTCAAACGAAAACTGTGGCTCAATCGATGATGATGAGACTTATTTATGCACACACCCGTTAGCATGGATGGGGCCGGCTAAAATCAACGCCAAAAAAAAAAGGCCAAGATGGAAAGTGATAATAGTGGAAGATAGAGAGAGAGAGAGAGAGAGACTACAGGCATTTAGCCAATACAACTATCGATTGCATAAGTCTCCGAATCAACGGGGAGCTTTCTTCGGGACCCCCCCACCCCCACTTCCCTCCAATGGAACAATCTATGCTGGATTTGATGTTTGTTGTATCTTTTGTTCTACCAATTCATAAGGAGATATATAGTTTAATAGGTAAATTTGATGGGTAAGTGAATAAGAAAGATGTATGACAACGTTACTCCCCAACAAACAACAACCGGACCGCTACAAATCGTCGCAACTATTTGCGACTATTGTTATCTTTATCTTTTTTTTTTTTTTTTTTTTGACTTTCCATGGCAGAACAATGCATTGTTTTTTTTTTTTTTTTTGACTTTCTCTTTTTCTTTGGCTTTTTTTTTTGCAATAAATGTTAATGTCCACCCTTCTTCTGTTTGAAGAAAGTACCGAGAAACGTTTCCGCCCCCTCCCGAGTAAAGCCGGACCCAAAGCGTTCGTTCCCAAGTAGTCGGCCACTAGACCTCCAGAGAAATGAAATGAATCACAAGACAACTACCGTTGTTGCCAATGGCCATAAATTAGAAGAAAGACGTTGGCATTTCGACGTTTGAGGTTTGTTAGGACCTAATCAACAGCAGAACCACAGTTTTGGGGAGATAAAAAAAAAAAAAAGCTGCCAAGTCGTTTCTTTTGCCTTTTCTTTACGACAAGGTTTGCTATTTCTACGAGGAGGCTGCATGAAACGTGCACCGAAAGAAGAAATGAATCAATGAATCAATAAATGAATCAATGAATCAATGAATAAAATATTTGAAATATCTGGTGATAATAATAATAATAATAATAATAATAATAATAATACTAATAACAATAATAATAATAATAATGATGATAATAATAATAATAATAATAATAATAATAATAATAATAACAACATTTCATACACATTCACACCCCCACCACAGATAGACAATGCTAAATGAATTATTATCGTTATCTCTCCCAACCGTCCATCATCACACCCACCGGCTAAATAAATATCGCCCATTGCCGTTTAGGGGACGGTTGACTACTTCGGTGCACCGCATCGCACCGCACCGATCGTCGTGTAGCAAAATAGAGTTTGCACCAGAAACATCCATCCATCCAACACAACAAAAAAAGTGACACGATTTTTACTTGATAGATGGTATTTTGTTTTAGTTTGTTTGTGACTCGGTACAACGATAATAACATTTCTTCTCAAGTTATTTTTCTTATCATTTTCTTTGCTATTATCCGGTAGACTATTATTCATTTTTATTGTATCGCGTAACATATATGGGTCAGAAAAAAAAAAAAAACACCGCCAACAAAGTAAGTAAGTTAAGTCCCTGCAATCTCATGATTATATTTTGATAGCACTCAATTTTCATTTTTTCTTTTTTCTTTTAAGCTTGTAAGTGTCAAAGATAGGTCGAGTTATTAGTTACCACCGGCTGCTGCTTAGCTTCAATGATCTCTCTGTGTCTTTTTTTTTTGTACGTAAATCAATACCGTCGATCGCATCAGTCGATATCAATTTAACGGGGACCATTAAAAAATAAAAATTAAAAAGACTGATCCCTCAGTTCTGATTGGCCAGTGCTTTTGTCTCAAGATCAAACTTTCCGCCGTCGTCATCGATAAAAATAGGGGATAATAACATAACAATTGTTGATGATTTGCGGTGTAATTACTTGGATGCGTTCTTGGCAGTGGTTTCACACTTATCATTTCATATATCATTTCTACTTGCGGGTTGTTATTGTTTAACGATTACCGATGCGGTCCACATTATTTCATTTCATTTCATTTTATTTTATCTTATTTCATTTTGTTTCATTTAGATAAAAGGTATTGCGATTTAGTCGCCATAGTATATATATATATATATGGATTAATTATCTAGCCCCACTAACTAAAGCCATCCACAAGACTCCCCTTTGACTGACTGACATAGAAGACAGGTAGGTCGGTCATATAGACAGACCACAGAATTTCCTGGCAAAAAGTGTGGCTTTAAAAAAAAAAAAAAAAGCTTCTTTTTCTTGTTTGTTGGAACCTCATTCATTGGGAAAAGCCTTTATTTAGGCCATGAATTAGTCACAGTAGTCTACTTCCAGTGCTAAATGCAGCCAAAGACTTTCCAATGACATTTTCCAACATAAAACATTTTTTTTTTTTCCAACATAAGACATTGTCGAAGATAAAAGAAAGGAAAGGAAAGCAAAAGAAAAGGAAAGCAAAAGAAAAGGAAAGCAAAAGAAAAGGTGTTTGAGGGTACATTAATGATAGTAAAATAATCACCAGATATATTGCCTAAACAACAAGTAACTGCTATCACATGGCGATCCCATCATCAATGATCGAATAATGGCATTTCTGTTCTCCACCGACGGTGCCCACCGGCAACCGAGATCCGCCTCCCGTAAAATGCTTCCAAATTAAAAGCTGCTCATAAGTTTTGCAAATAATTCCCAAAAACTGTTTATGTTCCTAAAGTTTATAATGAGTACCATAGAATTTCAACCTTCGGCAGCAAAATGCACACTATCATACCAATCAAGCTATACATATGTTTGGTTGAAACCAGAAAAAAAACCGCGAGTATCCATTCTACTGTGTGTCGCTTAAAAAAAAAAAAAAAAAAAAAAGATTAATCTTTGATACCGTGCTAGTTTTGTGTCACATCGACTATTTCTTGCTTGTCACTGATCAGGATGATTTTTCATTGGCTGCGTCGTATTTCGCGTGGGTGTACCGTATATGTACTCGTCGTAAATATTTACCGTACAATGTTTGTTTGTAGTCGGGATTGTTGGGTTTTTAAGCGTTATTCTATGTTAGCCACAGATATGTCAACGATCACTTTCCCCACAAGAACTTTGGTGCCTTGGAGTCGTCATCATAATTAGAGAAAAAGCAGACACACACACAGACACTCAAAACAACAGCAACTGACAAAAAACCCTGTGATTGGAGGGACCTCCACTCAAAATAATTTCCCCAAATACTTTTTTGTTTCATCTTCGAAGACCCAATTTTTTTTGATTTGCTCGATCAGAAATTAAGCTTTTCTTCTTCACGTTGCTTTTTTGTGCTGCGCTGCTTTTTAATAGTTATTTTGCGAAGTGCAGTACAGTAACGTGCAGTGCTATACATGGAAGATGCATCGGTTTTCCGCCCAGAAGTAGTTACAAGAGAATACAAGAAGACGTGTGGGTTGGCAGGAACCCATATATATATATATATATAGATATAGATAAGAGGGGGAGGGGCAAAAAAAAACAACCCAACACATTGGGGAGAGACACCCTTCACAATAGAATAAGGAGCCAAGATACAAGAAACAGATATCGTTTCAGCTCGGATGAACAGCCATCCATACACAAGCACTGTGTATACACGCCGTTTAACATATATATATTAGATAATTTATTTTTTTTTTTCCTCGAGAAACAAACCATAAAAAAAAAAAAAATAATCCCACCACCATTCCCTGCCTTCTTATCAGCAAAAAACTTTATTTCCTGATTTCGCTTTTTTCTTTGGTTTGCGTTGCGTTGCTGAAACATGTCACATCACGTGTTATTGATTAAATGTGGTTTTTTTTGCTTGGCCAGAATAATGTGATGTACGCCCAATTGCTTCTTTCATCCGTAGATGCACGTAATATGCATACTGCAGTGCATTGGTGTGAAGTACCAGTGAGCGTGCGTATACGGGCATTATGTCGGCGCATGTGTATGCGTGCACTGTAAAACACTCAAGCGAGTGACAACCCGTCCGGTGTCTCCTGCGGTTTTTTTTTTTTTTCTAATGCGGAGGTCAATTTGGGATCAAACAGCCAAAATTATATAAATTATCATCGTTGGAACCCTCTCGGAGTAATGAAGCTTGCTCGGCTTGGCTGATTGTGATTTGTATTCCTCTCTTACTCTCATACTGTTATATATATATATACACATATATATATATATTTCGTGCGTCTTCTATTTTTGCCATCCATCCATTCCACCCCATTCCCGTCACTAGGCTTATCTGATTTTTTTTTTTTTTGCCTCACACCCACGTTGCCGAACGAGAATTTAATTAAGGCCGTACTCATTAATAATAATAATAAAAAAAAAAAGAAAAAGACCCTTCTGCTTTCTTTATTAATACTCGATATCCCCAAATTTTCTCTTTTCATTTATCATCAGATCAGATCAATCCATTGATTCTTATCTATAATAATGACCGACGTCAATAGTTACCAACCTCCAAGGGATCCTTATGCCCCATACGCTTCATCTCTTGACAACTCCCAATATCAATCTTCTTATCAATCCTTTGATCAACCATCAGTATCAAATCCTGCCAATTCTTCTTCTACTCCTTCTTCTTCTTCTTCTTCTTCTTCATCCTCGTCATCGTCTTCACAACTACCATTGCCATCGCTATCTAAATCAACTCTTGGCAACACCCCAGCTACCGGCTTTCCTTCGATGAACCAATCCTCTTATCCTTATCCTTCATCTTATCCTGGTTCTGCCTCCTCTGGTGATGCTGCTGCTGCTGCCGCCGCCGCTGCTTCTGCTGCTGCCGCTGCTGCCGCTGCTGCCGCTGCCGAAGCACAATATTTCCAGCAATACTCTGCTCCTCCAATGTTACCTCCTCCAGTGACAATGGGCCATCAATACCAAGGGTTTTCTCCTTATGGATACCCTGGCCATCCTGATCCAAGATACTCTCTTCCTCCAGCCCATGACATGCTCATGCAATCAGGAATAGCTCCTCCTCCTCCTCCTCCTCCTCCTCCTCATAATCATCATCATCATGCTCCTCCACCACCAGGAATGTACGGGACCGCCGCCCAATTGGGTGCGATCCCAGTGGTATCGCCGCCAATGATTGGCGATTCGACCCCATTACTGCCAGGGGGAGGTGAAAAGAAGAAGAGACCAAGAAGAAAACACGACGAGATCGAACGTATCTATTTGTGTAATTGGAAAGGATGCTCCAAAGGTTACGGGACCCTCAACCACTTGAATGCCCATGTCAACACCCAGAATCACGGAGAAAAAAGAAGACCTGAAGAGTTCAAAGAAATCCGTGCCAAATTGAGGGAACGTAAAAAGAAGAACCAAGAGTACAACCGTTTGCAACGTCAAAAAAACCTTTCCAGCCCAACTTCTGGCATTAGTAATAATAATAACAATAATAACAATAACCCACCAGTGGCGTTACCATCGTTATACAATGATTTCCCTGAAGAATTCATCGAGTTCCAATCGAACGTTAGAATGTACTCTCAAGGTCCTTCGTCATCGTCAACATCGTCGCTTCCTCCACCATCGGCGTCTAATAATAACTATTCTTCTTTCAGCTATTCTCAAACTCCTGCCACTACCATCGCTTCGACCACGGGGTACGATGATTGGAAATCAGGAGCGTCTTCAGAACCTCTGGGATCACTTAGCCCAACCCATCATTCTGATTCAGAGCACGGTAGTCCACACTCGACTCCAACCCAACATGCCTCGGTGCCAAGTATTTACGCTTATGGTGCCCCTGCTTCTACTTCTTCTTCTTCTTCTACTGGTCCACTTTCCGGATCGAATTACTTGAGTTATGGCAACTATTCTGGTTCACTTTCAGAGCCAGATGGGGCATCTAGTGTCGGTGCTTCTCCAACATATCACCATCGTTGATATATTTTTTACATTTACATTCTTGCTGAAGATGTTTTCTTCTGGATTTTCTCTTTCTCTTTCTTTTTCTTTTTCTTTTTCTTTTTCTTTTTCTTTAATTTACTAAATGGGGTTCGTTCTTTCTTGGTTATTGTTTCGGTTGGGGTTGCTTATCTTTTCTCTATTGTACCTGTCTACTTATATGCTTTTCGGAAGCTTTTTTTTTTGGGGGAGATGAATATTATTTCCTAAAAAAAACTTCTGTTTGAACTTTTCCTGATTGTATTTATTCGTCATTATTTTTATTTCATTGTGTTTTGTCTTTTCTTTCTTTTGCATTGTTTCATCAATTATTATTCTAAGGTTTGTGCTTCAGTTGTTGGGGTTCTTATTTTTGATTTTTGGTTTCTTGTTTAATAATCTATAAAGTAATATTTCATTTTGATTCAAAATTTTTGATTGTAGAGTTGGTAAGGATTGTAGGATGAACTAATTGATACTAATATCGAAAGTAATACTGTACTGGCTCTACCAATCGACTGTATTGTATTTATTATCTTATATATCTTGATCTTACCATATATGTGATAATTTCTGGCTTAATCTTCTTGATTGGAGAATGCCGGGAAATTGTACTTAATAATAGTAATGTAATTTTTCTCAGCAATGGTTTCTCAATAACTGTCAGTATGGTTTCCGAGAGAGAAATTACAGTCCAAGAAAGCACCGCTTCCTTCAGCAATCATGAAGCATTGGGATAAATGAAGCATTCTCCCGTGTAGCACAAAAGGGGGGGTCCCGTTTAAAAGATTATATTATTATAATTTTAGACGTGCCCATTTATCTCCGGCTCTTTTTTATTTATCCATTGTCACCAACCACTATGGAGAGAGAGAGAGGGGGGGCATATATTTATTCACGACATGAATGAATAATAATAATAATAGCTTCTCGTAATAATAGCTTCTCGTACCAATAATAATAACAATGTACAGTCATAATTTATCTGTACAATTTGATTTACCCCATAACAACAGTAACAGTCACATCTCATTGTCCATGCTGATCCTTGACAGTAGCAGTAAGACCGTTATCTATCGTAATGAAACAAAAATCATCATCGCAATAATCATCATCTTTGTAACGATCATCGTATCGGTGGTGCAAAAAAATTAGTGTATTTTTCTGACGTCAAGAATTACGAATAATAACAATAATACCGTTTTTTTTGTTTGTTTGTTTGATTTGCCTCAAGTTTCATGTTCAAATTTCCCGGCGATCGATACGCGCAAAACCCGATTGATTGATGGATGGACTGGTTAGTTGATTGATTGATTGATTGATTGATTGTGTATCGAATTAAACAAATCAAAACAAGAGAATAAAAAAAAAAGAAAAAAAAAATGGGATCATTTTGACCATATATAGAAATAAATGATAAAAGGATTTTTTAAGTCTACGTGTTTTTCTTTTTCTCTCCATCAATCAATTGTCGTACGTACTATTTATTTATTCACTGTGCCACTATACGCTGGACAAATATTTGTTTCTTTTTATATGGGAAATCATCGGATCGTGAAGATTTTCTTGTATAATCTTCGTCTTTTTTTTTTTTCCTTTCTTTTCTTTGTTTTTTCTTGTATAATCTTGGTCTTTTTTTTTTTTTTTTTTGTATAATCTTAGCCTTCTTCATAGAAAATCATCTACTTTCAAATGCCAATAATCTTTGCATTTCATTTTCCTACTTCATTTCAATTAGAATGAATATATCTAGTTTCCACACAATTGGGGGGTAAGTAACTCTACTATAGTATAGTATAGTATAGTATGGCAGCAGCAGCAGTGATACGGCCGAATAAAGATAGGTAGATGACAATAATCAATAAATGTAGTTTGACGGTCCCGTGAATATGACCCCACTACTAAGGAACTTGAAACGTGAGCCGGCAAAAGAAAAACAAAAAAGATCAACCAAAACAAAATGGTGATGGTAAAATAACTAAATTAAATGGCATCCACACCACACCGGCGAGAACAACACAAAAAAGTTACGTGCAGAGGGCCACCAAGCGCAGATCCTCGCAAACAATAGGGGGCATAGAACAAAGACAACCACAACAAGTGAGTGGCTCGTAATAAATGAATTTGCCCAACAATAGTGAATTAATTAACTGAACACCACAATCTTCGTCGTAATAAGAACAACAACGCCAGATGCTTCAAACGTGCAAACTTTATTTTCAGGTCCGATTGATTCTGACTCGGACCGCAAATTGCAGTTTATTTTTTTTGACTCGGAATGAGCTTTTGATAACCATCACAGTACTGCGTAATTAAACATTTATATTTATTGCAAAGAAGCATGCTATTGTTACCACTACTACTACTACATTCACTGGAAAGTATATTTTATTTCCACTAAAGTACATTAATACTAAAGTATATTTACCCACTAAATAAATATACTTTCAATCTTATAAATTTCCATCTCGGCTTTATTTCAACCTCTAGTAAAAATTCTAACAAGTTCTAACAAATTCAAAATCTTCAAAAGCCACAAAAAATCATTATAAATAAATAAATAAATAAATAAATAAATAAATAAATAAATAAATAAATAAATAAATAAATAAATAAATAAATAAATAAATAAATAAATAAATAAATAAATAAATAAATAAATAAATAAATAAATAAATAAATAAATAAATAAATAAATAAATAAATAAATAAATAAATAAATAAATAAATAAATGAATCACTAAACAATAGTAATAATAATAATAATAATACATTCTAATCAAAGAAAAAAAAAAAACATCAGCAAAGCTCTGCTCTCCATCCCCCTTTCAAAAAACATACTCATCCTTCTCAATTTTATACTTCAATATATGGAAAATGAATCTCTTCCCATGGAACTCATTGTAGGTTTTACTGATATCACTGAACTTCTCATTATTGGCGATATCAAAATTCAAACTATCCCAATCAAGCCCATAACTTTTCAAATACTTGAGGTGCAATGGCATCCCATCGGCGGTATCAATCCTCGCCACCAATAACGGATCCTCCCCACTGCTTGGCCGATGGGTTTTGGTATCGCTCACCACAATCCATCTCCGTTGTAAGTTCTGGATCATCTCCACCACATCCTCCGATCGCTGCGGTCCCTGACAAAGCCCCAATAACGTATCCCCAATGATCGGGAACACAATCTTCGTGACAAACGCACTCCGCTCAAATAAATACTCCATCAACTCTAAGAATCGGGTCTTCACTTTCATCGCCAACTTCGCTTTCGTGAATAGTTTCGAGATCGTGATCAACACCACAATCAGGCATCGCGATTCCGAACATAAAAACTTGAGAAGCATCAACGGCACCCGATTGTGCATACGGATTTCCACGTAATTCTCCCCCGGTTCAAACCCTGCCCTCACCATGATCGCGTCAAATTCCTCGAATGAGAGCGCCCCAATGTAAAATGGTACCATCGGGGCGATAGAGTCCAAATCTAGCCCATACCCACGAATGCTACGACTCTTCCTCACCGATAAAAGCTTCATCACCGCAATGTCGATAGCGTACTTGAAGAAATACGTCACTTGCTTCGATAACAACAATTTGCAATTCAACACCACCACTGACACGTTATTATCGATCCCCAACTTGAGATATGCCGGCGATAAATATTTCACCGCCATCAGCCGGAATTCCGTCCGAGTCGAGTTGACGATATCCCAAATACTCGAGCATGAAAAAACCGTGTTTTTCGACTGGATCGTCCAAGAAATCTTTGCAAAAATGAAAAACCCAGTCTCCAGAATTAACAAATCCCCTGTAAATGACAACACCACCGCAATCCACACAATAAGCTCCAAATAAATACTGTCCTTTTGCAACCCCGTTACCAAATCTCCCAAATTCATGAAAAACACCATGAGCTTCGCCATGTCAAACGAGTCTTCCTTATCCGCCAATAATTCCATAAACGACACCATTTCCGATAAATAAATCTTCAAGAAATGATCGCTGATCCCCAAGGACCCTAACTGGCCTAATAATCTTAGCCCCTTCACTTGATAGACCGAGTCTTTATTGAACGCCAACGAGTACGACAATGACGTCAATGCCGATACCCAGGCGTCGCTTTGCACTCGGTGCAGGTATTCTGGCAAGCAAAGAATCTCAATCACCGCAGAATTGATAGTTCTCGAAGTAACAAAGTCCCCGTGGAATTCTTGGATGGTTTGTTTACCGAGCCCGGTGTTGGTCAACTCATCACTAAGGTTCAACCCGAAAATGTATTCGGCTTGCGACCCCCGAAGATCAAGGATTATCTTATCGATCACTTCGATAGAAGGTTTTTCAAAAAAATCCCCGTTGGTTCTAAGCGAGTTCAAGCAATTGATAAACAACGTCATAATCAGAGTCTTCACCTTGATGGTCCCGGTTCGATGATAAATCGAACAAATGTACATCACTTTCGGCAAGAATTGCTCGACAAAATATAAATTGTCAAATAATAAACTCAAACACGCCTCTAACAAAAACTCAATCTTGATCCAGTAAAATTCCATCCTTGAATGTTGATCACACATCGTCTTTGACAATTTGGTGCCTTCAAGCAATTGGTTGATGATAACAGCACAAACTTTTATAGAAGAGTTGACCGTGAGCAAACTCATCAATTTGTCACAGTCTGCTCCCGCAAAAATCAATTTCCGATTCAAAATTTCTCCAATCACGTCATCGACAATCATTTCCACCAATTGCTCATCACAAATCAAGTGCGACCAAATCTCCATATTGAAGGTCATGAAAACTCCTTGCGATTTAGGGAAATTCCTGATAATCGATAAAATAAAAGTATGAATGAGTTCAGGATCATCACTCAATTCCCCACAAACAAAATCAATCCACGGAGTAATGGTCCAAAAAATATCATAAGTCCCCGAGCCCAATCCTTGCCAGCCATCCCCGGCATTCATTACAAACACAAACGCCGACACAATCTGCCTAACTAGCTCAGGATTATCTTTGGCAACTCTAACAAATAAGCATCGAACCATCGTCAGACTCTTAGGAGGGGAAAACGCCGGACCAATCTCAAAGAACAACCCCGGGTCAGAAATCTTGATATGTTTGGCCACCATACATAATAAATCGTAAGCGTGTTTTCGTACTTCCGGATCATTGTTCAACAAACCAGTACCAATAGAGATTAACACTTCCCCTAAAAACTCTTTCATATCCACCACTTTCGAAGACTTCATTAATTGTCGCTGATTGTTGTACATCGTGGTTTGTGCTCCATTCAAACTCAAATAGAATGTTCTGATGATCTCCAGTCTCTTCAAACTCGAGAATTTCATCACCCTATCAAACAACCTCGAATGAGTTTGGAACGTTCCAATCATCCCTGGATCATTATCGAGTTCACGTAGTTCGGTCCAATCATTCAATGGCTCGATGTTCACGGTTTTCAAATATTTGGTCATCGTGCCAATTTTGAATTTCTTGGAATTGGCAAAACTGTACATGATATGACTATTGGTGAATTTCAAATTCATTGGTTTGACCTTTTCATTTTCAAACAATAAAATATCATTGATGAAATTTTTCCCACCGTTCACCACACTGTACGTCTGTTCAGACAAGTCTAAAGAGTTGATAATGTCATAATCTTCAAATACCGTCAAGAACGAGAACTTATTGAACCGGGGGTTCATGAATCTATGGTTATCCCCGGTTTGCGATAAGTCATCGATCATCACCGCCAACTCCCCAGAAAACACATCACTAACATTGACAATGAAAACCCCTCCACATTTGTCGGCAAGCTCATTGGAGGTGATCGACACAAGGTGGGTCATCATTTTTTCAAAACATTCAATACATTCTGGTTCATTATACAACGTACAATCAACAATAAGATAAAATTGTGACGTTGACATCTGACAAAGAGCTTGCAAGAACCGTGCTGCTAAAATCTTCGAATCAATGTGTTCATAATTCACAAACTCTTTTAAATTGAAAACAAACACTTGGTTACCATCTTTGGAAATCCCTTCTTTTAAAAACGACGCATTAATGATCTTTTCATAGATCGGGTTCTTGAGCGCTTCGCTCACCAATTGATATATTTCTGGATGCTTGTCTTTGTTGATTGCAATATAGTTAGCAACATCTGGATAATACGTGAAAAATTGAAGTCTGGTATTGGTGAATGATTCATCAAATGTTTTAAAATATTGATATAATTCAGAAACACGCCCTTTGTGATTCATCAATCCACAATTGAGCATACTATGTCGCAACTCCCTGGAATGTTCCACCGAAAAAGTGCAAAACACCCGAATGTCTTGCATGCTAACCAGAGACACATCACGTCCGCCAATTTCGGCATCTAAAAATTGTTTTGAGGCGGCGTCGATAACGAATTGTGATGTCTTGGCAATCAATACCCCAATTTGCGATTCGTGTCCTTTAATTGATGAAAACGTTGTGGCATCCAAAGAGTTATTCACTGTACTTTGTAAAGACCTCGTCAATATTATAAAACTCTTTTTGCGAGCAACCGTGACGTCCTTTTCCTTTACCAACCCAAGTTGTTCTGGATGCGCCACCGCTGGACAAATAAATCTCAGGAATAGGAAAGATTTCACGACATTCAAAGCCAAAGCATCGTCATTTGTCGATTCAAATACAACGGCTCTAATAGAAAAACAAATCGATTTGATGATTGGCGGCAATTTGTCAATCGAACCGCAAATGGTCTCTGTCAACAATCGATAGTACTTGAAAAAATTTGTCGAATGGTCCACTACCAGCTCACTATCATCAAAATACTCTTCCTCTTCAATTAAACGCTTCAATACAACACCAACGGTACAACGCAAAAACTCAGTTCCATAATCTTTGGTCACTAGCAGTAACAACTTAGTGGTGAAATTGTTTTTCCTAAAAAGGTCGATTGGTAGAGTTAAAGATTGCAAGTCATATTGGATCAATTTTTGCAAACAACCCACCAATTCCCCCGTCGCCAGCAACAAATGGTACATAGAATTTGAAACCCTATCCAATTCTTTAGGATCAACCACTTCTGAAATACCACCAAGTACGTCTAACCGGGTGATAGAGGACCTCATGAATTCATAAACATTGCCCTTGAATGACCCAAGATTAACAAATTCATCCCGATCAAAGATATTTTTGAAAATTTGTAAAAACGTAGTCTGAAGTTCAGAATTACTGTCAGTCAATAATGATAAAACATAATTTGAGCCAACATCGTAGTTCAATCGAATCAAGTTACTCAAAATACCAATTATTCTTTCCAGGATCTTTTTGTTTTCCGCGTCGCTGTATTTGACTTTTAGAAAATCATTATCATTATTGTTGCGTGAATCAGTCACAGTATTTTTGCCACCGTAAGCAGTTACAGGCCTAGTGTTCGAACTACCTGACGCCTTCATACTATCAAAAGTCTTTTTTAGAATCCGCATCAAGCTACTGTAATAATTTCCAAACATCAAAGATCTCACCGTATCCACCTCTACGGCAAAATTGATGTTGCTCTTGATAATAAACAATTTCGTAGTTAAAAGTTGCAAGCACGACAATAACTCCAAAACAATTTCCTTGTAAACATTTGTCATTTTGCCAATATAACCATCAATCTTCAGCTGGGGCACTGAGTTCACTTCCGCACACGATCTGCGCAATTTAGTAAAAAAATTGAACTCATTTCTGAAAAATGAAAGCATCAACCAATTCCCAAATATTTTTGTTAAAGCATTTTTCCACAATACATAACTCACATCCATTCTCAAAGAGTTCTCTTGCTTGAGCGCTGATGCCACAAATTTAATCACCAGCAACTTCATTTTGGAAAAATTGAGCGACATTTCCATTAATTGGGTTTCATTTTGGAATTTTTGAATTTTGCCATTTGTAAGCAACAGGTACTGATTTTTGACTATATCCACTAGACAATCCAATATTTGAAATATTCTGGTACTCTGGCCAAAAAGCACTAGTTCTGGTAGCCTTTTCAGTAACCTATCCAATATTGTTGCATATGAAGTGATGGTGCCAGTTTCTGTTGTACTAAGCATTCTGTGGGCTGCAGGCGCTTGAAGCTTCTGTAACACTTCATCAATAAGAATGTACAAATAAAATACAATATTTGAATGAAGTGATTCACTCAACAACGCTTCTGCAATCTTTCTTTTTTCAAATTGCGGTGAGCTCAATGTCCTGAACATTTTTTCAACAAACTTGAAATATGTGTCGTTTTCTTGTAGTGAGTTCATTTGATCGGTTGGTTCGATGGAAATATCTAAACCAGCGACAATTGCCATAAATGTAGAATAATTCTCAAATTTTACCAACTTTTCTTTATCAGTAATGAATTCTTCGTTGAAATAGCCTTCAATTTTCTCTGATATCAATACTGCCACGTCATCCAATGCCTCAGTTTTGCGAGGAACATTATTCATAAATAACTTTTTCGCTTTATTGAACATGTACCTTTGACCTCTAATAATAACCGATTTATCTGTAGCAATAGCTTTCATAAACTCGGCATTCACTTTCATCAAAACATTTGACTTGATACTTGACTCTTGATTTAAAACAACTACCCATCCTTTCAATAAATCTTTGAAATGGGTATAACTTTCGGAGGTTGCTCCGCACAAATAAACATAACAGAACAGCTCTGCCACCTTGGTAGCTTCCCAATTTAATCGTGATCTCCTATGAGACAAGTCAGAGAAATATCTAGCTCTATCAATTTTTCCTGGATATAAACTTATAAACTTTACCATATATTCGAACACGAAGACAATCTGTCTGGTATTTTGATGAGTTCCTTCCAAAGCGTGTCTTAAAAGAAGATTCACGATTTTCGTGGTGAAATTTAGATTAGCAGAAAACATGTAGTATCTATACCCTGCCAAAAGAGTTTCATTGGATAACAAGTTCAACAAAAAATTGATTGATTTTTCTGAACACATAACATCGTGGTCAAAGAGACCTCCCATAATGGCATCACCAAAAAAAAATCCTCTATCTGAAATTTCGTCAGTGACCTCATCGAACAAATTTTCATCAGATAATAAAACCAGATCTTTTACAAATAACGGTTCAGATTTCAACAATTCAATGGGCGAAACGTTCAATATATCAACAGAAACTTGATACACTCTTCTTGACAAGAATCCAGGAAACGTTAAAAAGTTTTCATCTTCAATAGTGGCATCCTCGAAATTAGGATCAGTTAATTGATTACCTGTTTCATATTTTTTATTTCCTTTCAAATGTTTTTGAATACGATTACCTGAGTTATGTAACGAGAAACCAAAATGCATATTAGAAGTGGATTTATTTGGTGTTGTGGAGTTTGTAGTGTCCTTATTGCGACTATCTTGAGGACCAAGAATTTGATACTCTGATAAATGTGCCCGCTGGGTTGGATATTTCATGAAATGCCTCATATGTGATTTTTCTGTCAACTTCATGGTTTTAACAAGATCAGTTCTGGTAGTGATGAAATTCTGGAAATATTCAATGTTATAGAAATATTTTTCCATAAGAATCAACCCAAGTTTATTTGACTGTAACTTTTTAATGGCACAAGTGATAATATAGTACCCATATAAATCTACCTTTAAATAGTTCTTGATGTAGTAATCGAAAACAGGAAAAATCTCTTCTGGAGCTAACATGAAAATAAAAGTGATGAAATCAATCTTTGATGATTCCACTAAAGAGTTTTCTGTTGTGCTAGTGGAAACACTAAAGCAAACATCTTCGATAGCCTCAAATACCTTGAGCATGTATTTTCTTGTGAATAAAACAAGAGGGTGCTGAGGTTCCAACGGTTCGACATGAACCGCCACACCGAGAAGAATAGAATAACACTTGAGAATAAGGTGTTTGTCATCAATAGAAGTTACTTTCTCAAGGTCGGCTAATTTGGCTAAAACTGTAAACATTTTCGTTTCGGCAGAATCTAGTTGTTCAGGAAACTCGGACATATGAAGACTCTCCTTGTTGTTGGAAGCAAATTGCAAGAACTTGGCCATAACTTGCGGTTTAAAAGAAACGTAAAGCGTTAGAACCCCATAGCTTAGCATCGGTAACATGTGATGGATAGGCTTTTTTGGCAGATCTAATTTCTGTCTCAAGAACAAATGGTAAACAAGCTCAAAGACCTCTCTTGTAGTTTCATCATTAAAATCATAAGCTAAAAATTCTGTAGGAGATTCTCGCATCCATTTTGAGATCGGTGCGATCCCAAAGACAGTGGTAGCAAACTGACAGGAAGGACTTGCTTTAAATCTTCTGATAGTTCCCATGGCACTTTTAATTTGGATAGACATAACCCCAGTTCTTGCCGACAAAGCAGTAGCACATTCCAAGAATCCGTACTTTGATTTCGATTCTAACAATACTATACCAGCGTCCACGCTAGAGGCGCCGTCATCGGTCACATTACGACTGAAAGTAGTGACGAACACCTTGGTGACAATCTGACCGTAAGTGACACGATCTATCTCGTTTATGAATTTCAATGCCAGGAAAGCGTAATTGTCGCTAACGATTGTGCCATGCTGGTATATCATCGGACTTTCCTTAGGGACAATGTTGAGGTAAATCGACAAATATAAACGGGTGTCATGACAGGAATGACATTTCATGAGCTGCTCAACCAAACCGAGAGTGATTTCATACGGTAGGGTTCTTTTTGGAGTACCAACAGCCTCCATCAGATCAACAAAGCTGTTCATACAGTAAAGAATGAGAAAACTAGTCGACTCATTTCGGTCATATTGACGAAGTAGCCGGAGAAACTCGGTTAGAATATTCTGTATTTCCACTGTACCTAAACCAGCAATCATATTATTGATAGCCACCATCAGCTTGTCAGCTATGGCGTCATCAATGTTCATTTCTTCCAGCATGAATCTCTCCAATAACGCCTCGAGCCGGTTGAACGAGGCACTGACAAATTTCGACACACATGCCGGGGGCTCTGACATGGTCGAATAGCACTTTGAAATATAATTCTGTTAGTCACACCTTTGTTCTGCTTTTCAACTCTCGACCTGCTTTGTTTTTTTTGGTAGCCTTGCCGACCATTTGAATGTTTAATGTCAATTTCCGTGGTGTCAAAAAAAAAAAACAAGAAAAAAACGGCTTTGGCTTAAGTGCGCTTAGCATCAAAATAGCAGAGTTTATTGGTGTTAGAACTCGATATAATACAAAAAAGTGATAAATAACATTTAAGAAAGACAATAGTAGTACAAAAAAGACACAAATAACACAAAGATAAGCAAAAACACCCAAGTAAAGCAAAAAAAAGATCCAATAAAGTAAAAGTAACAAAGATAGATAACAAGAAGATAGAAGGAAGAAGCCATTTTCCCTGAATTACTCAAAACATATGTGCCCAAGTTCTTTCTTTCAATTTTAATGCGTGATACATCATCTTCGTAAAAGGAGATTTTTTGAATTCTTTATTTTTTTCCTCTCCAAAGCTAATGTTTTTATCCAACTCCAAATTCAAAACTTCAAGGGATAATCCAGCATCCAGTAAAGCCTTCTCGTGCAAATACTGGATATCTTGTCCTTGATATCGTTTTGCACTGAATATTTGTACAGCCACAGATTGGATTTCATTAATTGTTATCACAGTTTCCAAACTTGTTTCAGGCAGTTCACACAACTCAAGGCAACGATCTTTGATCAATGGAAATACCAATTCAATGATACTTCTGTCAATGGTGGCCATATGGTTCATCAACTTCAAATACCTTGATCTCCATCTTGGGTTCAATGACTTGAGACAAAATAATTTAGCAATGCAGACCAAAGTAACATTTGCAGCGTTTCTTTTAGTCAACAAACAATCAACTAAAACAACGGGAATCACCGCACCATCACCAAGATTTTTCAAAACAAGAGTCTTATTATCAAATCCCGCCTTGACCAACATCCCCCGTAATTCTTCCGATTCATCAACAGTAATATAGAATGGCACCATTGAACACAAGGAGTCCATTTCAAAAGGTTTCCCAGTGTTCATTGCAGCCTTCTTGGCACATAACACTCTCACAATTGCCATACTACTTCCAATTTTATAAATGGCACCTCTGCTGATGCCTAGAGATAAGGATCTCACGATCGAGTGGATATAGAATAGTTCAGATGACCACATAAGCAGATATTGTGCTTTAGTCATGAATTTTAGCATAATATCTTCTCCCCTAGTGGCATTTCTTGCTAAAACATCCCACATTCTTGCATTATCAAAGAATCCGCGGTTATTCATGGTCACAACTATATTACCCAAGAGCATGAAAGAAATTTCAAATAGCAAAACATTGTTGTAATAAGAGAGAGTAAGTGAAATCCAAAGAGTAATTGGAAAGAACAGCGAATCATCCTGTAATCCATTAAGGACTCTTCCCAACTCCGCAAGGAACACGGCACAAGTACCAAATGAGAAAGTATCAGTATCAATCAATTCCAAGTAGCTGCAAAGCTTGAGGAAATACCTTTTAACCAAAAGGTCTGGCGCCCCAAGACTATACAAATGCGACAATAATCTAATACCTTTTGCTTGAAAGACAGCATCATCCTGCTTCACAAGATCATGTGCCAAATATGACAATTGTGTCGACCAGATATCATTCAATTTGGATCCCCTATATTCTGGAAGCCTAAGAGGCAAAATTAATCTGCCAAGAATCACTCTGGAGGCAAAGTAATCGTTGTGGTATTCAGAGGGTTTTGCAAAGTCTAAATCAAACATGTTTGGAATATTAGTGGAGTTTATTCCAAAAGTGTTACTTTCTTGCTTGTTGCTCGATTCCACTTGTGACAATAATACTTTTTTGCTTTTCTCACTCAAAAATTTATTATTTGCTAAAGTATTCATGATATTGACACTGATTTGTTTAATGAGAACCTTAACGGAAGTTGGTCCCTCTCTATAAAAAACTGCAACAACATATAACAATTGCGGCAAGAATTTCTCAACAAAGTAAAGCTTATCAAAAAATATGGAAACACATATTTGTAACAAGAAATCAACCTTAAACCAATATAAGTCAATTCTCGCCTGTTGACCTCTAATACTTTTAGGGATTTTACTGCCTAGAATCAATTGGTTCAAGACAGCACTGCAAACCTTCATTGTTGGGTTGAAAGACATAAGAGCAACTAGATTATCGTATTTGATCCCCGAAAATTGCCGGTTCAATCCTTCATTAGTAATTTCACCAACAATCATTTCCACAAAGTCACTCTCATTTACTAATTTATTCCAAATACCATTATTCAATTCAGTCAAGTCGGCATTGTCTACTGGAACACTTTTAACAATAGCAGAGATAAGCCCACGAATCATTTCAGGACCATTAACCTCATAGTTCACAAAAACGTGAGTATATGCATATTTGATCCATGGCTCAAGAATTAGATATAAATTATTTGAGTTGACAGAATTATCGTTTGTGCTGAAAATGTAGACAAATGCAGAAATGATGTCTTTTGTTAACTCGGGATATTTATCAGCCAAGCTTCTAGAAATCGAAGACACCATCAACGGACTCTTCGGAGGTGCGAATGCTGGACCAATTTCATTAGCTGTAGAATTTTTATCATCGGATGCCAAAGAAGTTTCAAATTCATGCAGTAAATCGTAAGCATTTCGTCTAACCTGCTCGCTATCAGATAGTAATGCCAATCCAATCATTATAAACACTTCACCAAGCAATTCTCTGGTTGCCACCGTTTTCTCTGCTAAACTCCATTTTCTTTTCTGGTTGTAAAAATTAAGTTGGTAACTCCCCAAGTTCAAGTAAAAAATTCTAATAATTTCTGATTTTTTGAAACTTGCAAACCTCAACTCCCTATCCAACAACATTGAATGAACTTCAAATGATTCAGAGAGGCCATTTGTTTCATCAATTTCTTTCAAATCTTTCCAATCAATAAGCCGTTCAAAATTGACAATCTTAAAACTCTTGGTGAATATTCCAATTTTCACTTTCTTCAGTTCTCCGAGACTATATATAACATGAGTCTCTGTCAAACGCAATTGAACAGGGAAAGTAACGCGATCTTTCCCACCCACTGACCCCCGGTTTTCATAATAAACAATATCTTGAATATATTCCTTACCTCCAGAGCTGACGATATATACCCATTCAGGTAAATTGAAAGATTCAATAATCTTGCTATCTTGAAAAGTGGATAAGAATGTTAATTTAACATGTTTTGGATTTAGGAATTTATTCAGAGATAATGCACGTGCCTCGAGTCTGGCAATCAAGTCTGGTGCAAAAACACTACTGACATTGACATAGAACACCCCAGCACATTTCTCTGCCAATTCGTCGGGGGTCAAACGACATAATAAATCAATCATGCAGCCCAAAGTCTCAGTAACAGTTGGCTTGTTGTACAAGGTACAATCAAAAACGACGTAATACGTAGAGGTTGCGGTTCTACTCAATGACTGTAAAATTCGGGAAAAAAGAATTTTTGGATCAACATCAAGATCGTTAAAGTAAGAGAAAGTTATAGCGAACACTTGAGTCCCATCTTTAGCCACACTTTCAGTAAAATATTTTGAGTTGATAATTTCCTCAGTCAATGGATTATTCAATGACTTTTTGATAATATCATACAATTCAATGTATTTATTCTTGTTAATCCTGATGAATTCTGCAACCTGAGGAGTAAATTCGAGATATTTATAGCCAAGAGAAGCAAAAAATGTATCCACAACCTCATAGTACACCAGCTTACTTTCCATCTTATCAATCATAACAAAGGTTGGTGAAACAACATGTTCTCTTATGGCTTCCGAATGTTCAACGACAAAGGTGTACATGATCTTGAAATGTTTGAAGTCAAACCCTTTTGGAGCCCCAGAATCTTTAACTGCCAATTCACATACATCAGACACAGAAATTGCATCCACAAATCTAGAAATTTTATCTACCAACGCATGCATTTCGAGCTCTTTTCCTTTTAATAAAGGAAATTTCTCAATGTTCAAAGTGCCATTACTCGCATTTTGCAAGGCCTTAGTGAGTAATACAAAGCAGCGCTTCGCTTCAGGAGAAGGCCCGTAGTTTATGAATCCCAATTCCTCTGGGTAGGCAATAGCAGGACACAAAAACCGCAAAAAGAAGAAAGTACTAATGATGAGCAAACATAGGCTCTCATCTTTGGTATATTCATACACGCAGCTTCTCAAAGTGTAACATGTTGCTCTAATAATCAACGGAACCGAATCAGCAGACTCACAGATGCAATCCACAAGATTAGTGAAATAATGGAAAAATTTTCCTGAATCTTCATTGCTTATCCCATCACTACCTTGGAAGAATTGATCAACTTCAAAATAATCTTCATTGATAATAATTTGATCCAAGAGTCCGCCAATTGTATTTTTCAAATATTCACTACCAAAATTTTTTCCGACTAAAGATAATAATTTAGTAGTCAAATTATTTCTTCTCAATATATCCAAAGGTTTCAAGCCAATCTTGAGTTCGTAATTGATCAAAGTCCTCAAAACATCATGTAGAAAACCACCAGCCTCGGTGACCACAAGAATAGCTTGACTAACTCTATCCATTTCTGATGCGTTCACAGTATTTCTAAAAGCAATCAATAAATCCGGCGACAGTAAGCCTTTGAAGCAAAATTGGTGGAAGTCCGCAGAATGTGTACTCTCTTCCACTGCCTTTGCCCTCAGTTGATCTAAGAAAATATGTTTGAAGATTTGTATAAAAGCATCTTTAATGACGGGGTTTTCATCCGTGATCACAGGTAAAACATACCATGATGCAATTTCGTAATTGGCTTTGACCAAGTTCCCAATAATGCAAATACTGTGCTGGATAATTTTCTCGAGTTCAGCTTTATTAAAATCAGAAATAGCAGCTTGGTGTCCAGAATACTTGTGATGGATTGCTTTATGGGACGATTTCTCACAGGAGTCGTTCAAGCATTTCCGCAAAATTCTAATCAAAACATTATAGTAATTTCCGAACATAACATTCCTAAAAATTGCCACTTCTTTTTCATAATTGATATTACTCCTAATAATTGGCAATTCAACAGTCAAAAAGGTCAAACATGACAAAATCTCTATGATAATCTCTCGATACAAATAATTAATATTAATGATGAAAGATTCAGATCTAGGAACGCCACTACTGCTGATCATAGAATTGAAGAAATTTGGCTCATCTTTAAAGAAAGAAGTTTCTAGCCAATATAGCATAGTCTTAAGAATACTATTCTTGTACATCAAGTATGTTCCATCAATTCTCAAATCTTTTCTAAATTTCATGGTGATATGCAAAAATCTCAGCACAGCAAGTTTCAATTTGGCAAAATTGGTGATGGCTACAGGCTTAGAGCTGTTAGCTATTTTGTAAGAAGAGTTGTTTGAAAATAAACGACACTGATTCTTGACGATATCAATCAAAGTTTGAGAAATCTTAACGATACTCCAACTGTTTTGAAATATAACCATCGGCAGTAATCTTTTGAATAATTTTTCGAGGACAACTGTATTAATGATTATCAATTCGGACTCTCTAGTTGACAATATTACAGTCTCAGACTTTGTCTTCAAGCGCCCAAACTCTTCTAAAAATTCACAATATATGACGAAGGCTAAATTCTGGTGTAATTCTTTTGATAAGATTTGTTCAGCAATCGCTCTTTTCTCTGGATCAACTGCACCTAATGATTTAATTAATTCCATGATAAACTGTAGAATGCGAGTATCTTTGATAAGGTTATATGCATCGTATGTTTCTGACGGGATTTCAAATCCAAGTACAATTGCCAAAAATGTCGAATAGTTTGATAACGAGGTCAACTCCGCACGAGTCAAATTATTAACAGCCAAGAAATCTAGGAATTTTTGAAATGACCTTTCCACTGCATTATTCAATCCGTCGGTATTTTTTTCAACTAAATTATTGAAAAAGTTAACCATTTTCTTTTGCAAATATTTCAGACTCTTGATAATTACGTCATTATCTTTCCCTATGGCCTCCAAGAAATTCCAGTTCACAGAACTTCTCACTTTCTCGCAAACAGCATAATCTTGAGAAAAAAAATCCGCAAATAAATTTATAATATTTTTGACACTGTAATATGTTTCAGCAGTTGCAGCGCATAAAAACACATAGAGAAATTCCTCAATTTTTTTCGCCATCAAAATCATGTTTTTGGCTCTATCGGAATCAAGATCATCAAAATACATTTGGATATCAATCTTTGAGGAATATTTTTCAAAATAAACATTCAAGTAATCTAAAAGAAAACCAAAATGGTGAATGTTCTTCTGGATGTCATGTAGGGAATGATCAAGTATCATATCAAGCCATTGAGGAATAAAACAAAGATTATATAAGAACACATAAGCGACATAATTTTCAAGGGCCACTGAGTGGTTAATATGCGCCAAAATTATCTTGGTGCCGCAGTTGAAGCAAGAGTATTGAGGATCGAAGACTGCCGCGAATGATAGAGGTGCCACCACAGGACCAACATTTGAAAGCTTATCAGCGACATTTAAAAGATCGGGATTTTCCATAAAATCTGCATCGGAAACACAAAACGGATCAAAATCAAACATACATTGAGGTGCAGGCAATACAACACCAAGAGAGATATCAAAAATCCTTCTGCACAAATAACCGTCATTTCTAAGAATTGTTAAACAGTCTTGTTGGTCTGAATTCTCAATGGAAGAAGCGATAGTACTTGCTGCGGTGGTTGAGATGGGTATTGTGCTGTTATTGGTATAATTGTTATTATTATTATTGTTGTTGTTGTTGTTGTTGGTGGTGGTGTTGTTGTTGTTGTTGTTGCTGCTAATGTTACTAGATCCACTAAGAGAGCCAAAAAGATGGCTTGCTTTTCTATTCATTGACGTGGACTCAATTATGCTGGAAGCTTGATGAGTAGTTGATTGTTTTGAGGAAGAGCTGGACGGAAAAATCGGCTGGTTCAATATTGGAACATCCAGCAAGTCCGCTTTCTGGGAATCAGCATAGTCAATGAATACCATATAGTCCTTTTTAGTTGCGCTCATTATTTCGGAGATACGAAGGCCTCGTTGGAAGAGTTTCGTTGTTGCCTCAGTACTAAAAAATACTTCTTGGATAATGGCTAAACCCCCACTCAAACTACCAAGCTTTTTAACTACCGAGATAGAAATGTAATAAGAGTATAAATCATCAGCTTTAAAATTTTCCAAAGAGGGAGCAAATAAGGGCAACAGGATTTGGGGAAGTAATAGGATATAGTTAGCCCAAAATTCTATTTTAATATGTTCAATCAATGAGTTTTCGATAACAGTGGTTGACATCCTGTTTAGAATGTCTTTGACCTTGTTATGAACAACGGGGAAGTACTTTTTCACAAACAAAACTGTGGGGTTTGATGGATCATGGCTGGCAATTGATCCTGCAGTAGATGCAAGAAGAGTAAAGCACTCTAGGATTAAATATTTTTGATGAATGGATGTAACCACTTCCGGTCCTACAACTTTCAATAATAGATGAAACATTCGAAGTTCATGTGAGTTCACATTCAATTGCTCTTTCTTTTCCTTTGGCAGGCCTTCAATTTCAATATAGCTTTTAAATTTCTTAAAAACCGCGGCATTCATGGCAATTAATGAAAACAATGACCTGTAATTGAAAGCTTTTGCTAAAGGTGGAATACTGGACGCTGTTTTGGAAACTATCGGTTCTAATATTTCAAAAATCCCAAAAAGGTCAGGTCTATTTAAAGTAGATTTGATATAATCTTCAGGATAGTTTCTGGCATATGTGGTTACCAACCCAGAGATAAAATAGCTGTAAACTTGTATGAAAAGCTCTGACTTCTTGACTTTTTTAAATAGGTCAATTGAACACTGCGTCAAATAGTCACTGGATGTGCTGGCTTGGAAAAGTGAACTCAATTCAAAATAGCCATACTTCAATTTTGAGTCAATCATGCAATAAATTAAATCTTTATCTGGAAGCGCATCCTCGAAGAAGCTCAACATGGTGGCACGAACATAATCAAAGAACTCCAAACCACTGATATCGGCAATAAATTCAAGAATACTGTGGATATGTAAGTCGCAAGACACGTCATTGTTGTTCTGATGAAGAGCAGTTCTGATGTCGGATGAGGAGTGATCAAATGGAATATCCAAGAAAGCAAGAATGACCATTTTTGATTCGTAGCAGCTCTTCGCTCTGAGCAAATTCGGTATCAATTGGCTCAACAATTCAGTGTGTATGAGGCCCTTATATTTCCCGGTTGACTTGTAGTCTCCAAGCTTTGTGACATAATCGCTCATTAGTTTAATAATTAGAAAAGTTTGTTGTTCGTCATTTTTGAACTCCAATAAGCAATGACAGAAGCATTGGAGAACAGTATTTAATTGTTGGGGTTTATTAAAAGAGAATATTAAAGATGTTGTCAGCAAATACAATGTGTCAGCGCCAGCGACCAACACGCTAATATTTTCATTGACAAAGCTTTTGAGAACATTTATAAGTTTCTTGAAACTCGCGTTTATTATTGGCTCCATATATGATTTCTCAACAGGAAGCTGGTCAGATGTCGTTGTCATTGCTTTTGGCATTAGATAAATCTACCAATGATAAGCTGCTGACAGACGATTAGTATAACAGAATGAAATAGTGCAAGTATTGAGAGGCAGAAAACAAAGATTAAAATCTTTGTGAGAGGTTTAATTGTTAGATTTAGACAGACATACGATAACTCATGGGGCTGATGACAGTGACAAAATAATATGTCTTGTATACATCTAATTACAATCGCCGGTACGGGTTTTTTGTGAGATTTCTCAAAATTTCGGTTCTGGTCACGAGCCCTGTAGCACTTGTTTGTTATTTGTTATTATATATGAAACCGTTCATATATCGATATTATTATGAACAGGAATATTATTCTATGTTTAAAGAAGATGGAGAGAGGTTTCTAGTTCGTGCAGTTTTTTTTTTTGAATCTTTGTTTTAAAGAAGATGGTGGTATTATGTTTTATCTGTGGTCAGCCCCACAATAATATTAGGGAATTCCCATTATATCCGACCACAAAGTATCAATATCATATAAAGTATCATATTAGAGATCAAAGCTTATCCTAAATATTTTAAGTTTTTTAATTCAGAGGGAATCTAATCCACTGATCATTTATTAACTCTCACATTCACACAGGTAATACGAGTAATCCCATTGCTCATGTTCCCCTTTCCAATTTATTTATCCAAGACGGATCCCAATAATGTACTTCTCCATACACAGGATCAACATCAACCCACAAAAACCCAAAACTCACCATCTCTTCTAACACATCTTTCGAATGATAACTTGACCATCGGTAATTATCCACTAGTATTCCCACGGTAGCATATCCCATAATTTCACAAATCTCAAACACTTTGGTTTCATAGTTATTCAACTCCTTTGATACCGATCTTATGAATTTCTTATTTTGATCTCCCACAGTGATGACCTTAAAATTTGGGTCGAGGGTAGATAACAATTCGACACTTTTTTCAATGTCCAGCTCCGTTAAATCCACAATTGAATTTGGACTATCGGGATTGGTCATAATCTTTAATAATTCATCAACTGCAACAATCCCTCCATTCACATCTTCAAGTTTCTTGCATAGCTCAATGATTTTTACTGCAAGCTCATTGTAAAACTCATCATTATCATCACCCAATAGCTTCGACCATAAAGACGCATTCTTGTTTTTGGAGGCAGATTTCTTGGATAGACTAGCAGCAAGAGGATCAACGCCGACAGAGAAACATAAGCTTGTGAACTCCTTCCTCAAATTCTCATTAGATTTGATTTCTTCTGGGTGGTTTTTTGCGAAATTCGCTAAAGCTTGTTGGAACACAGATAGTTGGATTGACAACTTCTCATGTTGCTGATCAGCAAGCAGTTTCCCTAACTGCTGATACTGTTTTAGGGCAGATTCTGAGTTGGTGAATGAAGAAAGGCCAATTTTCTTACTCATCTTTCCATTAATATTGTATTGTTAAATCTTTAAGTGAAAGGTCGTTGCACGCGAGAATATTCGATGTCATTTGGCGCGATGGCATGTATTTTTTACCCGGCTGCATTCTAACGTGTCACGTGAATGTAAATACCTCTCCTACAGGGGAAGGATAGTTCAAAAATGGTGTGAATGGAAAGGATATGCTGTCTGTAGTATAGACTATTGCAAATAGTGTGGGTCTCTAGGCTCATTACGATATTTCCTTAAAAGTTTTGTAAATTTCTTGAATATCTATCAAGAGATTGGAAAATTTCTGATATCTAAAAAGAAACCCAGAATACAGATTCCTTCTGAAACGACTCAATTGCTAAAAAAAAAGTCATACTCAAATTGAATGATTGCTGGAAACATAAAAGTGTCCATTAATTACCCTTTGAAAATATTTGTTGCTCTTTCTTTGTGGATGTTGAGATTTTTGGCACATCATGTCATGTGCGTTCCTCAAATGGCAACATCCACTGTGGAGACATATAAAACAACAAATAATCTCCTATTAGTGGTAGTGGTTTAACTTTTTAATTTTCTGTAATATATGTATATTTTAAGGGCTTTGTATTATAATCATGTTGTCCGAAGAATATTTTGATCCTGAGAAACGGGCTACAGTTGACCAACTTCACAATGTTCGTCCGTTTATTGAAGCACCTCCCACAAAAGAACCCGTGGATTTCATGGACCTTGACACCATTGATTTGTCCACATTTCAGGACGGACCACAAGGGCTTTCATCTCGTCAAAAGCTTGCTCAGCAGCTAGAATCAGTCTTAACAGACTATGGATTTTTTAAATTGGTGGGTCATGGGATTTCCGAAGCCACTTTTGAGAGAATGAAATCTATTGGTCAAGCAATTTTTGAGCTCGAAGACGATATCAAAAACCAATTCGTTGGAGGAGAAAAGAAAATTCCTCAAGAAGAGGAGAGGGACTTGGGGGTAATTAGGGGTACCGGATTCAAACCTCGTGGGTACTTGGAATATACCAATGGACAAAGAGATAATGTGGAATTTTATAATCTCCGCCACTTCCAACATGATGATATCTTCTATAATAAGACAGAATATCCCGAGTTTGTCAAGTACCATCTTGATGAGATCTCGGAATATTTCAAGCATTTGCATTTCGAGACCTTGAGGAAATTATTGATCTTGATGGATATCATTCTTGAACTTCCTGAAGGCCAATTATGGGAAAATCATTTCAAAGTAATTGAGAATGATATAAACAGATCTGGAGGTGGTAGGGCAAGATTTCTAATGTATCATGAAGTTGAAAAAGAGTATGTCAAAAAGACCAATGGGACTTGGCTTCGTGGTCATAGTGATGCGTGTGCCATTACATTCATTCTCTCTCAGCCAATTGTTTCTTTGCAAGTACGCGAACATGACTCCAACAATTGGAAATATATCTCCCATACTCTGAATTCTTTGGTTGTCAATATCGGTGATGCCTTCAAGTTTTTAACTGGTGGATATTTTAAATCTTCGCTTCATAGAGTCACCACTCCCCCGGGTGATCAATTAAAACACAAAAGAAACACTGTGATTTATTTTTCTAATCCTTCTTTGACTACCTATATTGATCCATTGTCATTAAACTCTCCAAAGTTGGATAGATTGGGTTATGGGATAGAACCAGGAGTTGAAAGGATCACATTTAAGCAATGGGATGAGGCTAAAGGAACTTACTTCAATCAAAAGAATCAGCAGAACTCTAAAGAAGTTAGTCTTTTGGGAAGATCCACTTTAATGAGCTATATTGATGGAGCTCCTTCAGAAAAGAAAGCACTCTCTGTTTCCTAAATGTTTATCCCAACAATATTATAGTATAATATTATAGATAAGAATGGAAATGTTGATACCGAATTCTATAGTTTAATGGGGTGTGCATTTGCTTGTAATAAACAGCAGCTTGTCGTTTTCATAACATATATTGACCAAATATGGTAGTAATCCTTTCAAAAGAGGGTGTGTTGTCCAAATTGCAGGTTGGTAGGCGTGTTTGTAGGATTGCTTGATTTTTTACCCTGTAAATTTTTGCAGAAAAGTTACACACAACCTACAACTTTTAGAAAGATTATTATTTATAAGCTACATGAAATCTTAGGAGGCAAGTGAAAAAGCAATACTTAAAGGCAACAAAGAGTACTATATCACATATTCATGGTGTTAAACATCACTGAGCTACATTAATAATTAGCACAGTGGCAAATTCTTGCTCCTCTTCTCTTAGATCCCATGAACCCTAAACCAGTAAACTCGAATCATCAGCCCCTTCATCCAGAGATGATACTTATTATTTTCAGTAAGTATTACTGAACTCTCTCTTTAACAATAGGAAACTAAAACTAGATCCGAACTCTTTTCTTTTGTCTGGAGTATTTCTTTGATGATTCAGCAACATAAATAAGAGGATCTTGACCCCATACTGGCCAATAGTACATTCAGAATACCATAGTACTATTATTTGTTACTATTCACACATGCATGCCTTTGCAACCTGGAAAGTAAACTATGTATTCACAAGTCATTTGCGTAGCAGGAAACCAGCAAGAATATTTTCCAATTATTTATATGTGTATTTGGAAGTCTTTAACAAAGAAAAATGCTATGACTTGAAGCCTTGCTTTCATCACTTTGAACAGTTTTTCACGTTGCCTAATACGGCTAATGGTGTGATTCTCCATCATGCTTGAGCCTGACGGAAAAAAAAAAAAATAGCAAATTAATAAAGAAGTTACCCATTTATTAACTTCACCAACTTAGAAAAACAAAACTATAATTTAATTTTTAGAATACTTTAAGCTGAAATATCTCAGCTACCACGAAATCACCACATTTATTACGACAACATTGAACAGATTTTTGAATAAAGATTAAATCAACCGTTTTCTTTTTGCCCATCTTTAAACATCAGACGACTGTCAACCTTTAATCAAAAGAAGTAAGGGTGTTAGGTGAAAGCTTCTGATATCAAAGAAAATCTAGCCTCTTACTCTTGGGACATAAGAATAATGAACTTGAGCATGAGGAGAATAATATCAAATGCACATAGCCGTAAAACCTTCTTCATAGGGTCTCTACATCAGGAACAATCATTGAGGACGATGGAGCACAAAGAACAGTAAAAAAAAAATTTCGATACCTCAAAAATCCGACTTTCTAGTAATTGAAAATTAAAAATAGATATTATCTTTCATGGGCATTGAGCGAATAAAGGCGACAATGTAAATGCAATCAAACAAAAATCAATCAGATGTTGTTCTGTACATACATACTATAAAGGTCAAAATGATTCATTTTGATTTCAATGTGAATGAGAGGAAACTCTCTGATAGTTTTGTTTTTTTTCCTTACTTATGGATAATGAAAAATAAAATTAAGGGACATCTGCATAGACATGTGCATGAGTCATGTATTGCTGTGCACTCCTTATTCTGTAACTTTGTATTTCATTACCTACTGTTTAGTTGACTTGGACACTGATATTTTATTTCAATTGAATCAATTTCAAATATTTTGAATTTCAAAAAAAAATAAATGAAAAACTATTTTCTGGCTCATTATGAGTCTTCTGATGAAAAGAACCTCATTTGCGAAATTGCTGGTTGTATATTGGTTCACCAAGCCATCATCAAATTGATTTTTTGCGGTGGCTCTTTTTTCTTCTTTTCCTTTTGCCAAATTGGACTCATGGTTCTTAGTATAGCGTCATCATTTTCTATCATAAACATAAAAAAAGCACGCATCTGGCAATGACAGGAATATTGTCGCTGCGCTGACTAATGCCGCACTTTCCTAATTTAGCCTTTTTCACTACAACTCCCTTAAGGAGGATCATCAACGAAAAATAACGGTAATAATAACTTTTGAGCTGCGGTAAAATTAGTAACTGTATCTGGTTTGACTCATTGAAATATGGGTCATATTGTAGAGGGCTTGCCAAAGCGTTAATGGTTTGCCGAACATGTATCATATAAATGTGGAATCGTTTTCCTGCATTAGAGTATGATATATGACTGTTGTGAAAGCTGAAGATAATTCTTTAGAGATATTTCTGTCTTTAATTTTCCATTATAATTCATTTCACTTTATTATTATCAATTACAATGAAACTTTCTCTTGAATTAGATCAAGAACCTGATCATGTATTTACCTTTGGTGATTCCATTTTGGGAGAACTTGAGCTAAAAACAGAGGTATCTACATACATAAAGCTGATGATAGTACGAATCTCAGGCATCAGCCTAACCAATGTTGAAGACACTTTAAGTCCAAGAAATCGGCGAACCGTCAGAAAAATAATTGATGACAAAATAGTACTTTTTCCAAAACCCCAAGACATGACGGATCAACCGTTGGAACTTCTGGCAGGCAAATATTTGTATTCTTTCATCATAGACATTAACGATCCAGCCAAGTATGACGATTTGCTTGACCCAAATATATCTCCTGCTGGATATGGTGTTTTAGGAGAATACAAGTGCAAAAAAGTGAATATCCCTTTACAATTTCCCCCTTCGTTTAACCACAAAAGTCTCCAAGGAAATGCCAAAGTAACATACAGTCTAATTGGCGAGCTAGTATTGGAAAATGGTAAAGTTATCCAAACAACAAAAAAAATTAGATTTGCTCCTTTAAACAGAGCGTTAGCCTATTCATTGAGACATCTTTGCCAATTATATTCCAGACCACCAAACTCAACACCAACACTCCTACGAAACACTTGTTTTCTCGAAACACAAATTACCGTTCCAGTTTCAAATAAACATTGTCTACAAAAAGGATTTTTAAACATAAAATCATCTCAAAAATCTAAAATGAACATTCCTTTGGTTGTTGCTTGTGAATTTAAGCCATATCTTCCTAGACATACCTCACTAGCAGTATCCAACAGATTCCTTCAGACACATAACCCTCTTTCTGATTTCATTAATATTCACATAGTATCACCACTTTCCCCTTCCACTATCCAAGCCTTAACTGGATCCACTCAAACGCCCATTAAGTTGGAATATTTTAAAATATCGCTAACCCAAAAAATTATATTTGGCTCGACTGCAAAACGTTTGGATACAAAAGATATTCCGCTCATTGATATCGAGGAACCATTATCTCTTGATTTCAAACCCATTCCTGCAGAAAGATATCAATTATCATCTTCTTATCTTGAAAAATGGGAGCCCTTTTTAGATCATCGCCAATATTATCAGTTCACGGTTCCCAAAAAATTGTTGAGCAAACCAATTCCTAATTTACCTCAGCTGTTTATCTATCACAATATCCAGAATGACTATCACCTCGATGTCAAGTCGATCATTGGTTCTGGTAACCATCGAACACCAATAGGTTGCGATTGTCCTGTGGTAATGTTGGGTCCCGAGGAACAGACTGTGGATGTTGTCCCTGAATATTCAGAGAAGATTAGGTCAGGAGAGGTTTTTGTGGAGGTTACCAATGAAGTTTTACCAATGTATTCGCTATAATTATTTACAATTCTTCATTACTGATTTAATATTCCATATTTGCTAATTTCAAGTTCTTTTGGCTTGATGCTCGTTAATTTCTAATTTAGACTTTTTTTTTTCTTTTTCCTTTTTTGCATTATCATTTACATCTATTATACGGTATTTTTAGCTTGGCCTGCAAAAGCAAGTAGAAAATGGATCCATATTTATCAATTTCCCAAAGTTGGGCTTGTTCAACCTGTTATTGAAGATCATCAAGGGAAATCAGGCAGAATTTTTCGACACACAGTATATGTTTCCTATTTTTCTCTACGGCCATCCATCTCAACTTTTTCACCTAATCTTCCACCCCTGTATTATTTATTACAAATTGTCTTTCGCGACCCATCTAGGAACTAGGGTGCCCTAATTCCGCACGTGTAGATTAATTTGTTATGTATACGTACAGTCATTTAGGGGCACGAAGGAGATAAAGACATAATCCCGACATGGTTCAAAGTCCAGTGTAGCGGAATTATCTGCGTCGGCCGAGAAAACAATGCCGCGGCTAAGACCGCTCAAGCTTTTCTTCGGAGTTTGCCGCATTGGGGTGTCCATCGGGGTTGTTCTGTTCCAGGATGACCCAATTTAGCGGATTAAAGATTTTTTTCTTTTTTTTCTATTGCATACATGCACTGCTTAGAAATACAGAGTAAAAGTTTTTGAATACGAGCTGAATTGATATAAATAAACAAAAATGTACGCCAATGGAGCCAAGAATATTATCACTGTCAATTCAATATTACATTTTATCTTTGTTTTTCTAATTTAGCAACAATTCTCTCCAATAGCGGCGTGATGGTAGCTCCAAACTTCTTAACCAAGGGTCAACAGATCGTTCCCATGAAATACAGACCAAAGCCCTTAGTGTTCGGTATAGTGGTTCTTTCTTTGATTATCGATAAACTTAACGTCACAGGGGCCATTACCAGTTTCTATTCGCTTTCTAAGAAGTTTGATGTTCCAATTGCCACTGCCTCTTGGGTCTTGTCAGTGTATGCGTTGACCATTGGTTCATTTATTATTGTATTTGGGAAAGTCGGAGATATTGTTGGTCCTCATAATACATTCGTTATTGGCTCTTTTGCCATGTCTCTTTTTTCATTGCTAGCAGCTACGGTTGATGAATCTATTTACGCGGTTATTGTATTTAGAGCTTTCCAAGGGATTGCCGGTGCCGCCTTGATTCCCTCTGGATTTGCAATCACTGCCAGTTATTTCCAAGGCAAGGCCAGATTTATCGCCCTTAAACTTATGGCAGCCGCTATCACTGGTGCTCTAGGTCTCGGGGTGATTCTTGGTGGGGCTTTTGATGAAGGAAGTATTGGGTACCAAGGGCTTTTCTATTTCACATTTGCGGTGTCTTTTGTAGCATCCGTGTTGTTATATTTCATTATAATCCCAGTGGAAAAAACTGAGGGCCACAAAAATTTGAAATTTAAGAACTTGGATTTCTTTGGAGTTCTGTTAATGATTTCCGGCTTGTTGTTGATCATCGTGGCGTTCACTGAAGCTGCAAACAGTTGGAATTCTCCAAAAGTTTACGTCACCCTCCCAGTTGGATTTGTGCTTCTTATCTCGTTCTTCTATTTCGAACTTATTTATCTCAAAAGTTACAAGAAGAAATTCCAGAACTCTCTTCCAAGCCAACAACAAGAATTGACTGACAAACCTGATTGGAGACTAGACACACAACCACTTTTCCCAGCAGAAATTTTGGAAATTCCAAACATTAAATTGTTGCTCTATGGTATTTTTGTTGTCAATACATGCGCCATTTGCTTACAAAGTTGTTTGGTTGAATATTTCGAATATATCGAATTAGACACCCCAATTATTGCCTCGGTTAAGATTTTACCGCTTTCTGTGGGTGCCGTTTTTGGTTCAGCCCTTTTCAACCCAAAAATTGTGAAAGCCTTGACACTTCGTGGAACTTTGGTTATTGCAGCCCTGGTTGGTCTCGGAGCATACATCTGGGCGTCTAGAATAGACTACACTGTACATAATAACTATTGGAAGTTTGCTTTTGCCAGTCAATTTCTTACTGGTTATTCAATTAACATGTTCTTTGTTGTCATCCTCTCTGGTTTAATGCAAAATACCCCGTTACATTTACAAGGGGTAGTTTCCGGAGTGGTTCAAACCATTGCCCAAGTTGGTGCCAGTATTGGTACAGCAGTTATCAATAGTATCATTGGAAGTATGAAATATGAAAAAGGTGATGAAGCAGCTAGACATCGTGTTGCCAAGAACTTCCAAAACTCATTATATTTCATGGTGGGGTTGGGTGGCAGCTTGGTAATTTTAATGCTTTTTATTAAAGATGACAAGTCTTTTTTGGTCGCTAAAAACGAAAACCAACCGGGAAAAGAATCCAATGATGTCGAAGTTGATTCCACTGAAGTTGAAGAGGAATCTAAAGAAATCGAAAAGGAATCTGAAGATATTGAAGAGGTGTCTAATATTAGAAGTTAATGCAGTCGGAAAAGGGTTTGTTTATAATTTAAAAGCTATTTAGCTTGTCACATTTTTTTGTTTTCTTGTTTATGATTTTTTATGATTTTTTAGCTTCTTTTTTATTAGAGAATAATATTTATTACAAATACAGAATATATCCATTTATACTTTATTTTGAAAATGTATCACATATACATTAACGTATCTATCTAACTATCTCTGTAATATGATATCTATCGAATTATATCATAAAGTGATGAGAATGTGGATGTTGAAAGTGTCATAATGTATAGTGATGCAGGTATCACCGTCAGGTTGACTCATATGATAAGCAAAAGAAAAAAAAAAAAAAAAAAAAATATCAGACAAATTTCCAGATCCATATGTTTGGTGATAACCGATAATTTACCTTTCGTTACTTCATTTCCTTTCTTTATTTGTCTCTTTTTTTTTGTATTGAAAATGTCGTCTTCCATTGAAGGTCCAGAACACAGACCAATTCCTACCAGTCGTTATGATCTTTCAACTTATTGGGGCAGAGTTAGACATTGTTTGGAAATCAGTGATCCAAGAAACTTGTTAGTCACTCCTACCCAAGTGAGAATCGCTAAACAGGCCCTTAGCGAATACCGTCATGGATACATCAGTGAGTTTGCCGAAGAGTTGTGGGAACATAAACAAGTATTGGACTCGACCGTCCATCCAGATACTGGGGAAACCATTTTCTTGCCGTTCAGAATGTCGTGCTGTGTGCTATCAAATTTGATAGTGACTGCTGGGATGCTCACTCCAAACTTGACAGTTGGCGGCACCATCTTTTGGCAATGGGCCAACCAATCTTTGAATGTGGCCATCAATACTTCTAATGCCAATAAATCCCATCCATTGACCACCAAACAATTGTTGACCAACTACGCCGCCGCAGTGTCCGCCAGTTGTGGGGTAGCGTTAGGGTTGAATGCTCTCGTTCCTAGATTGAAATCTCTCACTCCAAAGACCAAATTGATCATGACCAGACTCGTGCCGTTTGCTGCAGTTGTGTCGGCAGGGATTGTCAATGTGTTTTTGATGAGATCAGAAGAGTTGAAGAAAGGGATTACTGTTGTTGATCCAGAAACCAAAGAGCCATTGGGGACTTCCAAAGTAGCTGCTACATATGCTGTTGGGGAAACTGCTGCTTCCAGAGTTATAAATGCCACCCCGATCATGGCCATTCCTCCTTTGATTTTGGTGAAATTGCAACGTGGATTCTTGAAAGGTAAAGGGCTAGGGATCACCACTGCTGTCAACTTGGGGTTGATCACCGTCACGAGTTTTGCAGTACTTCCGTTTGCTTTGGCAGTGTTCCCACAAACTGAAAGATTGCATGTCTCCAAGTTAGAAGACAAGTTTAGAGAACTTAGGAACAAATCTGGCAAGCCAGTGGAGTTTGTCGAGTTCAATAGAGGTATTTAGAAGTTTTAATCGTTTTGTTAGAGAAAGCATCATTATATATATATATGTGTATGTATATGTATATGTATATGTATATATGATGTGTAATATATTATAGTTGTCATTTCAATTGAATAAAGTAAAGAGGAAAAAAAAAAAAAAGACCTCCAAGAGGATCGAAGTGAGGTCTTCCAACATCACGTGCTCAAAGATCACCATCGAAAACAAACAAAAACAAAAACAAACAATAAACAAATGGTCGATCATGGATCACACTTCGTGCTTTTGCTTGTGGTTAGCTGATATATCTATCATACCACTACAAAGAGAGAGTTTTGCATCGTTCATATTGTGTCCTTGCCTGTACTCATTTGAATCACACTGCTGGTTTCTTCTTTTTTCCCTTTTAGTGTGATCCGCAGATCTTTATTTTGGGGGGTATTTTTTTAGCTCAACGATTTTTTTTGTCTCAATCTGCTAGGGGAATCACCTATGTCTTTAATTTGCCCGTTATTTTAATTTATACCCATTTCTCTACTTTTTTTTTTGTGCTTATTGAAATTGCTAATCAATTTGACAGATCGTCCTGCGGATAGGTTTCTGGGCATAAATGATGTTGGACCAATTCAGTGATTCATTGGATTATCATAACAACAATAACAAATCCATAACTTTCAAGACCCAGCAAGGTTCAACCAATGACCAAAGCAACAATGACCTTATTTTGACTACAGACTTACTGAATCTTGTCATATATTTGACAGATCCTAACAATATCAACTATCAGTTCGTCACTAACCTATTAATCACTCACAGAATATTTATCGAATCTCTGGACCTTCTAGAAGTATTACTTGACAGATTACAGCAATGCTTTGAGTATGTTTTATTCGACACCAATAAATTAGAACAACAATTATCTAAACCAGAGCAGGATGAGGATAATAATAATGATGGTCAATTGGAGGTCCGTTTCAACACCATCAAGAAAATTCTCTTGAGAACATTTGTCATCATAAGAAACTGGTTATTGAATCACTTTATTGATGATTGGGTGGAAAATGACAGTTTAAGCTCCATGTTTGTTAATTATTTGAATGCATTGTCATTAAAATTTGAGAATTATGAGAAATATAACATGATCAATGTTTTTTTCATTAAAATTATTGTTGAATTGAAGAAAGCTTGGATCAACATTTGTGAAAAATATTGGAATACAAAAAGCTTGTCGCAATCATTAATTGATCATGGATTCAAATCTTTCGGAGGGTGGGATAAATCAGTCATCAAATTTATTATTAGTTATAAACTTGAGTACAGCAAGCGAAACTTAAATATGCCTACCTCAGAGTTATACAAAGAAATGAATCCGACATTTAGAAATGACTCAATTTTGGCATCCAATGACATTATCTCTAACACGAATATTCTTGAAGATCATCAATCAACCACGCGTCATCCTGAGCCATCTAACAAGAAAACACTCAAAAAAAAGAAATCTATTGGTAATTTGTTGAAAAATTTGCCATTGATCCAAGGATCTAATTCTCTAGCATCATTGAAGTTCAACTCATCCCAAAAAGAGTTCGAAAAAGAAATTGAAATGTTTGCATCAAAGGCTGATAATCAACTTGACCATGCCAACCTATTTAAGAAATCTGAAACCTTTGGGACCACTGAAAAAAATCATAATGCCAATGAAGACGATGTCAGCTTAATGGAGAAAGGAATTAAATACAATTTTACCATGATCTCCCCAAATTCCGAAATTAGGTTACTTGATTTTAACCGGTATCCGGAAAATGAACAAGGGCAGATGAAAGATCTACTGATCGAATGTTATCAGAAATCTGATGTTGTTTTGAAAGAAACCGTAAAATCAGAACCTATCAATGAACCTCCGCTTGTCACAAAAAAATTGAAGACAAAACAGGTGCCGCTCAAACAACTTGTGAGGAAGTGGAAAAGACCTTTTCGCAAACCGAAGTTGGAAACAAGGATACCAGACCTCGAAGTTTCACAAATTGTTGAGAATTTGCTCCCTGAAGATGATATTGTTGAAAAAGTTGATATGTTAGCAGTATATTTTATTGATGAATTAGATTTCTTAACTAATAAAGAACGCAATGAGCTGTCTTCAATAAATAAAGAGGACTCAGAAGATCATGAAGCATCTTTTTTCTCTAATCTTGGTCTATTCGATTCAATGAACGATACTCTGGCCAATTCAGAAGGTGATGATGATGATGATGATGATGATGATAACGACGATGATGACTGGGAAGATGAAACTGATGATGGAACAACGTCAGAATGTGATATGGGCCAGCGAAGTAGCAATTCTTTTCTTTCTGCTGCTAAGGTGGACTGGAATAATGACTCACTAGAATACCAAGAGTCTAATTCCAGTGGTGACTATGAACATACAAACATTCTTGATGTCACTCCTTCGATGATCATTGATAACGTAACCATGGAAGTGATTGATAGAAGATTTTCTGGAAGCATCAGTGATGTCAATAGACTCTCTAGATCAAGCTTGATATCCAAGAAATCTTACTTGACTTATGACTCGAAGCTTTCTAGAAGCTCATCAATTATGGTTGACAGAAGTAACCACCAGCAATTAAAACACTTGACATCCCGTGTATTGGAAAAAGTGAGAAGTTTTGAAAAACTTGGCGTTGAAAAACATTCGAATATTCAAACCACCATTGCTCCTAATAAATCGTGCGGCAATTTGACAATTGATGTAATAACCGAAGAATTTGACCAAAATGAAAAGCCTGAAACCAGCTTGATCAAACCAAAGATCGATTTTTTCCAAAAAGTGTCGCACAATGATTCTGCCATTACCGTGAATAGCAGTAAAGGAGGGAAAAGTCATGTAACCAGTACCAACGTCACCTCGATGCGTCAAAACTCCATGATGCAAAGCTCGATATTTTCCGACGTTAGTACCGTTAATACCATAATTTCAAATCATGAAGACGATCTTATCTACCACAATGTTTTAAGAAGTAAAAATGGTCATCACAACATCAGGGAGCTTATGAATGATGGGAATGAATGTAATGACACCATGATGGTGTCCAAACATGTGAGATCTCCAACCTTGGAGACCCAAGATTCTGAAGCTTTGATAAGAAACGTAATGGAGATGGACAGTTTCCATATCGCTGATAGTAGTGGTGCTGCTGATATTACTGATAGTGATAAAAAAGTTATTATAGATATCGACTGTTCTCCTTTACGAACCCCAAACTTGACCAACAATGATAATTCCACCATTTTGGCTGGGAGTACGAAGAGAGACAACAAATCAGAAATCAGCATGTTATCAGTGGCATCGTATCTTTTGCCAGGCATGGACAACGAGGTCATGCAAGCTTTGGCGGCGATTCCTGATATTTCATTCCATGGGCAGGATCCTATAAGTGCTGCCTTATCCCGACTCGAGGGGAAAAATGATAATGATAGTGAGGAACTACGAAGAAAATTGCCCAATCATGGCAAAGTTCCGGAAAGTTCAGGAAACTGGGGAATCCTTCAAACTAAAAAAGGGGAAATGTATACTAACCAAGAATCAGACGTTTCCGAAACGAAAGAAAAGACTATTGAGGAACAGGTTGATGATCTACACATTAATGAATTAGCAGATCATGATGCCAATGGAGAGATTGCTCAATTTCATTCTAATTTCTTTCAACCGTTCACTCCAATGGAAAATATCTTTGATAATACTCCTGATGCCATGAAAAACATTGTTTTGAACAATGGGGCGGAATTGTATAAGAAGTACCAGAAATCCAAAAATTTGCAAACGATTGAAGAATTGATGACTGGGGCAGCGCATATTCCATTTATTTTACAATTTGATTCGTACGAACTTGCGGAAATTCTCACGATGATTGAGCGGGATGTACTACTAGAGATTGATTGGAAAGAATTGGTAGAATTGCAAAATAAGGAGACGCCGCAAAATTTTTCGTCGTGGTTACAAGTGATTGTCGGCCAACATAATTTAACTGGGGTAGATTTGGCATTATCAAGATTCAATTTGGTGGTCCAATGGGTGGTTTCGGAAATTATCTTGACAAACGTGATGAAGTATCGGGTGGCGAGTATTGCCAAATTCATCGACATTGCCACGAAATGTTTGAACATGCAGAATTATTCGACGATGATGCAAATAATTTTGGCGTTGACTTCGGAAAAAATCGGGAATTTACCAAACACTTGGGATCAATTGGATGATAATTCCAAACAGCAATTTATGATTTTGGAGCAATTTGCCAACCCCATGGACAATTTCATGAAAATTAGGGAGCTAAACGGGATGGCGGTGAACGGTCGTGGGATGGTGCCATTCATTGGATTATATCTTTATGATCTTCAAATCACGTTGTCGCAACCAAGTTATGTTGGACAAGATCATTCTTTGATTCATTGGAAGAAATTCAATGATGTGTCGCGTATTGTTATTGATTTGGTCGGTAAGATCCAATATTCAAAACTTTATAACCGAGATGTCAAGGGGATGAATCAAGAATTATTATCGAAATGTTTGTACATCAAGTCATTAGATGAACAGGAAATGGATTTATGTGTTTCAAAGATGGTTAATCCTTAAAGATAAAAAAAAAAAAAAAGAAATTGTATTGTAATCTTTTGCTGTGGATTTTTGTTTTGGTTTTTTTGGTCTCTTTTTTGGTTTTTTTTTTTCTTTTTTTTTTTTTTTACTTCACTTCGATTATATTCCTATATTTTTAAACTTTCTATTCATCTTATTATTATTACCTCTTATTATTATTACCTCTTACTATTATCTCTTAGATTTACATCTTATTATTACCTCTTAGTACCTACTAAACTTTATTATTTTATCAATTCGTTGTTTTCACAATTTTATTTTCTATTGAATTTTGATAGTTCAATTATCTACTTTTAATACCTTTTGTTTTCTTTCTAAATCTGTCTCTTCTTTTTTTTTTCTTCCTATCGATTTTCTTTATTTCTCAATAATAAAATGCATCGCTCAATGTTTTCTCTGGTATCTGTATTATTATTTAATATTTGCCTGGTAGAATCACCTGTATTAAATCAAAAAAATATCAATTAATAATATAATTATAGCTGACTCGTACTACAAACAATTATTGTTGATTGGGGCTTCAATGTTTACGTAAAAAATAACAAAAACAATAAGAAAAAGAAAATAAGAATTATGTAATCACAAGAGACTGCTTAGTAAAAAGCTTACATAATCAATGACCTAGCAACATCCGGTCATCTATTTTTCAGAAAACCCTAACACACACAATAACCAAGTGTCTGGTATACTGCGGCAACATTTGATTAGTAACCAATTACACAATCATTGGGTGTTCGGATGGTTTTGGCCAAGAAATACACCTGAACACTCAATGAGGCCGTTGAATTGGTATACTGCGAATTTTGCCGGTCATAACCGACAAAAGATATTGGAATTGCTAGAGATCATAAAGAGATAAAATATTTTGGAATTGATGGGCATTGGAGATAGGATAGATAGAGATAGGATAGATAGAGATTGAAGATACAAAAAATATTAAAATTGATAGAGGCCAGAAATACAAAAACATATTAGAACTTTGAGGCAGATCAACAAAAGACGGCAGGCATGCTCTACTAGAATCGATTGTAGAGTCGAAACTGAGATATTAGATCGATGAGACAAATCAAAAGGACGAAGGGATGAATGATATAATATTAACAAATTATTTCCTCTGTAAAAATTAATACATAAACTCATGGCGATTAATATACCAATCGTAAATATTATCTTCGCATTATAACTCCAAGTTTTCGTTATCGGGAAACAATAGAAACACAATTATCGCCTTCATTATTTTGGAGACATCGTGATGATTAGATAGTCATCACACATTTGTCAGAAGATGTCACTATTATTAGATCTTCTTCATCGTTATCAGGAGATTTCAAGGTAAAACTTCTTTTCAATACCATGATTATTAGGGATATTGAATTAGGGGCTGCGAACATCATGGTTATCAGGAGACGCGATAGGCATTAGAGTTTCATCATCAAGAGATCATGTTATTATTGGATCCCGCCATAATTACAAACAGTTATATCTATCATTATGCAATCGCATTACCATCAGCACCCAAAAATGAGTTACCCGAATACATTATTATCTCATCAACATTAAACCAATGAGGAAAACTATGCTGTTACTTTATGGTTAATTAAACTTATATCAAATGACCGATAATTTATGCAGAGATGAAGGTGTACCATAGATCATTCTTCTATCATAAAATAACAACTTTTCAAATCCTAATGAACTTAATTCTCAGACCATCAGGTTGCTTATTATCTTCTGAGAATCGAAAATCCCAACCATCATCGTCATCCTCCTCCTCTTCTTCCTCCATTTTGTTATGATCTTCGTTCTCCTTTTCACTAGATGCTCGACGAGTACTATGGCCCTCATAGGCAATAACCGAGAATCTCTTGACATTTACCTCCTGCGAATCAGGTTCGTGGTGAAATTCCTTTGAGGTCTGGTTACTAGTATTATGCACCCCGGTTTTCTCCTGCCTGTTGTTACTATGATGATTATGATGATTGTTCGATCCAAATGATCGGAAATTTTTAAACCCCATGAACCTTTTTGACGAATGTTCGGTTGAAGCAGATGATCTTCTGGAAGTACTAGACGACAGTCCAGTCACCCCAGGGCCGGGTCCACCACCTCGCAGACTACTATTACTACTACTGCCCGATCCTCCAGAGAAGAAGAAATGAGATTTTTCAAATGGTGATCGCAGTCCAAGATTGTTTTCACTATTTCTTCTTCCCGATGATGTTGACGAGATTCCCGAGGAGGAGAATGATTTCATATGGAGAGAGAACCTTCTTCTGGATGATCTGGCGGTGAAAATGCTGCTGGCATCGTCGTCATCATTATCATTGGAAGTTGAGTTATGGTGGCCATTGGAGAAGAGCATTGTGGACATCGATGGTTTCTTGATCAATTGTTTCAGCGAAGGAGGAAGGAGAGAAACACTATTGTTGTTTTTGTTGTTGTCGTTGTTGTTGCTGTTGTTGTTGCTAGCAGTAGGGGATAAATCCTCTGGGTTGATCAGCAAGCCTTTCACCCCCGACGCCAACGTGCCTTCAACGCTCATTATTGTTATATGGTATTAAGTTGTAGAGTTAGAAAAAAAAAAAGGGATAGAAAGAATGAAAATAAAATTTCAACAAAATTCAAATTTGTTACAAATTGTTAATTCTCGACTATTGTTGTTGTGTATGCTTTTTTTTTTTTTCTTCTAATTTTATTTTTTCGGTGGTGGATCATCCCAAAATGGCATAACCAAGAAAAAAACAGATTCCACCGCAAATCATTTCTTAATTAATTGGGTTGTGGTTCGTAATTTATGAGTGCCTTTGGCAGGCTCAAATAAAATGATGGCAGTCGGCTTACGTTACTTTTGTGAGTGGCATGTGCAGAGATAAAATACTCGTGCAAATAATTATTTGTGAACTGAAAAACCCAAGAAAAAAAATTGCTGTATTAGAAGAAATCATCAGAGAATTATTCATAAAAACGAAGAAACAGAGAAGAATTAATATTTCGTGAAACTAAAAAAGTAAGAAAAAAAAACCAGAGAACCTTACCAAAAGCTACTCAAAACCAATTAAAGAACCAGAAAATCCCACCAAATAGAAAGACAGAAAAAAAAGAAAAGAGGAAGATTAAAATATAAAAGAGAAAACAAGTAGTAAGAGAATATAAAAATCATTATTGTAGAATAGGCACCTTCATTTTGCCACTTTTCGCATCGGAATCACCATTTGTTGTATCAGAATCAAGATTTTTACAATCGGGATCATCATGCTTTGCATCGGGGTTCGAAGGAGACATTGGCGGAGATAACTGGCCATATAACCTTTGAGGTTGATAAGTTTTCAATACTCTGGTATTTCTGGAGTCTCTTACGAGTAATTCACTATTCGAATGCATTTCTGATAACAACGACATCACTCTGGATTGGCCATGGTCAACTTTCGTTGGGATCACTTTTGACAGAGTCTTGCCGACTTTCTGTCCCAATTTAGATCCTCTTCTAGAAGGACGTTTTAGTTTCCTCGTCAGCTCACAAGAACCAGCAGTAGATCCAGAAGGCAACAGAGCCGACGTTGATGACGATGATGATGATGATGATGATGCTTGGTGGTCATTGATAGGTACTGGAGCACCATCCGAACGCTTTCTCACTTTTTCAAATTCGGTCCACGCTTCCTCTTCTTCGGGATTTTTATGTGGCACGGGTTCAGGAGATCCCAAAATCAGATTATTATTATTATTATTATTCAACGACCCTTGACCACTTCTATGCTGTCGGACGATTCTTTCATAAGTGGCGTCGGTCCTTCTGATGAACCGATTGGTGCTTCGTTGGCGGCGACGGGGATTATTATTATTTCGATTATTTTGATTATTATTCACTCTAGAAAGAAGACTTTCTTGTAAACAGTCGCACATGGGGCAATTCCAGTACCCCGAGTACGAGTCGTCCATTCCTAGACACTGAGGGTGAAAGCAGCTGCAGCAGTTTTCACAAACCGAGACATTTGAAGTGTCAGAGCTACTACAACAGAGCGAACAAGTGACAGAGAATGATAGAAGCAGGCTAATAGCCGAAGAGCTGGTATACCGCTGATTTCCAGGTTGTTGTTGTTGTAGTAATAGTGGGCCCTCATCGGTTTCTTGGGTAGGGGCCAAGTAGTTAGGATCCACTGGGAAGTTTTTGTGTTCCACCAGGTACTGGTAGATAAGTTTACCGTGTTTATCAATGAGTTCGACAGTATTAAACCTTACTCTGCATTTTGGGCACGAATTGGCCTGGTGAGACCAAGATCTGATACACAAGTCATGGTAGCAGTGGTTACACGGCGATAATTTGGCAATAGCGTGCTGGATGTGCGACGGGTTGGCGAGCGACTCGATACAGATCGAGCATTCGTCATCGTGGGATATTGGCAGAGACATTTTGTTGTGTAGAGGATAAGGGAAGAAGAGGAACAAAATATACAAAGACAAGAGAAAGAGTTATACCGTAAATATTTTTTTTTTCCTTTTTATATTATTATAGCAGGGTGATTGATGGGTTTTTCTTGTTGCACGTGAAGAAGAGATCAACATTTTGCCTCAAATAATCTTCCTCTTCCTTCTCTTTACCAATATTATTATTATATTTATTATATTTATTTGCCATGTCCCGTCATCAGGCTGATCTCGTTTTATGCTTGAAACAACCAGGAACCACGGTCGGTAGCTTGTGTGAGAAATGCGATGGAAGATGCCCGGTGTGTGATTCGTATGTCAGACCAACAGAGCAAGTGAGGATTTGTGATGAGTGTGCTTTTGGCCAGGATAAGCATCGGTGTGTGATCTGTGGGGGTAAAGGAGTGTCTCCAGCTTACTATTGTTTTGAATGTGTCAGGACCGAGAAGAACCGCGATGGGTGTCCACGAATCACCACGTTGGGGTCGACGCGGATGGACCATTACTACGAGAAAAGAAAGTAGTAACCAACCAATGCTATTGTTGCTATTCAAAATTACATAGAATAAAATAAAATAATAATAAATATAGATATATATGTACATGTAGACGACTGCCTCCTCACTATTTAAATCTTGTGTCTCTGGCTAGGGTCGACGTGCAATGGTGACCAAATACCCCTGGCACTTTCGTTGACACTCTGGACGGCATGCTTGTATTTCCCTAAGATCTCCCCACTCGACGAGCGAACAATATCCATTTTCTTGTCGATGGTCTCCAAGTCAAGGTTTTTCACACATATTGGCTTGGTTCTCCCGTTGGCGTAGTACCCGGTGATCACTGGGTGGTGGCCTGGTCTGTGATGGAGGTTGATCTGGATATTCTGGTTGTCTTGAGCAAACTTCTGGAACTTCTTCGATTGAATATATTGTTTAATCCCAAGCGAGCTGCCTCCCCAATTACAGTAATCGATCTTGATTTTTTGACACTATGAATAGTTAGTAAACGGTCTCAAGTTCCTGTCTAATAAAACAAAAACATCCTTCAACGTACCGGGAGAATGAAACTTTTGACACCGTTGATGGCCACGGTTGTTGCTTTGAGGGCCTTAACTGGCATTATTGCTATATTATTATTATATTATTATTATTATTATTATTGTATTATTTCACTGTCAATCACCGCTTTCAGCGCCAAAAGATTTTTTTTTTTTGGTCAAAAAACACTGTTAATTACGGCCGGGCAACGCTATTTCTCGCGCCATCAACAATCATCAACAGCCTTAATACAACAACAACAATAACAACAAAAATAATAATGAAACATCATCAACAGTAAGAGAGAAATCCCATGTCTGATATCCCCTTGCAAGAACAGGAACTTCCAGAAAACACCCCCAGCAACCCATGTGGTACACTGTTCAGGGCCAACACTTATGGTAGCTCTAGCGGGTCCAGCAGCGCCAGCAATGGTCATCATCTGGTCCCTGTCAATTTACCCCCAATGCCTCATCCAAAAGAAGATTTTGTAGACAGAACCCAGTTTCAACCGCTGGAATACAACGGCAATCTCGAATTACCTGACGAGTACTTGCAAATCATGACGGACAATGCAGGAGAACAGAAAATCTCCAAGAATGGGTTTTTCTATGACAAGGACCAACAAGACCGGATTGTGGTATCGACATTCACTTTACCTGGCAGAGGGAAAAGACTTTTTGTGGTGGCGACAGATATTCTGAAAGAATTGCAATTCCGTGACTCGTATCTTTTCCTTCACAAGAACAAGAGCTTGGTGAAGTTTGTCACCAATGATCAAGACAAAGCGTTTCTTATCGATCACAAGATCTTGCCTGCCCCATTCAAGTCCCGGACCATTGGGGTGATCACCTTCCGGTCATTATTCTTGATTTATGGGGCACGGCTACTCAGAAACGGGATAAGAATCAAAGATGATTATTGGGAAGACCTTGGGAAGACCCAAGGGTTCAAAGAATCCGACCCGGTATATGCCCACAAATCTCACCGGTCTAGTCAATCTTTAGGTAAAGAAGGATTACTGAGGACCAAGAAACACGAAAAATTGAAGAGCGGCGACCCTTCTAATGTTATGGTGCCACCACCGCCATCGTTATCATCAGGATCCTTGAATCCGGAGTCCTTGTCTCAATCAGCATCAAAGTTTAAATTATATAAACCACCGGCACATATTCCCGTGACGTTTTCCCGTCAACAGCAATTGGAATCGCGACTTTTACCTGACCCCACAGACGAGGTCAAACAGAACTATTTACTTTCTTCAGGAGTGACCAATGTGCCAATATTCAGCAAAGTCCCCGTCAATTTTGAGAATTTCCGGTATCAGCATCATGGGTCGCAACAACCTCCAGTGGTGGTGACTTCTCCTGGGGGATCGATTCCTCCGAGTATCACTTCCAGTCTTGTAGGAAATGAGAGTTTGATTACCTCTAATGGGGATAACATTTATCCTGTATCGTGCTTACACGGCCAAGGCATAACCGGGAAGATCCATTTGAATAAAAACTTGGTGTTGCCTAATTACAAAATCAAGGGCGAATCGCTTACAGCTGGGGCAAAATTCGACGATATGGTGGGACGTAGTATTCCTGTCACTGATAAACCGGAAATTTATGGTAAGAAATCTAATGTGGGGCTACGATTTTTCCAAACCCAAAACGTCATCAAAGAAATTTCCGGCCTTCAACAACCCCAGAGTTGTGATGATGATGGAGACAATAATAACAATGGTAATAATGATATCGAGACTCTTAAACGGTATGGAGAAGAATTACAACTACAAGGGACCATTCCAGCAATTAAACGAATTAGAACTTTGGAGTATCAGCAGAACGCGGTGTCTCTAAACCATAACATTGAAAATGCTCGGAATAGTCGTCGTCAACTGTGGAAATATTATTGGTTAGAGCGCAGTGGGGGGTTTAATCTTTATAAGAAGAATTTGAAGAAACGGGTGATGGCCCAAGAGCTCCGTGGTCCACGAACCGAGATGGAAACTTCAAAGGATAAGTATTGCTCGTATAGGGTGATTCCGAAATTTATTGGCCAAGGGAAAGAACCGGTGGAAAAACAAGAAGGGGTGGTGGATCTTGATATGAATGAAAATAGCGATGAAGAAGTGGTGGACGAGCGGGTTTATCCATTACCACCGAACTTCCATTTGCTGATGGATGATAAAACTCGCCTTACTCAGCAACGGATCCAATTGGTGAATGAATATAGGGAAAAGAAACTCAGCAATGATCCTGAGCAAAACATCGATTTGCATTCGTTGAGGTTCCATACGATGCTCAAGAGCCAGGTGGTCAAGGTTAGAAAACCTAACCCCAATGGAATTTCTGTGGACTAGTAGATATATATATGGCTAGGGTATACAATTGTAATATATTATTTGGTAAGAAACATGGTTACTTTGCTGCGTAGTTTGAAGAAAATTCTTTTTTTTTTCTTCGTTGTTGTGAGTACATATACATTGACATTTCAAGTATGTCAGTTGCTTGGTTGCTATCATGAAAAAAAAATATCATAGTATAAATACACAGGCAATTTATTAGAATATATAACATCATTTTAATCTCTCTCTGCGGTAATAATACTTCATCAGTTTATAATCCAAATTCTCTTGGTAATACTAACCTTTTTCTCAATCTCCGTTTCCACCATCATCATCATCATCACACCATCTGCTGGCTCATTTTTAACTGAGTAATTTTTAATTGATTAGTTAATTTCCATCCATAATGTCCAATAATTTCAAGACCGAAGTCTCCACTAAAGTGGATGAGGCCAAGACCACTGGCGAGCATTACAAGAAGGTGGTCACTGATGAAATAGATAAACTCGCTGGGGAAATGAAACCTGAAATTGAAAAGATCAAGGGGGAGATCAAACCAGAAATTGAAAAGCTCATTGGGTAAAAAAAAAAAAAAAGGAGTCCCAAAACCTTGGAAAACTTATATATATATATATATATATGAGTTTTCTGGTAATTTGCAAACAACGGTCCCCCTAATGAGACAAAAAGTGATACCCTGAAGCTGGGGGAAAAGACGTTGTTGATATTTTTTTTTCACGCTGGGAAAACCAAAGAGCGGGCAAGATATTGATATATATTTTGAGCTATAATTGTATAATATTTGGATAATAGATTTGAATATTTTGAAAAACAGAGATTTTTCTGAACAACTAAGATAGTTTGTAAGTGGATCGTAAATGTTCTTGAGGACATGGTGAAAGAGGTGATTTTCACAACATGCATGCATCATCTTCAACCTCAAATATTCTTGTCGCCCAGTCTCATCTCACTTAAATTCCACAATTTTTATCTTATTTCACTGATCCCGTTAGGAAACCACCATTTACTTGGTTACACTCTTTCCCAGATTTCTCTTTCATGAACATTTTCTCTTTCCAACAATAAGCTACATCATGAGTAGTTGTTTTATCTGGACTCTCTGGTTTAGATATTGACGATATATGTCTGAGGTTGATATTTTACCCTTTTGTCCCAATCATTTAGTGTTTTGGTCTCATCTCTTTTTTTCTTTTTTTTTTTTTTTCCAGCGATCATTTGAAAATTGAATAAACAATCTTTTTGAGATTTGACGTGTTTTTCTTGTTTGTTGTGGAATTTGCATTTTTCTTTGGATTGAAGCCATGATTTATTCTGTTGTATTATTTTCTATCACAGGTTTAAGTGATGTTGCTGCTGGATATAAGACTCCATGATGTGCATTCTCTCTTATCGTACAATTCATGACTAGCCCGGTTCGCCTTCGGGGATATCAAAGATTACTCTTTCAAAATTTTTAGCGTTGATTTTTATTTCTATGGCCATTGATTGCCTTGATTTTTAATTCTATCGTATGGAGAATCCACTTTCTGGCATGAGTAAACCCTGTATTCTGTGCTTCTTAATTTTCTTTGGCATTTGTCTCCATTGCTCATATCCCTGGCATGATTTCAACCCTTTAAAGAGCTTTTACTAAACATTAAAGTTTTTTTCTCCTATTAAACAAGTTCTGGAAGTCCATTTTTTAATTTCTTAGTGATAAGTGGAAGTCGCAAAACTTTCTAGATTTCAATTACATGATGCATCGCTACTATAAATTCTAGATTTGCGGATCCATACAGATTAGTTATTAGGAAACGAAGTCATTACAATCATCATTCATCCATATTTTATTCAATGCAATCACTGACTTATTTATAGGCCTGAATAAAGGCTTTATAATTTGAAGCAAATAATTTAGCGAGTTGGAAACCCAAGTAATAAATAATAACTCTCAATACTTGAACTTTTTCCCTTCATGAACGAACTTTTGCTTTTTTAGATTACTTAAATAATCTCTCCAATCTAACGATCCTGCTGTCAAGCACCACAAATCACCCACCGATATCAACCCATATTTCGCTCTGGTCAATGCCACATTCATTCTCCGTCTATCACTAACAAACCCCACTTTACTATGATCGTTCGAACGAACACAAGAAAACACAATGAAATCTTTTTCTCGACCTTGAAAAGCATCGATTGATATGCACCGTCACCTCTATCTTCACCATCATCACCATTTTTGTTCTTCTTTTTACTCTTCATCGAGAACATACTCTCATGGCTTCTTCCCCTGGTATCCCAAAACAAAAGCGGCTTATCAATCCCCTTTATCGATCTTTGTCCAACCGTCACCCCATCCTGAAGCAACCCATTGTGGAACCGATCTCTAGGAAATGCAGAAATATACGTATGCATACGATATTGAGTATCCAACATGTGCGCCCGCTCATACGTGCCATTCTCAATTACCCTTTCAAACAACGAGTACTCCAACACCTCAATATCGGAATAGAAATTCAATTGCTTGTGATCGCCAACGAGCACGAATTTCTCAACACTTTGAAGCGATAATGGGATAATGGTGCTGGGCTCGGAAGATTGGGTGGCCTCGTCCATGATCACCACCGGGATTTCCTTGGGGTGTTGGAGGGCACAACATCCCGAGCCAACGGTGGTAGTCAACACCACTTTGAACTCCCCCATAAGCCTCTTAATTATTGATCCTTTGGCTGCAAAAAGTTCCTGAAAATCCCGTTTGTCAAACCCATTAGGATTTTGGTCCCTCAACGCCCGCTCCACCGCTTTTAATGCAATAGAAAGTTCCTCATAAACTTTATGATGAAGAGTGATTTTCCCCAATGGATGCGGATTCTCTCCCTCATCAGAATAATCATTAACCCTGGCCGCTGACACGATCCGGAGAATCGTGTCCTTAAGATGCCCAAACTGCTCAAACAGTTGCCCAATCTCAAGCAACTTCTCGGCAATATTATCAATGGCAATATTGGAATGCGCCACCACCACAATCGGACCATTTAACTTTCTTGGCTGTGCAAGAAGTTGAAAGATGGTTTCCACAATCGTTGCGGTTTTCCCGGTGCCTGGAGGCCCTTGCAAGACCGTAATGGAGTTTGCCAAGATCGATCCAATGGCGATCTTTTGCGATGGATTAGGTGATTTTTCTGTGTACTGGGCCACAAAATTAGCGGTATTCGGTGCAATTTGGGTAATTGGGGTTTGGCCCAAGAGCATACTGATAAACTCTTTATTAGACAATTTAGTCAACCCTCGCAAGATTCTCGTGGCCGTGGCACTGCATGGTAAAACGTTTAATGTATGCATCGGTAATGATTTTGGTAATTGTTTCACTTCCCAAGGATAAATCATGATAAGCACCACGATATCCGCAATCTTTTCAAATTCAATATCATCATTTTTCCCAAGAGTCCTTCCATTAAAATCCACCAAGTCAACGCTTTCCGCATACCCGCACCAAAAAGCCCTTGTACCGTCATTTAAAATGAAAGTTTGCCCCTTTGCAAAAGGTGATCTCTGAATTTTTCTCTCTGATTTCGAAAGTATGGTGTTCATTTCCTTTTGGTAATCAAATGTTGCCGTATAACATACCTCGCCACCCAAATCCTCATGGCTAACGTCTTTTTCCTTCTTACTATCAGGAGTATGATTGGTCCAGCTAAATACAACATTTTCTGAGGGGAAGGTCTCGAATAAGTCATCCAAATAAGCACACCAACTAATTTCTGAGATATATTCTTTCATAGATGGGTATCTGAGGGTACTGGATCTCTTTTGGCGTTGTTTTTTCCAAGCATGCTTGAGGTTAAAAAGGAGTAATTCCTTGTTTAGCTTGGCTGTTGGGCGATTGTAAGTATACAATGGTCTTAGTTGTTTCCGTGGCTTTCTATCTGGCGGTTTTTGTAAGACTGGTTTTGGTTTCTTCTTTGGTTTTTTTAAAACATTCGGAACAATAGGAACAGCATCATCAAGTTTCAAACTATCAATTTTCCCAATGAGGCCATCACCAACATTTGACATCTTTAAGATGAAAAAAGTACTATTCAAATCTTCTTTAATGGTTTAGTATTGTAATCTTTAAGATTTAAATGTATCTATTGAGTAGCAGACGGGCTTCATGCCATTGAATAACCAGAAGAAGAATAGAAATAACTCATATCATACACATATATCGCAAACCTTCTCCCTTTATGTCTTGTTTCCCAATTTCCCTTCTTTTTTTTCTTCTTCTTGTTCCCTTCCCTGTTATCTGATTTGGGAATGTTTTAAAAGCTCCAGAGCCCTCTCTCTCTTTCTGTACGGTGATGCGAGTATCATGTTCTTTGACGGTTTATCATTCACTGTTTATCCGATCTTTGCAATTTTTTTTTAAGAAAAAAGGTGGAATTGGGAAACAATATATAAAAAGGGAAGGTTTGCCAACTATGTGAGGTATTTTCTCTGCTTCTCATTCTTCTTCTCCATCCATGGAATGAAGTTCGCAAAGATGCATTTAAATCTTAAAGAAGGTTCCATTTAATCACCAAAGAAGATTCCAAAAATTTAAGCATAGAATATTATTGACCATTCAACCATAGAAGAGGATTTGAATATTACAGCATCGGAGAAACTCCCAATAGCGTGCATTTCATCTTGAAGATGTCTAGCCGTGAGAATACCTGTCGAGGCTGTCGGAAACCGTCTCAACGAGAAAGCATTCTCAACAGCATGGCCGCTTCTTATCCCCAATCTTTGCAAGGGTTCCACGCTTCTGGAAAAAACCTTGATTGCGTATGGTGTAATCAGCTTGTCCTGTTGAACTTTGACGCTTTGGCATTGTTATGTCCCGAATGCTATCGTCAAATCGCAGATGACGATGATGGTGATTATTATCTCATTAACGAAATGGATAGCTTGAACCTTGGTGATGATGATTATAATTATGGCTCTGATGATGGTTATAAGAGTTTAGTCAACTGGGAAAATACTATTGTTCCAAAAGATTTGCAAAAACCAAAGAAGAAACCAAAACCAATAGGTCTTGCTTCAACAGAACAGAAGTCCTGGAGAGATCAAATGAGATCAAAATATCAGTTGAGAGACTCCGCCCCATTGAATAATAATTACAATCACCAAACAGGGGAGCTCAACAAGGAATTACTCCTTTTCAACCTCAAGCATGCTTGGAAAAAACGGATTTTCAGGAACTTTTTGCAGCCAAAGGATCAATAATTGAGAGGCTTATGGGGGAGTTCAAAGTGGTGTTGAGAAATTCGTGCTCGTTGGCGATCACAAGCAATTGAATTTCTATTCCGATATTGAGGTGTTGGAGTACTCGTTGTTTGAAAGGGTAATTGAGAATGGCACGTATGAGCGGGCGCACATGTTGGATACTCAATATCGTATGCATACGTATATTTCTGCATTTCCTAGAGATCGGTTCCACAATGGGTTGCTTCAGGATGGGGTGACGGTTGGACAAAGATCGATAAAGGGGATTGATAAGCCGCTTTTGTTTTGGGATACCAGGGGAAGAAGCCATGAGAGTATGTTCTCGATGAAGAGTAAAAAGAAGAACAAAAATGGTGATGATGGTGAAGATAGAGGTGACGGTGCATATCAATCGATGCTTTTCAAGGTCGAGAAAAAGATTTCATTGTGTTTTCTTGTGTTCGTTCGAACGATCATAGTAAAGTGGGGTTTGTTAGTGATAGACGGAGAATGAATGTGGCATTGACCAGAGCGAAATATGGGTTGATATCGGTGGGTGATTTGTGGTGCTTGACAGCAGGATCGTTAGATTGGAGAGATTATTTAAGTAATCTAAAAAAGCAAAAGTTCGTTCATGAAGGGAAAAAGTTCAAGTATTGAGAGTTATTATTTATTATCATTTATAATTTATTATTATTATTTATTATTATTGTTTATTATTATTATTTTTTATTATTATTTATTATTATTATTTATTATTTATTCCAACTGGATATATCATTTGCTCCAAATTATAAAATCTTTTTGATCATCACCAATGTAATCTACAAAAAGCATAGATATTTCATTAACAACACTAATACTCATTTATTTAATTTTTTTTTTTTTTATTTTCCCTTTTTTTTTCCCTCAATTGTTTTCCAATTCATAAAAGACTAATAACAAGTTAAATAAAAAACTAAGCAAAAGTAACAAAAGAAAATTGGTAGCTGGTTACACAATAAATAAAATGAAAAAAAGAAAAAAAGAAAAAACAAGAAAAAAAAGTTATTTTTTAGAAACAAAACAAGGCTAGATCAATTTTGATTCAGACCAGTAATTATATATATATATATATATATCAAATAGCATTTTACAATTTTCAATCCAATATAATCAATCAAAAAATAAAAAAGCAACAAACATATCCACAACTATGAAAAATTTCCAATCATTTCAAATGAAAATAATAATAAAAAAAAAGTCAGTTTTCTCCAGATTATAATTATCTAGTGTTGTTGACCATAAACTACTCTATAGTTATTGTATTGCATGGTTGGTGGAGGTCTAGTGTCTTTACCCCACCCACTCTTCAACATTCTACCATTGAAGTTGTAACCACTCAATTGGACAATAGCCACGGCAGCTCTTTCATGAGAATCGTACTTAACAAAAGCACAACCTTTTTCTGGGTGGAATTTGAAGTCGACAATGAAACCATAAGTTTGTAAAAGAGGAATCAATTCGTTTTGACTGGTGAAGTGGGCCAAGTTACCAATGTAAACAGTGGTTTGCCAAGTTGGTGATTGACGGAGAACAAACTCATAAGTTTGCACTGGGTTAAGACCCATTGGAACATTACCATTGTTGTTTGGTCCGCCATTTTGTTGGAGTGGAGCCCCAACGTTTTGTGAAGGTGGAGGAAGCACCCCGTTTGGGCCGTTTTGGAAACCGCCATTGTGGTGGTGGTGGTTGTGACCAGATGGGATCTTTTGCTTGTGGGAAGCCCAGTTCAATCTGATTTGACGACCACCAATCCATTCACCGTTCATGGTTTGCAAAGCTTGTTCGGCTTCAGCTTGGTCATTGAAGGAAACAAACCCATAACCACGGGAACGGCCAGTTTGCATGTCCCACATGACGTGGGCAGAAGTGAGGGATTGGAACCCGCCAAAAGTCTTACCAAGAAGATCATCATTGACTTCAGAAGACAAATCACCAACGAAAAGGTTGAAAGTGTCGGTGGTCTTGGTGGATTGTGATTGGAAAGCCCAATTGATCGAGATTTCCGAGTTGTTGATCAGACGGCCGCTCAAAGTGTGCTTGGCCATTTCAGCGGATTGGCCGTTATCGTATTCAATAAAAGCATAATTGTAACCTGGACGGTTCTTGTCAAAGAGAATCTTGACTGATTGAACTTGACCAGTGACGTTGAACAATTCACGAAGCATTTCTTCGGTGACTGATTTTGGAAGACCAGAAACGTACAAAATGTTGTTGGACATTTCACGACCACCTTCAATGGCATTAGCAGGAGTGACTTCTGGTTGAGGAGGAGCAATTGGGTTAGCAGCAGCACCTTCTGGAGCAGAAGCAGAGCCTGGAGCGGCGGCAACAGGGGCGGCGCCAGCAGCAGCTGGAGCTGGGGAACCAGAAACTGGAACTTCGGATGGGATTTGTTCAGAACTCATAATTGTAGATATTAAATTGAATTAATAAGAATAATCTTTGACAAATGAAACCAACAAAAAAAATGAATTGGGAAACCAAAAATCAAAAATCAAATCAAAAAGAAAAATGAGGTGAGAGAGAGATTAGAGAGAAAAAATAAAGCGGGAATGTCTAGAAGTAGTACAAAAACAACAAAAAGACAAAAAGAATAAAAAAAAAAAAAATGGAGGAAGAAGGAAGGAACTATTGAAATGCAATAGAACGGGTGTTTGGTGTGGGTGTGTGTCGTAATATCGATGTGCTATCAGATGGCCAACTAAGTCAAACTGATTTTGTTTTATTTTATTTTTTTTATTTTTTTTTTTTTCTTTGAGCAGCAAAAAATCGCGAAAAATTTTTTTTTTTCCTGCTGTGGTTGGTCACGGGGTCGTGGACACTTTCTTTGTTGCAATCAGCGAGAGGACCACCGTTTGCCAGGAATGGCTAGGTGGATATTGAAATGAGATATAATATGTATGTATGTAGAAATATAATATACTCTGGAAATATCACACAACACTCGCTTTCTAATGGTGGAAATGCCCCTAAAAGATAGAGAGAAGGACAACACAGTTGGTCCGGGTAGTGTTCTGATCAATCATTTACCCTGTCTTCGCCTCCCAATAGGGCAATTTGTGTGGGGTGTGGTACACTGTCATGATTCTTGATTCCTCTTTTATTTGGCCATTTTCTTCTTCTTATTTAATGTGATTTCTTGCTGGTTAATATAATTCTTCTTTTATTGAATATTCTTCTTTCCAGTTCTTGTGGTTTCCAGTCATTGGCAGTAAATATCTTATCAATGTGGTCGTTATTGACGCATTATAAAGGTCTGGCTGACATGCATCGTAATCGTAACCACCTTTACCAGTTGGCATGTAGAAACTTTATTCGATCAAATAGAGTCTTTGTATTTATAAAACCTTACCGACGTCAAGCTGTATGAGAGAAATCTCTGGTGGTTAAGCCTTTATAGGATATCGTTATCCATACTTTTGTCTTGGAAGCCTTGTTCTTTGCATTTCATTTTCAAGTTGCTATTTGTACCCCCCAGTTTTGATTAATAACTAGTTCGGGCTCGATTGTTGATAGTAATAGCAGCTTTACCAGTTCAAGAATCTGTAATTGTTGATATTTACTCATTAAGTGGTTCATATTCACAAAGTTTTCAACAATTTATTTTTCGTTTGTTAAACCATGTCATCAACTTGTATTGTCTTCTCATAGATAAAAAAAAACAATGAAAAAATTCAAAATGATCTGAATTGGGAGGGCTTTCTTCTCCTGTGTTATATATAAGTCAAGCAATATCTACTCTCCAATGCAGAGTAAGAATGAGCATTTACCATCTTTCATACTCTCCATGTTGAGAAAACACACTGCTGAACCTCAAATGATTCGCATAAGAAGAAAATTGGAATCAGGGGATAAATTCCACTACTTCTTGAGTATGCTGAATATCCTAGACTTTTTCTAAATTCAATCGATAAAGTAGCCAACTGGTATTGAGAAGTGCTTCATTCTCCGGGTCTTTTAAAAACTTACATGATCATTATTCTCAGAATACTCCAAACCCAACAGCATTCCAAAACCCTATGTATGGTATTTAGTTGAAAGTGCTTAATAATTTAACTACTCACCCAATATTTCTTCGTAATAATTGTAAATCTCTGAGTTATAACTCAAAAATGCGCTATCGTCGGACTGCGATACCGGCCATAAGGCACTTTTTATGCTGATGGGTATTGGCTGATTATGGAGCTTCCACAGCGACCACCCAATATCAAAGAAGTTTATGATATATCTTTTTGTCAGACATTATATTCATCAATTATTATTATAATAATTTTGTTTCCTAATTGTTGAATATTATGGCGAACCATCAAGGTCAATTCAATTTGTGATCCTGCGAGGACATTTGATTTGATTTGGAATCTAATGATCGTCAATTGTCAGTATCAAACCAAACAAAAGTAGTCAATGATCTTTCAAATATTATATATAATCCTAAAAAAACACCTAAAAAAAAAAACAAACGCAAAATAACTGCAAAATCACCATAAAATAATGCCAAACTCATCACCAAATGTGCCAAAAAGGGGGTGGTGAGCCCCACTCCGGTCAGCAGCCCTGGCATCGCCCCGGAGGAAATTCGATCTGTTTGAAGTTTTCCATTTGACTCATCTCCCAAGAGGCGAACGCTATTCTTTTTTGGTAACATAATCAATAGCATGCCTCCGAAGAAACCAAGCAAGGCAAAGGTTATCAGGTCAGCCGACGGGGTCGAGCGTGTGGCCCAGGCTTGTGATCGCTGTCGCTCGAAGAAAACGAAATGTGATGGTAAAAGACCCCAGTGTTCTCAGTGTGCTGCAGTGGGGTTTGAATGTAAAATAAGTGATAGGTTATCGAGAAGAGCTTTTCCTCGAGGGTATACTGAATCATTGGAAGAACGTGTTCGAGAGTTAGAGGCGGAGAATCGCAAACTTATTGCTCTAATAGATCTAAAAGACGAACAATTGGAGTTACTCTCGAAGCCAACTAGTAATAACAATAACAACGATAACGATAATAATGATAATGATCATCGTCGGGATACCACAACAATTGATAAAAAGGCCAATGGTATTAATACCAATATTCCTCAAGAATCAAAGTCCGCAAGTTTTCTACCCAATGACAAATCAACCTCTTCATCAATTGCCATTCCTCAACCATCAAAAACACATTCCAGTGTGGTAATAGATCAAGAATCGCCTCTAAATTCCGATAATTTGTCATTATTGAACCAATTAAACCAACCGAAATTACATACCCACGAACCCCACGAAGAAGGTTGCAATTGTGGATGTGTAAACTTCCCTCATTCTGTCCATGAAAGACCTACTAGTATTGCCGCCAGTGTGATTCTCGGAGATCGACAAAATGATAATTTTGACGATGACGATAATGACGATGATCTTTTATCAATCTCGAGCTTTGAAAGCTATAGCAATGACAAACTAGGAAAATCAAACTTCTTTGATGATGGGAAGAAACAACTCGTAGGTCTACGAAACCCTGCAACGTCTTCATCTTCTTCCAACATGAATGCCTATTACAATAATTTCAACGTGTCATTCGAACAAAAAGAAGCTCCAGGGGCAGCAGCAGCAATGGCCATTGCCTCGATGAATAATGACAGAAATAAAATTAAAAATCAAATTGCAACCCTCGTGGCAATGTCAACCCCACGAACCACAGAAGAAATATTATTCATCCCATCGCTCATTGGCAAACTCGGTAACGCTCATGGATTCGATAGTAAACCAGCAGTGTTCACCGCCAAGACTTTGGCATTACTTAAGTACCATTTCGTCACCAAAAACCCTAACCATATGATTGATGATTCCACCATCATCAACCTCAAGAATATTAATTTCAATAAAATCAGCCGGGCAGAGTCTCATTTATTTTTTGTCAATTTGAAGCTCCCAAACAGATTAGATTTGGACCAACTTATCACTTACTATTTCCAAGAATGGCATAAATTGGTCCCGGTGGTTGATCAACAAGAATTCTTGAAAAATTACATGAAGTTGATGCAAAGTGCCGAAAATAAGTTCAACGATAATGACATGTTTGGCAATGAGAAATTCGGGGCAGTGGCGATAATAATCGTGGCGTTGGCACTTTTGGGTAGAGTAAAATGCTCACGACACTCTAATGATACCTCGTTTGCCAAAGGTAATCAAAAGTCTATTCGATTCATTCATTCGAATAAATCCTCTTCGACCCCATTCAATAGTAATTATAAAAATTGCGACCAGGAGCAACCAGGGGTAATTAATGATAATGACGCCACAATTCGTCTTCTAAACTATTATCATCATCTAATCAAGCAGATTATTTCGTCATCGATTGTCGAGTCTTGTTCCATGCAGTCGTTACAAATCCTTTCCCTTGCCCTCTCATATACCCTTAACGTCGGGGATATTGGTAGTTCTTATACCCTTCGGGGTAAAGTGGTGAGCATGGGTCAACAATTGCGTCTTCATCGTTGTCCATCAGCCGTTTTGAGCAATAGTGGTTCGATTGTCTCAAAAATCCAACAATCGGAACGTCGTATTCTTTTTTGGTGTATTTTCATCCTTGATGCGTTTGGGTCATTACAGTTGGGGGTTCCAAGATTATTGAAAGATTATGAGATTGAATGTGCTTTGCCATTTGCCAATGATGATGCTGAAGATGACAACAACACCAATATTTTAATGATCAATAATTCTCCATTGTCACTCGTTGGTAAAGTTTCAAGTCTTTCCCTCGCAATGATGCGTTTCTCAAAGATTTTGGGGAATATTTTGGACTCAATTTTCCGGAGAGGCGGGGTGACCATCGATGCCCTTGGGAAATCGTGTATTATATTGGAAGATTTACTTGAAAATTGGCGTAAAGACTTACCAGACCATTTGAAATTTACTCTTGATGTCAATGGAGTTTTGAAAAACCACGATTACCAAAATTACTCGAACAAAATCTTGACCACGATTGTCCTTTATTACCAAGCCAAGATCTTGATTTATCTTCCAGTGCTTGCTGCCGAAGTTCGTTCATCCAGAGGCTCATCCTCGTACATAACTATTCAACAGTCAACCAACACCATCATGGGGATTACCAACTTCATGGCTCAACAAGCATGCTTTTTGGCCACTCCTTTCAATTGCGCAAGAATGAGAGCCCGTTATGGGTTATTGGGGGCTAAAGGGGCGTTAGATTACGCGCGGGGCGGGAATCTTTTCCAAGACTTGAAACTGAAATTGACCGATTTAATTGCCGATTTGAAATTGGAGACAGAATTAGAGACCCCTGGTTGTTTATCGGTCAATGCCATTAAAACCTTTGAAGAAACCATCCAGTCGATTTTGAGTCCTCCGAATTCCGCGGCTGCAATTTTGAACGGATCTGCCAATGGTAAACAGAAACAAAAAAAGAATAGGGTTAATGGAAATGGGGCTCGAAAATTAATATCTTCGTCAACAACTAATGCCGCCGATGTTTCTAGCCGGTTCCCAAAGATGGAGCCTAATGTTCATTCACCTTTAAGTAATGTCACAAATAATAATAATAATAATAATAATAATGCAGTAATGGTGAACAATGCTACTCCAGGTGGGATCTTGTTGGATGGTAGTGCATCGTCTATGGTGAAAAGCGCGAGCACCGAAACCTCAGTTTCCACATCTTCTAATGGTCCTGCGGCTCCGAATGTCAGTGTTAGTAGTGATGAAATGATGGGATTCCTTGAATCGTTAGTGGCCCAGCCAATGTCGGTGTCTAGCAGCACCAACCAGGCGCGGGGATCACCGACCGAATACGAAGGCGATCAAAACTTCTTTTCAGAATTCGCTGCTGATGGGTCGCTTGGGCTTGCCCAATTATTGGATTTGTCATTGATATCCAGCATGGCGGAACAAGAAGCGAAACGCCAGGAAAACTCACCACCTATTAATCCTGATGGCGAAATGAAACTCATGAATAACAATGGTAATGAATCTAATATCGGTAGCTCGATCCCCCATAATAACGGGTATAATGCGAACCAGTATAATACCAACCAGAATCCTAAGAACAATAGTAATGCCGCTGATAGCATTTTGCAAAGCGGGATTAGTGCATTCTTCAATAATAATGATAATAACCCAGTACCGACGGACGAGTACTCGCGTGGAAGTTTTTTCCAATGGCAGAAATGATCAAATATTATATCATACGGTGGAGAAGGCCCAATTGGTTAAACTCTTTGTTTTCTTAGATCATGTCTTTTTTTTTTAGTTGTTGTTTTCTACTGAATTTTTTTTACACAACGACCTTATTATAATGAAGCAGGAACGGGAATTTTCAGAGGTGTATAATAGTATTTACTAGCTTGGGATGAAAAATTTTTTTATTTGGCAGCTTTTTTTTTTTTTTTTGTTTCTTTGGAAGCTTTTTTTCTAAGCTTTTCAGTTATGATGATGATTGTTTTTTTACCGTTTATTTTTTCACTATTTTGTTTTCACTCCTTCTGAGAGTTTCATCTTTATATAATGTTGTTATATCATGTTACGTTTCTTGAATTTTTAAATGGTTGGTTTCTTTACGATCAGTTGTGCTTTAAATATAAAGTATTGTCCACTTGACACAACGGCATTTTATTATTATGAAAATAGTGGAGTAGTCAACCATCAATGACTTTATAGATAAGTTAGGAAATGGCAGAACTCTATCTCTTATATACATGCTGCTGGGTAAGTATGGAAATAAAAGTCTCCTTTATAGACGCACGAGGGGCGTCTCTCTCATCGGTTTGACGTGATGTGGTCATAGACAAAATAGATTATAAAGTCAGAGCAGCTACTACTCGCGAAATATATTATTATCAGTTGATATCTGACTTTTTAGAATGATTACTCAATATTGATTTGGAGGCAATTTTCTCAATGTAATGCCCAAATAAATATCCCACAAATGGTAATTAGAATTTCTCAAATCACAGGAGACTTCCCAAATCTTTAACCACAAAGCAACAACAATACAACATTGGAGCACAGCTTGAAATATAAATGGAATAATATATTATAAATACTATTTCATTATATAGAGTCTGATGGGGGCACCCCCTTTCCGATTCTAGGAGCACAGAGGGGTGGGTGTGCATGTCTTGTTGTGAAGGTCCCATTTTTTTTATATCTTCTTTGTGTTCTATTGTTGAAGTTCGATTGGCTTTTCCTTGATAGAAAGGGCGGTCCAGGGGTTGGATTAGCTCCACTATTTTTGTGAATATAGAGCTAGGTGGGATATTTTCTCTTGTGATGTTGAGATTGTTTACTGGAGCATCTACGATGTAGGGAAAGATTCTTACAGATTGATATTTTTTGTTCGATACAAAAAAACTGTTCTTATTTCTAATTGTTTATAATACAGAACAATCAACAGAATATTCCAGGAATAATATAGGATATTAAATAAAGAATACACCAAATAATGCAAAATGAAAAGACAATTTGTAAAGATACTTTAGCCGCCGGTGCTCAAGGAAGCACCATAAAGGAGTAAACCGCACCTTCTGGAACAGAGGGTCTGTGATTTCCAGTGGATTATGAATAGAAAGAATTTCATTACCAATTTCACTATATATAGTGAGTACTTAATGTAGACTTCTCAACTATGTATCCAGTGCTTTCACACCTCCAAAAGAAACTTCCCAATGATTTAATAATCCAAATGTGTGAGCTCCTAGGTTATCCAGAGTCCAGTGAAATTTTAAAGCTTTGTGTTATAGAAGATGTACAAGCAGAATACTATTCTAATGACATAGTTAATAAATCTATTATTGATTTAAGTATAATTAACTTTCCTCTTGAAATCTCCCAGAGCCTACAACAATGAAAATTTCCAAGGCTTAATTAGTCTTAAAGAGTTGCGTGTATCATATACTGATTTAATTACGAGCATCCAAGGGTTGCAAACTATACAAGAGACTCTGATTACCCATAATTGTAGTTTTTATTTGCCATATGATGATCTAACAGATTTTCCCAGACTTTTTTCAAGTAACAAACTCTCAGAATATCTTCCATTGTCTTTAATTTTATCGAACCCAACATTTCTCCTTAATTATCCGAACATTCCAGCCTTCAAAGCAAATCAATGATCTCACTTCTGTTATTAATACGGTAGCTCTAGGATATCGCTGGTTGCAAGCAACATAAATCAATGATATTTGTTGCCTTGGTAATTGTACTAGACTTCTTATGCTTATCACCACAAAATTATCAACGTTAAATCTCCTGGCTAATCCAATCCAATTAGGGAAGGAGAGTTAGCGAGGTTGAATGAGGTGAAAAGCCCTGTAATTAAGGTCTTCTCAAAACGTATACATCGATTCCTTTACCAATGATCTGCATCTTTTTGTACTTCAAAATCCCTTCAACTTTTTTATTTTCTTCAGCAAGGAATATTCCCACTGCTTCGGGGTTCTCCTCTTGTTCAACTGGGAATGTGAAGTCCGCGGTCTTCATCATCAATCGCATGTAATTCCCATAATTAAACCCTTTTGAGTTTACTGATGTGCCGGTTCGCAATATTTCAAGCTGGGTCTTATCTATTACCAAGTGGATTCTCCATCCAGCTTTGGCGAGCCCCAAGACAATGTTATCTTTCGACCGGGAAACGTTGAGCGGGATTTTTTCAGAGCTACTTTCTTTGGTAGAATGATGATCCCAATCGTCTAGAACGAATTTCCCATCTTTGGCCTTGCTATTAATTAAAGATATCGATTCGAGTTCTTCAACATCAATATGGAATAGGATATCAACCAAAGAATCACGGAAGGTTGTAGTAATTCGCGAAAGATCGATCCTTGAGAGCCGTAGTTTAGTGGCGCGATGGAGTCTCACTATAGATTTCGAGTTATTTGATACAGATACCACGGTTTGGAAGAACGCTGGGTTTTCGGGAGTCAATTGCTGGGCTATGGCTCGACGATTGATGAATGCCCTGATGGGGATTGCCGAGCGATCCAGGATTTTGAGAAATGAAGTTCTAATGAAGGTGTGTTAGTAATCATGTTTGTGTTTGGTGCGAATATATATATATTATACACATACGAAGGGGCCATTCTGGTTGATCTTTATATCACCACCCCCATAGCTCATCGCTCATTCTGAGTTGTCGTCGTAATTGACCCCAGCCGGCCATCCACCCGCACACCAGCCAGCCGCCCACTCCCACTGATTGCGAGAAAACACCCGCACACCACAACGTTCTTCTTCTTTTTTTTTCACCCAAAGTAATTTGTAACCGCCGATTGTTGTGTCTGCCATCACTAGCAAATAAACAAGCAATATCCACAGCCACTCTCTCCCCCCCAAGGAATAGTAATACTCGCACATCCAAAAAACAAGCACCAGTCATCCACATTCCCCTTTCACCTTCCAAATACAAACCCTCTTATGGCGTTCCCGCTTATTGTTTGCGCCACCAACGGTCGGCAATCACTGTCCCTTCTTGATTCCTCAAACTTTACTCTCGTACTGTTTACCTCGGTAAAACAATTATTTGTAGGGCTCATTGGACTATCGCGTATCGAACACAGCTTTGCCTTTCCTATCCCAATTGTCATCAACGTACCCGCAGTGCCTGCGTCGTCATGGGCAGACCTGTTGGAGGATCTCTCATTTCTTCAATTGGAAGTACTATTATCTGCGTTCTTCCCGCATTTGAACATCATCATCCTTGATTACCATAGTGTGACTGACCAACCAGGGAAATTGGAGCAAATATTATTCCGGGAAGTGGTGACTAACCATCATTTCTTTTCAAAGAATCGGTTCCGTCGTATGCAAACATTGGTGGGATTAAATGGGGCTCCCCACGATTTATCGTTGACGGTATTTGGCAAAGTCACGTCGTTTGACCAATTAACTGATAAACACCGGGGTTTGTTAAACGAACTAACGTCACTAAATGTTACAAAGACTTACAATGATTCAAATTACCCATTGCTCCCATCGTTTATTAATACTATTCCAAAGAACCTTGCTCGGGTGTTGAACCAAAACCATAATTTCTCTAGCAATATTCATCCACTCACCCCAAAGACAAAATATAATCAGTATCTTGATTTAATGTTGAAAAATATCGACTTTGAAAATATCTTGTGCATTGGTGACGACCGGAAGTTTTATATCGAAGAATTCCTAATAGAAAGTTGGTATTTCCAAGCACACGATTTGACGTACGATGAATTGGTTTATGTGTGTTTTCTAATATTCAAGAGAGTCTTTCAATTATTCCCCAAGGACTCCGGGATAGCGTTGGATGACAGCAAATTATTGTGTTTGTTGATTAACGTGAGAGAAGTTTATGTTGGAGGCAACGATTTTCACAATTTCCGACACGCCGTGGATGTGGTACAAGCAATCTTTTATTATTTCCTCAAATTGAACCTTGTGCCAAAACACTCGATCATTTCCAAAAAGAAAATTGTTCATGATTATAAACGTCAAAAAAATAATGCCTCTGAGCTTTGTGAGGACGGGAATTGTTGGAATCATATCGTGGATTTCAATGAACAGACTATTGATAACAATGATAGTTTGGAGAAAGAAGCTGAAGAACTCGACCCATCTACCGAGTACCACATCTATAATAAATCACCAAAGTTATACTTGAACCAGCTTAAAACTTATCAAACGGTGATTGACCAAGAATTCCCCACAGAAACTACCAATTGCGCGCTGGAAACCATTGTGGTCACCGCGTATGGGAAATTTAAACAACGTGAAAAATCGCAACTTTTATGTCCTGTTGAAGTGTTGGCGTTGCTTATTGCCGCCCTTGGACACGACAGCGGTCACCCAGGGTTGACCAACCATTTCATCATCACCAACCGCTCGCCATTATCGATTATTTTCAATGATCAATCGATCCTTGAGAACTACCATTTCATTTTATTCCATGATGTATTACAGCGACATTGGCCAGCGTTGTTTGATCAGCAGATTATCAGCATGGTGTCTCCAGGGAAACCGGTGGATGTGAAAAGAATCATTGCCAAGAGTATTTTGGCCACCGATATGGAAAAACATTTTTCGTTCATTAATCAAATCATCAACAGTGAGCGTGACGCGCTTGAGAAAATCAAAAATGGGAACGAGCTTCCGAAACTCGAAGTCTCTTCAGAATTGTTGTGTCAGTTATTACTCAAGTGTGCAGATATTTCCAATATCACCAGACCTTTAAAGCTTAGTGCCACATGGGGGGTAATTTTGGGCAAAGAAATGGCGGAGATCGCCACGTTGGATAAGATTCTCAAATACGGAGCCACCATTGACGATGCGAAGTTGCCGGATGATCAAGAATTGGTGGAGCATTTAAGAAATTACGAGGGGCTCGACAAGCATTACGATGAAGAATTACAAGAGCTTGTGAATTGCTTAGAATCATCGTCCAAAGATCAACCGATGGCCGAACCAGAGACTCACAATCTTGGAGATGTCACCTTGAGACAATTGGTGATGGACAATCCTAATTTATGCAAGAGTCAAATTTTCTTTATTGAGCAGATTAGTTACAAATTGTTTGAGAAGATCAATGAGATTCTTCCATGGTTGGGGTTCATTTTGCGTATCCTCAACAAGAACTTACATTTCTGGAAGCTTTTTGAAGAGCGAGCCAAGAAATGATGTATTATTATTATTATATTTTCAATTATTATTATTATTATTGTTGTTGATGGGTTTATTTTTGTAAGGATATACCGGTGTGCCGGAACAATGCAGATATATGCACATATACTGTGATACCCGCACACAAACATGATACTCACACCTGCATGCTTGTGCAGCTTATCCGGTATCTTCAGCCAATCAGCGGCGGCCGCTGCGCAGCCCACCGAAGGTGACAAAATGATTAGCAAAAAGACCCGTCCAGGTGGCACCCGCAGTCTTTTGGGAGATACATGCTGCTTTTTCCTTTTATTTTTAGTCTCCCTAGAAATTCCAACGCAAAAATATATATAATCAGTTTCTATCGTAGTTCTATTTAACAGTAACCACTAAGTCACTGCTTCTCTGTTGTTTATTTGTTTACTTGCTGTGGTTTTTTTTTTTTTTTTAAAAGAAAATTCTTCTAGTTGGTGATCCTCATAAATCATCATCTATCATTTGGTATAAGCATTTTTTTTTTTGAGGACTTGTTTGTGTGAGATCTACGACCATTTTTTTTTTTTTTTGTTCTCTCTCTCTCTCTCTATTCACTTGACAATAACTTGAAACCTCAGGGGAAAACACCAAGATCAACTTTGTGGAACAACAATAAAGGCTCAAGGTACCATTGCAGCGATACAAGATCATTTGCTAATGATAATGGACGAGCTTCCAGACATTGTCTCTGCCCAAAGAAATAGCATCCGTGGCAATTTTGGCTACGTTGATATTTCCACCACTACTCCTCCCAACAATAACAATAACAATAATAATAATAATGATAATCTGCAATCAGATATCATGTCGAGTCCCAAAGATTTGTTCAATTCTGCCGAGCTGCTCTGGAAAATGTACCATTCGGCAAAAGCGTCACTTCCGTACAAAGAACGGATTGAAAACATGAGTTGGCGGATGATGGGGATCAATTTGAAACAGTTGAAGTTAAAAAACCAGGAGAAGAAAAAGAAGAAGAAGAAGCTGGTGGTTATTGATGAAGATGTTTGTATGTGGGAAACCGAAACCATGCCTAAACCTCCACAGAATGTCGATGACAACAACAACAACAATAATAATAATAATAATCATAATCATAATGATCTACTAACGGGGCAAACTAGTAGTCTCAAACAAGACTTATTATTTAGCTCATTCATTAAGACCCCGGTACTAAATAGTCTTGATGCGGTGGACAACATCGAAACTTTTGATTACGTTTCGAATCTCAAAAAAATGACCAATAACGAATCGAATAAGTTTGCCAATATGATGAAATTCAACCGCTTAAAGAGCCCCGATACTTTCATGTTGAGTCAAGCTGATGATGAATATTCCAAGAATATCCCTGATGATATCCCAGCCAGAACCATCGACACCGAGGATTTTTTCAACAAGGGTCAAAATATCAAAAAGCCTAACAATACTCATAATCATAACGATAATTTCGATCAAGGATACACTTTTACCCTCGATCCATTAGCGGTGGAAGCCCCATCGGGGCATCCGATGTTTAACGGTAACTCTAATTTCTCGCTCCCTGCCACCAACAGAATCAATAATGATAATCATTTTACCGGCATTGCAGGTTCGATATTCGCCCCACCACCGTCCAATGGTATTACTTCAATGGGGTTCCAGCCGTCGTCACTTCCAACCCAACGGAAACTCATCTCGAATCCTACTACTGAGCCATTTAATGGTATGACCCATAACAATAATAATAACATCATCAACAACAACAACAAACCACCACAACCACCAAGTTCGATCCTCCAGAACTTGAATTGGATGACCGATGATCTGATGATGTTCAGCAATAGTGTGCCATCGAACACCTTTTCGCATGCCAGTGGCAGCGATTTTGGGATGTCGATGATGATGGATCATGTTCCCGGACACCACCATTCGCATTCGACAATGTCCCATCAACAAATCGAGAACATCAAGAGTATTTTCTCATTCAATTCGGAATCCACAATTCCTGGAGCCTCTTCGCCATTTGATAATTCTGATATCGACACCCCAATGCTGACTATCACCCATCATCATACCGCCATCGCCAGCCCGATCTTTAACAACAACAACAACAACAATAATAATAATAATAATAAAAATATTGGGTTTAGTAATACTTCAGTATTGACTAAACAACTTAATGCTTTCAATGCAGCCCTCGAATCTGAACCATCATCGGTGACCTCAACCCCAACCCTTCCACCCCCAAAATCATCATCAACCACCACCACCACTACCAAATCATCAACCACTAAACCAACCGCCCACCAACGCAAGAAATCTATCTCAAAAACCACTAGCAAGAAGAAGCTGAAAAAACCATCATCTTCTACCCTTACCGCCACCACCTCCGGAGGGGGGTCTAAAAAAGATGGGTCTTCGAAATCTTCGAAATCTAAGCCTTCTGCTAATTCCGCTTCATCGTCATCATCATCCGCCACCGCTGCCGCCGCCAATTATCAACCTAGTCAGTGTACTAATTGTCATACTAAAACCACCCCATTATGGCGACGTAATGCCGAAGGTCTGCCATTGTGTAATGCTTGTGGGTTGTTTCTTAAACTTCATGGGATCGTTAGACCATTATCTTTGAAGACGGACGTGATTAAGAAAAGACAACGGGGCACTGGAACTTCTCAAAGATCTTCGAATCGCAAGAACGCCACAGGTGCTGGTGATGAAGATTCCAATAAAGGTAAAAATTCCACCACCAATGCCACCACAACCACCACCACCAACAACAACAACAACAACAACAACAACAACAACAATAATAATAATAATAATAATAATAATGGCAATGGTAATTCTACTACTTCCACCTCCAAGACCAGTGGCACCCTGGCAATCCCTATTAAAAATAATGGTAAATTGAGTAAGATCAAAAAAGATAAGCCATTATCGGTGCTGGCCTCCAATTTGCTCGCGTTGAACTCACCAACCAGTTATAGTTTCAACCAAGGAAACTCATCGTCTCCTACCACCACCGTGAAACTGAGTTCTACTAATGAATTGACCATGTTGCAAACTTTGGATATTTCTAGCACTCAACCGCATGTCATCAAAACCTCTCCGGGGTCCACCATTGCCACCCCAATCAGTGCCACGTTTGATCTGGGTGATAGGAATGTCGAAGATTTTACGAAAGATGATAGTCAAAATAATTGGGAATGGTTGTTGAAGTTTAGATAAGGAATGAGGCAATTCCAGTCAAAAAGGCTGTTTGTTTATTATCAAAAATGGTAGGTATAGTGGTTTATGTTTTAGATGATGGTCAAAATTGGGAATATGATCAATTAAGTTTCATCAACTATCAAGGTAATTCCAATTTAATACTTCATTTGTATTGAAGCAGATTTGCAAAATAACCGGGACCAAAACAATGGGAAAAGAATTACAATCACACAGCGATCACCACTTCCTCATGTTTAAAAACCCCAATTGATTACTTCCACAGAACCCGTTACTATTTTTGAACATTCTCAATAACTCATCATCATCATCATCATTTCCGGATAATGGGAAATGGCTCATCTAAATACAGATGTTTGAAAACGGTTCGGTTCATTAATTTTACATGCTTGGTGGAGTATAATTTCATATTCTTGGTGAAGTATTTCCAGAAGTCTTTCCCCCCTCCTCCTTGGATTGATTACCCAATCATCGTTACAATTTTAGGCCATTGGTAATTTTACCAATCATTGGCTAAAATGGCAATAATTTGGCAACTGGATAATTTGACAATTGTACATATTGTGCTCAACATTTTTCGAGCTCGTATCATTGCTTTTTCAATATTGAGGTTTGGTTTTCGTTTCTTTTTTTTTTTTTTCTTCACTCATCTAATCGATTATCATGTTATTCAATATTGTTGTCAATATTTTTCATCTTTATTTACTCCCTTTTTCTTTGGTTCGACATAAATTTTCTTTTGTTTTTCTCATTTCTTTTTATTTTATTATTATTATTACACTGGGATCGATACATAAATACATTAGTTATTAATTGGAGATAATATTTAAAACCTTCTGTCTTGAAAAAAAAAGCAAAGCATTTATTTCTTTAAAGACGAAGAAAATGAATCATAAACCCCATATCGACCATTCGTATCGTCGATGAAACCGCTTGAATGCAAACTGTCAATTAGATCTTTGTAGTCTTTAAATAAAACGTGGGAATCTTTATTCCTAGAAAACTTGTACAGTTTATTAGGATCCCCATACCGGGAATTCGAAATATTATATTTCGATTGTGAAGAATTGCCAATAGTGTTAGTAAACCCATGAGCAGCGGTGCTAGATCTGGTATAATCCCCAGTGACATTGATATTAGTTTCTGGTAATTCTTCTTCCACATCCCCATGAAATCTCACATCCCTCATTCTGCCGCTCTGGGCAGCAATTATTTGCATCACTGGGACTTCCGAAAACGCCTCATTCACCATTCTTAATCTATCCGCGCTCTCGTCATCAGTTTGTAAAGTATTAGAAAATGGTAACGCACGCAATATCAGGGAATCATCAGGGTCTTGAACTGACTCCTCTATTACATCATTTACTCCTTGTTCATCACTCACCAAGCTATCAATTTTTTCAGTGGCCTCGAAAAACAAAGAGCTATCACTAATATAGAAATCTTCAATTCCACTATCGATACCACTAGTAGCAGATTGTAATGCTTTTCTTTGTGAATAATGAATTTCATTATTGCTGGTCCTCGTATCATCATTTGATTGGTTTGGGGTCATCGGCTCGTCAATGGTATGAGTAACAGTTTGGACTGATGGTGAATTAACAATAGAATTCTTCACTGTTGACAAAGCAACTCCAGTATATTTTAACTGAGATACCAAAGAAGCATATAAAAATTGAATAGTAGGCACTGATGTTCTAAGAGACATCGATAACATTATTAGCTGCACCAAAATTAAATCGGTTGGTACTCCCTGGCCGCTGTAGTAATTGAACAAAACTAAAGAATATTTGATAAATGGTGGTAATACTATGGTATAATGCTCCATTGGCGCATCGGACTCTTCGGTAAACTCATCCATCATCTTCTTAAAAATGGCATCTTTATGTGAAGGCTTTAAGTCCTTGTTGCCACATTTGTAAGCCAAAACTAATATCTCATTCATGATATTTTGAATTAATGGTGACACTAGAGGATCGGTGAATAACTTTTTCATATCTACAATCCTGAATAAAGCTGCAAAACAATCAAAACAAATCAAATGAATCAAGCGCTTCCACAAAAGGGTTGCAAAACGGGTGCGAGAAACTGTTGACACTTTGAACACTGATTTCACTCCTGATTTCTTCAAAAGCGCTATAAATTTTCCTAACGGCGATCTGACCTTCTTGGAGTTCAATACTGCGATACTGGATTGCGGCACCATTTGATCATTATGATGGATACTCAATCCCAAGAAAATCGATAAATTCGACTCCCTGGTCATCACTAGGTAGTCCTGGACTTTCTTGATCCCCAAAGAACTATAAAGAGAAAACACATTACTATTGGGTAGTGCCGAGTATACTACTGGCTCCAAATGGATTGAGAAATTCGAATTGACAATTATCGTAGAGCTTTCTCCTACCAAAGGCTTAATCTCGGTAACAAGAGATTTAAGTTCGATCAAACTTGGGGAATATAACAATAAATAATCGAGCTTATTTTCTGTATCCCATGCGCTCATAAGCTGGTCTACGGATTTCACCGTTAAATGTGGCGAATAGCTTTCTGATCCAAACGTTTGAGATCTAATGGGTCGTTAGATAAAAAGAAGACTTTCATCATCAACAGAGGTCAAGAAAAAAAAAAACGTACATCCAGTTAATTGGAGATTCATTATTTGTCAATAATATGACAGATACGCCAACTTTAGAAAGACGCCACGCTATAAACGTATTTATCGATGAATCATCAACTACACAATAGGTTAGAAAGCCCAATATTTCCAGGAATACAAGGATCTAATCCCTACCAATAAAGAACGTCGGCAATATACGTCCACTGGTGCGTGGTATTGCCATAATTGAGATATTTGACGGAGACTATCTTCTTGCAATATGAAGCGAAATTAGTAGAATCACAATTTAACACAAACAAAACTCCCCCATATAGAAAAAAAAAAAAAAAAAATTGAGAGGGCGATTTTGACACTTTTCGTCACCCGGGCGCATACTTCATCTCTCTGTGCGGGTAACGGCCACCGAGCACCACCGGCAAAAAGCCCAATCTTTTCTCTCTTCGCTCTCCAACTGGCGGTGATGAGCATTTGTTATACTGGGGAATAATGTTTAGATCATCTTGTATTGGAATAAGGAGGGCTATTAGACCATGGGGGCTCAGACAGTTTCATAATACGCTGCGATGGAGCGAATCGGAAAAAGGAGTGGTGGATGGATCAAAGTTATTAGCGAAATTAGATATGCTTGGATTATCATCAAAACCCGCCAATAATATCGAATCAGTATTGGAAAATGGAATACAGCTTTCCAATGGGATTGTGATTAAATCTCCAGGCAAGGATAAAGAGATTGTTGGGGCTTTATTGTTGGGAAGTGAGGCGTTTGAATTGAATCTCAGTGGGAAAGACAATCAACAACCGATCTTCAACATCATTAATAATTTCTTGGTGGAATTTTCCAATGAATCATTGAATATTTTCAAATTAGTGCATCCGAAACCCGAGCTTGTAGTGGTGGGACTCGGAAAGAAGTCGAGAATATTGCACGAATCGAATCGAAAGTTTTTCAATAGTTTAGGAATCCAGATCGAAATCGGTAATACCAGAAATGCCTGCCAGAGCTTTGATTTGCTAGCCACCGAAAGGCCTAATCAAATTGCCGCCCTTATATTGCCACCAAATATATAAAGGGGAATGTATTCCTTTTTTTTTTTTTTTTTACGGGCTTTAGAAGGATAATGAAAACAATTGTAAATATTGAACATATATATGTATGTATAAAATGAATAAGCATGAGGCATGGGTCAAAATTAATAGCAATAAAAGCCCAGTTGTCCAAATGGAAGGCATAGCCAATGTAATATAAAAACGAGAGAAACAGATAAAAAAAAAAGATTAGAGATAATACAATAGGATTTCTAATAAAACTGATATATGATACACATGTTGTTCAAAAGAGAGAAAAAAAAAAAAAAACGGAATGAACGACGATAATAAAACAAGAAAGAGAGATCAGCTGAATGTGTGTTTAGACAGCACCTCTGATAATATCACTACCACCAGAAGCAACACGGTGACCTCTACCTTGCTTGTGGGCTTGGATGTAACTGTATTCGGCAGAAGTGTAGACGTAATCGTTGGTCTTGGCCTTGTGTGGGGAGTTAGACACCTTCTTTTCCACCAACTTTGGCCCAATGGTTGGGATATCATCGTTCAATTTGTTGGAGTATCTGGACAAAGAAATCAATCCGGTATATACCTGAGTTGGGTCCTTCTTTTCGTATAAGTCGATGGTAGAGAACATTTCATTAGCAGGGACCCCGATCTTTTGGGCCTTCTTCAAGAATTTTTCAATGGTTTCCATTTGAAAGAATGGCATCTTTTGGTTCTTTTTGTAAGCCACTGGGGATTCTGGCATGATCTTGTTGGATAAGTCACACAACACCGATCCGTCTTTCAAGATATCTAATAAATCGCCCTGTGGAGCGTCTTGTCCGAGAACGTGGAAGATCCAGTCCTTGATTTCTTGGACTTGCTCGGCATCGTACTTGCTTGCTCTCTTGACTGGCATTTCTGTGAATATATATAGTGTTAATGTTTTTGGTTTGGGTTGATTTGAATTATCAATTGGAAGGTGAATTGAGATAAATGATCACTCAATGAATTGAGCACATCGATGAGTATTTAAAAAAAAAGTCGCATGGTGTTTAGAGGAAGAATTCCCATCCCACCGGCCAGGATGCATACTATGGGACTTTTTTGCAAACTTGTGATATGTAGCAGGGCAAAAGAGTATTTTTAGAAAAGATTACTTGGGGAATTTCCTTGGTTGGCTTTTTGGTACCTTGTGGAGCTGTTGGTATTGTTTTATTGCTAATAAATGCCGGAGTTGCTTCGGAAGAATAGGGATGCATTGCGTCTGACATTCCGTTGGAATTTATGTAGTTTGGTTGGTATTTGTTGAAGTCTACAAACAGAAATTTGGATCAAAGCAAGTGAGATGAAACCATTATTCGGATGAGAGTATAAAAGAAGCAATGAAGGTGAAATATTAAGCTGGAAATTGTAAAAAGGTACCGGATCACTTCCCGTCACATCATATCTGGGGTTATGGTTATCCGGTGACAACGGGAATTCTGACACCATTAATTTCATGCCTAATGGTTGGTATTTTATTTTATTTTATTACATTCTATTTCTAATGGTGGATAATATCTATTATTTCCTTCTACCGAAATACCAACTCTTTTTAGGCTCTGATGTTACGGCTTTCAGAGATGTGTTGTGTTTCCATGATAAGATCAACTGGACCGTCGATTATCAGAAATGATCTATATTTTATCTAATTATCTATATTATGAATAAGAATTCACCAGGAAATAGTGCCAGACATATAATCATCATTATGTGTATATTTGATTATATCTGAAACAATTAGGATTATGGGAATTTTTTTTAGAAGTCTCAGGAATTGAAAACGTCCCATCAATTAATTACCTTTTTGACACTTGATCACATCAATAAAAATATTCACACAAAAGTAACCAACTGGATACAACATGAAGGGAATAATAGAAGACAAAACAATTTCTAATTATTATAAGCTAATGATGATAATAAATATTGTGAAATCTTTTTCTCGTCGAACAGCTAATCTATTATCTATTCAGCCTGTCATGAAAGAAGTTACGCACTTTCTTCGAGAGAAGCTTTTTTAAAAGATATTAAAGGTCATTGAAAATCATCTAATAGCCACTGGAATTAAGAAAGAGTGTACCTAGAAATAAAGAACAGAAAGAGAAGAAACAAGGAAACTAGAAGAAGAATAAAAAAAAAAAGGAGAACAAACAAGGAAACAACAACAAGACATCACAATTTAGCTTGATTTTTATAAACTTCTCCTTCTTTATATAAATCTTTAATAACGCTCTGAAATTCTTTTCTAACTTGAACTCTCTTGATTTTAAAAGTGGGTGTCAAAGTATCTTTTTCAACGGCAAACGGTGTAATTGTAAAAAAAGCATTCTTTATTCTTTCATACGAAAGTAATTTCTCAACCTTGAAATTCAAAATTTCCAACAACCGTTTTTTAACCGCAACACTATTAAGAATCGCCGTAAAATATTTAATTGGCTGTTGTTCTCCTAATAACTCGGGGGAGTTTTCAAATTGTTTCATGGTTTGCTCAACTTTGGTGAAATCACACGGGATTCCAAGGTCAACAACAATTGATTTCACCACTTCTATATTAACCCCAACAACCCCCACCAAGAAATGTTGCAAAGAATCTCCAGTGACATAAACTTGTTCCACCATCGGACATTGACGAAGATAAATCTGTTCGATTTTCTCAGCAGCAATATACTTACCTTGTGCCAACTTGAAGAAGTTCTTCACCCTGTCCACCACCACCATATTACCAAACTCGTCAAATTGTGCCACGTCCCCGGTTTTAAACCAACCTTCTGAGTCGAGCGATTCCTCAAACGCTTTCTCGTGACGATAATAGGTTTTCGTAAGTGCTGGACCTCGAAGCAACAATTCCCCACTGCGATTATTATCCCAAGAATACTCCAATTCTGGGACATCACGAAGCCGAGTCTCCAAATTACAACAAATTGACCCATTTGTTCCAAGCCCGAAATTCGTGGTATCTGACGAAATTGCCCCGGCACAAAAAGTTTCGGTGGATCCATAACCTTGGCAAATATTAATTCCCAAAACACATTGTAAATAAATGATTGTTTCTTTAGTCACCGGTGCTGACCCCAATAATATGGATTTGGTTCTTTGAAAACCTAAAGCAGCACGAATTCTTGGGGCAATCAATTTATCGTATAAGAAATGGTGATTATTGGGGTCACCATTAGTCAATTTTTGCACCTTCCAATCAATCACCGAGCTCAAATACCGTGATTTGGCAATCTTTGCCCTGAGTTGTGCTTCAATCTTGTTGATTACTCTAGGAACTGTGGCAAAAAACGTTGGTTTCACGAGCTTGATATCTTCAAAATAACTGGCAATGTTTCGTGGATCATGAGGGAAATGCAAAGTAAAGCCATAACAAAGTTCACTGAATAAGACTGCTCGTTCATAGCAATGAGCCATTGGTAAAAACTCAAAACTGGCGGCTTCTGGGTGTGACATGTCATGAAGCAATAACGAGGTGCAACTTTGAGCAACCACATGTTCATGAGTGATTTCTGCACCCTTTGGCATGCCAGTGGTGCCACTGGTAAAGCATATGGTAAACAAGTTATGAGGACTCGGTGGGATATTTGGTGATGGATGTTTTTTGCCAATATTGAGTAATGTTTGAAAATCAAATAGAATGAGGTTTGCGTTGGCGGCTGCGGTGATAAGTTGATAATCTTGGGCCATGTCGATTTCTTCAATCACCACTACGTATTTCAATTTATGATCGATAGTCGCATCTAGTTTCATCAGGAAAATCTTTGAGGCCTGTAATTTTGTGGTGAAGATTATTGGAGATTCGGTAAGGTTGATGATATAGGCGCCGGAAGTATGGCCCAAGCTATCATAAAGGCAAGTGGAAACCAATGAATAAGAAATGCACGCCAAATCAATCACCACAAATTGGTAGCAGTTGGGTAAATAAATCGTGATGATTGGTGATTTCTGATCTGTATTTTCCAAGAGTTTTATGATGGCGGAACCCAACTGATTTTTCAAATGTGTGGTTTCTGCATAGGTGAAGTATTTGTAGTCTTCATATTCATTGGTAAGTTTGTTGAAAGGACGATAACCAAGATAGTTTTTCGAGGCGTACTGAAGGGAGAAATGTTGGAAATACTGATGTAAGGTGGTCAACTCGGGGTGGATATGGGTGATCAAATGAGTTTTGGCACCGACGTTGCGGATTATTGGAGAGTAGCCAGGTTTTCTAGAATCAGAGAGTTCAAAAGTGGCGCCAATTTCTTTAGTTGGTAGCGGGAGTCGTTGAAGGACGTCTTCTACCGAGTCTCCTTGGTTGTAGTAAGGAGGGTCGATGATTGCTGGGGGCATGGTTTATTGCTGTTGTGTATATATTTATCTAGAAAACTCTGTGAGTATATTAATTATAATATTTATATTTATATTTATATATTTATATTGAAATTATTATTATTACTATTATTATTATTATATATAAAATGAGGAGAGTTCAATAGCAATCGAGGGGAACGGTGATGATGATGATTGATGATGATGATGATGATAGAGGTGTGAGTAGCCATGGCAACAACCATCGGCAATGGGAGCGCAATACTCCGACGATTGATGGGGTTGAGATAGCACTATTCTTCACAAATGTGATATATCACCACCATTATATAGATATATATATATATATATATTACAGATTACAGAATACAGATGATCGAAGATACACTGTTTATGAGGGTACCGCCACTACGGAACACTCAGATTGTGGAGTCACGCCCGGGTAACTGCCATCCCACCACATCATTGTGGTTGTTGCTGGTTATATCACTGCCACTCTTTGTAACAATTGTCCGCAGAGCTTCAAGACTGTGTGATACCGATACCCCCAAAGGTGCTACCACTTGTGCAATATAATATACTGCAACACAATTTTTACAACAATCGCCAACTGGGCAGTGTGTCACCGTTAGATCACGTGGGTGTGAATCGGCGGTAATTTCCCGCTTCCCACCGACCAGGGAGTTTGAGCTTTTGACGCTTAGCAACATCATATAAGTTTGGCCCATCGCTGCTGAGAGGTTTAAGTTTCGTATCGGTGACTATGGTTTCCACTTCTTCTTCATCATCATCCTCTAACCATCATGCAATCTTCCCGGCTGCAAACCTCTCCAGAGTCTTTGGAAAACCCAAGATTGCTCAACTTTGACGCCCTTTCCATCAACAGTTCGGACTCAGAATATGATGATAATAATAATGTTTTCGCTCCTCCTAGAAAATTGAACTCCAAGTTTGAGCCAACCAACAATAATGGCAATAGTTATGAAACCATTGCCGATAGTATCTTCAGTGCCAATAACAACAATAACAACAGCATCTTTGATGATTACTATTACGACACCGAAATCGAATCCCTCCCTGCATCTTCTTCCAATCTTGACTCCCCTAAACCCATGAAATCTGTCGATGTTATTACATCTTCAAATGCCACGTCTGTTCCGTTATACGAAGTCAAATATAGAAATGAACGGGATTTCGAAGTCAGTGCCAAAAATTCACTAGCCGAAGACTGCAAATCCGATTGCTATTCGTTCATCATGGACTTGATTGTCGATTATGATGAAGATATCGCCTCAATAATTTCCGGAACCAGTAGTACTAGACTCAGAATTAATCAAGAGGATTTGCGACCAACAATTGACTCAATTTTAAATAATAAACCACAAGTGATCTCGTCGTCGCTTCAACAACCTCCATCTCCAGTTAAGGTGGCCTCACCAATTAGAACTCACCAAAAGAAATTGCCACCAACCAATATATCCGTGAAGGACCATCAGCAACCAATGACAAGAAGAGCCGACGCTTATCCAAAATCAATTTTGAAGACCCCAACTTCTGCCCACCATCCTCCACCTCCTCCAGCGGCCTTCAAGTTATCATCTATGCAATCTGGCCAGTACAAGAATGATTTCACTATCTCAGCATCTGAATTGGAAGCCCACAAAGCCCAATCAGATGATTCTGTCCCTAAAAAGAAAACTTTAAAATACCGAGTAGTGGTCACCAGAAGAAACATCATCAATAACGTCAAGCGTCTCTCAATGAAGAGCTTATCAAGAAAAAGTGTTTACGGTGGTCCTAAAACTCCAATGCTTGATGATTATGATAAACGCAAGTCTTTTCTTAATAATAACAAGTTGGTCAATGTTATCAAGTCGGTGATCAACAAAGTTAATTCTCCAATTGATAATGAGAGAGTCAGTCACGGACCAACGGTTTTTGGTCGACCTTCATCATTGAAAGAAACATCGAAAGCCAAACTCAACCGCTCAAAGACTCATGCTAGTTTTGCCTTGACAAGATTGAGTGGTAATTATCACAGATCTAGTACTTTTGAATTCAAGAGAGTCCAAAATAGAAGTAAGCTGGCTAATCCATTACCAAGACTTGATTCTGACAAACCAAAAGTGAAATCTTTATCTGTTAATACTTCTTTCAATGACCACGTTGGTGCAATCCAAAGAACTCCAATGAATAATATTCAAATCAAAAAGAGATCAGTTTTAATCAAAGATAACGCCACTGATTTGTACAATTTATATTCCTTTGATAATCCATATGCAGATGACGAAGATTCTAATGCGACATCACAAAGAATGTCGTTAGTGATGAATGGGATCAAGATCAATAATGATGATGATTTGCTGGGCAGTAATACCGGGGTTACGCAGATCGATTTAGCAAGAAATTCAACTCTCGTTAAAAATGATAATGATACATACATCATCAAGTATGATATAATTGAATCTCCAGTATCTGCTAGAGCAACTTCGAGATCTTTGAAGGCCATAAAAGAAAATGATTCGGACAGAACACGCACCAGTTCTAGAAAATCAAATAAAACCCCTTCAACCTCTATGCATACCCCATATTCCCACAACGCATCAATGAAACCTTCTTCAGCTCATTCAAGATTACAAAAGAGAAACTCTTTGAGTCGGTATAGTCGCAAACAGGGTGGTCATAAAACTCCTCATCACTCTCAATCTCTGCCACGCTCTAAAATGCCTACCAAGTCTCCATTGCCAGCTTATAAAGCATCGCAGTTGAAAATGTCTGCTTCATTAAAGAAGAAATTGCCAAATCCACAATCTAGAAGATTATCTAGTGGTCACCGTTATAGAAGCACCACCAAACAATATAGCAACAGAAGTGGCAGAAAAAACCCATACCAAAATAATGGTGATAGCAGCACAATAATGCATCAAAAATTGGAAAATAGAAAGTTCTTCTATGCTTAGATTCCTTATATTTTTTTTATGTTTGTTTGCACTTTTAATTCTTTTTTAAGTTTTACAAGCTAAATTATATATCAACATTCAATTCAAGATTTTAATTCAATTCTTGATTTTTCTATGATTTTCTGTTTCTTTCAGTTCTTTCACCTTTTTTTGTTTTTTGCTCCGGTTAGTAAACACTTTCCATGTGTTTTTATTATAATTTAGATTATATGATTAGATAGATTTTTATATTGATATACAAACATATGATGAATGATTTGAATGAATACAAAAAAGTGTAAGTTGGTTGGCACGGCATGTTGAGATTATTTGATGGGATGCAGCAGGGTTACTACCGGCTACGTCAAGTTGAAAAATCGCCAAATTGACAGATCGAATATTCCGAACACAGATCGAGCCCACCACGTTAAAAGATAAAAAGGAAACTCTTTTTCTTATTTCTTTTTTTTTTTCTCAGAGAAAATGTTTGGTCCATCATCCTGGTTGCCATTTTTGGTGACATTGCTCAATCTCGGATTGGGTTTGGGGTTTGAAGACAATTCCGTCAACATCAAAGTGGAGGCGAATTGGAAACAAACGCCGTTTAGATTGCAATTACTCGAAACCATTGCTGCTTCTAACCATTCACTCTACATTCCCGCCGTGGGAAAGGTGTTACAACTCGAACTTACCGAGGACTCCGAAGACGAGTTTGATTCTGATCTTGTTGACCCATTAACCGATGAAGAATACTATACCAAAATCACCGAATTGTTCGGGGACCACCCCTTGGGAGTGGAGGCTAAAGGGTTTTTCGATGTTTATTTGGCCAACAATTACCATTCTCCAAGAATCGTCTCGCATTTGAGTCATTATAATGGCTCAGTGATCCCAGAGTTGAAAGATAAGTTGTTAAAGTGCACTTCGGACTTTGATAGCCCAGAATTGAAAACCACTAGAGGTAAACAGTTACCAAAATCATGGGTGTACTATAATGGTGAAATATTGTGTAATCCAAATGATATTTTTGCATTGAAGACCACCAGCGATGCCAGTGACGATCAATTGTTGTTACCATTCGACAGAATCATCGGAACCAACGATGCTGCGCCATTGGCGATTCTTTATGGCGATATTGAAGATCCGCAGCTCCGGGAATATTTCTTCCATTTATTCCAATCGTCCAAGTCGGATAAATTGCGGTTCGTGTGGAGATACGCCGATCAGAACCTTGATGGACCAAAAGAGGCCCTTGGTGGGTATGGGGTCGATTTAACCTTGAAGAGAACCGATTATATCGTCATTGATGATAGAGATATCAAGAAAGATGCGAACATCAAGAACCTTGATGGTAAAGACAATGAACAAGTCATTTTGAATGATGAATTGGTTGAAGAAACTTCATCATCTGCTTTGGGGTTCTTGAATAAAACTTATGACAAAATCAACGGGGTTAGCAAGAAGAAATTGAAGAGTTTGGATCTCAAGGTTGCCAATTATATTCTTAACAAACATGATGGCGATGGATTTTCCAAGTTTCAATTATTGAAAGATATCCTTGAAAACTTTCCAAAATACGCCCATGACATTGCCACCTCAGATTACTTCAAGTTTTCTAAAAAAAGTGACAAGTATCAAACTTTCATGGAGAGCTTCCAAGAAAATCAAGAAATCGGGGTTGGTAATGAAATGAAGGGAATTTACGTGAATGGTAAAGAATTAGACGACACAGAATACAGTCTTTATGGGTTATTGGATTTGATACAAAAGGAATCATCTTATATTTCCGACTTTGGGATGTTGAACTTATCGCCAATTGCCTCGAAAGGGTTCATCAGTGAATTCGCCAGATTATGCACCGTGGCCAGCGCCAAATCTGCCGGGGCTGGTAATAGTCAAAGATATAACATCCATGAAGCAATGAAATCTGATACCATCAGCGGGGAAAAAATCATTTACATTAATGATTTGGAAACTGATGCTGATTATGCAGATTTCACATTAAACAGAAACCTTTGGTTGAACTTCGATGCTGCCAGGCAAGGTAAATTCCCAGAATACAAGGAAAATGTCCTTGAGGTTGTGTTCGCCATCAATTTGTCCAATAGAAGATTGTTAAGAATTGTATATCAAATTATTAATACCGTGATGTCCCGAGGGGTGGCCCACAGAGTGGGGATTTTACCAATCACTTTATCTCCGGAAGATAAATATTACGAGATCCAGACCAGCGAGCCTATCAAAGTGAATGGCGAAGATAAGATATTGAATGTTGAGGAAATGATCATTTTGGATAAGTTATTGATGAATGATTTCTATAAGAAGTCTGCGAAATTGAAAAATGGGTTTTCTTATCTTAGATATATCCAGTCAACTTTCAAAAATGGGTATTATGGCAAATTATGGAAAAAATACGAGGAGAATCCTGATATTCTCAACGAATATGACAATTCTGGGTTTATTGACAGTTTTTCCGTTGATCAAGGCTACATGATTGTCAACGGGGTTTTCCACCCATTCAATATTTTTGACAATAGTTGGCAAGGGTTTGTCTCTCAACAATTAATCCAAGACGTGCATTTGCTCGGCCAAATGATTTTGGCTGGTAGAATTCCCGCAAGAGATGACACAAAAAGAATCGGGGATTATATTTACGAAGGATTACCAGCGATTCGTAACACTTTGATCATTCCTCAAGATATTCTGAACGTCAAATACAAGAAAATCACCCCAGAATTTTTAGCTGGGTTTATTCATAATCAAGATCAAGTGCTTGTATTCGCTAATGAAGATGGAAGTAACGAGGGGGTTCACACTCATTTATCCCTCTCGTTGATTGGTGATTTCGGATCGAAGGCAATGATTGATCAATTGGTCCAGGTATTGAAATTCGACCTTGCAGAATTGAAAAAGGAAGGATCAAGAGATCACTTCATCAAGTATAGATTTGTTAATACCGGCAAGAAAAATGATATTATTGAGAAATTGAAAAAAGTTTTTGGCGATCAAACCACTTCAGGCGTTGAAAAAGTTCAATCGGCCATAGATTTCGCAACCTATTTTGTGGCTTCTGAAACTGTTGAACACTCCCACCAAGGGATTTTGGAAACTTTGCAATTTGCCGATATTGAACCAAAACAAGACCCAATTATTCTTTTGAATTCCAGAATGGTTGAAATTCCAACCACTAAAAAGTTTGATGCTAATTTGGTGAAGTATTTCATTGAATACGAGCGCAAAGAACGGTTATTCGAATTTATTTTCAACGTGGTAGAAGATTTTGAAAAAGAATTCGAATTCATTAGCCAATTGCAAATTGATAGATACGATTGGGCTGATTTGTTTTTCTCGACGCTTACCAGAACTTACTACGAGTCTTCCGAAGGAATCTTGTTGCAATCTCCAAGATATCATTTGGGACTCATGAGCTTTGACGGGGTGTCGTTCACATTATCTGACGATCCAGCTTATGCTAAAAATGTTTCTGCAGTTGATATTGTGGCAGTCATTGATCCTCTTGAAGAGAAATCCCAAAAGATTGTGTCGATGCTTGATGCTTTGACCAGCATTGCCAAAAACACTAATGCTATCCATTTAACATTGTTACTTGCTCCAAATCCAGCCATGACAGAGTTACCAATCAAAAGATTCTACAAAGGGCTTTATTTACCAGAGATCAAGTTCAGCAATTCTAAGGTCGATAGATCTATTTACCAGATTGGATTCCAGAAAGTTCCAGAAGAAACCTTGTTTACTTTGGACATCGATACTCCACATTCTTGGATCGCGTTGGCCAAGGAATCGAAATATGATTTGGATAATATCAAGTTGGATTTGACCGAAGAGAAATACGTGAATGGGGTTTTCGAATTAGAGAACCTTATTATTGAAGGGTACTCCCAGATTCAAAATACGGTTATTCCACCACACGGGGTTCAATTAGAACTTCATTCTACTGAAAGCGAGGCGATTTATTCAGATACTGCCATTATGGCGAATTTCGGGTACTTCCAATTGAGAGCCAATCCTGGAGTATGGAGCTTGACCATCAAGCCAAACAGCAAGTCCGCTAAAGTTTATTCTTTTGCAGACACCAAAAGTTTCAATAATACTGATGATGTGACATTTGTGGACTCTCAGGGCCTTCAAGTGGGTATCTTAGATATGAGTGGTGCGGTCCTCACTCCAGATTTCGTCAAGAATCCTGGTCAAGAAGATGTGTCGTTGATTGTTGCCGATGATGAGGAAGAACAAGAAACCGAATTCGAGGAAAAGGAAAAGAATTCTGGTCTCTTGTCTTCTTTATGGGGATCAAGAAGTAAAAAACTGGTACCTGCGGTGAAAAAGCAAGCGGATATCAATATCTTCGCGGTGGCCAGCGGTCACCTTTATGAAAGATTGTTAAGCATCATGACCGCTTCGGTGAGAAACCATACCGAACATACTTTGAAGTTCTGGCTCATTGACAATTACATGTCTGCGAATTTCAAGGCGTTTTTACCAACCTTAGCGGCGAAGTATAATTTCGAATACGAATTGATCACTTATAAGTGGCCATTATGGTTGCGTGATCAACGAGAAAAACAAAGAACCATTTGGGGTTACAAGATTTTGTTTTTGGACGTGTTGTTCCCTCAAGATTTGGACAAAGTGATTTTTGTTGACGCCGACCAAATTATCAGGACCGATTTGAAAGAATTGGTCGATATGGATTTAGAAGGGGCTCCGTACGGGTACACCCCAATGTGCGATTCTCGGAAAGAGATGGAAGGGTTCAGATTCTGGAAACAAGGGTATTGGAAGAGTATCTTATCCCAAGGTAATAAGAAATACCACATTAGTGCGTTGTACGTGGTGGATTTGAAAAGATTTAGAGCTATTGCTGCCGGGGATAAATTACGTCAACATTACCAACAACTAAGCGCTGATCCTGGTTCGCTTAGTAATTTGGATCAAGATTTGCCAAATAACATGCAATACAATATCAAAATACACTCTTTACCTCAAGAATGGTTGTGGTGTGAAACTTGGTGTGATGATGAAAGTCTTTCCGAGGCAAAGACTATTGATTTATGTAATAATCCTTTGACCAAAGAACCAAAGTTGGACAGAGCCAGAAGACAAATTCCTGAATGGAGTGTGTATGATAATGAAATCGGCGAGTTAATGGAAGACTTCAAACAGACACAAAAGAATGAGGGGAGCTCCCAAGAAGATAAGACTGATGAGGAGAATGTTATGGAGGTTGAGGAGGAAGAGGATGTTTTGGAAGTTGATGATGAAGAAAATGATTTTGATGTACATGATGAACTTTGAGATAAAAACCATAGTTAAAAAATTTATTTTTCTTTGTGTGTAATGTACCAATAAAATGTGTTTCAATGTTTTTGTTAAGTTATTAAACTAACAAGGTAGAAATAAAGATGATTTGAAGAATGTTGAAAGTGTGAAAATGTAATAATATAATACCCCGAAAGAAAAAAAAATGATAATAGAATAAATAGAATGAAATTACCAGTAACCATTGAGAAGAAATAGAATAAGAAAAAAAAAGAAGAAAACTAAAAATTGTAATAATATTTGGAATAATACTTGTTACCAGACAAGGAATAGTGAACTGAAAAAAAAAAAAAAGAAAAAAAAAAAAGAAAGGTGAATTGAATAAGAAGAAGAACAATATCAATAAAATTCAAATTGATCTGCGCTTCATTGAAGATTTTCTAGTAACTTTAACCTCAGCATTGTTACTGGATTCAGATTTCGCCATTGCTTTGGCAACGTTGATGTCGAGTTCCAATTTCTTCAGTTTGTTGGAGGTGGCATTATGGGTTCTATAATGTTGCATGCAATTATCCTTTCTGGAAAATCTCGAAGAACAACCAGGCCAAGAACATTCGAATTTTTTCTCTCCTGAATGGATTTTTTTATGTCTTGTCAAGTGGCCGGTGGTCTTGAACCGTTTATCACAGACTTTGCATTGGAATTTTCTGTTCTTGAAAATATCTGGGTTGGAAATAAATCTCGAAGTGTAGAAATTCACACTTTTGGAAGATGTTAAAATATTTTCGGTGGTGGTTCCCGTTGGCGAAAGATCGAAATTCAATAATTTACTTTCACTACTGGTGGTGGTGATGAGTTTCAAGTTCAATGGGCCGAAATCTAAAACTCCAGTATGGGATTCGAAAGAGAGTGGCTCATCGAGCAATCTTTTTGGAGCGGCAGGAGGGGAAGCAAGATGTTGATCGAATGATCTCAATGGGGTGAGTGGGGCAGAAATTGGTGAGCAGCTTATGCTACTACTGTTGCTGCTGAAAGTTGAAGTTTTCGATACTGGGGTGAATGGTCTAGCAAGCAGGGACAATGGAGTAGAACTTCTTGAGTCGAAGGATTCAAATGGGGTGATTGGTCTAGCAAGAATCATTCTATCGTTCATGGATGCAGTGGTGGAATGAAAATTAGAATTTTCTTCATGATGACAATTGTCATTATGGTTATGATGGCGATTGAATGAACTGAACAATGGGAAAGCATTAGGTGAGGATTCTTCGCTGTCGTTCAATAAAGAATCGATCTTGATGGATCTTCTTGGGGTCGCACTTCCAGAAGATACGGAGCCAGAGTCCGAGGATATGACCTTCTTATTGGAGTTATAATCATAAGAGAATCTTTCTGAGCTGAGGGAGGTCATTTTGGCAAATGTGTATATATGTGTGGAACTTTTGAAGAGGTTTTTAATAATTGAATAATTTCTTAAGAGAACTGAGCATAAATCAAGGGCAAAGAGGGATTCATCCCATTATTTAAATAAAATATCCGTAGTTCTAAAAAAAACCACTGCCGAAGGTTGGCATTCCTTTATTCTCGTTAAAATACAAGGCATTCTCCAATTATCCATAACCTTTGAAGAAAAAATATCCTCACAATCCGTACTATCCTTAGCAGTGCAATCACCTTTCCGAAAAGCATTTCACCTAAGCTTTGGAGCCGTGTGCATATCGATGGTGGATATTTCTTTCGCGTATGGTCCACAAATTTCCCAACTTTGATAAAAATAGCACGCTTATATGGTGCTTCCCACTGGAATGTGGGAGTATTCCTTAGTGTGAGTCTAGAACCACCTTGAGGGTGCCTCGAACCGACAATTTAGGAGGGCTTTGGTCGAGTGAAACAAGCATATCAGCAACATATACGTCAATATCTGCTGGTCAGCTTTCACTGCTTCCAACCCAACCTTCCGCAATAGTATGGTTTTGGATGAAACCCCAGGGTTGTACTTTTAGGGTACCGACCCGCCAGTGAGGATGGACGTCTGACGCATGTTGGAGGACTCAGCGGTGGGTGCTGCAGCACCCGGTTTCATCTGACACACCGTGATGGAAATATATAAATAACCTAAGAATATCCCCAGAACTATCCATGATTATTTATGTTGATCAATACCATTACTATATTCTTGCTACACCATTACAATCATCTAATACTGCCATGTTGTCTTCTGCCTTCCCAGCTTACAAGAGCCCTTTCCCAAGTCTCACCCCAAACGGCGCCACTGACCTGTCAACGCCTCGGAAAATCTCTCTTCCTCCAATCGATTCTCTATTGCAATATCATTACGAGGCTCCTAGCTCAAATCATTACTCCTATACCTATCAAAGACCCCAATACTATCCTTCCCCAGTGGCTTCCTCTTCATATACCTCCCCAACAACCAGCCCAATCTCTCCTCTTCTTGGGTTACCAACCTTCGGGTCTTCTATTGTGGTCCAACCAGAACTCCCAAAGGCTGCCTCAGCGCAACAAGTTTCTACAAGACCAGCCATGATGAAAACCATCAAGCCTCAGCTGAAAGTGATGGCCGCCAAACAGCCAGCCAAACCACTTTCATTCGAAGAAATGACTTCTAATGTATTCTTTTCAAACCCAAATTTCGAAAAAGATATCAGAAAACATAAATGTGTAACCTGTGATAAAAGATTCAAATCCCAAGGTCATTTGAATAGACATAAACAAACCCACAAAAAATCGAAGAAGGAAAACTGCGTGGCAAAACAAAACAAATCACCAAAAAGTTGCAAGTCAGTTAAGGTTGTACCTGAATCCAAAATGAGTTTGGTCAGATTGTTGTCTTGAATTTGCTCTCTTTAGTTTAGTCAGACGGTTAATGAAGTTTCGCCAGTTGTCTTTTTTTGGTCTGTGAGTGTGAGTGAGTGTGTGTGTGTGTGTGTGTGTTTTTTTGTTTCACTAGGAATTCTCTTGTACTAAGGTATTCTTATATTGTTTTGGGTTTGGGTTTTTATAGTTTTTGATTTTCTGGTTTCAATTATTTAGATTTTTACACTATAGATTTATATTTTTTATTTCGGTTATTGCACCAACTTCCTTAACTGCTGGACAGTTCATGTCTTTCTACAACATTTTATTTCATTTTATTTCTGTCGTCGTATCAATATAGATCTTTATTTTAGAATTTATTTCACACAATAATTAACCCGTATCATTAAATAGAAAAAGAAAAAAAATCTTTAAATAAGTGTTGAGGATAATTTACCTCAGTATATTATACAAACTACTCGACTTCTCCCGCTTTACTTCTTGCTTTACTCTCTTTTGCCCTTCGTACCAATTCATTGAACTCGTCTTTATACTTGTTCATCCAATTTCTACTGCCTGTCCTATTGTATTCTTTTCTTTGCTGGTTATTTGTAGAGTTTCCTTCTCCAAAATCCTGTCTAAGTCTTTGGTTATGTTGGTCCAAATTCTGGATACGCTCCCATTCTCGAAGTCTTGCTGAAATTTGTGCTTTGGATATCGGATAATTCGAATCAAGATTGGAATTCCAAAGTACAAGATATTGGTTATAGTAGGCGGCTAAGTGGTGTTTGGAATTTCCATTGTGGGTGGGGGTTGGGATATTGTATTTTTTGAACTTTTCTTTTATTTTGGGAACTGAAAGCATCGAGAAATTCAATTTCGGAAGTTTCTTGGAACCAGGGTCGTCGGACAGAGAATTATCACGGGTGGTAGATAACACAGAGGATGAGGATGGCAAAACTGATGGGGTTTTTTTAAGAAAATTTTGAAGGGAATTCTTCTTATTGCTAGAATTGATTAGGAGATTTGACTCATCATTGTTGTTCACTATTAGACTATCGTGTTTCTCCTCATCTAGAGTTTCAATTTTTTTGTCTTTCTCATCATCTTTCAAACCGCCGCCATCGACATCATGGTATTCTTTCTTTTTCCCAAAATACTCTGAAGTTGAACCGTAATCCGAAATTTCCACTACTCCATCACTAAAGTTTTCATTCACCGATTCATTATCACTGATCACCACCACTTGATTTTCTATTTCCTTTTTGGGTACCGAAGTAGTAGATTTTTTAGTGATAAACCCAGAAATCGTTTTCCGCAGTCTTTTGGGCTTCTGTTTCTTTGTGTCGGGCTGCTCGGTGAGCTTTCTAGGAATATAAAAGTATTTGGAATTCGAACTTGGGGATATTAAAGAATCATCAGATGGCGAAGTTTTTCTGGGCCCCAATTCCGAAGCAAACTTTACCTCTACAAGTTCTTTAATTTCATCATCCTTGGGCTGGGCATTATCTCCTGTTGAATCTTTAGGATCAGGGTTTTCAAGTTTCTTCACCAACGCGTACAATCGGGAGCTATTGAAGGTGTACCATCGTGTAATTTCCTCAAGTACTGGCACTTTGACTATCTGAGACTCCAATAGTTCGACATTACACACCGGACACAGGTTTTTTGTCGAAAGTGAGTTGCGAATACAAAAGGAACAATAACTGTGATGACAGATCAGAGATACCACTGGAGCAGAGAATGGCTCTTTACAAATGGTGCAGGTCACTAGCGAATCTAGCTGGCAACCTTCGGGAAACACGGTCTTTTCCCACGGAATGTTCATGTCTTTTTTTTTTTATCTTCTCATGGGAATTTATGATGTCCTCTACTGTCTTTTTTTTTTTTTCTTCTATCTTTTACCTTTTGTCTAAATGTGCTTCTTATTTTGTGCTGCTTCCTCATCTCTTTTCTTTAAGAATATTTGAAAAATTGCCGTTGCAACCAAAGGGTCACCCTACTTCTAGATTACGCTCCACATCAAATAAGGAAATTCCCACAGATGAATTAGATAATGTTTTTGGTATTCGAATGAGAGGAGTGGGGTAATGTTGAAGATATTTTGAATAGTAATTTATATATCCAAAACAGAATAGTTTAGACCAATTCCGAGCTAAAAATTACCTTCATCACGTGGAAAAAAGGATAAACTTTCGAATATCTCGTAATAGCAATATATACAAGTGTTGTAGAAGATGATCTGACATACATACATATATATATATATATAAACGTTTTAAAATAAAGAGGATTGGAATATATCAACTAGAAAAGTATGTGAGAGAAAGGCCACACTAAGAATAATAAAGCCAGGCGATAGTAACGCGGGTGCAGCACCCCAAATGTGTCAAAAATCGTCCCTCGTTTGCTTTGATATGTCAATAATTGATAAATACACCAGCTTTTTGAGATCGAAAATCTGTGGCATACAATATTCAATATTATCTTCAATATTCTATTCTTTTTTTTTTTTTGTCATATTGGCTTTATATCAAGAGTTTGAATACTATGACCCAAATACCATAGCCTTGATGCGATTTACATATAAGTCTAGCACCAATGCCGTAAATCAGTTTAGTTCTTATTTAATAATAGCCATTTAAATACCCTGATATGGAAAAAAAATGAAGCAAAACAGAGAAAAAAATTATTAAAAATAAAAAGTGTATGTCAAAACTAAAATCTCCGCAAAGGATGATGGTTGGGAAGATAGTGAATATACTCAGTAACGAGTTGATTGAAATTCCACTCAAGAATTTGAAGAAACTATCTGATATTTTGCAAACACTACTTTAATAATATCAGCTATAGCTTCAATATATTCTGGTCAGTATTGCCAGGTATTCTGATTGAATCTAAGCCGATTTGACGAAGTGACACTGCTACCCATTCAATTTCTTCCTGGATTTCTTCTTTGAAAAGAGCCCATTCTCGAAGAAACCAGTCTCTATTGTCTTCAATTGTGTATGTTATTCTCCCATTAACGTAAGCCAGTGCCACAACATCATCATTCGTGATGGAATTGCCGTTTTTGGTATGCCCAGCATCAATCATAATCATTTTTTGAATGCTGTTCGTATTGGAACAGACTTTCTCATTATTTTCGGGGGGAGATTTGTGATTACTTGATTATTAAAATTCTTTTCAGGCGACTTCACGCCACCTCGTGAACTATTAACTTTAGGTTTGAGCCTAGTTGGAAGACATCTTTGCATGGAATTCTTTCGGAAGCTTGGTTGGATTCTTGTTTTCATTTAATCTATTCTACTCGAGGATTTCTTTATTTTTTTAAAAAAAAAACAAAAAAAAAAAACTCTTGAGAATAAATTTGAGGAACTTCTATTTTTCCTAATGTCTATTTTATTTCATTTTGCGCCAGCAATGCAAGGGAGATCTGCTCACAAGTAAGGAAAAAGCTAATGAAAATGACGGTTATACCGAAATTTAGACACCTAATTGACCTTTTAGTACACTTGATTAGCCTAGTTTTCTTGGTATAGTATTCTACAGTATGCCACTAATAAATATAGCCAAATAGAAGCTCTACCAATGATGAAAAAGATCTTGCCAAAAACTAAAGACAATTTTAAACTAAACTAAGCGGAAAAAAAAAAAAAGCGAAACTAATAAAAATATAGAAAAAATAATAAAATTGTAGAAGAAATAATAAAAATGTAAGAATAATAGAAATGTAGCAATATTACCACTTTTATTTAAAAAGGAAATTAGGAACTTTTCATACAAGCGTCATATTCTACTCTCGTGAAACTGCTGGCATAGCACCAGAAATCAGCACAGTCGCCTTTACTGCAATCTGGGTTTTCTGGCGAGTCTCTCACCGAATAGATTCCAAACATCTGAGCTGTAGAGTTGTCATCTCTAACTGCGTGAGCCACTTTCCCCCAGAAAGTAGCGTTCAATGGAGCATCACTTGGCCAAGTACCGTCCAAATCATAAGTTTCTCTAGCGTCATACAAATGATCCCATTGAGGTTCGGCCCCATCGTTATTCAAAGTGTCAGCAAGTTGAGAATAATAATTATGAGAATTCATCACACTATAGGTTTTAGCATCGATTTCGTACCATCTCCAGCCTGGATTATGGTACCAAATAGGGCTGACGGATTGGGAAACCCAAGCGAAAGCGGTTTCGTCCCCAAGTTCCTTACCATCACTGGCGTACAACACACTGAATTGATCAATGTGGGTATGACCAAAGAAGATCCCGGCAATAACGTGGGGAGAAAATCTGGCGACAAGCTTGGAATAGATTTTGGCAGGGATTGGAAGAGCATCATAGTCATTGAATGGAATGTGACTCATGATCCATACTCTTTCGCCAGCTTGTTCTGCCATCGAAAGCTCACTTGCAAGCCATCTAAGAGTTCCAAAAGTATCAGGATTGGTCATGTTCCAATATGAATAAAGATTCTTTTGGTAGTAAGTGTTACTATTGATAGAAATGATACGTAATCCCTGTTTGGCCTTCACGGAGAACCCACAATAATGTGATCTAACCTCTTGAGCGGTTTGGTTATCGATCCATCCGAAATCGCTCCAAAGATGAGCCATAAGGTCGGAATTCCAAGTATATTTATTATCGAATCCTGAAGCTTCTTGAGCAATTTGACCATATGGATAAGTGTCGTGGTTCCCCATCAGAGAATACACTGGGATATCTCCGAACCAATGTTTCATGTCTCTGAGCATTCTTTCTTCTTCTTCCACAATGTACGAGAAACTCAGGTACTGTGTTTCAAGATGATCAACAAGATCTCCAGTAAAAATGGCGAAATCAAACGAGATGTTATGTTCTTTTTGAAAATCATTCACGGACTTAAGGGAACTATTGACAAGGGTTTCTGGAGAATCACAATAATAAGTCCCGAACAGTGTTGCCGGTTGCCAAGTTGACATATTTTTTTCGGTAATTGGTGCACCTTTGATAAAAGTCCCATTTTCGGCGTAATAAGAATTTTCATAGACTGATGAATAGTTGTTTTGGATATAAGTGTCATAAAATTCTTGTGGGATTTGCTCATCATTATAATTATGACTGGTGCAACACATTCCTGCATCAGTACAATTCGACTCCGCCGCCAGTTGGTAGGCCAATTCAAGATGATGGTCAGAAATGTGTAACACGTTGAAAGTTTCTCCACTGGTTGGTGGTTCTACCGCGTTTTGGGGTTTTGGAGTAGTCACCCACTCATCGATATCAAAATCCATTGTATCAGGTAAAGGACAAGCCGAGCTTCTCTTATAATAACAATAATATTGTCCGTCAATCTCTTCTGGCTCCATTAACGTCATCAAGTTCCCGAAATCACCACCAGAAGTAGAGGCATTGACGGTGACTCTTCCGTAAGTCATTTCACAATTGATGTTGGACATGATCTTGTTGCGCTTGCACCATTGAGTGAAAACCGGAGGCACCAAATAATTTTTGGATAACGCAATAGATTTGGCGATGTTAAGCTCATTGATACATCTGTTGCACTTGCTTATGGTCGTGGAGTTGGTGATTGCGGAAAGTTCGTCGACGTACTGGGATACTAACTGGACATCTTCACTATTGAGGGGAATCTGAGGAACTTTGAAGAAGTCCGGCAAAGGAATATCAAGCTCATAATTATATTGAACTGGAAGGGCCAAGAGTAGGGAGGGTAGTAATGATATGTAAAAAAGTAATGGTATCATGATTGAGGGTAATGAAGGATAAAGAAGAAAAAAATTACAACAAAAGAAAAAAAAGGATGAAAAGCGGCTACTGCAAGTGCCTTCTTATATAATATAAATTTGTGATGATGACCCAGAGTCAATTCCAAGCCCCATAAGATTGAGACTCTTTGGCAAACAAGATATACCCACGTTGTCTATGACCACATACCACAGGGCCCCACGGCGCATGTTAGCCTCCAATTAATTGAATTCGGAGTGAAAATCATCTGCACGGTTCCTGTTGTGATATGTGCATCTATACACATTAAGATACTTCTATCAATCTGATCATTGCATCAAATTGCACTATCACGCATTTATAAGCCTCCAACGTGGACAGTTTCTAGATTGTTTCTCCAAGAAATTGGAAACGAGATGAGCATTGTCTGGATGAGTGCTTGGAGAAACTCTGATTTCTTGGCTTCTCGTTTATTGTGGAGGGGAGGGAAGACCAGAGAAACATTAATGGGTATCTGGAGAAAATTATTCATTGGACAAAAAGGCGGTTGTTTCAGCATGCCGTACTAGGAGCCCCTATTTTTGGACGGATATTCCATAATACCATCTATAAATAAAAGTATCCACCACTTGTTACGCGATTTTCTTTTGTTTTTTTATGTTTTTTAATTTCTTCTCTCTTGAGTCACCTATATTGTTATCATACTTAGCAAATATATTGGATATATTAAATATACCAGAAATATCTCCCGTTTAGTATTTCTGATAATATATTTCTTTTAACCGATATACGACATGAAACTTTTAGGTTTATTGGCACTCTGGGCGGCCGCTTGTGAATCACTGGCCGTTCAAAAACGTCTTGCAACCCCAGAGTCCAACAGTGATGGATACTTCAAGGTTGCCTTTGAAGTTGCTGAGAGGGACCTTTTTGACCCAACCAGAATCGTCAAACGTTCGGAAATGGGAGGAAGATCCGTCGATTACGAAGAATTGGCTAAAAGAAGCCGTCATCAATTAGGCAAAAGATCAATGAATTCCTCTAATATTGACGATGCTGTGACAATTCAAAATAACCAAACCGTGGTGTACTATGCAAATATTTCTCTTGGTACCCCTCCTCAAAACTTCTCAGTACAAATGGATACCGGGTCGTCGGATTTGTGGATTTTTGCCAAATCCAATCCATATTGTAATTTCGGTTCCAGCAGTTCCAAAAGAGATGTTGGCGAAAAGGATTGGAATTACGATGGTGCTTTGAGCTCTTTAGAAGCCGCAGAAGCCTCGCTTTATGATTACGAAACCCAACTGGAAGCTACTTATTCCACTGGAGCTTCAAGTTCTTTTGTGTCACTTTCTACCCTTCACACTGTCCTGAGTATTGTCATTACTACCACCAGTGACGATCATACTTATACTGAAACTACCGCTGCTACCTCCGGTACTGCTACTGACGATGACTATGACGGTTCGATATCTACTGGAGACTTTGAATACGTTAACAGAGAAACTTATATCACTCCATCGTATTACCCCCTGCAAACAACTTATCAAATAAATACTGCCACAGTGCTGCCTACAATTGCTTGTGATGATACGGGATATTTCAATCCGGATGACTCTAGTAGTTTCCATAAGACCGACAACGATTTCTTCATCAGTTATGGTGATTTAACTTTTGCCCAAGGGACAGTTAACCAAGACAGACTTATTTTCAACGATTTCGTAATTGAGAACTACACTTTTGGTCTTGCAGAAGCCGCTAATTCTTCAGATATGGTGTTCGGGATCGGGTTAACTGGACTCGAGACTTTAGGAGTATACGATAATTTACCTTTAAGACTTGTCGATAGTGGGTACATCAACCGTGCAGTATATTCTCTTTATCTTGATGACGCTAACGCGACTACTGGTAACATTCTTTTCGGGGCGGTTGACAGCTCCAGATACACAGGTAACTTGACCACTTTCTCGTTGGTCAATATTGATGGTTATTACGAAAACGCTGACGCCTTTTATATCACCTGTGATAGTATTGACCTTACTTATTCCAGCAATAACTCTGTTGCTCTGAATGTGTCTTCTGCAAAACATCCAATCTTATTCGATTCCGGGACTTCGTTTTTTGTGGTTCCACCGACAGTTTATGAATGGTTTGGAGTGGCCTTTGAACATATCTCCTATATTGAGGAAATCGGTGGATATCTTGCCCTTTGTGATGTGTTGGAAGATTATAATTTCGATATTACTTTCCAAGGCACTACTTATTCTATCCCTCTTTCGTTCTTGAGTACTTCAATGACCGAGGCCAGTCAGGGTATGTTGCAAGGGGTTTCTCTGAAATACAATAAGCCTGATTATTGTTTCTTGGAGCTCTTACCAGGGGACGACAATACAATGATTGCTGGGGATACTCTTCTAAGATGGTTTTATGTGGTTTATGATTTGACTAACTATGAGCTTCTGGTGGCCCAAGCATTGTTCAACAGCACCACTGAGGATATCCACGTTGTTTCTGCTCTTGATAAGATTCCTGGGGCGGTCTCTGCTCCTAGTTCCACTACGTATGAGGGTGACATGGATACTCCGGAGGGAACCGATGGTGAAGAGCCAACTTTCACCGGTACCATACATAAAGGAACAAAGTATCTTAATGCTGGTGGTAAATTGACCAGCTCTTGGCCATTGATTGTTGGGGGGCTTGCTGGTTGGTATTTTTTCTTCTAAGGTAGAGCTTTTTTTTTAGTATCTTTCTAAGATAAAGCCTTTTTTTTTTAATATCTTTAATCATCACTCTTGATATCATTCATTTAATTGGACATTGGTTGACATGACATGGTTCATTAAAATTTTTCTCGTTATTTTTGGAGACACATCCTTTTCATTGTCGGATATTTATTATAGAAATGCATGTCTTTTTTTTAATTCAAAACAAAAAGTTCTTCTGCTCATCAGAGATATAAATATAGATAAAACAATTGGTAAATTGGATACAAACATCGTAAATTAACTATTAGCTTTGAACTGAAAAAGAGTTGTTGCCTAACCACTTTCACATAAATACTGGATTTACATCGCAATTACACTTTTGTTTCTTTCATGTTCAGTTATGAAAATGCAGATTAGAATGTTCCAAAAGAGAGGCAATGCCTCCGTTATTGTTAAAGTTTTATAATTTTTTAAGAGTGGTAATATTCAGTTAACAACAGTCAGGCTTTTTTGCCACTTGTTTGAGTTGTGTGTTCTATCAGATAGTTAGAGACCAAGTACGGTGGTAACATCTGATCTTCTTATCACACATCTAACGCGAGATCGAGTGAAGATAAGTATCGATATAGGATTAAGAAGTCAACTCTTCATCCCTTTGCTTCTCTGTTGTCATTACACCGTCTCATGTGAAACCAGAAATAAAAACGGGGGTTGGTACAAGGTACTAGTATGAACATTTCCGGTGGTCGGCACGAATAGAAAGTGAAATCACTGTGCTGAATAATTACGTTTCAGTTGGTAAGAAAAATCCGTTCCAGTTGGTGCGAATAATTTTACCTTTTGCTGGCACAAAATTTCAGGAGTGGATGGTACAATAATAGAAAATTAAATTACTGAATGTATGTAGACATACATAAAGAATGATTGACCTTGACATTGTAACAAACTTAATGAACTACTTGCTAATGTGGTCGCTTATTGCCACAATGCAGATGGTCTTTTCAATCGTCATCCCATACAATAACGAAGTATTCGCGGGCATAAACCCTAATCAAGCGCTATCAATCATATGGGGCGATGCCATTAAAATCTTATTGCAAATCAAATACTATCTAGTTCGAGGACATGGCTTGATATACAGCCCCCAGATTACCCCAGAAGATAACATTTACGAGTTGGCTTGGATGTTGATGTTTGGCTGTTACCACACCACAATTTGAGTGACAGTCGCGACATCAAAGTGGAACAAATTCGTAAAGGTATAGAGGCTCATTTAAGACTTTTGCACTCCACCAAGCAGATACCTGATTCACTGTCAACCACGCCGAAACATATGAAATACCTACCATTACAGGCAACGCCTCCCGTACATACACACCGGTGGCAAGAGACCGTTAGACCATTTTCGAATTGAATATTGTTTTGAAAAGCACTTCAAGACAATCTTAACAATATTGTCAACACCTGTTCTTTTATTGAGCATGGCAGTGTTCAATAGTAACTATATGATAGGGACGTCCCGTGACTTCCTGTGACTCCTGACATGATGCTTTGTGGTGTCAGAGCATCCGTGCCGGCTGGGGATTTCCTCAGAAAGACAGGCGGTGATTTGATTTGTAATGGTATTGAGAAGACATCTCTTTTTTTAAAAAAAAATATCAAAAAAAATTAAGATCTAAAAACCACAAAGACTGAAAAATTATGAAGAAGGTAATTTCTTAACTTGGGAAAAGCTAAAAGCGGCTCAAATTGTCCATTGGTTTCAATTGCCAACTTAATAATTTCTTTAGATATTCTATTTTTTTTCGCTATACTCATGTGAAAATTAACATGTATACACTTCCTCTCTCACTACAGGCGACTCAGCGTTCAAATGGGACAGTGGGGTAGCTTTCACTACTTCATTATTCAGGTATGAAATCGCCCAGGTGTCTGATGTATTATTTATTCAACCTACAAGGTATTCAACACAATATTGATTAAATTATAGAATCTAGGTCACAATAATTAGTTTCCAATAATCTGTACAAAAGATGAAACTATTGGGTTCTCTTCATCCCTCTCCTTTTCTGGTGTCTCACGTAAAACCGGAAATAGAAATGCATCACCCATAAAAAGCTCATAGAAATAATTAATAACCTGCTCGATGAACGAATATTTTGGGGGAAGATACCATGTTTTTCTTAGCTTATGAGTAAGCTAAGGCCACAAAAAATAAATAAAAAAAAATTGATTGAGTATTTACTGTTGAGGAATACAATCTCCATTCTCCAATTTCAAATGTCCACAGGTTAATTTCAAATATCCACAGGTTAATTTCAAATATCCACAGATTAATTTCAATGCACGAATCTTTTTTTTTCACCCGCCAGGTATGTAATAGGTATATTCCAGCTAAACTAGTGGGTTTACTTGCCCTTTTGGCCCTCGCCTATGAGTTAAGTGATAGACAAAATCAAACTATTGGAGCTTGCACTTTACTTGAAGCTACATTTCAACAAAAAAGAAAATTCCTATGCTTGAACTCAAAAGACGAGGCCGGGATGATTATCCGGATCGATGCAGGTGAATGCATACTGTTGTGACCATGTGCTGATAGATAATGTGACCCGCAGACACTGACATAATATTGCGTAAGGGGCCCAGAAAAGCCTCCATCTAACTGTCATTTTTGTTGATGAAGGCACTTGTTGATTATAAAAAACATGTCAAAATATGTCAGGATTGAAAAATCCAAAGCAAATTTCACAGAATGAGCCTGAGGAAAAAGGGTTTTATTGGCCATTTTCCAATTTAGGAAAGACCCGTGCTTGGGTAATATACAATCCTTTTTCACTAATTCTAAAATATCCACTAATTTCACGTATCCACAGATTAATTCCAAAGCGCGCGCGGATCTTTTCTTTTTGTATCCGCCAGGTATATAATTGGAGTATGTTCCGGCTAAACTAGAAATATCACATTGATCGATTTCCAATACTGCATTTCTGCTTTACCATAGACAATATGAAACTTGTGGGTTTATTCGCCCTTTTGGCCCTCACTTGTGAGTCGCTGGTTGTTCAAAAACGTCTTGCAACCCCAGAATCCAAAAACAATGGATACTTCAAGATTGACTTTGAGGTCGCTGAAAGAGATCCTTTTGATCCAACTAGAGTCGTTAAACGTTCGGAAATGGGTGGTAGAAGCACCAATTACGAAGCATTGGCTAAGAGAAGCCGTCAGCAATTGCATAAAAGATCAGGGAACTCCTCCAGTGTTAATGATGCTGTGACAATTTACAACAACCGGACGGTTGAATATTATGCAAATATCTCCCTTGGAACCCCTCCTCAAAACTTCTCAGTGCAAATGGATACTGGATCATCTGATTTGTGGATTTTTGCCAAATCCAATCCATATTGTAATTTCGGTTCCAGCAGTTCCAAAAGAGATCTTGACGAAAAGGATTGGAATTACGATGGTGCTATGAGCTCTTTAGAAGCCGGAATTATCTCAATTAATAACGATGCCTACACTGCAACTGATGGTGAATTTTCAACCATTGATGATAATACGGCCACTGCCATCTCTTCTGCTACAATCTTTAGTGTCACTTCTTCTGCTACAAAAGTTTCCAGTGCTACATTGGGCACTACAACTGCTAGTGCTTCTGTCTCTGTTACCAAAACTTCTAGTGCTTCTGCTTCCGGTGGTTCTAAAACTTCTAGTGTTTCTGCTTCCGGTACAAAGACCTCTAGCGCTACGTCTGTTACTATAACTGCCAGTGCTGCCACTTCTGGTACTACCACTTTAGCGTCGAGTGGTGATTTTGAATCTATTAATAGAATAACCTACATCACCCCATCTTATAATTCTGAACAGGCAACGCTTTCAATCGATACTGCTACGGTGGAGCCTACCATTGCTTGTGACGACTCAGGATATTTCAACCCTGACGACTCCAGCAGTTTCCATGAGACCGACAATACGTTCGTGATCGGTTATGCTGATTACACATTCGCCCAAGGGACCGTTAACCAAGATACCCTTGTTTTTAATGATTTTGTCATTGAGAACTATACTTTTGGGCTTGCCACTGCCGCCAATTCATCAGAAATGGTGTTTGGTATTGGGTTGCAAGGCGACGAGACTTTGGGATTGTACGATAATTTTCCGTTGAGACTCGTTGATAGCGGGTACATCAACCGTGCGGTGTATTCTCTATACCTTAACGATTTCAATGCCACTTCGGGGAGTATCCTTTTTGGGGCAGTTGATAGCTCAAAATACACTGGTGCTTTGACCACATTCCAATTGATTAACATTTATCCTCAAGAATACACCAACCCTACCTTCTTTTATATCACCTGTGACAGTATCGACCTTACTTATGCTAGTAATAGCTCCGTTGCTCTGAAGGTATCTTCTGCAAAACACCCAATATTGTTTGACTCTGGAACTTCGGTCTTTCAAGTGCCTCCAACAGTATATGAATGGATTGGGGTGGCGTTCGAACAAATCTCATATATCGAAGAAGTCGGAGGTTATATTGCCAATTGTAATGCTTTAAAAGAATATAATTTCGATTTCACCTTCCAAGGTGTCACTTATTCAATTCCTCTTTCATTCTTTGGTACCTCAATGACTCAGGCCACTGAAATATTTTTGGGAGCGGTTGATCTGAAATACAATAAAGCTGATTATTGCTTTTTGAATATTTTACCTAATGATGAAGGGGTTATGATTGCCGGGGATACTTTATTGCGGTGGTTCTATGTAGTTTATGATTTGACAAATTACGAAATTCTGTTGGCCCAAGCAGTGTTTGATAACAGTGCTGAAGATATCCACGTTGTTTCTGCCCTTGGTAAGATCCCTGGGGCAGTATCTGCTGCTGATTCCGGTATGTATGAGTTCACAGATGGTAGCCCATCTGCCTCCGATGGCGAAGAACCAACTTTCACAGGATCCACTCCTACAGGAACAAAGAATCTTAATGCTGGTGGTAAATTGACCATTTCTTGGTCATTGATTGCTGGGGCACTCGCTGGTTGGTATTTTATCTTATAGGATAAATATTCCCATTTTCTTTAAATATTCTTGTTATTGTTCATTCAATCGCAAATTGGATGACACGATTTATTAATTTTTTTCTAATCATTTAAGAGGAGATATGTTTTTGTTTTTTCAAATAAAAAAAAAATTATTCTTATTATCATTTATACAGATACAGTTCAAACAATTTATTTATCTTATACAAAATTGACTATTCAATTATCATCGTTAGCTTGAAAAATGTTATTTGTAGCTTGAGAAACATTCTGATATTTTTATGATAGATACTGCGAAGCTTAAGTCATGTTAGATACCTTCACATCATAATCAAAATCATCCTAACCACTGTTGATGTTTCCAGGCTTAAGCAGTTTACTCTCCTAGATATAAATTACTTTTTGGTTATGCAATCTATTATTATTGACAGTACTTTCTATAAGTAACATAAGAAGGAGGTTGCTACTACAGTTCTTATACCTGTACGTCCATTTGAATCAAATAGGTCAAACTAGACTACAACATTTTTTTGATGGCATGATATTGATCCTCACTATGGCTAAGCTGTACTGTGGTTAACTACTGGATGGACGGCTCTATAAACTGTGCCAGTGTGTATCGTTGCTACCAACATTGTTTACATTGCTCCACAATGCTATCAGTGGACCCTCAAAACTGAGGAATGTATACACAGATCTTGAGGGTACTTCTACTAACCTAACCATGAAATGAAAAGGGTAACTGTTATTCAATCATCTAGTGGGCTCACTACCTAAATTCGCCTGTATAGGTTTAATAATCAAATATCTATTATTATCTACCCGGGACTGCACATGTGGACAATTTCTGTTACATTTTGTTTGGTACATGCAGACAATAACATTGACTTGCGCAAAGCTCTACCACCACATCAATTTCCGCAAACCGGCAATATCCTGTTAGTTTGGGAAAGTCTTCAAATAAAATCTTACCAATTATTGGGAAACTAGGAAGAAATAATTTGTAAAATTAATGTGAAAAAAAAAAATCCAAAGTGATCGTCTAGGTATTTCCCAGGTTAGAAAGCTGAGACAATAAACAAAACACTCCAAATCATTCACTGATTTCATCTTTGCAGTCTCTAATTGCGGATAATTTTTATCTATTTTAACCATTTTCTCTAAATTTAGTTATCATGGGGATTGTTTTGGATATCCTAATACACATGCTTCTTTTTGAATTCTTTTTTGAATTTTTTCGTCTAAACTCACCAGAGATATAATATCAGCATGTATACACTTTCTTTTTTTGCCACTGGTGACTCAAGGTTCTAAAATGATGGGGTAGCTTTTACTACTTTATTATTCAGGTATAAAATCGCCCAAGTTTCTGCTGCATTATGTATTCAGTAGAATATTGATTGAAGTATAGGATCTACATCACATTAATTAGTTTCCAATAATCAGTGTAAAAGATGAAGCTATTGGGTTTATTTGCTCTTTTTGCCCTCACTTGTGAGTCGCTGGCTTTTCAAAAACGTCTTGCAACCCCGAAACCCATCAACAATGGATACTTCAAGATTGACTTTGAAGTTGCCGAAAGAGACCTTTATGATCCAACAAAAGTCGTCAAACGTTCGGACATGGATGACAGGAGCATCAATTACGAAGCATTGGCTAAGAGAAGCCGTCATGTATTGGACAAAAGATCCGGAAATTCCTCTGAAGATGTTGTCATGACACTTCAAAATAACAGAAGCATTGCATATTTTGCGAACATCTCGCTCGGGACCCCTCCCCAAAACTTCACTGTGCAAGTCGATACTGGGTCGTCAGATTTTTGGGTTTTCGCCAAATCCAACCCGTATTGTAATTTCGGCACCAGTAGTTCCAAAAGAAATCTTGAAGAAAGAGATGAGGAGGGTGAAAATGCTTCTGCTACCACTGCTATCGATACTACCTCGGGTACTGCCACTATTTCATCTAACGATGACTTTGAATCCATTAACAGAACAACCTACATCACCCCATTGTATTTGCCCCCTCAATCGACTTATGAAATCAATACTGCTACAGTTCTGGCTATCATTGACTGTGATATTACGGGATATTTCAACCCGGATGACTCCAGCAGCTTCCATGGAACAAACAACAATTTCTTCGAAAGTTATGCCAGTAAAAACTTTGCTCAAGGGAATGTCAGCCAAGATACCCTTATATTCGGTGACTTTGTCTTTGAGAACTATACTTTTGGGCTTGCCGAAGCCTCTAATAACACGGAATTGATATTCGGCATCGGATTACAAGGATCAGAGAGTTTTGGGTTGTACGATAATTTACCCTTGAGACTTGTCGATAGTGGGCACATTAACCGTGCGGTATATTCTCAATATCTCAATGACTACAATGCAACTACCGGGAGTATTCTTTTTGGGGCAGTTGATAGCTCCAAGTACACTGGTAACTTGACTACTTTTCCATTGCTTATTATCGACGATTATGTTCACCCTCTGACCTTTCATATTACATGCGACAGTATTGATCTTACTTACGCTAGTAATAACTCTTTTGCTCTGAATTTGTCTTCTGCAAAGCACCCAATCTTGTTTGATTCCGGCACTACGCACTTTGTGGTGCCACAGACAGTTTTTGACTGGTTCGGAGTTGCGTTCAAACATATCACCTATGTTGAAGAACTAGGGAGTTACATTGCTCGCTGTGATGTATTGGAAGATTATAATTTCGATATCACCTTCCAAGGTGTCACTTATTCCATTCCCCTTTCATTCTTTGGTGCCCCGATGACTCAAGTCGCTGATATTTTCATGAGTGATGAGCCTCTGAAATACAAAAATGCCAATTATTGTCTCTTGGGGATCAGCGCCCTGCCAGATAACACTATGACTGCCGGGGCTGATCTTTCAAGATGGTTCTATGTGGTTTATGATTTGACCAATTATGAGCTTCTGTTGGCCCAAGCGGTATTCAACAGCACTGAAGAAGATATCCAAGTCATTTCTGCTCTTGGTAAAATTCCTGGGGCAGCGCATGTTGCTAGTTCCATCACTTATGGAGGTGACCTGGACAGTCCAACTTCTTCCGATGGTGAGGAGCCATCTTTCACTGGAGTCACTCCTACTGGATATAAGAAACTTAATTCCGGAGATAAATTGACAATTTCTTGGCCATTGCTTGCTGGTGCTACTGTTGGTTGGTATTTTTTTTTATAAGATGAAGCTTTTTCATTTTTATCAAATATTTTTGTTGCAGTTCATTCGATTGCAATTTGAATGAATTAATTCAAGATATCTTGTTTTTCGAAAAAAGTACCTATTATCGATTATATGGATATATATATATATGAATTTGGAAATTATTACTTGTGTTTTGAACAATGTATATCTGATACTTGATTATAGATAGTATATAGCATAATTCATGCTTTAGCAACCTAGTTACTACCTCATCATATTCAAAATCACCCAGCATCTGCTGACATAATAAGATTCAAGTGGCTTATCTCGGTGTTATTGATTAATGACTTATGATTATGAAATTTATATTAATAGCACTCTCTATTTTCATTATTATTTCTAGATTATTATGTAACTTTGGAATAACGTAGAAAGAACTATATAAGGTTCTTTGTTTAATACCACTTATTTTTGATTTCAAAAAAAATCTTCAAGTTATGCTTTCCATCCTTTCAAACAAATAATATTTTAATTCATTCGCTACAATAATTATAGCTTGAATTCTAGACTGAAAAACTCGCTATATGTCTAAATAACATGGGAGTATGAATTGTACCAGTGAATCATTACCACCAATTTTGTTTAAATTGCTCAAATACGCTGTCAAAACTGAGTAATGTATGCAGGATCTTGAAGGCACTTCTTCTCATCATGGAACGAAGAGGCTAGCTATTATTCAATCGTGCAGTAATCTTGCTGCTTTCATTAATCTGTAGATATTGAATAATTAGCTGATTATTATTATAGACTTGAGACAGCAGATATGGAGAATTTCTGTTAAATTGTGTTTGTCAAGTACGACCTTATGCACTAGTACGCACCAGGAGCAGCGAATAATGTCAATAAGAATAAGGAGTATACTCCTAATACTATAACAATACTTCCTTTCAACGATATCGTATTTGAATGAATAAATAAATAAATTATATATTAACGAGTCAAAGAGTTTTTTTGCTATTTGATATATAATGAGAAAATCTAATAGCTATCTTAGTGATTAGTCGCAAACTATTTAATGACTACCCAACTAGATGAATGGATTAGGATATAACAACTTCTCATAACTTTGACTTCTGAAGTTATAAACAGAGGTTTGGTATAACATTTTAATATTTACAATGTATAAAGGTTACAATAATTATTTGTCCAAGTTAAGAAACAACATAATAATGAGTTCAAGAATAAATATAAGAGGTAGCTACTTTACCTGGTAAAGTAGGTTGTCAATATTCGCAGTATCTACGATAGCATAATTGCATCAACCTGCGCAAAGTTCCCCAGATCGATTTCCCCAAAATCAACACCAATAAAATCTTTAATCTGTCGGCTCAACAAATTATTCCAATTAAATATCACTAAATATTTTGAAAAAATATTAAGATTAAAAAATATTGAGATTCGGAAATATTAAGGTTCACAAATATTGAGATTGGCAAATTCTAAACAAAAAATTTGCAAAATTAATCTGAAAAAATAACAAGTGATTGTTTAAGTATTTCCCAAATTAGAAAGAGCTGGGGAACATAAATAAAACACTTTAAATTATCCACTGATTTATCTTCCCACTCGTAAATTACTGTTGAAATCTTTTTTTTTTTTAATTTTATTGCTCTAAATTAGGCAGCAAAAAAATGACAGTATGTATACACTTGCCTCTGTCACTAAAATTGGCTAAGCGTTCAAACGAAATGGTGGGGGAGCTACTGCTTTTTTCTGCGATTATAAATTCACCAAGGCATCTCCTGTATTATTTCTTCAATAGCATATTAATTGCCATAAAGCAACTACACGGGAAGCCCTAGGAATATCACATTGATTAGTTTCCAATAGTCAATAAAAAAGATGAATCTATTGGGTTTATTTGCTCTTTTTGCTCTCACTTGTGAATCACTGGTTCTTCAAAAACGTCTGGCATCTCCCGAAGCAAATACAAATGGATATTTCAAGATTGACTTTGAAGTTTCGGAAAGAGATCTTTCTGATCCCACTAAAGTCGTTAAACGTTCCGAAATGGGCGGCAGAGGTATCAATTACGAAGCATTGAGCAAAAGAAGCCGTCATATATTGAATAAAAGATCAGGGAATTCCTCTGATGATGTTGTCATGACACTTTACAATAACATGGTGGTGGAATATAACGCAAATATTTCTCTTGGAAGCCCTCCTCAAAACTTCTCAGTCCAAATCGATACAGGGTCTTCAGATTTGTGGGTTTTTGCCAAATCCAATCCATATTGTGATTTCAATTCAAAAAATATTTCCAAAAGACACATTGAACAAAGAGATGCTAATGATGATAATACTGCCACTGAAGCTGCTACTACTTCGGGTACTGTTACTATTTCATCTAGTGGTGACTTTGAATCCATTAACAGAACAACCTACATCACCCCATCGTATCTCCCCCTGCAAACTACTTTTGAAATCAATACTGCTACAGTTATTGCTACCATTGCTTGTGAGGAATCAGGATATTTCAACCCAGATGACTCTAGTAGTTTCCATAAAGTCGACAAAAACTTCTTCATCGAATACGGGAATGATGACTTTGCTCAAGGGAGTATTAGCCAAGATACCCTTATATTCAGCGAGTTTGTCTTTGAGAACTACACTTTCGGGCTTGCTGAAGTTTCCAATTCTTCAAAGATGATACTTGGGATCGGGTTACAAGGAATCGAGACTTTAGGGTTATACGATAATTTGCCGTTGAGACTTGTCGATAGTGGGTACATCAACCGTGCGGTGTATTCTCAATTTCTCAATGATTTCAACGCCACTACTGGGAGTATTCTTTTTGGGGCAGTTGATAGCTCCAAGTACACTGGTAACTTGACCACTTTCCCGTTGATCAATGTCCTCAATTATGAGCACCCTCTGACTTTCCATATCACCTGCGACAGTATTGATCTTACTTACGCTAGTAATAACTCTGTTGCTCTGAATTTGTCTTCTGCAAAGCACCCAATCTTGTTTGACTCAGGAACCTCGGACTTGTTGGTGCCTCAGGTAGTGTTCGACTGGTTTGGAGTTGAGTTCGAACATATTTCCTACATTGATGAACTTGGTGGGTATCTTGCCCGTTGCGATGTATTGGAAGAATATAATTTCGATATTACCTTACAAGGCGTCACATATTCCGTTCCTCTTTCATTCATGAGTGCTCCAATTACCCAACTCGCTGAACTTTTCTTAACAAACGTTCCTCTGAAATACTTAAAGGACAATTATTGTCTCTTGGGGATTGACGCCCTGTCAGACAACTCCATGGTTGCTGGAGATGTGCTTTTAAGATGGTTCTACGTGGTTTATGATTTGACCAACTACGAGCTTCTGTTGGCCCAAGCGGTATTCAACAGCACTGAAGAAGATATCCAAGTCATTTCTGCTCTTGGTAAGGTTCCTGGAGCCGTGCATGTTGATAGTTCCATTACTTATGAGGGTAGCTTAACAACTCCAACTTCCTCCGATGGTGAAGAGCCATCGTTCACAGGAGTCACTCCTACAGGATTAAGCAAACTCAATGCTGGGAGTAAATTGACCATTTCTCGGTTATTAATTACTGGAGCGCTTGCTGGTTGGTATTTTCTTTTTTATTGAATTATTTTGTTTCGGTTCATTCAATTGCAAATTGAATGGCACGATTTATTAATTTTTTTCTAATCATTTACGAGGAGATATCTTTTTGTTTTTTCAAATAAAAAAAAAATTATTCTTATTATTATTTATACAGATACAGTTCAAACAATTTATTAATCTTATACAAAATTCACTACTCAATTATCATCATTAGCTTGAAAAATGTTATTTGTAGTTTGAGAAACATTCTGATATTTTTATGATAGATACTGCGAAGCTTAAGTCATGTTAGATACCTTCACATCATAATCAAAATCATCCTAACCACTGTTGATGTTTCCAGGCTTAAGCAGTTTACTCTCCTAGATATAAATTACTTTTTGGTTATGCAATCTATTATTATTGACAGTACTTTCTATAAGTAACATAAGAAGGAGGTTGCTACTACAGTTCTTATACCTGTACGTCCATTTGAATCAAATAGGTCAAACTAGACTACAACATTTTTTTGATGGCATGATATTGATCCTCACTATGGCTAAGCTGTACTGTGGTTAACTACTGGATGGACGGCTCTATAAACTGTGCCAGTGTGTATCGTTGCTACCAATATTGTTTACATTGCTCCACAATGTTATCAGTGGACCCTCAAAACTGAGGAATGTACACATAGATACTAATGATACTTATATTTATAAGCAGAAATATGAAACCAAGTAATTTTCAATCTTTGAGTGATGGTACTGCCTTTATTATTCTATAGAGAATGAAGAATCAAATAACTCCCATTACAGATAATATAAAAACCATCCATGGGGTCTGAAAATAATTTTATTGCAACCTCAAAGAAGACCACCTTGGGCAGATCCTTATAGAAGAAAAAATCCCAAAAGGAGCGTAAATGAGATATAAAGAAGATAGTCACATTATACACCCGGGACCGCAGATGTGGACAATTTCTGTCACTGTTTGGTACATACGGAAGATATGCAGACGATAATCTGCCCAGATTGATTTCCTTAAAAAGAAACATTAATAGAATCATTATTCTATTGATTTAAAAAATTTCTATGGGTTGAAAAAAAAAAAAATATCAAAAAATTTTGAGATCTGAAAATATAAAGACTGGAAAATTATAAAGAAAGTGATTTCCTGACTTGGGAAAACCTAAAAGCAGTTCAATTTATCCACCAATTTTATCTTTCCACTCTTTGATTTCTCTTATATTTTTTCCTCTCTATACTCACCAGAGATATAATATCAGCATGTATACACTTTCTTTTTTTGCCACTGGTGACTCAAGGTTCTAAAATGATGGGGTAGCTTTTACTACTTCATTATTCAGGTATAAATTCGCCCAAGTTTCTGCTGCATTATGTATTCAATAGAATATTGATTGAAGTATAGGATCTACATCACATTAATTAGTTTCCAATAATCAGTGTAAAAGATGAAGCTATTGGGTTTATTTGCTCTTTTTGCCCTCACTTGTGAGTCGCTGGCTTTTCAAAAACGTCTTGCAACCCCGAAACCCAACAACAGTGGATACTTCAAGATTGACTTTGAAGTTGCCGAAAGAGATCTTTATGATCCAACGAAAGTCGTCAAACGTTCGGACATGGATGATAGGAGCATCAATTACGAAGCATTGGCTAAGAGAAGCCGTCATGTATTGGACAAAAGATCCGGAAATTCCTCTGAAGATGTTGTCATGACACTTCAAAATAACAGAAGCATTGCATATTTTGCGAACATCTCGCTCGGGACCCCTCCCCAAAACTTCACTGTGCAAGTCGATACTGGGTCGTCAGATTTTTGGGTTTTCGCCAAATCCAACCCGTATTGTAATTTCGGCACCAGTAGTTCCAAAAGAAATCTTGAAGAAAGAGATGAGGAGGGTGAAAATGCTTCTGCTACCACTGCTATCGATAATACCTCGGGTACTGCCACTATTTCATCTAACGATGACTTTGAATCCATTAACAGAACAACCTACATCACCCCACTGTATTTTCCTCCACAATCGACTTATGAAATCAATACTGCTGCGGTTCTGGCTACCGTTGACTGTGACAATACAGGATATTTTAAACCAGATGATTCCAGCAGTTTTCATGACACAAACAACAATTTCTTTGTGGGTTATGCCAGTAAAAACTTTGCTCAAGGGAATATCAGCCAAGATACCCTTATATTCGGTGACTTTGTCTTTGAGAACTATACTTTTGGGCTTGCCGAAGCCTCTAATAGCTCGGTATTGATATTTGGGATCGGGTTACAAGGATTAGACAGTTTGGGGATGCACGATAATTTACCCTTGAGACTTGTCGATAGTGGGCACATTAACCGTGCGGTATATTCTCAATATCTCAATGACTACAATGCAACTACCGGGAGTATTCTTTTTGGGGCAGTTGATAGCTCCAAGTACACTGGTAACTTGACTACTTTTCCATTGCTTATTATCGACGATTATGTTCACCCTCTGACCTTTCATATTACCTGCGACAGTATTGACCTCACTTATGCTAGCAATAACTCTGTTGCTCTGAATGTGTCTTCTGCAAAACATCCAATCTTATTTGACTCAGGAACTTCGCTCCTTATTTTGCCTCAGACAGTTTTTGACTGGTTTGGAGTTGCATTCGAACAAATTTCCTTCATTGAGGAGCTCGATGGGTATCTTGCCCGTTGTGATGTGTTAGAAGAATATAATTTTGATATCACCTTGCAAGGTGTCACTTATTCCATTCCCCTTTCTTTCTTTGGTGCTCCAATGACTCAGGTCGCTGATCTTATGACCGGAGAGAATCTGAAATACAAGAATGCTGACTATTGCTACTTATTGATCGATGTCCTGACAGATAATACTATGACTGCTGGGGACTCTTTATCAAGATGGTTCTATGTGGTTTATGATTTAACCAATTATGAGCTTCTGTTGGCCCAAGCGGTATTCAACAGCACTGAAGAAGATATCCAAGTCATTTCTGCTCTTGGTAAAATTCCTGGGGCAGCGCATGTTGCTAGTTCCATCACTTATGGAGGTGACCTGGACAGTCCAACTTCTTCCGATGGTGAGGAGCCATCTTTCACTGGAGTCACTCCTACTGGACTTAAAAAACTCAATTCCGGAGATAAATTGACAATTTCTTGGCCATTGCTTGCTGGTGCTACTGTTGGTTGGTATTTGTTCTTGTAACACAATGCTGTTTGTTTTCAGTAAATTTACACACTGTAATTACATATGGTTATTATATGGTGATATCTTATTTTTTCAAGAAAAGATAAAAAATTTATTGTAATTATATATATATATATATATATATGAATTTGAAACTACCACTTGTCTTTCAAAAACTTTCTTTTTATCTTTTATGATAGACACCGTGTAGCTTAAGTGATGCTTAAGACATTATATAGTCAAAATCATCTCAGCAACTGTTTAAATAATCAGGCTCAAGTAGCTCATCTCATTTTAACATTGTTATTAATAAGCTTTGGTCATGAAATTCGTATTAAGATCACCTTCCATTATTTCTATGAAGGGAACTTCTACTAACCATGGAAGGAAGAGGCTAGCTATTATTCAATCATATAGTAATCTTTCTGCTTGCACGTGCCTGTAGAGGTTAAATAACAACTTGCAACTAACTATTGTTGCATATAACAAGAATGAAAAAAATGCCAAATGTAAACGTAAATTATATATGTGCACGATATTCACAATGTAGATTATAAACACGGGGTTGCAGATGTGGACAATTCCCATTACATTGTGTTTTGTACATACGGACCATGTGCAGATGATAACATTAACATGCGCAAAGCTCCCCAGATCCATTTCCCCAAGAGCAGCATCAAATAAATTATTGTTCTGTCAGTTTAGGAAAGTCGTTTGATCAAAAAAAAAAACATAATCGAAAAATAGCGAGATTGAAAAATATTAAGACTAGAAAATTCTGAAACAAAAATTCCAAAAAAAAAATGTAAAAAAAAAAAAAAATGGTTGTTTGTGTATTTGCCAAATTAGGAAGAGCTTGGGAATATCAACGAACCACTTCAAATTATCAACTGATTTCAATTTTCCACTAAATAATTTCTGTAGATTTTCCTTTTTGCTTTTTTTTTCTTCTTCTCTATACTCATCAGAGATACAAAATCAGCATGTATTCACTTCATCTCTCACCACAGCTGACTCAGCGTTCAAATGAGATACTGGGGGGTAGCTTTCACTACTTCATTCTTCAGGTATAAAATCGCCCAAGTTTCTGCTGCATTATGTATTCAATAGAATATTGATGGAAGTATAGGATCTACATCACATTAATTAGTTTCCAATAATCAGTGTAAAAGATGAAGCTATTGGGTTTATTTGCTCTTTTTGCCCTCACTTGTGAGTCGCTGGCTTTTCAAAAACGTCTTGCAACCCCGAAACCCATCAACAATGGATACTTCAAGATTGACTTTGAAGTTGCCGAAAGAGACCTTTATGATCCAACAAAAGTCGTCAAACGTTCGGACATGGATGACAGGAGCATCAATTACGAAGCATTGGCTAAGAGAAGCCGTCATGTATTGGACAAAAGATCCGGAAATTCCTCTGAAGATGTTGTCATGACACTTCAAAATAACAGAAGCATTGCATATTTTGCGAACATCTCGCTCGGGACCCCTCCCCAAAACTTCACTGTGCAAGTCGATACTGGGTCGTCAGATTTTTGGGTTTTCGCCAAATCCAACCCGTATTGTAATTTCGGCACCAGTAGTTCCAAAAGAAATCTTGAAGAAAGAGATGAGGAGGGTGAAAATGCTTCTGCTACCACTGCTATCGATACTACCTCGGGTACTGCCACTATTTCATCTAACGATGACTTTGAATCCATTAACAGAACAACCTACATCACCCCATTGTATTTGCCCCTGAAATCGACTTATGAAATCAATACTGCTACGGTTCTGGCTACCGTTGACTGTGATGATACGAGATATTTTAACCCGGATGACTCCAGCAGTTTCCAGGAAACAAACAGCAGTTTCCTTAACGTCTATGGGGATAAATCCTTTGCCCAAGGAGCTGTTAGCCAAGATACCCTTATATTCAGCGACTTTGTCTTTGAGAACTACACTTTCGGGCTTGCTGAAGTTTCCAATTCTTCAATTATGGTCTTTGGAATTGGCTTACAAGAATTGGAGGGTTTGGGGTTGTACGATAATTTGCCGTTGAGACTTGTCGATAGTGGGCACATTAACCGTGCGGTATATTCTCAATATCTTAATGATTACAATGCCACTACCGGGAGTATTCTTTTTGGAGCAGTTGATAGCTCAAAGTACACTGGTAACTTGACGACTTTTCCGTTGATTAATGCTCGTCATCTTCATAGGACCCCTAGTGATTTCTTCATCTCCTGTGACAGTATTGACCTCACTTATACTCGCAATAACTCTGTTGCTCTGAATGTGTCTTCTGCAAAACATCCAATCTTATTTGACTCAGGAACTTCGCTCCTTATTTTGCCTCAGACAGTTTTCGACTGGTTTGGAGTTGCATTCGAACAAATTTCCTACATTGAGGAGCTCGATGGGTATCTTGCCCGTTGTGATGTGTTAGAAGAATATAATTTTGATATCACCTTGCAAGGTGTCACTTATTCCATTCCTCTTTCATTATTGGGAACCCCAGTTACCCAACTGCCTTTATTTCAGTTTGATGTCCCTCTGAAATATAAAAAGCCTAATTATTGTTTCTTAGATATCGATTGTGGGAACGACAACATCATAGTCGCTGGGGATTCTCTCTTAAGATGGTTCTATGTGGTTTATGATTTGACCAATTATGAGCTTCTGTTGGCCCAAGCTGTATTCAACAGCACTGAAGAAGATGTCCAAGTCATTTCTGCTCTTGGTAAGGTTCCTGGAGCCGTGCATGTTGATAGTTCCATTACTTATGAAGGTAGCTTAATAACTCCAACTTCCTCTGATGGTGAAGAGCCATTTTTCACGGGAACTGTACATAAAGGAACAAAGAACCTTAATATTGGGGGTAGATTGACCATTTCTTGGCCGTTGTTGGTTGGGGCGGTTGCTGGTTGGCATTTTATTTTGTAAGGTGGAGCTTTTTTGTGTTTTCCTAAGTATTTATTGGAATAGACCCTCCAAATTTTATTGAGCATTCTTGATATCACCAATTTAATTCGAAGTTTAGATGGCATAGTGCTTTTTTTTTTTTTCTGATTTTTATGTTATATTTTATTTTTTCATTTTCAGCAGATAAGAATAGTCTCGATTTCTTTACTTTTGTAAAAAATATTCTAACTAAACATAAAGAAAACAATAAGGTTCTCAAACCCTAATTTATAGTAGAAGATATTCACAAAAGTCAATAAAATGGTTAGATTTCGTGTGGCAACTAGAAGTTAGTCATTTCGGGCATGGGGTTCAGAAGTCTATTCCGTCCCCTGTATTATTATTATTATTGTCATCATAATCATCACATTTTATAGCTAGCTTCTATTTTATATTCCTATCTCGTATTATTTTGACTATTTCCTGCAAATATTCTGTACTGTTTAAATCTTTTCTCATTGACGCTTTTTGCAACAGATTATTAACTCCCCAAAACAAATGGCTTTCATTTTCATACAAATCTAAGAACTTCTCTTCCATGGGGATATTTGTGAGATCCACATTATTCAATGGATTGCTAACTTTACTTAATTCCTTCAACATAAAACACCAAAACCTTGAAGAATTTGTGTTCAGATACCCTCCACCACCGAGTAATACCACCGGAAATTGCTTCTCATTAGTTACGATATGTTTAATGATCGTGCTAACCATTCCATCAATCGATAAATTCCATTTTTTGAAATGCTGGTCATTGAACAAACCATCAAGCCCACACTGCAAAACAATTACACAATCATTTACACCGCCAAATTCCTCAATCAACGGAGTTATGATGGATTTCACTAACTTTTCAAAGTTCCCATTAGAAAGCCCTTGTTTGAGAGGAATGTTAACACAATAGTTTTCACCATTCCCTTGACCGCGCTCTTCAACGGAGCCACAAAATGGAAAGAATAACCCAGCATCGTGATAATGGAATGATACTGTCACCACTTTGTTAGAATACTTGAACGCTTCAGCCACTCCGTCACCGTAATGAAGATCAAGGTCGATATAAATAACTTTTTTATATTTGGTGGTTCGCAAGTATTGGATCCCCAAGACAATGTCATTGACATAACAAAACCCGCTAGCTTTGGCTCGTTTAGCATGATGACGACCCCCGAGCCAGTTTATGGCAATTGGTTGACAATTATTAGTTGACTGCTTAACCAACCATTTACAAGACTCGATGGTAGAGGAGGTAACGATTTTGATATAGTCAGGCAAAGTGGGGAATAATGGACAATCGTAAATTAGGCTGTATTTCTCTAAAATTTGGTGTTTTTCATCATTTGTGGAGTAATCATTTAGATCGATGCTATTTTCTGATTCAGATGACGAAGGTTCATCTTCGGAAGATAAATCTTCTTCTGATAACGCTAGTTTATCTTCATCCTGTTTATCTTCATCCGGTGTCTCGTTATTCATTCCCTCTTCATCTTTTTTTTGTTCATCCTCTTTAGAAGAAAGTGGTCTAGCATTTCCAATCTTTCTTATCTTTCGACAAGATTCCCATCCATCATTAATATTCCTCTTATTACCTAGTTTGTAATCATTGTAATCTTCTTCTAATTGGGGTCGACTTTTCATTAAAAACCGAATGTATTTTTTATCATGGAATGATTGGAGTAGTTTCCTGGTAACCTTTCCCCTCCTAATGGCGATCATATCACAAGATTCTTGAAGATTATACGAGGTAATCAATGAGTGAGTAATGCTTGATCTGAGTTCGTTGGACGGTAAATTGTCGGTGATCTCCAACACCTGGGGGGTTGGGTCAATTAACCCAATGACCACTGGTTTTCTCATTGAGGCTGATATTCAATGATATTCTAAGGAAAAAAAATGGAACGAAATAAAAATCTAAAAAAAAAAAAGAAAATTATGAAAATTATAAGAACCAATAAAAAATTATGATAAAAACCACCAAGTAGTATAATAACTAACACTACAAATCTCACAATAACAGCGAATGATTGTATATTTGTTAAGAAAAATGACTGGGAAAAAACGAAGGTACACTAGTAATACATTATAATGATAAAAGAAGCTGGTCATATAGAAAGAACAAAAATACAAAGAAAAAGAAAATAAAATAAAATAAAATAAAATAAAATAAACAAAAAAGAAAAAAAGTTAAAAGTTTATAGCAAATGAAAAAAAAAGGCATGCCAACTTAATAACTCTCCTTTTTTTTCAGAGCGTAGCCACCATTACAATTATCCACAGGAATTCCATTTGCCTTCAATTTTGTTATGAGTTTTCTCTTTTGAAGTTCTCTCCATCTGTTTAACTTACTATATTCGTGCAATTCAAACCCATAGATCTTTGGACAGCACACCTCGGTGTTGTGTACCGGGACCAATTGCGGGAAAGTTTGGAAAAACATCGCTGGGAAACTGGTACCAAAGAACGCTCCATCTAGATACGAGTGTCTAGTAGACTTAGGATTGTACAAATCTTCACAGTTGGCACAATATAATTTGACTGGGGAGTGTCCTAGCTGATCATTCATGCTCACGGGAAGTAATGGCTGTAACTGACAATAGACTCTAGGACAATAGCCAAAGTCACCGTTCTTGTATTTCTCGTACATCTTTTGCAAACCCCTGGTGGTTATTATATATCTAGCGTGGATTAACCCGTACAAGATCCTTGCGCTATACTCCATTTCGTCCCGGTACTCCTGGTTACGCTTTTCTTGTTCATCATCGTCATCTTCTTCGCCTTCATCTTCATTGTCATTACCTCTCTCATCTTCGATGTCGCTGAGCTTGCAATTGTCGGTGATTAAATCGATGGCGAGTTGGATATTGTACACCTCGTTGTTGAGGCCTGTGAGGTTGAACCTATCGGTGATGTACTCGTAGTCGACGTCGCAAAAGTACTCGTTGCCCTTGGTGCCCAAAAACCAGTCGATCCAGTACTCGCTGAAGTCAGACTCATCAGTAAACTCTTCACCTCCGCTCATTCTAAATGGGTGTTAAGGATTATTCTAAAGTATAAAAAATGCCACTAAAACAGTTATTTCTGAGAGAATCAGTTGCCTTCACAATTTTTTTTTTTTTTTTTTCTTCTTCCCTTCATTCCCCAGGGCACAAAACAACAGACAAAACGGAGAAGAAGAAGAAGAAGAAGAAGGAAGAAGTTGAAGCATTGTTGTTAGAAGAAGGAGAAGGAGAATACACGCCCAATGAGACTCTTCAGAGTAACAGGACTGGAGAAATCAGGCAAGATCCTCTCGGTGGTCATCCACCCATCGGGAAAATACCTTGCTGCTGCCACATCCAATGGCAGAGTCGAAGTATGGGACGTCTCCACTTTCAAAGCAGCAGTGACAACTAACGAAATTGCCGGGAAATTGAAACCCCTACGGAAATTGAAGCATCATGATAAGGATTCCCAGGTCAATTGTGTACGGTTTGTGCCTGGCACCGACATTTTGGTATCGGGGGACTCTATGGGGAAAGTGTATTGCACCACCAAACCTTGGGAAAAAACCGCGGCGTCTGAGTTACTTCTTGACTTGTATGACAATAATAACAATAATAATGATGAATTAAAACTGCTTGGAGTACCTAAGAGACAAGCTAGTGATGAGGAGGATCTTATCTCTGATATTGCGGTGACTGAGAGATTGATGGCCATCGCGTCGCTAAACAATAAAGTGATAATTTATGATTTCCAAGACAAGAAGTTTGTGGCGTTCCTCAATGAATTCCAGGCTCCAGTAAAGAGTATGTCATTTGATTCTAATAATAACTACTTGATGGTGATCAGCAATAATAAGACCGTATACTTATATCAATACAAACTCAAACTCGTGGGAAACCTTCAGAGATTCTATATCAAGAAAGTCCTCCTGCTTTCGAAAATCCTTCAAAGATCATTGCTCACTGCGAAATTCAGTCGATTCAATTGGTCGCCCACTGGGAATTTGGTACCAGTTCCCAACGGCTCACGAGAAATGGGTAAGAACAATGCAGGGATCACCAATAATAGCAAAAACTCCACCATCATTAACTTCAGCTCGACAAACATCAACCATACTTACTCTTTGAACAACGTGACCATCATCGCAATGTTATCGCCTCTCAATAATTTCAAAAATATTTCCTCATTAGTAGGACACAAGTTTTCCAGTTTAGAAACCGTGAAATTCAATCCGCAATTATTCAAGTTTACCGAGCCTGAAGACGTCAACTCCGCGCATACTGACACCAACATTCAGATCAAAAATGACCGATTCTACAGTGTGCTTGCCACTAGTGGGCTTGATAAAACCCTTGTGGTATGGTCTACCGTCATTGATAAACCGATATTTATCAGTAAAGATATTGCCACTGATACAATCTCCGAAGTGGATTGGACTCCAGACGGACTCGGGTTATTTGTGGGTTCGTGCGATGGGTCAATCATATATTTGGATTTCGATGAACTGGATATTGGTATTAGAGCCACCAAAGATCAATTGAAGTTATGTAAAAATGAGGTGCAAAAACTTATACCACAACTAGAAGATCCTCCCGAATGGAAAAAATTGCAAGATGACAACAAACCAGAAGAGGTGAAAAAAATTGAAAAAGAAGGTACACCAAGTAACCAACAGGGAGGAGGAGCCTCATCCACGGCAGATTCAAAAAGCAAAATAAACACTAGCTCTTCATTATCTACGAATTATAAAACCCCGGTAATCACTAAAAATGGGAAGAAAAGAGTTGGAACGGTCCTTGTTTCTAATGGTGCTAGCTCCGATCCATTACTCAATAGAGCCACCTCTAACAGTTTCCTGGTTCTGTCAACGAGTAATGAATTCGATAGACCTTCTAATACCGTGCCTAAAAAAATCATAGACAAAAAACGTTCCAGAGACTCCACTGATAGTAATAATAATAATAACGAAGACAGAAATAAAAAATCAAAACATTATGAACCAGCGGAATTTCTACGGTCAACAATCATCAATCCTGTCACCTCATTTGCAAAATTACGTTTGGCAATCCCCAAAGTTTCGCTTGATATAAGTTTGAAATCCTCCATGAACGATTCATTGTCACTAAATATCAAAAATGGCAGCGGTAATGAACAAAAGCCAACGAGGATTTCGCTAATCACCAATGAACGCACTTTCAACTCCCATGATTTGCTAGGTGAAGATCCATTACCAGAAACAAAAGAACTTTTTGTGGACTTTGTTCCTAAATTAGTCAACGTGATTGCCGGAGGTGAAGGATTGTTTTGGGCATTGGCGTGTCTTGATGGTACGGTGATTGTTTATTCCAATGCTGGGAAACGACTCCTTCCGCCAATAATGTTGGGATGCTCGCTTAGTTTCCTCGAAAGCAAAGGAGATTACCTCTTGGCGGTGACCTCCATTGGTGACCTCCATGTGTGGAACATAAAGGAAAAATCCTGTGTGATTCAGCCGACTAATTTATATACTCTATTTGAACCATCCAGCAAATACCAAGATGATTTGCTTGTTAAAGGAGAAGGTCTAACGTTATGTTCTATCAGCAAACGAGGAGTGCCACTCGTGACGTTATCCAATGGTAATGGGTACTTATACGACAAAAATATGGGCAGCTGGTGTTTAATTAGTGATTCTTGGTGGGCCCTTGGGTCGAATTATTGGGATTCTAGTAGTAATATCTTTGGTGTCGATTCTGGTAATCGATCGATATCTGAAATGCTTCCTAGTGGTGGTCCTAAAAATAAATCTAGTGTGATTACTCTTATTGAATCGAAGACTAATGAAGAAATCTTCAAAAAACGCAGTGCTAGTATGTTGAAAAAACTCTCCAAAGTGATGTTGATGAAACATGGGTACGAGAATCTTGAAAGCAGTATCTCGTTGGCTCATCTTGAAAATCGGATCTTGATTGCCGAAACTTTACAAGAAAATCAAGAATTCAAAGAATTGTTGATGTCTTATTGTTCCAAGTTGTGTGAACTTGCATTAAAGAATAAGTTGATCGAAGTATTTCAAGATTTATTGGGTCCGAAGAATCATGTCGAATTGAGCGATGATGATGATGATGATGATGATGATGATGAAATTGATTACATCAAAGCAAACAATAAAAAAATGAGTACCGAATGGAATCCGGAAATTTGTGGGTTGAAAAAACACGATTTGCTAAAAGATATCATTTTGGCATGCGCTGGGAATAGAGAAGTTCAAAGAATCTTGGTTTCTTATGGTAAAGCAATTGGATTACTTTCTGATGAAATTTTATAAAATATATTTATCGTACATCGATTTATGAAATTATCATAATTTATGGATATGGCATTTTGAAATAGGGAGCTGGTTTGTTTGTTGGTTTGTTTTTTTTTCAATATTATTACTATTCTTTCTTTAATGATTGTTTTAACACGTCTCTTACAGAGTAATCAAAAAAATTTCAATTTATATTTGGTAACTTTTTAATTTTTTTATTTTGTATGTATACACACCATTTATTCGAGATGCCCATCCACAATAATGGTAGATTCCAATTGGGAAAAGTTTTCATAATAACTTTGGAACAACTTGATCAATTTTTCAACATCATAAGAACCCCCGGTTTCTCTAATGGAATGCATCGACAAGATTGGGGCACCGATATCTAGACAACGGATCCCTAATTTGGAACAAACGATTGGACCAATAGTGGAACCACATGGACTGTCATTACGCACCACAAACAATTGTAATGGGACTTCCGCCTTTTCGGCACACTTTTTAATCAACACAATCCCTGGACTATTGGTAGCATATCTTTGGCTGGCGTTGATCTTGATAACTGGACCGCAATTCATTTGAGGTTTGTGGTTCGATTCGTAGTTTTCTTGGTAATTAGGATGGCCACTGTGGGCAACGTCAGAACTCAAGAAGAATGATTTGGCACTGGTTTCATACAAGTAAGAACCATTGGATAAGTGACCCACGGCGTCTGCATTGGCCTCGTTGCCGGTCAAAGATGATAATCTGTCCATCACCGATGGGATGAAGTTAGAATCAGCCCCTTGGGCAGACTGACTACCGATTTCTTCGTGGTCGAACATTGCCAATAAACGGATCCCTGGTTCATTGGCCAAAGTCTTGGAGGCGTTGATAATTGCTTCAGTCCCGCAGAAGCATGAAAACAAGTTATCCAATCTTCCAGAAAACACAAACTCGTCATTGAGGCCGCCTAATGTGGACTTGTTATGGTCAAAAAGAATCAATTCAAAGTCTTCAATGTCAGAAACTTCCACACCGGCTTCTTTGGCAACGACCTTCATGAATTCTGGACTGTGTCTACTGACAAGGGAATCCAAAGCTTGGAATTCTTCATCAGACAAATCAGACCCATCGGCACAACTGTGTTCTTTTTCTTCTTGTTTTTTGAAGTTCTTAGCTCCGGTTGGGTTTTCCAAACCAGCAATAGGCACCAATTTGGTTTCCTTGTTGAATTCGAACTTAGTGTTGACCGATCTGTCCAAATGGATCGCCAAGGTTGGGATTTGAAGAATTGGCTTATCAATCTTCACCAACTTTGGGTAACTCTTGCCATTCTTGGTGATGAAGAGTCTCCCAGCCACGGAAAAGGATCTGTCAAAGTATGAATGGAAGATCCCCCCACCATAAGTCTCACATTTCACTTGGATGAACCCATTACTGGTACCTTTACTAACTGGCTTAATACGAAGGGTTGGGGAATCGGTATGGGCTCCGATAATGGAAATCCCATTTCCTGGCAACCATTTTTGACCCACGGTGAAGGCAATGATCGAGGAGCCGTTACGGGTAACGAAATAAGAGCTCCCTTTCTTGATCAAGCCTCTCCAGTTGGTCTTTTCTGACAATTCGTTGAAACCCTTGGCTAGCAACGATTTCTTGATAGTGTCAACGGCATGATAAGGAGTTGGAGAGCTGTTGAGAAACGACACGAAGTCGTTTGCGTATTGTAATGATTTAGAGGACATTTTCAAAGGATACCGTAGCTCTATGAGTGAATAGCTCGACTTCTTAACAATCCTGGGTTGAAAAGTGGAAGCAGAAATGACGCTAAACAACTTCTGGTGCTTTGTGGAGGGGCCGTACGATAGGCTCACCGGGGCGGAAATCACCCTGCCTTCGATAAGTTGTTCCGTGCCGGTGGTGGGAGGAAGTGGAAAAAAAGCGAAAATCGTCACACAAAAACCATAAGTGAACCCATCGCCAAAAAACGTCATTATTATTATTAGTGTTGGTGACCAATTGCTGTTTAACAAGGGCAATTGTATATGCGCGTGTTTTTGTTGTTATTCATTGAAGGCTGATTGTTTGTTTGTTTGTTTTTGTTTTTGTTTTGTTCATTTGTTTGTTTGGGATAATTCATTATATTATATCAAAACAATTGCCATTTTGACATTCGTCTTTCCATCTGTATTGGTATTTCCATTTATCTCTCAATATGTCCTTACCTCATCCAGACGACTTGCAAGAAACCTGGGCCTTTATTGAACCAAGCTTGTACAAAATTTTGGGCACAGATGATGACTCTGATGGTGTGACGCCTGATGAGTACATGTCTTCATATACTGCGGTTTACAATTATTGTGTCTCGAGATCAAAAGGTGGCAGCACCTATCGTTCCAGCACCAACTCCATCTTGTTGATTGGTTCCGAGATTTATGCGAGATTAAAGAACTTCCTTACCAACTACGTGCTACAATTGACAAAACGTCCCGATGAAACTTTCTTGCAATTTTATGTCAGACGATGGAGAAGATACACCATTGGTGCTGGATATTTGAATAACGTGTTTGATTATATGAACCGGTACTGGGTATCCAAAGAAAGAAGCGACGGCAGAAGAGACATTTATGACGTCAATACTTTGGCGCTTTTAACTTGGAGAGAAAACATGTTCGACATCAATTGCAACATCTTGGTGGCGGAAATCTTAGAACAAATTAGATTACACCGTTTGAAACAACAAAACTCACCAGCATTACTCACACATTCGATCAAATCTTTTGTAATGTTGGGTATCGATATTCAGGACTTGAAAAAACCAAACTTGGGAATATACATTGATAAGTTTGAAAAACAGTATTTGATTAATACTATAGAATTCTACAATACTGAATCGAATGAGTACTTGAAGACACACAACCTTATCGATTACATGAAGCGGGCGGAGCACAGAATTGCTGATGAAACCAGTTTTGCCACCAACTTCCTCGATGAAAGAAGTAGAAGGCCATTATTGGAAACCGTTTGCAAATCTTTGATTGAAAACCACGCACCAGTCATGTATGAAGAGTTTGAGAGACTATTACAACAAGACCAATTCTCTGATATCAACAGAATGTACTTGTTGATGCAAAAAGTCCAAAGCTCTTTGGACCCATTGGCCAGAAAGTTTGAAGGTTATATTAAGAGTGAAGGGTTGATGAAAATCGATAACATGGATATCAATGATGACAATAAAGGAGATAGACCAGTGAGAAAGGCACCACCTAAGGTATTGGCTACCGATCAACAGAAAAAATTGTACATCAAAACTTTGATTGCGGTTTACACTAAATTCGTTTCCATTGTCGAAAAAGCATTCAATAACGATTTATTATTTGTTAAAGCCTTGGATAATGCCTGTAGAGGTTTTATCAACAAGAACTCTGTGGCCCTGCCTCCAGGTTATAAAGGTACTTCCAAGACGCCAGAATATTTGGCGAAATATACTGATTTGTTGATGAGAAAAAATGCCAGAGAAAACGATGTGAGTAGTGACATGTCTGAAGATGATGTGATGACTATTTTCAAATTCATTACCGATAAGGATGCTTTTGAGAGTCATTACAGAAAATTGTTGGCCAAACGGTTGATTTACGGGACATCGATGTCGGTGGATACTGAAGAAAGTATCATTAGTAGATTACAAAAGGAAAACTCGGTGCAATACACTTCAAAAATGACCAAGATGTTCCAAGATATGAAGGCATCAACCGATTTGCAAGCTGCGTTTGCGCAATACGTGGAAAATAAGCCAAATAAAAAGGAAATTTTGGATGATTTTAACGTTTATGTTTTGGCAGAAACCATGTGGCCATTCTCTGCATTCAAGCATGAATTTTCACTCCCAAAAGAATTGATGCCAACCTACGATGCGTTGGAAAGTCTTTATAATGAGAAACACACTGGTAGACAATTGAAATGGATTTGGAACTTGTGTCGTGGGGAAATCAAGGCCAACATTTCTAAACCTGGCAAACCACCATTCATTTTGACCATGACGCTTTTCCAAATGGCGATCATTTTACGATTCAACGAACAAGATACTTATACTTTTGCCGAATTAGTGGATATTCTTAAGTTGCCAGAAGAATATGTCAGTGGTAATTTGGCTCCATTGATCAAATATAAGTTGTTGAATCAATCTCCACCAGATGCCGCCAAGATTGGCGAAACTTCCACGAAATTCACGGTAGTCAAAGAATATAGATCGAAGAGAATGAGAGTGAATTTCGCCTCGAATATCAAGATTGAACAAAAGCAAGAATTGGAAGAAACCACCAAAGAAATCGAGCAAGGTAGAGAAATGTTTTTGCAAGCGTGTATTGTTAGAATCATGAAGGCAAGAAAACAATTGAAGCATGTGTTGTTGGTGAATGAAGTGATTCAACAATCGCATACCAGATTTAAGGCGCAAGTTTCCGATATCAAGAAAGCCATTGAGAATTTGATTGAAAGAGAGTATTTGCGGAGAGTGGATTCGGATACCTATGAATATGTTGCATGAGATAATATTTTTTTTCTTCTTTATTTTTTATTTCTTTATTATTATTATTATTATTATTATCATTTGCTAATTGTATTTTTATTAATATTATTGAATTAATTGGTTAGTTGTTGTTATTTTTTTTTTGTTTTGGAAAGATACAAATTTGAAACGTTTTTTTTTTTGCATTGTGTACTTTTTTTTGCATTGTGTACTTTTTTTTGTATTGTGTACTTTTTTTTGCATCTACCGACTTGGGCCGACGGCAGTGTGACTATCGGCCCAAGTCGTATCGTATAATAACGTCAAATTTGCTCACATTTTATATATAGTGGAACCAAATGAAGAAGGGTCATCAAAAATAATGGATGAGCCCGTTGCCGACCGACAAATTAAATCAAAAGTTGCGTAAATTGAAGACGGCTGCCGTGTGCAGGCGTTATCTGTTACCAGGGCTCGTCAGAGGTTTTGCCCGATGATGTTAGATGAGATAGATCATTTGGAAACATTGATCATAGATCATACAAAATTTGGGAAAGTACCCGCAAAAAGAAAAGTAGATTCGTTTCCTATATAAAGCAGTGGTGGTTTTGCTATTTTTTGCTCTTTGCTTTTTTGTTTGTTTTTTTCATCAGATTTCCCCACAAATAAACAGAACTAAAAGATAATTAAAGTTTTTGAACAAACAAAAGATAGTATTATCTACAGAATAATTAAATAGAATACCCTGAGATCAAAATGATGTTGGATATGCTTGCCACCAAACCTTTGGGGGCTGGGGTATTGTGTTTCAAAGGTGCTACTGCTGCTGCTGCTGCTGGATCAGTGAGTCTTACCAGAGGGTTATCCAGACTTAGCAGTTGGCCATCATTGGATTCTCAACCCCAATTTAAGGGATCCACTTCTTTGCCATCATTGGAGTCTGAAACCCAATTGAGGAGAAATCATTCAATGGTCTTCACACGAGGTTTGAAAATCATTGCTAAGCATGGCCATCAAGCATCGGAAATGAAAAAGATCAAAGGGATCGATGTGTTTGTTGACGAAACCACCGATACCATCTATACCAAGAATACATTCCCTCATGAAGAATTAACGATGCAAGAAATGGGGTCGATCACCGTGACCCACCGAGTTCCAAGAACTTTAAGAGATCGCTATGCGTTGTGGTTAGTGAGGATGTTAAGATTTGGGTTTGATATTTGTACTGGGTACCGCCATCCAAAACCAAAACATGCTGGTGCTGAGTCGAGTGTGATAAAACAAGAAGATTATAAAATGACCCCTGAGAAATGGATTTCGCGGTTCATTTTCCTTGAAAGTATTGCTGGGGTTCCGGGGATGGTGGGAGCGTTCATCCGCCACCTTCATTCGCTCAGACTTTTGAGAAGAGATAAAGCATGGATTGAGACATTATGCGATGAGGCGTACAATGAGAGAATGCATTTATTGACATTTATCGAGATTGGGAAACCATCATTTATTACTCGAGCGTTCCTCTACGCGGCCCAAGGAGTGTTTGTCAATATGTTTTTCTTATCTTATCTTATTACCCCAAAGACGTGTCATCGGTTTGTCGGATACCTTGAAGAAGAAGCGGTGATGACATATAGCCAATGTCTCAAGGACATTGACGAAGGATTATTGGATGATTTGAAAGATATTCAAGTACCGGATATCGCGTTAGCGTATTGGAACATGGAACCATCGGCAACTTTCAAAGACTTGATTCTTTACATTAGGGCCGACGAGTCTAAGCATAGAGAGGTCAATCATACTTTAGCAAACTTGAAGCAAAAGCAAGACCGGAACCCATATGCTTTTGTTGCCGATGATAGTAAACCTCAGCCAAGTAATGGATTTGAGAATTACAAGCCAAGAGGGTGGGAAAGAGAGGAAATTGCAAAAATCAATGAGAAGGAAGGGTGAAAAAGAAAAAAGAAAGAGAGGTCATGAAATGATCCTATATAATGGATATATATGACTCTATGTATATATAAAATATTTTATTTTAGTGCTGTAATATGTTAATAAATTAGATTCTAGCCAATGATATATTTGTTTTGTTTTGTTTTAGATGTAGCTGGGAAGGATGAAAAAGAAGAGCCTATGACAATATTTGTTGTCTGGATTGACTCCCAATATATAATAGTAAAGCCCCTTCAACTCACCCACTTTCAAAAAGAAAAATGAAAGCGCCGTTACACAGTTTACATTACCCATGGTATATCTGATTACCACATCATTTGTAGATGATAATTTTACGAGAGGATGGCCACTTGCTGCTGCATGCTGAAGGCATAATGTGTTATTAGTTTACACCACTTAAATTTCGCAAGCATTAAAAAAAAAAAAAGTCTCATTTACACAACGAATCAAGGGAACTAACTACATTGAAATATATTTTATATGATAAATATATTATTAGGTTTCAGCCACGAAATTCTGAATTTACATATTGACAATATTCAATCCTTCAGAGCGATGGAGGAGGGGAATCTGCCCCAATTTCCAACATCATGTGACTCTTTTACGCCCTAATAATACAGCCCTCAGATATATCACGTGGCATGTGAGCCGTTTACCATGTGACATCGTTAGCAACCTGGGATCGGATTTTTATTTTTGTTGGAGAACGGAAGAGAGGGGCTCCAGTCGATATTATATAAAAAAATGAATGGTCCACCGGTTTTCTTTTCCTCTCTCCTCTTACTTTTTTTGATTCCCCATACATTCACTATTTCACAATGAGAGCTAAGTGGAGAAAGAAGAGAGTTAGAAGATTAAAGAGAAAGAGACGGAAGGTCAGAGCTAGATCCAAATAAGCGGATCGAACTATAGCATAGTGTTATCGCCATTGAAATTTTGCAATTGTGAACAAGAAGATTTGAAATTGTAAATAATCATACAGTCTTTTTGATGAGTTGAAAGATAATGTGGAGATGACACCGGTGATCATTGTCATGAAGTTGCCTACTTGTATTCAATTGGAAGGAAGCGAATGCCCAAGAGAGTTTTAATTGGATGATTTTGTTGGAACGGTTAAAGAAAAATAATGACTGATATTCAATTGCTTTTTGAGAAGTTTCTTTTAAATGAATTGGTAATGGTTGATGGTTATTGCTGGTTGTAGCTTTGATTAATGACGGATTTCTAGTTTACCTTTTATATGTCTCCGCAATAAAGAAAAAAGATTTTTTAAATCAATTTACTTGAAGATGTAGTATTGTGGAACCACAAGTTACATTGAAATTCGTAAAACATATATAATTGAAAAAAATGTGAAGCAAAATTTAAAATATTCTACTGAATGGCGCAGCATCCAATTTAGAACTTCCTACTCTTATCAATACAAAAATAAAGAAATACAGCAATACGTTTTATTTATGATTTATCAAGTCTCTTTCTCTCTTGAGACAAGCTGTTATGTAAAGCCATTGAGATGTGGTCCAATCCAGTAACGTCAATGATTTCATCAATGATTTTTTCATTGATCAACAATTTTTCTTCCTCATGGTGATTATCCATTGAAGGCAATTCCTTATAATGGGTCGAATAAATCTGGTCAAGCTGTGGTAGATTCGCAAACTGGAAATGCCCCTGGGATTCTCCATTAGTTGGCAATGGATCGTTCATCAAATAATTCAAATGTTTTAACCCACTCATCACTTTCCAATGACAATAAATTCTATAACAAAGGTAAAAACCCGGGATATTGGGGATCACTGGTAAAATAACAAATGGGATGGTCAATGGTAGCCCAAGAATACAGTAAATCATTGATCTCATATGATGCTTGTAATAATTGCCCTGTATATCTTCATTAATAAACTTCACAATATCTGCCTCACTTAAAAGAGATTTTGGATAATATAATGGAATTGGTTTCAATAATGTCGCATACACTTCTTTGTTAACAAGGAAGTCATCTTCATGAGCAATGGTATCTTTTCTATCGGTGGAATTGTGTTCTTTGAACGACGACTGGAAAAAATCCATTCGATCTTGATGTTTCTGTTTGACATGACTAAGATCAACGGTCTCAAGAAATTCATTATTCTTGATTTCCGTGCGGATTTCTCTCAACACTGTCGATCTTGATGGAATAGACGAGAGACAGGTTTCAAACCAATTGATCCGTTTAAGAAACCTTTGAACCGTATCGTAACTGTATTTCATAACCTTGTTGTTAGAAGTGGACATGTTTTCCCATACTGTTTGCATCTTCTTCGTTACCTTTAGTAGATTGAGCTGGCTTTTAATCTGTAATTTTTCTCCAAAACTTTTCCCAGTGACATCTTTCGCCTGTAATTCCAAGTAAGTATTCCAATCAAATGATCTATGATAATTGTAGAAAATGAATTTCTTTTTGGTGGTGACGGGCAAAACAATCATATTCATTGGTGCCAAACTTTTGACAGACCCACCAGGGACCGCAACATTGGGTGCCGATGAGTTTGCCCTTATCGAGATTCTAAAGAGTGACAATCCCCTGCTCCTAATAAATAAGGGCAAACCATAAGAATTCGACAGGGAAACAAGCATTTTTTATTTGGCAAAATGTCCCAATGGTGGTGGTATCAGATGGTTTGAAATTTCCCAATAAAAAAAAAAAAAAAAGATTAAAAAAAAGGGTTGGTGTTTGCCCCCCGCAAAGTAAGGTGGTGGCGGCGCAAAAACTATATAGTTGTAGGAATTTTTTCACCATCTGTTGATGATGACATGCATACGTGCACAGCCATCCACCTCCACATCAAAAGTTGTTTAATTCTTCCGAATGATGAAAGAAATTGAAATTTGGGTAATTTTCTGAATGGTGCTTTATGTCATACTCGATTTTCCGGTCGGTCATATTGTTTAGAATCGATGATATGTTTCGTGAGTGTTTAGCGTCGTTTTCAATTTTCCTCACCAACTTGATATGAGACTATAAGTGAACAAACAGGTTAGTGGTAAAGAATGAAAAAAAAAATAAAAAATGAAATGAATGGTAATGGCAACCTACCTTAGCAGAATCTGAAAAAAGTTTCCATAATACTGTTGCAAATGGATAGTTTGTAATAAATGACTGGAACCGGTTTTTGTTAGTCCTCTATCTAGAAATGAGTGTAGAAAAGTGCTCCACTTACTTTTCGGCAAAAATAAGATAACACAAGGGGAATTTCTTTTTCTGATTCAATAATAAAATTAAACATAGTGTGGTTTAAAATATTTGTAATATCCATCATGTCCTCGATGTCAAAAATTGGATCCCAGTTCGTAAAAAGGCGGTTTGGGTCAGGGTAGACTCGCAAGTTTACTAATAACCTCTCAACTTCAAAGATTTGATAATTTTCCACAGTAAAGATAGGATCTAATTGAGATCTGATCTCTTGATTAATAACTTGACACTTCAACTTGACTTAAAAAAAATTTTTTTTATTGTTAGTATCTTTTTGCTTTTGTTGCTAGAGATTACTTACTACTGATCGTTGAATCCTTGACATCTGTTTCTATTTCCACTTCATAACCAAATTCTTTCCAGCACTGAATAGAATGTTAATAATTTATTCCTCCAACACAATTCAATAAAGATGAAGATAATTTACATTGTAATTGAGGTGATTTTTCAAAATTTCACTGAACTCATTCAGTGACATTAAACTGCCACCATAAAAGACATTGATCACAAGCTATTAAAGTACTCGTCAGTATTAAACGAAGGTTTATTGTGAAATGTGAAAATAATTGATAATTACAGTCAAACCAGGAAGTTTTGGAAATATCACCGTGGTTCCCGAATTAAGCGCCGATAAATCCAGGGTGGTGGAATTGGAATTGGAATTGGAATTGGCATTGGCATTGGTGAAGGAAACATAGAAATCCGAGCCACAGAACTTATCTTTCGTTTGAAGAAATAGTTTCTTTACAGGTGAACTCATTGTTGACTTTTCAAATGACTTGAAAAATAGCCGATAGAAAATTAATTGTTTGATTAAAAGCAGACGAGGAAAAAAAAATGTAGAGAAAATAAATCGACCAAATATGCATTTAACAAAGGGAAACAAAAACCAAATAGCAAATTCTATGAAACGACAGATGGAAAAAGCTGTCAACAAAAATTAACGAGTGGAATATTTAAAACAAATGCCTAATAATTGAAAACAATGAAATAATGATTATGCAAATGACAACAATATAGTATAATATAATATAATATAACATGAATATAACATGAATATAACGATATGAACGTATAACAATATATGGCACATAGGCTGACTACTCCAGTAATCTGTGCTTCTCCATTTCCACCATCTTCTTGGCCCGGTCCATTTTCTTAGTAAAAGAATTAAGTTTCGCAAAATAATCATCACCCCGATGTCCATTCCGATTCGTAGCACACTTTTGAACTTCAATAAGATCAATAATTGTATCTTTATAAATTTCATATGCCTGGACAAGCAAATCTGGGTTATCTTTGAGTAATATTGATACCAGAGAACTTGATTCTGTTTGTGGTGATTGTTTGATCTTTTGAGAGTATCCATTGGATGGTTTGGTTAATCTCTGGGAATCATGAAGATCCCCTTGGGAAGGGGATGTTAATTTCTCAACTCCATTCTTAAGAACGCTTTTATCTGAGATAGTATTTTTGACTGACACTGAGTTGGAAGTATCATGTAGTACTGACAGTGAGATTGGTTTATTCACCTTGATACCATTCGTATCACGATTACTTATATTGTTACTAGCGAGTTTCTGAGGGCGTGGTTTTGTCAGTGGTTTTGCTTCTTGAGCAGTATTATGTATACTCTTTGCACCTCCAATTTTGGAGTCAGCGCTGCCATATTTTATTGGGGATGTGTTTCTTCCGGGTTTTGACCACCTAGGCGCTGGAGCCTTATTTTTTGGTGTCTTAACAGGAACAGTGTCGGAATCTTTGTTTAATTTTCCCTTCAAAGACAGTACCAGTAATTTAACAGGGCTTGGAGTACGGAAATTCCTTTTTGGTGATGGTAGGTCGGTATCTGAAACTTGGTCAGATAATAGAGAATCAATAAGCGCTGCATCCTTATCTTGCCTGGTGCGGGCCTTTTTCTCAATAGGCTCGTCTTGTAAAAGGATGGATTTCTCTTTAAGAATATCTCTAAGACTCTTGCCAAGACGCGGTTTTTCTTTTTTCTTTTTCTGAATTTCTTTTCTAATTGGAGATCTTTCAAATGCTTCATCTGCCCGTCTCTTATTAGCTTGGGTTGTGGCAGACAAAAATTTCGACGACGCCATATTACGATTTCCTTTGCGAGAATCGGGTATTTCCATATCATCATCGCTTGTCTTGCTTATAGAATCACTGGCAATATACGACCGTCTTGAACTTGTATCTGACTCTGACTCTTGCGACGACATTTTGGAGTCCATGCCATATCTATTAGCATTCAGCTTGGCTCTAGTGTTATGTGCCGCATCTTCATAGTCATCTGAAGATTCATCCTCTGATTGTGAATCAATATATACTAGTTGAATTGGTTTCCCCTGGTCATCCACCGGTAACACTTTCATATTTGCGATACCATCTATATCAATGATCTTTTTAGCAGAAGGACGTTGAGTAAGTTGTTCTGAATCAGAGCCTTGCTCTCCAACAGCTGGCCTGTTTTTTGTCCAATGGTTTCTCCTATTCCCTGTTGTCTTGCTTGGTTTGGCACGGCCATTGTTTTTATTATGTTTTGCAACAGGTTGATCTGAATCAGATTCTTGATCTGGAGCCACCGATCGAGGCTTATTAGCTTTACCACGCTTATTTTTATTATTCGATGGTTTCTTTTTCGCCTTAGGATGCACGCCGTCTTTATATGTTCTTTTTCTAATATTCATATATATTTTCTTGTCTCCCATGTATAATGAAGTCTTATCTAAAGCGGTCAAATTTATTGGTACCATCTCGAAGCCATCACTAAAGGCGTTACTGGTAAACCCGTTATGTTTCACGGGTGACTTGAGATCTTGTAAGTGCTTCAAGGACGCCTCAAAAGATGATATCATAATTCTATGATTGCCAGTAATGTTGTGCAACAAAAGTGTTACTTCTTGGTTTCCAAGATCAACGGATGTCGCGTCTTGTTTCTCCTTTAACTTTTTTTTACTTTAGGAAATAATTCATGAACTGCAGTTAAATAATAATAATAAAAAAAAGTCGCGACTGCCACCCACGGGGGCTCCTAATCGATGATCAATTTTTTTTTTTTTTTTTCCTTAATTCTTGTGCCAATTCTCTTGTTTCAAAGAGTAGTTCGAGGAAGTAATAGTAGATAACCCACCTATTATACAGGTTTAATTAAGGTGCTTCCTCCTAAATCTTTTCCTTTTTTTTTATCGGCAATGAAAGCGCAGTCTCCTAATTCAATCAAGGTCCTTTCTGGGAAGTCACATCCGGCGTTGGCTAACTCCATCTGTGACATCCTCGGGATCAAAGTTAGCAGAATCATGATCAAAAGATCTGTCAATGAGGAATCAGTGATCTCTGTGGGGGAAACCATGAGAGACGATGATGTGTATATTGTTCAGACCGGCTGTGGTGAATTTGAGGTCAATGACCATCTTATGGAACTTCTTATGATGATCAGGGCTTGCAAGTCAGCATCGGCAAGAAAGGTTACTGTGGTGATTCCAAACTTCCCTTATGCTAGACAAGATAGAAAAGACAAGAGCAGAGCTTGTATCACTGCAAAATTGATGGCCAATCTCTTGCAAACTGCCGGAGCCGACCATGTCATCACCATGGACTTGCATGCCTCGCAAATTCAAGGATTCTTCACCATCCCGGTTGATAATTTATACGGTGAACCAAGTGTCATAGCGTACATCAAAGAAAACATACCATATAAGGAGTCAATAATAATATCACCGGATGCTGGAGGAGCCAAAAGAGCTGCATCGTTGGCAGACAAGTTGGATTTGAAGTTTGCGTTGATTCACAAGGAACGCCAGAAGGCCAATGAAGTGAGCAGAATGGTGCTTGTTGGGGATGTCAAAGATAAAGTGTGTATAATTGTTGATGATATGGCTGATACTTGCGGTACTTTGGCCAAGGCGTCTGATACTTTGCTATCGCACGGTGCCAAAAAAGTGTTGGCGATTGTCACCCACGGTATTTTATCGGGAAATGCTATTAGTAATATCAATAACAGTAGTTTGGACAGTGTGGTCTGCACCAATACTGTTCCATTCGATTCTTTGATGGACCAATGTCCTAAATTGAAAAAGATTGATATCAGTCCTACATTGGCGGAAGCTATTAGAAGATTGCACAACGGGGAAAGTGTGTCATATCTTTTCACACATTCCGCTATTGTTTAATCTCCGGCAAGTTCTATGGCTTGAATTTTAAGCTTTCGTATTATTATTTATTTTTTAACTTTTTCCATTGCTGGATTTGAATTTTTATTGTTTAGCATTCATTCTCCCAATCACGATTCTTATGTATCAACATCACTTTCTTTTCGATATAATGTCAATTTCCTAATTTCCAAAAATATAAGAATATTATATGGTAATCATTAACAGGAATTGTATATTTTTTTTAATATAATATAGTTGAATATGGGTCTAGATATGGACCTCAGCTAGGTCGGTTTCCTTGCAAAAAGAAACGGAAAAAAAAATACAAAACAAAATAATAAAAAAGAAAACAGAACATAACGATAAAGAGAAGACAATAGTAATTCATCATTGTACCTTCAGAAGCTTTGCACCAATAGCAAGTATTATCACCAATAAGAAGGAATACATCCATATACTGTGCTTACTCTCTAACTCCTGTTGATCGTCATTTAATGCGGCTGCTCTCAATCTCTCTTCGACGTCTTGGATTTTATTGATATCAGCCACCATATCCTTTGGATTATCTTGCTTTAATATACTACTTTTTTTTTGTTCGATAAGGGCTTCTTGTTTGATAGATCTTTCATTCTCGGCGATTAGTTCCGGGAAATTCTTTATAAAAGAGCGACTAGCATTATTCCATTTTTTACTGACTTTTGCCAATTTTTTTTTCATTTCTACCGAGGTCCTAATTGACCCAGTGGTTGGTTCTTCAGAAGTCATGAAACTCAATAACCCAGTCAAGATAGTGGCGACACTCCACGCAGGATTCCAAGTATCCGGATGAAAGTCGGACATCGAAAGACAGAGTCTGGTGTTAGGCTCGAATCTTCCACTAGGAGTGATCATTCTGATGGCAGGGGGTTTGAAAGGATAATCTTTTTGGAAAGTCAAGGTTCCGTGGTATTGGCCTCCCACGTAGCAGGTATCTGGAGGACCAGTAATAACGTAATGCCATTCTAAGATATTATCTTCATTTGGTTTGGCGGTGATGTATGGAGGAGGGTTTTTTTGGATGTTTTTGTACTCACGAGTGAGTCTCTTTTGTGCTTGGAGGGACATCGGGAGTGGCGATAGAGCGGAATATGTGTGAGTGGGTATGTGTATAGATAAGCTAGATATAGATGATCTGGGTAATAATCAGAAGACGATGACGTTAAATTAGTTGTTTTTCTTTGATTCTTTTTTTTTTTTTTTGTGCGGTGTGTCTCGGGGACGCATAACCGATGTGGTTAACCCCAAAATTTTGGCCGATCTCACTGTTATTCGCCCCATTACTGATAAGAAATACTATCAGAAACTGCTGAATCATAGTGAAGTTGGCTTGAAAAGAAGCAAAAAAAAAAAGAAAAAAAAAAGAAATAAGGAAGAACAACAATTTATTAAGAGTGAAAATGGTATGGAAAATGATGAGGATCAGTAGAGAGAAGAAGGACGTAGAAGGAAAGAGATTGAAATAATAATGACAATAATTTTGATGATTAATAATTTGCAAAGAAATCACATAATGACACAAGAGTCAAATACATCCTGACAGTGAGGGCACATCTTGTACTGGCATCTCTTGCATCGAACAAACTCGTTGGTGAAACCAACCCATTTATTGACTAGCCCGCAGCGGCAGCACCTCCAACCAACGTTACGCTTCATGATTGTGTTTATTGTAGCAATTGGATTTTTCTGATGTTCAGAATGGATTATATTCAGTTGGAAAGTTTAGGATATACAGGAATTGCTAAGATATATATATTGGAAGGAACATTTAGTGGGAAGGAGAAACAAAACAGAGAAATATTGGAAAGCAGAGTGGTCAGCTTTTGCTGCCCCCTCCTTTAATTTGTATAAATATACAGCAATGATCTTCCTCTTTTTCCCTGAGATAAGTTTTACACTCAATTAATTGCCTCAAATGTTTGTTTCATCACTTCATTCCCAAAATTCTTTGATAAGTTCCTACAGATCTGAAATTAGCCTACTTCGCAGATTCTAATCATCAGCAATAATCACAACAACCTTACACAATCCATTGATACCTCTTTCAATAACCAAAGACCTAACAATGACCGATGGTTTGTGTTTGTTGTTGGTGTTATCGCTGATGGAGGAAGCATTTGGGAAGCTGCTAACTTGCCGTACAGTCACGTGCGTCGCCGCACATGACCGCAGAGAAAAAAAAAAGAAGATAAAAATTTTTTTTTTTTTCTTAGCGCTGTTGAGCTCATCGAGTCATCTTTCTGACTTTTGCTTTCTTTGGTAGGAACATATATTTCTTGTTGCTTCAAGTATATTCCCACTAGGAAACCCACTTGTTCGTCTCCCTCTTTCCCATTCTGCAATGTCTGCTCCAGAAGAAGTTTCCCAAGTGTTCGACACTGTCTTGGTGTTGGACTTCGGTTCTCAATACTCTCACTTGATCACTCGTCGTTTGAGAGAATTCAACGTTTACGCTGAAATGTTGCCATGTACTCAAAAGATCAAGGACTTGACCTGGAAACCAAAGGGTATCATCTTGTCTGGTGGTCCATACTCAGTTTTCGCCGAAGACGCTCCACACGTTGACCACGATATCTTTGACCTCGGGGTTCCAATCTTGGGGATTTGTTACGGTATGCAAGAATTGGCCTGGATCAATGGTAAAGGTGTTGCCAGAGGTGATAAGAGAGAATACGGTCCAGCCGTGATCAATGTTGAAGACAAGACTTCTCCATTGTTCAAGGATGTTGATAACTCCACCGTGTGGATGTCCCATCACGACAAATTGTCTTCTTTGCCAACCGGTTTCAAGACCATTGCTACTTCCACCAACTCTCCATTCGCTGCTATTGGTCATGCTGAAAAGCCAATCTTTGGTTTGCAATTCCACCCAGAAGTCACTCACTCTGTCCAAGGGAAGTTCTTGTTGAGAAACTTTGCTATCGACATTTGTAAATGTAAGAACGACTGGAGTATGGAAAACTTTATCGACACTGAAATCTCCAGAATTAGAGCCTTGGTTGGTCCAACTGCTGAAGTTATTGGTGCCGTTTCTGGTGGGGTTGACTCTACCGTTGCTGCTAAGTTGATGACCGAAGCCATTGGTGACAGATTCCACGCCATCTTGGTTGATAATGGTGTCTTGAGATTGAACGAAGCTGCTAACGTCAAGAAGACCTTGACCGAAGGTTTAGGAATTGACTTGACCGTTATCGACGCTTCTGAAGAATTCTTGGGTAAATTGAAAGGTATTACCGACCCAGAAAAGAAGAGAAAGATCATTGGTCACACTTTTATTCACGTTTTCGAAAGAGAAGCCGCCAAGATCAAGCCAAGTCACGAAGGTGAAGAAATCGAATTCTTGTTGCAAGGTACTTTGTATCCAGACGTTATCGAATCGATTTCTTTCAAGGGTCCATCCCAAACTATCAAGACCCATCACAATGTTGGTGGTTTGTTGGACGACATGAAGTTGAAATTGATTGAACCTTTGAGAGAATTGTTCAAGGATGAAGTCAGACACTTGGGTGAATTGTTGGGGATCTCCCACGATTTGGTTTGGAGACACCCATTCCCAGGTCCAGGTATTGCCATCAGAGTCCTTGGGGAAGTCACCAAGGAGCAAGTGGAAATCGCCAGAAAAGCCGACCATATTTACATTGAAGAAATCAAGAAGTTTGGTCTTTACGAAAAGATCTCCCAAGCTTTTGCCTGTTTGTTGCCAGTCAAGACCGTCGGGGTCATGGGTGACCAAAGAGTTTACGAACAAGTCATTGCCCTTAGAGCCATTGAAACCATTGATTTCATGACTGCTGACTGGTTTGTCTTTGAAGCCAAGTTCTTGAAACACGTTTCTAGTAGAATTGTGAATGAAGTTGATGGCGTTGCTAGAGTTGTTTACGATATCACTTCCAAACCTCCAGCCACTGTCGAATGGGAATAGATGTATACTAAAAAAGGATGTTAGATAATTTTTTTTTTTTTATCTCCTCTTATATTTTTGTTTTGATAGTCCATAAATGAAAAAAAAGAAAAAAAAAAACATGATTTAAAGATCATGGTTTAAGTAAATGATCAAGACTGTAGATATAGATGGATGTGTTGTATATAATTTAATATTATATCTCACTCGCTTTTGCAATTGATAAGTTAACGAAGAAGTTGGATGAGGTTGCTGATCCATCCTCGAAAAAATACAAAAAACCGTTGCCAAAGATACACGCAGATTGCTTTACGTTTTTGTCTTCAGGGTGTTGGAGTTGGGCTTGCATAGTGTGTTTGTGAGGATGACCATCCTATAGTGATTATTAGTGATATTGTGGGAGAATGCCTTCTGAATGTCTCGCATGGTTTACGATGCCCCCGTATTCGAAGTATTATGTTAGAAAGTATAGTTTACGATGGTATCTCTTTAACGTATATAGTAACAGTTTATCAAGACCTCTTTAAAGTTCAGTGTTTGCCAATCATGACTTATGATGGCCCCTTGACATATAGTGCTTCTCAATGATAGTTCATTGTCTAGCCCCCTTGATGTATAGTATAGTATCATGGCCTCTTTGAAGCATAGTGCTAATCAATGATGGCTTATGTAATGGTATCCTATCTCTATATTTCCTATTAATGGTACACCTCTTGTCCAGTAACTTGATTCCAGTCATATACAATCACATCATCATTGGTGGTAATAAACATCGCAAAATAAAAGATCGATTTATTTTCAACTGAAAAAAAAAAAAAAAAAAAAAAAAAAAAAAAAAAAAAAAAAAAAAAAAACATAATAATGTGCAACTATAAACCGTGCAAAAATACATATATCCTAACATACATCATATGGATGAAGATAAACAGTAGAAGAACGACAAAAAGAAGAAACAAAAAGAATAATAATGATAATAATGACAAGGAGGAGAAGAATAAAACAAGAACAAGAATAGGAAGAATAAGAACAACAAGAAAGAAAGAAAATAAAAAAATCCCAACCCAGGAAAACAAAACTATTGTTAGCATTTTTTTTTTTTTTAAAGAACAAAACAAAAAAAAACAAAAAAACAAAAAAAGAAACCATCCTTTCAAGATGATAAAAAAAAAAGAACACAAAAACATTCACATGAAAGTCATCCTTGATTAATTTTTTAAAGCTTTCACCATATCATGGACTTTTAACTCTGCCAATGCGATGTAAACCGAGGCATTTTCCTCGTTTTTCTCACCAATAGCTTGGGTCAACACTTGGTGGAACTTGATCATCGACGTGGCGTTCTCAATTCTCGTCACCACATTATCCAACAACATCAAATGATCTTGTTCGGTGGTGATGTTCGGGTTCCGAATCTTTCGCAATAATTCCTCTTCCGCTTGCTTGGATTTTGCCAAAATATCCACATTCAACGTGGTCCCCGCGGTGATGATGGAGCAAATATGTTCCAATTTGATGGCGTACATCTCCAATTGACACAAACTTTGCTGGCTGATTAATCCTCCCAAGATTCCACTACTATGACGGCTCATGGCATCGACGTCTTGGGCTCCACCTTCGGTAAGCATGAAATTGGCCCGTTCTTGTAATTTACTAGGGAAAACTAACGAAATGAATTCCGGGGTTTCAAGCCCTTTCAACTTCTTTTCCCCAATTTCTTTGATCACGTACCCAATGGTGTCAAGGGTATCCATTTCATTTTCCAAAATCATCCCCACTTGAACGTCTCCGTACGCTTCCTTGATGGTTTTCTCCCCGTTCTTGCTCTTTTCATGAATCTCAAGAAGTTTGTGCAACTCTTTCAAATAATCATTACTAATAGAAATTTGCCCACCGTCAGCCACAGAGCTGACTCTGGAGGCACGGTTGACCATCGGACCAAAATAGTCCATTCTTCCAGTGATGGCGTCGGGTTCGCATACCGGGGACCCCCAATGGATCCCCATTCTTACCGAGAGCCCCCTGTAAATAATCTCATTCTTTGAATCGTTGATCTCACAACATTGACTGGATTCCAAGATTTCCAATGGCCAATCCATCGATAATAGTTGTAATTGAACATTACAACACCATATCAAAGCAGAAATAGGGGTTGGGAAAGATACCATAAACGCATCTCCTTCGGTTTTCACCTCGTATCCGCCAACGATCCTCAATAGTCTTCTCATGATGAAATTATGGGTTTTGATCGCACTTCTCATGGCACTAGGATAAGTGTCCCATAACAAGGTGGAGTTCTTGATATCGGTGAACACCATGGCCACCGAGCCTTCTGGTGGAGAAATTTCCTCTCCCATCCGGTTCAAATTTGAATCAAACAACCGGTCTCTCCGTTTCTTGATCGGTAATAACGATTCTTCAGTAATACTGATTCTTGACCCTGTTTTACGACTGAGATTGCCCCGTTTCTTATTACCCAACGTCAACACAATCACCGTCATTTTATCTCTGGCACCATAAGCAATGGCAAAATCTCTCAACCGTTGGGCCGCCCACATTGGATCCTTCTTACTCTGGTTATGGTTGATCACGTCCACCGCAGTCTCGTTAGAAACGTACTCCCATAACTCACTAGTGGCAATCACCAACATTTCATCGCTGGTACCAAGTTTAACCGCCTTAATGTTTGGACTGGCATTAATATGAGGCAACAAGTTCAAAAACCCTGCCGCCCTAGACACATTAGTGACCCCGTCCAATTCCCCTTTACCAGAAACGTACCCACCACATAATCTAATTCTTTCAAATTCTTTACGATTCGTTGGGTCGTGACGGTCAGTGAGCATTTCGTGTTCCCCGTTGGTTTTGGAAATCAACCCGGAACTATCCCCAATGTTGCCCGCGTACAATTCCCGACCCTTGATATACACTATGGTGATGGAACAACCACTCAAAATATCTTCTTCGCTGAGCCTGAATGGATCGTTGGATTCTTTGCTCGCCGCCTCATTATTTTGTTGCCAGTAATTGTTGATTTCCCGATTTAATGCTAAAAAGGACCGTCTCATACAATCCTCGACAGTGTCATCTCCCGTCATCTTGCGCAATTCCTCGGTGAAGAGGTTCTTGAACACTTCTTGGATCAATTGAGTGATTTTGTTACCGTGTTTTTTGGTGATCATATCATCGTTTTTCCCATCGAACAAACAAATTAATAATTCATCCTCGTGGCCCCGGAAATTATTGTACATGATTTCCCTGGTGGAGATGTTTTCTCGTTGACCTAAAGTATCGGCAATCCCGTACTTGTAATTGTAAATTTCTGACGCGGTGGTACGCACTCTGGTGTTAATAGATTCATCGGGCAATGACGACTCAGAATTCTTGAGGGTCACATCAATCAACCCCAACACTCGCAATTTCTTCAATCCCATAAAACTATCGAACTTGATATTATCAATCGCCTTGTTGTAGCCAGTATGGGTATATTGACGACTAATTTCTAACCGCTTGTTCCCGGAGAAATTCAAGTACCGCAATTCCAAGTTCCATTGCCAATTCCATTCGTAATGGAAATTCGAAATATTGTATTTCAAGTGATTGGACCCGACATCGAACACACTCAAGGTTCTTAATTTGGAAATATCGTACGGTAACGAATGGATCTTGTTCCCATTGATATGTAGCACCTCCAAATACTTCAAAGTAGCGAAATCTTCTCCCGGTAAATTACTCAATTCGTTACCAGATAAATACAACTCGTGTAATTGACACAATCTTCTCAATGTCCCATTAGGAATCTCGATCAATTCATTGTACGACAAATTCAAAGTTTTCAAACCACACAACGTCGAAATCGGTTCAAAACATTCATCGGTTAATCTATTATCAGCGACGCTCAACACTTGAAGACTAAGGGCCAAATCAGAAAGCATCAACCCTGTAGCACTGTAACTGAACGGAGTTAATGAGTTCAGCCGATCTCTAAACGGATGTTCCTGAATAATTTGCATGTTGAGCGAACCAGAACTATCCACCGACGACGTGCTACCTACCGCAGTATCACTAATAACCGAGGGTTTTCTACTATTGATTCTTGATGAAGGCATCGATGACTTATTGGAAGTTGGGTGGGCTGGGAAATTTTGCAACAAATTCGATGATAAATTCAATCTTGTCAACGAACAGCTCCAAATACTGTCAGGGACACCCTTGATGTTGTTACTATGGACATCCAAATACCGTAAGTTTCTCAATTCTCCAATAGAATTGGGGATCGATTGCAAATTATTCGAGTACGCCGACAAATAAACCAATTTCTTTAACGATCCAATTTCCGTTGGCAAATATGTCAAATCATTTTTATCAAGGTACAACGTTTCAAGGTTGATCAAACTAGATAAATCGTCGTTGTTGAACGCGGTTAATTTCGCTTTGGATAAATTCAACGTGGTCAAACAATTCAACAGCACGTTATTGAAGGGGATTTCGATCACCGGGTTTCTATCAAACAAGAAAATTCGCAAATTGCTTGCTTGGAACTGGAATCGGGACACATTATTTTTACTAGCGTACAACACTTCCAAATTCTTCATCAACCCGGCACAATCAAAGTTGGTGATATTGTTGTATTGGATATAGAACACTTTAACCTTTAGTAGATCTGACAAATACGAAGGTAATACTCCCGATAAACAATTAGTGGCCATGTTCAATTCTTCCAAGTTCTTCAAATTGGTAATTGATTGAGAAATGGTTTCGATTTGATTGAAACTTAAATCTAATACCACCAATTCATCAAGAGCGGTGACGGGCTCAGGGAAAATTTCAAAATTATTAGACGATAAGTTCAAAATTTTCAAGTTTTTTAAATTGCTAATACTTTTCGGTAATTTGGAGATATTGTTGCCGTTCAAAAATAATTTTGTCAAGTATACCAAACACCCCAATTTTTCCGGGATTGTCCTGATCAAGTTATTTTCCACGTTAAGTCGGGTCAATTTTTTGGCTTCCAACAAACTATGTGGGAATCGGTTGGCCCGATTATTGGCAAATGCAATCTTCCGCAAGTTATTACAACTGTTGATGAAATCTGCCGGTAACATGATCGATGGATTCTGCGATACGTCCAATTCCTCAATTTCGTACGTATGTTGGAAGAACACCAACGGAATGGCATGGAGGTCCATATTGATCAATTTCACCGAGGCGTAATCTCTAGTAGTTTTCAAATGTTCGTCTTCTTCGACAAATGGCTGAAAATCGTTATTTTCTAGCACAAACTTGCAAATATACGTGATATCCTCTCTGCCAACAATACTCAAATCATCGCGTTTTTCATCATACCCTGCCAACAATAACATAAAACATTGAATTTGTAGTGGGCGGTCTTCGGGTTCCAATACCTTGGAAGACTTGCCAATTTTGAACACGATTTGGAAATTCACCGCGCTTTGGAGGAAGAATTTTTTTTTACAAATTAGGAGGATTTCCGCAACTGTAGCATCAATCGATGCAGAAATCGTAGTGAATGTATTATCTTCCCTAAACACCCTCAAGATATAGTTGCCGGTCATACTTTTCAAAGTTTTCATCATATCAGGCAAGCTTTTATCCTTTTGGTGGTACATTGGGTATTGATTAACAATCAATGATTTATTTCTTTCAATGTCTGTCTTGTCGTGATTGGATTTTGGTTCGGTATTATTATTACTGCTGGAATTACCGTGAGGATGTGATTTTGGTTTCATGACGTAATTTTGGAAGGATACTCCGTCATTCTTATGATGTTCTTTCTTTGGACTAGCCTGCTTGCTCACCAGAGCTTGGTGTTTATTATGATAATATCCATCATGATTCAACTCAGTGCCAGTAGTACTCAACGGATCGGTTGACTCGTCTAAACTTGTTGGAGACCTATTAATTTCCAGAACTTTGGCGGTGGTGGTGGGCATCGGTTTCCCCGAAGCTCTAAATAACGAAGAGGCAGCGGTATAAGTGAACCGGTTGGCATCTTCGTCATCGTCATCATAGAGCGATAGTTCCAAAGCATTACTTCCTGGTTTATCAAGATGATGATGATTTTTCCGCTGATTGATCTTGTCAACGTCTTGCTTGACGGCCCATGATTCGGGAGCGGTCCATTTTGTCGATGATGTTGAACCATTGCCCACGCTGTAATTACGATTATCTTTAAGGCCGTTAGCGGAAGAATCGTTTAATAGGGTATTATCGAGAAAATTGTTGGATACCACACTGGCCGATCTTAACGGGTTGGTGCGTGGGGAAACTTTGGAAGTGGCGGATCTTGGGGAGCTGATGGAATTTCTTGCCGATACGTCATTCGAAGAGAATTCGGAATTCACCACCCCTGCCATGCTCTCACTATCCAAATTTAGTTCGATATCGAAAAACGAGGTTGGTTTGGAACCGCCATTGACAATACTGGTGGGGGCGGTTTGATCCGACACGTTGCTCACCGATGAAACGCTTCTTTCTGAAGAGATTGATTTCAATCTACTCGAAGGATATAAATTGAAAATCCCTTTCCTTGAAAGATGGTGGCTTCGGCTACTTACTGCTGACGAGTTTGAATTTTGTCGAGCTTTATAAGGAACCTCATCATCTTCGTTATGATGGTGATCGAACAGTAGTTTTGACGGGCTGATGGATGGAGGTTTTGTCGATTCTCCGGTAGTATGAATTATAAGCCCGTGGTCTCCATCATTGTATGAATCATTGCTTGATTCTGAAGCTTTTCTCGAACTGATAAACTTGTTGAATAATGATCCTTTCTTTCTAGAAGTTTTCTTGTAAGATGGTTTCACTGGTGATTTGAACGGAGGGGTATTAACAATAGGAGATCGTGGGGCATGGAACCCTTTGTAATTCTTGGGTATCCCACCCATTAACGTTTTTTGATCATCATGAGCATCAGCAGTTAGAGAATTTTGCTGCGGTAGCTGCGCGTCAGTTTCCGGATGTTGCTGATGATTATGGAAAAGTTGTTGACCTCTGAGTAAGTGAGGTTGTTGTAAATGATGCTGTTGTAAATGCTGATGTAAATGCTGATGTAAATGAGACTGGCCAAGTAAGGTATAATGGTGCTGCTGCTCTTGATCGGTTATTGCTGGTGGTTGTTGATCTGATGAATCTTCACCCACGTCCCTCATTATTGGACTGATTGGACTCTTTTGAGATTCGAGATTCTCACTAATCTCATCGGTTTCAGCTTTACCTCGTAGAAACAAATGGGAAGCGGTTTTCCTGATGGAACTTCTCAACGCTTTGTGGGGGGCGTATTTCCCCGATCCCGTCTCGTCCAGTCCGGTACTTGGTTTCTTTGAATTATGAGCATTATTGGCAACTCCAATTCGCTCAGGAGACGTAGTGATCATTGTGTCTATTCCAGGATGGTTGGTGGTGTCAAAGATGATGGTTGAATCAGACGTCGAGTCACTGAAGGTTTCTGGGGTGGAATTGATTCCCGTGGATAAAGGCGATAGATCATTATTATCCCCAGCAATTGATCTGCCCCCATTGCTGGGTGGTTGATGTTGGTTTGACATCGTTATTGAAAACGACAAGATCTAAAATGGCAAGGTAGATATAGAGAGATACGGCAAGGTTGAAAAAAAAAAAAATGGATGGATCAATGGGATGAAATGAGTTATAATACAATGAGTCGCTGGTTAAGAGTATTTCTTTTTTGGCATATACACCCACACATATAGATATGTATATCGGTATGATACATATAGTATATATATGCTTCAGCTGCGATGGCTATGGCTTCTATACAATAACGGTTGATAGATTGATTGTATTTTCATTGTTGTTTTTGTTTGCCTCTGCGATTTTTTTTTTTTTTTTCTTCTTGTTGTTAGAATCCGTACGACGGATTATTAAGTGCACTACAACGTAAGTGCGGATTTCCTTCTAGGTATTATATCCTTACTATGATGAGTAAGGAAATGAGTAAGGAAATGGGTTTCCTGAGTCTATCTAGCTATAACAATAGCTAGATGTCTACATAAGCATATAAATATCCTACTCAATGATAGGAGGGGGAGCTTAGTGTGAGAAGAAGAAGAAGATGGACGAGACGACTCTAAGATCACTGACACTCAGCTTGGAATATACAGAAACCAAACCATCCTTAGCATGTAGTCAAAATAAGAGTCGATTATTCAACATGTCAATTACCAACAACTACAATAACCGAAATGGTGGCACTATTACCAATACGTCCTAACCGGAAGGTCACGTTTGCGACCAGGAAGCCGGGAACGGTCTTCAACACTTCTTCTTCCTCGCAGGGCTGCAAAACATGTACTACGCGGACGTCGAATCGTTATTATCATACTATTATACGAGTAGTATTAGTATTATTATTCTTATTCTGTTCGTATTATCTTTACATTATTCTCTTTATTCCTATTACTACCATCATCATTATTATTATCATATTATTATTATCGTCATATTAATACAAAACAAGAAAGATAAACATAAAGAAATCATTTGCCAGCCTTCAATTGCTTTCTCCACTCGATAAACTCCAGAGTAAGCACCGGCTCTTCTTGAATGATCCGCGTGGATTCTTCAGTTGGCAATTGATAAAACTTCATTTGAACCTTATCAAAACTCAACCTGTACACGGTATTAGTTTGCACTGCAACATCATCGGACTTCGGCACGACTTGCCCAAGCCAATCCAACACCGCCCCAAACCATTTGAGACTGTCCATACAACTGATCTTGCGATTCTTTGGGTTATTGGCATGTCTTGGTAAATTACTATCTCTAAGCAACAACGGGACGTCTTCGGTTTTGAACTGCTCGATCGATCTAAGGTAAAAATTATCATCTCTGAACCCATAAAAGATCTTTGGAACCCCCATTAAAAAACACTGGGCCCAGGTCCGGTACAATTTTTTCTCAAAATTGATGGCCTGGCCTACATGCTCGATGGTTTTACTGGTCTTCAACTCGACGTAATGTCCAAGAATCCCGTCTTTCCCACTATACTTATCGCCAACTGTGGGTTTATAATCAAACACGCAGTCCACTTCCCCACCAAGAATAAGTTTGGTCTTGTCGATCCCGGTTCTCACCACCGAAAGATACTGTTCGGCATTACTCACGACTTTCGCATCACGGCCTTCAATGTCTTTTCTAGAACAATCGGCCCATGGTTTATCCAACGTCACCAAGGTTTCAAACTTATACCCAGAATACGTGAATTTATCCAACATCTCCTCCGAGACCCTTCCTGCGCCCCCCATCCGGTCTTGGGTTTCTTGGGCCCTTTTCGCAGTTTCCAGCTGTTGGTCAAGTTTAAGGAAAATCTGGCCATCAAAGTACATCACGTTCAAATCGAACGGTTTATCTATGGCGTGCGGTAACGTCACGAGCATCGTCATGATGCCTCTGAAAGAAATGATATTCCCATCGATTTTCTTTTGATGCTGCTGTTCCCATAACTTGATCGCTTGTAAAAACCCGTCCATTGGGGCGGTATCCGGGAATTTCTCAAATGATTTGTACCCAGTAGACAAATTGAAGCCTTTGTTCAAATAAGCATCGGGGAAGTAGTAATATGAAGGCGATGACTGAGGTTCCATGAGGTAGCTGCCATCTTTGGTTCTATTGTAGGAAGTCAATTCTTTTGGTTGTTTTAAAGCGGTGGAATTGGTTCGCGAAGTGATCGGGAAGGTTTTTACTTCCATGGTGAATATTATTTAATGGAGAGATGGTTGAGGTCTTGGTAAACAATGATAATGAGTATCTAGTAAATATAACAACCGTCTGACACATATAAACAGTGAAATTAACAAAAATAAGTAAAAAAAAAAAAAAAAAAATAAAAAAAAAAAAAAAAATTCGGTGGTTTTTTCTGAGTTGCTGTGATACCTGCATTATTGTGCATCCAGTGGCATCTTCCTTCGGTTATTTCTCTCGAGAGTCACAAATAATGATCATTATTATTATTTGTGTTGATTTTAGTTATCACTTTCATATTTTGTGTTGATTTTAGTTAATTCTATTTGTTTTGACTTTATTGCCCAATATTGAAAGAACTACAATACCTGGGAAAAACCATTAAATGACAACATAATAAAATCTCTTTTCTTTGTGTTTCACGAAAATAAATAAAGATAAATAAATAGATAAATAAAATCTTAAAAAATGTAAATAATAATAATTAAATTATACCAAACTACCCAATGAAAAAAAAAATGAATAAAGATAATAAATAAGAGAAAAAAAAATGAAACAATGATGTGAAAAGTAATAAAAAAAAAGGATAAGTGAGTAAATAAGTAAATGAATAAATAAAGTAAACAAAGCAGAATAAACATAAAAAAAAAAAAAAAGAAAAACACACACACACACACAACATTCCCTATAACGTAAGTCTCAGAAATAAAATAAAATAAAATAAAATAAAATAAAATAAAATAAAAAACTATCTGTCCTGTCTGTCGCCACAATCTTAATTGGCTTAAAAAGTTCCACGACTTCTGGTGTCAAGTATTGACTAATCAATAATGAAATGATAAAGAACTACCGCCTATTCTATCAGAGTATTCACCTTAAAGAGCATAAAGAATCAACAGTTAAGTAAGTTTTAATTGAAACCAAATGTCAACTAAATAACAATGGAATAACAAAGAATCAACACCCAGTTCACCAGGCATCAAAGGACAGATAGCATGATCAATTAAAGCACAAGTCTCACCAAGTGTCAACTAATCAATAATAACATAACAAAGAATCACCACCTATTCCATCAGATAATATTCATCATAAAGAGCATGAACATTCAACGATTTCCAACTTCTTCTTCTTCTTCTTCTTCTTCTTCTTCTCCTCCTCCTTTTCAAAGATTAAACCTCCATCATCTAAATGCCTGCCATCTTGAGCCTCAACTTATTAACATCCTCATCCTCATTATCTTCATCGTACGGTTCATACTCCTGATACTGCTCCCCCTCTGCTGCCTCGGCGGTGTCATGATCACTACTGCCTTCTTCCGAACTATCATCTTCATCATCATTATTGAAATACTCTTTGAATTTCTGCATATCATCATCGGTCATGTTCATATTGAGAATCTCGTTCAACGTCGGCAATTGCCCCCCTATAACAACACCACCCCCGCCAGGATTCATTTCCACGGTATTACTGGCGGTGGTCGAAGAAGAATTGTCCACCGATACTTCGGAAAACGTGCTAGAAAACGCACTGGACACCGAATTTTTTTTACCGTTTTGCGCCCCACTATCGGTGATTTTCGTGTTCAATTTCGCGGCCCGCAAAGCATTGATGTTGTTAAGTTGACTACTGGCACTTTCCCGAGGTTCTAAAATTAACGAGATTTGGTATTGCGAATCTGGCGATGGGTATTCTTTGAAACCTTTAATAATGAATTCTTGGATCGATTCCACCCTCTTAAACGAATAACTGATGGCTTGGAATGCCAAGATATTACTGATGATCGATTCCATCTTGGACCGTTTATAGAAATTGATCACGTTAGGATCACCGTTCAAATAATCGGGGGTACCGTTGGCAATAAACGTCAAATCGGTCAAATAAACCCCGACAAACGGCACACACGGCACTCCGGTAACGTATTTGACCATTTCTCGATATTCGTAAAAATTCCGTTTGGGGTTCATCATTTTGTTCATCAAATCCAACCGTTGGCGGGATTCATCATTGATTAGCGACCAGGTTTTCCGTAATCTATGGATTGGCGAACTGGCCAACGCACTAATGATCGCGGTCATCGCGCTGAAATTATTGATTTTCCGGCAATTTTCTGCCGCCTCAATGAAAAAATGAATGGTTTTCGCCCGTTTGCTAATGTCATGTTTTCTCAACACCATATACGAAACATAATCGGTCAACCGGTTAGAATTATTAATGAATTCCGCAATATGTTTCGACCCTCCAAACGATCCGTACTTATTTTTCCATACCCGTTCAAGGCATTGCAATAACGTGATTTGCGAATACAATTCAAAATCTTTCACCGTCAATTGTCGAGCAAATTCCACCGGGTCAATATCAAAAAGTCGCAAATTCTTGTGGTTTTTGGAAATCGTTGGCAAAATCGGTTTAGGCGCCGGTTCTGATGGCGGCGGCACCACACTAAACGCAATATTGGTCCCCATCCCACTGGCCCCTCTTCTAGAAAACATTCTTCCTTGTAATCGGGCGTTAATTTCTTCGTAAATGATTTTTGACGAGGGGAATTTCTGATCGATCAATTTTTGGGTGAATTTGAGCCAATTTTCCAACGATTTGCGATCTCTGGAATAAGTGTCGATCCAATACTTCTGTAATAGCATCTTCATAATATTCACGCATCTAAGACGGATCGGATACGCCTTCTTTTTCACCCACACGTCATACTCTTCAAAACTCAATCCTTCGGGAGGTTGGATATTAAACCGAGCAATCAAGAAATCAATCAATTCCCCTGGGGTCATCATACTTCTAAACGTACTAAGAAACACTTTATTGTACCGAGGGTCGAAATTCTCATGATTGGTCAAATGGGTCACCAACACTTCTTTGGTACCCCCTTTAATTTCCCCGCGTGCGTCATAATACAAGTCGTATTCTTCGTCGGAATCCAAATACCATGGGACTTCTTCGGCCTTTTTCCGTTTATTTGGTCCGGCAAGGTTGAAATTCTTGGATAATTTCTCATCGTCAATAAGGTATCCTTCATCACTAAGATCAAGACGACGTTCTGGTTCATAATCACTGGTGTGCATGGTATTGTGCATCACTCTTTCGGTGTAATTGATCAAGTTCTCCTTTTCATCAATAAGCTGTCCAATAATAATCAACAAAATATTCAAATCGTCTCTGATCCTCCCAATGGAATGCTGGATCGATTTATCAAAGTTGGTGGTTAGCACTCCTTCTGGAGGCTCCTCACCCCGGAAAATATCGCCGTTGGCAATTAACAACTCTTTTAAATCTTGGGCCATATCATCGATCGTCGCCCTTCTGCTTGAAAGATTCTTATTGGCGGAACTACCCATTGATTGAAAACTGTCGAATTTAAACGCCGAAGGGTCTTGAGACGTCAATGATTGAGAATCCATAATCAAATCACTAAGGGTATTGTGTAAATCTTGTTTAACTTCAAAGAATTCGATCAAAATCGGATAAGTGATGGAAACAATCCCATTACTGTTGGTGCCTCCACTGTTGGTGCCAAATAAGATGCTATAATTGTAATTGGTGCTGCTACTGATCAGTTTAGCACTATTATCCTCTTTTTCTAACACCGGGTTATTAAAGGTACTGATATCAAAGCTTTCAAAAATATCCATGATTAAGGTGGTCAACGTCAACGCACGATATACCGAGGAAATGATATGGAAATTCCGTTTTTCATAGAGTCGGTTGTTATGGAAAGTATGATTGTCATGTTGGTCTCCGATATCCATGTGGAAGTACGCCAAAATATCATCGAGGTTATCAAATAAGGTTTTTACCTTCACGGTCAAAATCGACAAGTTTTCATTCGATAAATTCACAATTTTTTTGCATCGTTGTTGAAAATCCTTGATCGCCAATTCTTTACGTTTGGCCACTAGATCATCCATTACCGTAGAGTTTTCTAATGAGCTGGTGGTCGAATTAATGGAAAACTTCTTTTTCGCAGATTGTTGCGGTTGTAATGGCAAGGATTCAATTTCGTCGAAAAACGGGTTTTGCCAGCTTCCTCCACTAAAGAACCCGGTGACGAATCGTGGATAGAGTTGGGGGATTTTGAATTGTTTTTCATTCCCGGCATTGTACGCCAATTTCTTGAATACTTTATAGCATCCCATGATATGTCTCTTCAAAACTTTAATTTCAATCTTCACCACTCCCAAGTATGATGAGCTGGAAGATTTGTCAAAATCCTTCTTCAAATCAAATTCGTTACCTTGTTCTAATTGTGCGGCCAACACTTTATTAGTGATTTCTGTGGTATTAACGGCGCCAGGAGCCGATGATAAACTGGCAGGAATACTATTGGGGCCAGTGTTGGCATTGCTATTATTGGTGGACATTTTGAAGAATTCGTCGTCTTCATAATCAAAATTATCAAATTCCGCGCTGTGGTAATCCCCAAATACCGATTCACTGGCGTTGGTGGCCTGGGTATCCTCAAGCTCATTATTATCTGGACCCAGTTCCAAATCTTTTAAATTCAAATATAAATTACCATTGACCATGATTTGTGCTACCGATCTAGAAATCTTGTGTAATCGCTTTTTGATCTGCATTTCAAACCCGAATTGCACCAATTTGTCTTGATATAATCTTGTGGTCAAATGGATCAAGGTGATTAACTTGGTGCCCATGTTGAAAAGCACATTGAACCCCTGTTTGTCATTTTCCACTAAACATTTCAAACATTTATCCAATAATGTGTATAACGTGTCTTTATATTCGTCCCATGACGTGAGATCGGTGGTGTTCTGGATGAAAAACTCTGACATCTCAAAAATGTTGTGCGAGAGTTTTTTACTGCTGGTGACCGAAAGCCCATCAACGTTATTGTTTCCGGTGACGCTATTATTGGCAGTATAAGTGTTTGCGGTGCTGGTGGTACTATTGTTATGATTTCTTTCGAGCATCGGGCTGGAAAAATTGGTATCTTTTAAATTATTGAGGCTGGGATTATTGAGAGTGAAAATCGATGGAGGGTTTGATTGTTTTGTGGGCACGGTAGCGTTGGTGGTACTGCGTCTGAACTTTTTATCGTCGATAATCGATTGAGGTTGATGATGTTCGTTATTGTTATTATTATTGTGATGGTGGCCCAATGGTTTTTTCTTGAAGAAATTGACAAACTTTTGACTTCTTTTGCTGCTATTGTTATGATTATTGTTATTGCTATGGATACTGCTAGAGAGATTTCCTGAATCTGTCTTTGATATTTCGTCATTATGTGTTTGGCTATTATTATTATTATTATCATTAATATTATCATTATTATTATTATTATTATTGTGGGAAGTTTCTGATAACATTACCGGGCTTGAAGGATGGCTAAAATTGTTGGTTTTAGAATTGGATTCCCCCGAGGTGAATGGTAATTCATCGCAATAAATATCCAAATCAGCGTTATAAAAAAGGGTTTTCCCCTCGGGCCCCATTTGCGGTAACCAATATATCGGTTCGTTGCCAAAGGTCAGTAACACCAATCTCTTGGCCTCTTTCAACGACAAGATCTTTGAATTCGAGCTTCCTGACAGCGACATGTTGAATTCGAGGTTGGATGATGCGTTCAATAGCGAATCCTGGGTGTTGTTGTTGCTGGAAGCGGTCGAGTATGCGGTTCTTGTAAGATTCTGGGTGGTCACCAGGCCTTTATTATTAGATTTCGAAAGGGCAATGTCCGAAGTCGAAGATCGGAGACTTTCTTTTGATATCGATCCGGTATCATTGACATCTTGTGCTGGTGGTTGTGGTAGTTGATTTTCAGCACCATCATCCAATCGACTTTTAATATATTGTAGCAAATTCGTCTGTTTGGTGAAAGATTTGGGGAACCACCCGCGGATTGGGGTGGGAGAAGAAGCCCCGGTAGTAGATTCTTTGAACACTATGCCATCCCACCATCCAGACGTTGATTTGGACATCACGTAGACGGTTTCATCTTGGGCCAACGGTATGATGTTTCGCTGGTCTTCTTTGCCGTAGTTGTATAATACTTGGACAATGTCAATTGGTTTGACAGAAAGCGCGATATATCGCTTGAATACCGTATCGCAAACGGGATCTGACGGTAGTGCGAGATTATGGTGGCCGGCCACCAGCAGCGCCAGATTCGGGTGGGGCTGTGATGGAGAAGACATTTTTGGTGGTGGTGGTGGTTGGTTGGCGTGTATGGCTTATATATATATAATATATATGGGTATATATAATATATATAATGCCTGGGGAGGAAAGAAGTGTCTTATTATCACCGTGGAGAACGTAAGTTGTGTCCAAATTGGCGTTCATTTTTTTTGGGGGGAGAAAAAAAATAAAAAGCGAAGCAGAAAATTGTCACCAGTCAGAATCGGGTCACGTGGATGGCCTCCTATATATAGTTATTGTATTACGATTACATACATCACCACCTCAAAGTATTGTCGTCTGGTATCTCGTAGCAATTGCAGCAATTATGAGGTGAAAATGGTGAGGTAATCTGTTGTGGACACAATATAGAGAGTCACCTCAGAACAATAGGAGAGGGGGGGAGGGGGCTTCGATTGCTGGGTGATGGGTTCTTTTTCAGGCAGGCGGGAAGTTACTTTTTCTCCCTCTTTTCTTTTACCTTTTCTTGTCTTTTGTCGATAGTATGGCTTGTATGATTAGTGCTGGTTATTATTTATATTGTTGGAGGAGTTCTCTCACATTTGTCTCAGCTGATGACAGTATGTGAAAAATCGTAACAAAGAAAACCTCTGGGAACTTTTTTCCTTGTAGATTGTTTTATTGTTTATAATTGTGAATACTGTTGTAATTGTGAATACTGTTGTAATTGTGAATACTGTTCTAATTATAATCTATTATCAAGATTATCACTGGTATTATTATTCAAACGGTATCTTTCTCTTGGGTAGTGATGCCGAGATTTTTTGTTGTGATGTATTATTATTAAGATCAACAGAATTGGCATCAATTATTATCAGTATTAATTATTATCTGTATGAATTATCTGTGTTAATTATATTATCAGTTCTAATCATCATCAACTACAAAGCAATTTTTCCCAAAAAGCGATAGGACTGAAAATCATTATTATTATCTAACCCATCTAATTCAATAAATTCCCCCATCACCAATCTACAAAAACCAAGGAAAAGATTATTTCTGGGAGCCAAAAACCTATGAGATATACCTACCTACACACTTCTCAAACAACTCTGATGAAAATTATAACACAAATGATAAAAGATATACAAACTAAAAAGAAAATTGTTCGGTGTTGAATAAAACTAAGACTTTCTAAACTAGGGTATAAGGAAAACAAACAAACAAACAATGCTAAACATTAACAAGATATAAATAAATAATATCAAACAAAAAATATAAACATTAATAGAGAAAAGATGTCAAAATATATATACATATATATATATCCCCCTCCAATATTAATGAAAAAGTATGTGAAAAAAAAAAAAAAAAATCTCTCCAAGTCTAAAAATCCTCACATTCAATAAGAACTTTCCCCAACGCATGCTGAGTCTTAACCTTATCCATGGCTTTATTAATATGATTGAAATCAAACACACTATTAATTTCCACTACCATTTGCCCCTGCTTGATCATTTCCACCCCAGTTCTCAATAACTTATTCATCCCTTTGACATCACCATTATTGAACGCCACATACTTATAATACACTCCTGGACCACCCCAAGGAACATAATTACCCAACACACTAAGACTATCGTTTTTCCACACAAAGTTTTTACTTTTATAATCGGCTTTTTTCGGCCCAACGATCGTCAAATAAGTCGAAGTCTTTTCATTCATCAATTGCTTATTGGCCTTCAAGATTTTTTCCCCACCAAGGAAATCAATCACCAAATCAAACTTCTTATCTGGGTACAACACTTCAATTTCATTACCAAATCTGTCCAAGATGGTTTTCTTCCCATTACTGAGCAATTCCGCAAGGGATTTGATAACGTCGGCTTCTTTTTTATAATCGACAATCACTGAAGCCCCACATTTTTGCGCCAATGGGGCCGCGGTGCCTGAACAAATCCCCACAATGTTCGAAACGTGGAAATAGTTCTTGAGGATCTGCATTGTCATTAACCCGGTGGAGGTCAGGGCCCCATTGATAAGAATTGTCGATTCAGAATTCAATCCGCCAGCAGTGATGGAATTGAGCACTTGGAACGCGGTCAAGAAATTGTAACACCATCCGGCAAGTTTTTGGTCGTTGAAAATGTTATAAGTGACTTGATCGATCAAGGCAATTGGGTCTTTAGTCAAATCGACAAGAATGTGGGAGGCTGAACATCCTTTGGCAAATAAATGGTAGTATAATCCACAAACGTGGTCGCCTGGCTTGAAATCTTTGGCATTAGGGTTGTACGATAACGAGCCGTCCATGTTATCGGCGACTTGGTAAACTTCGCCAGAGAATTCTCTACCAAACCCTTTGTTGGCCCCGGTTAAATCGGCGGTGTAATAATTCCAAATCTTGATATCAATGGGGTTGATGGCGAAATATTTGACGTGGATGATCATGGTGTTTGGTTTCAAAGGGAATTTGATCTTGCTGTAATTGGCACCTTTTGGGAAGATTTGGTTGTTGACAAAGGTGATTTCCTTGGTAGGCTTGTGTTTAACATGACGCAAAGGACGGCCAACCCTTACGAGTTTTGGGGTTTGGCCGATATCTTGCGCGAGTTCTTTTGGAGATGGGGCGATTTTGGCTAACGGGTTGGCCAATTTTGACGACACCAAGTAGGGATTGACTTGCTTATCGAGTTGTTCCTCGGTCAATTTTTCGTCATTGACCAAGAATTCCTTGGGGGTATCGAACATGACTTTCTTGGGCATGGTTAATGGGGATTTTTTATATATGTTGATATTGTTGTATTATGTGTGAAGAACAGTTTTTTTTGCTTGGTTTTTTCCTGGGTGGATAATGCGGTAACTTTGGCAGTGCGGTAAGAATTTGAATCTTGGTAACATGAGAGATGGATGATGATGATAATAATAATAATAATAATAATAATAGTAATACAGTAGACATAATTGTTAAATATGAACAATATAAAATTAACAAACAATTGAAGAAATAATAATATAATAATGTACAAATGAATTGAAATATACGACCTTCATATATATACATATATATATGCGTTTATCGAATATGAAGTAGGACGAAATTCATTCAAAAATGGAAACAGGTAACAACAATAATATCAAACAAACCACCAACAAAAAAAAAAAAAAAACAGCAACAACAAAACCTCCAAACGATTAATAACTAGACAACAATTGCCGCTTCATTGGCAGACTGGTCGATATTCTGAGAGTATTCTTCCAAATCGTCCTGGTCAAAGATCACTTGGACCATGAGCGAACAAGTAGGACATACCGCAATATCTTCGCCATCCTGGAGATCGTCCAAGAGGATTTGGAATTTGTCGCCACAAGGACAGGGGTACAGGAAGAGTTGGGTATCCGGGTCGAAAGTGAAGTCTTCGATTTCCACCTGGTCGTAGATAGCCGAGCTCATTATGATTATTGTTGTGTGGTGATATTAGATTGGGGTGTTAACAAATGAAGAGGACAATGTACAATGAACAATGGATTGAGAAAACAATAATAAGAAAGAAGAAGATGATAATCAGAATCAAAATGAAAATTTCTCTGCTTTTGATTTGAAAGAAAAAAAAAAAAAAAATCAAAATTTCTTTTTTTTTTCTCGATGCCCATTGCAGGCAGCGTAACTAACCATGCCGGGCGGGGTGGGTAGAGGACAAGAAGACGGCTGTTACCAGAGACAGAGACAGAGACAGAGAGAGAGAGAGAGAAAAAAAAAATTTACATGGGGGTAGATATCAGAGACAGAATTTCAGATAAAACAAGAAGTATATTAGCTATTATAACATATTCTAGACAATTGTTAGTGGCAATTCCCAAAGGAAATACAATAAATACAAAACACTTGTCAACATTTCTTTGCAGTAGTAATAATAGTAGTATTGTGTTTTAAATCAGAAAAGGCAAATGTTTGTCCGCCGAGTTACTTCCAAAAGGAAGTCACTTTTCGGTACAGGTCTGTGAGTTGATCATCATAAGATGGCAAAAGAATGTGATTGTAGTGTTGATCAGTGTGGTGATAGACTTACCTTATTTGTTTGATTGTTTGTTGATGTAAAAAATAAGAACAAGAATGAGAAAAAGAAGAGGTGAAGCTAAGTGAACAAGGAAAGAACAAATTCACCAACTTTTTATACTTGAAAAAAAACCCCTCTTCCTCTCGGCGGTTAAACAAAGAATCCCTAAACACCCACACACCAGGTCTGCACATAATAACACCCACACACCAAACAAAAAAGATCCCCAACAAAAAATCGAAGCACACGTGCACGCACACGTGCACCGCCATCGATCTTCACATTATAATTATTAATTATTAAGCACCAACAACCACCACCGCCAGCAGCAAAATAGGATTCCGATGATTGAATTTCTGTAGGCAAAAAAAAAAAAAAAAAAATAAAAAAAACTAGCGCGGACCCCCTCCCCCTTATATATATATTTATTAGCACTTTTGCCATCATTCGATTATCCTTCCCCTTTTTCTTTTATATAATATATCCCTCTTCCTACTAATCATCTCTACACATACATACAATGGCTATTGACCACGCGGTTTTTGTCGTCTTTGGCGCTTCTGGTGACCTCGCCAAAAAGAAAACTTTCCCTGCCCTCTTTGGCCTTTATCGTCAAGATGAACTTCCTAAAACCACCAAGATCTTTGGCTATGCCAGATCCAAATTGACTAACGAAGAATTCCACGATAAGTTCAGATCGAACTTGAAACTCTTGAATGACTCCCAGCAACCTAAAATCGACCAATTCCTCGGTATCACCGAATATTTCAACGGCTCCTACGACGATCCTGAAGCTTACAAGAGACTCGAGCTCGCCATCCAACAATTCGAAAAATCCCAGAGCATCGCCACCCCAAACAGAATCTACTACTTGGCCCTTCCTCCATCGGTGTTTGCCACGGTCGCCGCTAACCTCAAGAAATACAACCACAATGGTAAAGTCAAATTGATTGTCGAAAAACCATTTGGCCACGATTTACCAAGCGCCAAAGAATTACAAGCCCAATTGGCGCCCCTTTTCTCCGAAGACGAACTTTTCAGAATCGATCATTATCTCGGAAAAGAATTGGTGAAAAACCTTCTTGTGTTACGTTTCGGTAACGAGATTTTCAACGCCAGTTGGAATAAAAACCATATCCAATCGATCCAAATCTCGTTCAAAGAACCGTTCGGTACCGAAGGGCGTGGCGGATACTTTGATTCCATCGGGATCATCCGTGATGTTATTCAAAACCATTTACTTCAAGTGTTAACCTTGTTGACCATGGAACGTCCAACCAATTTCAAACCAGAATCGATCCGTGATGAAAAAGTCAAGGTACTTAAGGCGTTTGCCCCAATCGATCAAAACGATATCCTTGTCGGTCAATACGTTGCTTCCCGCGATGGGTCCAAACCAGGGTACTTGGATGACTCTACCGTTAACCCTGATTCCAAATGTATCACTTATGCTGCCATTGGTCTCAAGATCGAAAACGAACGTTGGGACGGGGTGCCAATTGTTGTCCGTGCTGGTAAAGCCCTTAATGAATCTAAAGTCGAAGTGCGTATTCAATTCAAACAGGTTGCCAAAGGGGTGTTCAACTCAATTCAAAAGAATGAATTGGTGCTTCGTATCCAACCAAAGCCAGCGGTGTACCTCAAGCTCAATTCCAAGATCCCTGGGTTATCCAACAAGTTTTCCATCACCGATTTGGATCTCACTTATGGGTCTCGTTACAATGATTTCTGGATTCCTGAAGCTTACGAATCGCTTATCAGAGACGCTCTCCATGACGAACACTCCAATTTCGTTAGAGATGACGAATTGGAACTTTCTTGGGGATTGTTTACTCCGTTGTTGAATTATTTGGAAGGCCCTAATGCCCCAACCCCACTTGGTTACCATTACGGTGATAGAGGGGTTCCAGGTTTGGAACAATTCTTGGCTAAGCATGGGTATGAGATCCAAGATAGGGATGCTTACCAATGGCCAGTCACTAGACCAGATATCCTTGAAAAAATTTGATTTTATTTATTTATATATATATATATGTATACATATATATTACATGGTCTTCTAGTTTATTCATTGTTATGACATTAATGGGTAAAAAGTTTGGACGAAATTCTTTTTATTGATTGTTTTTTTTTTTTTTTTGTTTGTCTTTTTTTTTTGTTCATATTTAGTAAATTATCCATTATTCGGGTTGGCGATTAAATTCTTTCAAGAATTATTCTGTAATTATTACAATAATGCGCATTATATTACTCTACAATTATTGTTTGATTTTCTGATTATCATATTATTGTATAGTCGTTATGATATAACCAGTTTGCAATCCAATCATCTTGATATGACTATTGCACAATCATCATGATATCATTTCCACCTCTCCGAGTGGAAACTCACGACCCGCTGTTAGTAGTAGTTATCAGGGGGTGCAGGACCTGGTATCGCAGCGCAGCGCCAATTTTTTAATTTTCACCTTTGCAGGACTCCGATATCTTTGCCGACCGCCGAGAACGCCCGTAAATGAGGATTATGTAAGAAGAGATCTATCTATCTTGCTTGATCTGGCCCACATCGCGAAAACGGTTTGCATGTATGTCAGGATAGGTGGGGTTTATATCATGATTGGATGATGGAATTGTAAGAGAGATGGGGACAACTCAATGATTTGTTAAAAGTTTTTTTTTTTTTTTGTTCTGTTTTGCACTTGATCAGGGCGTCCTTCATGTTATCGTCTGTCTGTCTTTGCATTGATGGAATACATTGTCGAAACTTCAGGAAAATGAAATTGATTCCAAAACCTTGTGTTTGTCCATTTTCTATTAATAGCAGAGGAAATATTTTCGTTTTGGTGTCACTAAAAAGTCATTATTAATAATAATATGAAGAGAAAATGAAATTAAGAGCTCTAGATTTTCCCTATTAGTAATGATTTTAAAGGGAAAATGAAATTGGAGATTCGAATTTCCTATTAATAGCAATTTAGAGAAGTAGAAGGAATCGAGAGCTCTAGATTTCTCATTAATAATAATTTTGAGAAGCAACAGAAATCAAGAGCTCTAGATTTCCTATTAATAATAATAATAATATCATGAAAAAAAAAAAGAACTCAGAGCACCAAAGGCAAGAGTTGATAGGGAACGAGAGGGATATAATTTCTATTTATTGTAACATATACTGTATATCTATTGTAAGATTAAGTATTCATTAGATGAATACTTTCTAAAATATCATATAGCATACCACCCTAACCTAGCACTCTACATATTTCAACATCCGATGCCTAGCAATCTATGTAATAATAATGATAATAATAACAAGAAGAAGAAGAAGAAGAAGAAGAAGAAGAAGAAGAAGAAGAAGAAGAAGAAGAAGAAGAAGAAGAAGAAGAAGAAGTAGAAGATGAAATTTTAATACACTGCATTCCCAGTACTCTGTATAATATATCTGGAAATCTGTATAATCTAATGAATATGAATAATTGACGCCTACTAGTTTGTACGTACTTAATCTAATTAGCACTCCACATAATCAATCTAACCTGCTTCACTTGATCCCAAAAGTTTGGGTCTGCCTGAGTATGAGTATACAGTTATTTATATTTGGGAAAATGTAAACTGATGATATCCTGAAAGCTCACCACGGTGACAAAGACACAGTGTGTTTGATATCATGGTACTGTGAAATACCCACAAATAACTGATCATATAGACAGGAAAATACCCTCAAAAAATCACCAATAACCGATAATGCAGATAGGAAAATCCCATCATCAATAATTGATAATACAAATGGGGAAAAAAAAAAAAAAACAGCAACTCTGAAACAATCATCAATGATTAATGTACAGACTATAATGTATATGGAAAAAAAACCAACCACCAATGCCTAATATATATATATATATATACTCCTCCCTCCTTATGATGCCTTGAACAATCATCATCAACTAATGTACAACCCATATGATCGATATCTTGAAATACCACCAATAGCTAATATAACACTTACAAATACCCGGCCGGTGAACCTATATCATTAATCAATAGTAACTGCTATATAGAAAAGATGGTGCACTCATATCAACCTTTCTGATCAACATGAGACTACCCTAATATTAAGCACTCACACGTACATTTCAAGCCCCATTTATCATTAATGAAAAACAAATAAATTATTAATATATTAATATAGTACACATATAAAATTGAAAATTGAAAAGTAATGAAATATAAACACAATCTTCAAGTGACAGTAGTGGAAACCATAGGATTTGCAACAGCAGTCCCCAGGGCAGGCTCATCTCCGCCTGAATTCTCATTGCTAAGTCCATTGGCAATGGAACTTTCATTATTATTATTATTAGTGGTGGTGTTATTATTCTTGGTGGCGGTGGTGGTGGTAGTGGTAGCGGCGCTATTATTGTTGATAATGTTATTATTATTATTATTCTTCTCTCCATTTTGTTGAGCTTGACGTTGTTGAAGCCGCTGCTGTTGCATGAGTTGCCATTTCTTTCTCGTTTGCATCAACATTTGTTGCCGCTGATACTGGGCATCCCTAAAAGAATCATACGCTTTGGATAACAACATTGACCCAAACCGTATCAGTTGAGTATCGTTGGAAATACAATTGAGTTTCGATGGATCGACCCCAAACGGCGATACTCTCGCCTTCATCAGCTCGGAGAAATCAGAATCAAACCGCCAGCGAGAGTCATGGCGCAAGTATTCATCGACTTGCGAATCATACACGTCACATCCGTTCTCCAGCTTGATCTTTTCGGCCAATAACACTTCTTGACCAACCGTGGTCAGCACTTCTCCATCAGTATCGTTGGATAAAGCAGTCGCCAGGTCATCTTCTAATCCATCAATGAAATCACTCAATTGAAAATCAGATTTCTTAATTAACCCCCGTCGATCAACCATCACTCTACCACCCCGACCAATTCTTTTCCGTAATCTAAACCGCACATCCGAAACGTTGGGTTGGAGATCTTTGTCATACGGGCTATAATATTCAAGCTTGATTGGGTCAGTAGGCTGGCGATGTTGATGATGTTGATGATCTTCTTCATTAACGATATCCAACAAACTATGCAATTTCTCATTATGGATGGGTTTCCCATCGACACCATCAAATAACCCAATGGTTCCATCTTCGTACCGGCCCTTGGAGAAATTGTACCGGGGTTGTTGTCCAAGGTAATTGGTGGTCCGAACTTCGTATAAACTCGAGACGATCGAACTATATGGTAAATGACTGTATTCTTTAATATCGACATTGGTACCCGATAATTCAAAGAATGGATTCAACGAGTCATCGGTAAGATTAATCCAATCGGCATTGTTTTCCAACATTTGCCGCTGCCGGAGCTTTTCATTGACCAATCGCTCGATCGAGTTATTCTTATTGGTGAGCACCCTATTAACGGTCTCCAATTCGATATCTGGGATCTTGGACGCTGGTAATTTAACGTAAGGTTGGGCAGTGATATGGGTAGACGATTGACGTTTCCGATGGTCATCAATGGCGACGTCTTGGGTCTTGGCAGTAGCTGCAGTATTGTTATTATTGTTGTTGTTGGAGTTGTTGATGTTCGATGATGATGTTGAGGACAATGATTTTGACAATTTATTGAGTTTTTCACGTTTATTATCTTCTTCTTTGGGTTGAATCGATGGTGGGGGAACAATAATCTTCTTCTTTTTATGTTGTACCAAATCTTCTTCTTCACCCTTGATTCCCAATTCACGTTTAAGTGATTTGACTTTACACCGGTCCTCAAACACTTTCTTTTCCAATTTTAAAGATTCTTGTCGTTTTAATTCTCGCTGAGATACAAGCGATACCAACATTTTCACACTCTTCAATTCCATATGCAATCTTCGGAGTTTTTCTGCACTTTGTAAGTCAGTTTTTCTAGTTTTCCGCTGCTGTCTGAATTCTCTTCTTCTAAAACAAACATAAGGATCATCATCATTATTTTTATCGGCTGGGTCTTCGAATTTTAACGGGGGTAAGATTGGTTTACCGCCTCGCGAAATCCGACGGTCTTTCCAATAATCATACACCGGTTGGCCAAACTCTTTCAACAATACTTCTAATGACCGAATAGTTTTCTCCCGAGCCGTCTCGTTTTCGGGATCGAGGACGGTGATAAAACTTTTGACGTGCAATTCTTCCTTTAACGATTTTTTCACCGCAGCTTTCGAAGTAGGGTTCGGAGATAAAGCATATTCTTTGATCCGGTCAAAGCTCATGATTTCTGTAGGGTCAATGGTGATGAACGGCTGTTTTTCATCGATGATGGTTTCATAAGTGTCGACAATCAATTCGAATTCGTCTTCCAGTAGTGGTTTGGATTTACTATTATTATTATTATTATTGTGATGATTTTCGTTGAATTGTTTAAGAAACTCATCATCTTGCTCATCCATACAATAATGGATACCTTCAGTATCCTCGACGGTGGCCGAGGTTTTAAGGTAAGTGTTGGGTAGTTTATAATGCCCGGTATAATATTGTTTAGCATCCTTCCATAACTTTGACGCATCGGGGGTGGGGATGAAATATTTATTACTATCTGCCTCTTCCTGTAGTTGTTGTTTTTTCTTTGGCTTATCCAGCTTTTTAGGAGGGTTGGCAACATCACCAATCATTTGACTGGCCATGATCCGCTGCAAATGGACTTCGGTCTCTTCATGCTTCTCGACCCCGGTTTCCACGTGCTGGAGCTCCCGCTGCTGGTCCTCTTTTTCGAGATCCGGGACCTCGCTTTGCCGGAGGATCTGGAGGGTTTGTTTGACGGAGATCTTCCGTTGCCGGAACCGCGCACCGACAGACGAGGGAGGAACCGCCATGTTCTTTATAATGACATTTATCTAGAGAGCAAAGTGTTGTTTTTGTTGTTGTTGTTGTTATTATTGGTATTGGCTGTTTTGTGTGGTGTAATAATATATTCAATATTAGTAACAGCGCACACCCAAAAAAAACAAAAAAAAAACAAGAAAAACTCAGCGATGTGAAAAAAAACGGGGGGCAAAAAAAACAAAAAATGGGCAGGTGGGTGGCGAACAACAAGCAAGCGATGGGCTATTTTTGTTCGGCTAACAGTGATCGCAAATATAACTTATTAGATAATACCAATATATATATAAGTGAATATATATATATATATATCTATACTATGTACCGTACTGGCTGGTTGGTGATGGACGCGCCGTGGTGTTGGTTTAAAATTTTTTTCCCCGTTGATTGTCGTGTTGACGAGAGCAACAACGAGAAAAAACACAACAAAATTCGTCGATTTTTCCCGCCCGGTTTGCTGCGGATCCCCGCCGGTGGGCACGGGAAACAGGGGTGAGATGACACCCCGGAGGGTGCTTCAACTACCCGGAAATCACGTGTATTTTCACACCACGTGCTTGACGACAGATAATGCAACAATATGCATACATCACACAGAGAGAATTTCTGCAAGGGCTTTTAATATGTTGCAGCATCCTGATCTGAGGATCAATCACCCCAAGGCATACAAGAATGCCAGGACCCGAGTGGCACTGTTTGAAATGCAATCACCACTACCGTTTTAAGTGTTAATGGCATTTTTTTTTTTTTTTTTTTTCTTCTTTCTTTCTCATATCAAATGTTTCATCATTCATAAATAATAACTTTTTTTAAATCAGAGGTATCATATAATGGTCTATAAGGCTGCCTTAGTAGTAACAGGTCTCCTACTAGTGGCCCTTGGCCTTCAAATACTACCGGTAATATCTGTCCCCATCACCACATCAATATCCCTTTGCTCATATGATGATGACTACAAGTTCGGGATGTTTGGTTACTGCTATTCTCATGAAGGTTGTTCATCAGTACAAATTGGTTATCCCAATTCCATCCTTCAGCAATTGACGGTATTTTCACTACCCTGGCATTCTCGCTCCTCGCTTTCCAAGCTTCTTATTGTTCATCCAATAGCCTGTGGCTTCACCCTAGTACTATTCATCCTGACAATATTCCTTCAATTCGACTCGTACAGTCTTGGACTTCTTCTGTTCCTATTGGTCTGGGGTATCCTTAGCTTCTTGGTATGCCTCTTCTCATTCTTGGTCGATATTCTCTTGTTCTCTCCACATTTAAGCTGGTGTGGCTGGGTGGTGTTAGGATCAACGATTCTCATTGCCATATGCACCATTGGGTTATTCATCATGAGAAAAGAAACGTCTAGCAGAATTAAAATGAACAAAAACAACGAGAATTTGAATAATATCAATAATAGATACTCCCTCCATGGATTCGAATACGATATGAAAAATGAACACTACGATAACCATAATAATGGTAATTCATTCAGTGCCAATAGTCGAGATGAGCTTGTACATGAAAAACCCAGCTTGCAAAGTTTCGTCAACCAGGAAAACTCTTTGCCCCAAGCAGCTCCCACTAGTTATCTTAAAGTCAACTCCGCAAATTTCAATGATATCTTGACCGTCACTGAAACCATCTCCAATGATTCAAGATCCCCCACTGAATTTGATACTCAAGACCAATTCAAAAGCCATCATCAAGCCCTCCCCATGGTCCACGATATTATTTATCATCAACCTCCGTTCGAAATCCCTAGCAATACCAGTCCCGACTCCATCCAAAACTCCTCAGTTTATTACTCGACTCATGAAGATCCCGCCCAGGCAGCTCTGGCGTACATCTCACGAATTTCCCTTAAGGCCCCGGTACCTTATCCTTTATACCCAACTCAAGACCATCAGGTCCCTCCACCTCCTGATATACCTATTCCAAATACCCCGTATCCAATGGATGACGACCCACGGTCCAGTATGAGATTACCAAGTGAGAAACAACAACAACAACAACAAAAACAAAAACTTCCTAGTGAAGTGCTACCAGATGTATCAAATTCATCACAAAAAGTCAATTTGTCATCAATGAATAAGCAAAAGGAGCATGAAAACATTCATCTCAAACCAATGATAAACAAAAATAAAGGTATTTCCTCGCTAAAGTACGGTCCAATTGGCGATTCCGATATTTCTGATTCAGAGAGCCACAGTAGACTAAGTGATGTCAACACTAGTGTCATTAGTGAAGTGATTTCTTCAGGTGAAGCATTAGAAATTAAATTACCGGGAATAAATACCACCATGATGAATACTAGAAGAGCTGACCATCGTCCAAAAAACTTGACGCTCGCCACTTCGAATTTTCATAAAGATGGCCGCACTGATCTTTTGAATATCTCGCCAACTTTGCCATTGACTCCTCATAAATCTGGGTTCTTATCATCAATTTCCGAAAGTTTGAAAAGCCCTGAAAAAGAAATTAGCATCAATAGGATTCTACGAAACCAACAAGGCCTATTGTCTGATAAATTACACCATAAAGAAATCACAGAATTACCAGCCATGAACACCGGGATCTCTCAAATTGATCCAAATTACCAAGCGGTATCATCATCCAAACCCATTGCCAACTCCATGCAAACGTACTTGGCAGGTTACGAGAGTAGTAAAGAAAGTTCGCAAATTGATTTCAGATCATCAGCGTCCAAAACCAATTCCATTAGTTATAAATCCGATAGAATTAAACTTACAAAGCTGGATTCCAAATAATCATTTATGATGCTACATATATATATACATGTATGATCTCTTCAATTCTTCCTTCATGTTTTATTTTATTTTCTTCATTTCTATCTCATTTGATGATTCATTTCATTTAGGCTCAAAAAGTTGTTTTTTTTGTTTGGTTAAATTTTGTATTAATAGATTAAATATAATAACTGTGGTATATACTATGACTTTTTGTTGTTGTAACTATTTGATGAAACTTTGTAATCATTCTTCAAGGAGTTTATAATTTATTACAAAATATTAATCAACGAAGGAAATAAAGAGAATATGTTAATGAATAAACAAAAAAAAATAAGGGAAATGAAACATAATATAACCAATAAAAGAAATTGCACGAAATGAAAAATAACACAAAACATTGAAAGTTGTAAAAAGAAATAAGAGAGCTAAGAAAGCCCAAGAAACATAAAGACATGTGTGCCAAACCAAATAGCATCATCCATGAACTATTCTCTTTAAACGTGCGGTATTTTGGTCAACAGAAATCGTCACATTGTCAAGATTTTGTTGCATACTTTTCATTCTTATATCTTGTCTCTCAAGCTCATCTCTTTGGGCATTGGCCAATGTTTTCAATTTTCTAGCATAACCATGGATTTCATTCAAGTTGTTATGAATCTTATCCTCTTGCTGTCTGGCATAACTACCTTCCCCTTCATACGAGTATTTACTATAGTACGCCTCATCTGGGGCCTGGTATCCACGAGCCTGGTTATTATTGTATGGATTATTTTTACTACCACCCAAATTCTCCCGTACCCGACGTTCAGAATCTTGGAATTCTTTTTGACGAGCATTACTCTGCTGTTGATCAGCAATCATATCGGACCGTTGTTTTTCTTCACGCTGTCTTAATTTATTTTTCTTATTAAATGGGTTCAGAGGAGCCTTGAAAACATTGGCAGCGGTTCGCAACTCTTTAGCATATTCTGTCCCCAAACGATTCAGAGTCTCTGCTAATCCTAAATTATTTTCCGCGTTGAATAGTCTAGCAGATTGTGACCCGAGCATCCCCATGGTGTTCTGGCCCGATTCTTCGGCTTCCTTGGCCAAACTCAACGTCCGTTCAGTGGATTCGATGGTTTTATCTCTGGTGAACCGCAATTCACACTTGATGTCTTCTAGCTCTTCATCGTCTTCTTCTTCCTCATCACTGTAAACTTGTGATTGTTTCTGTTCTTGTTGATAAGTATAATTTCCTGGTGCATTCAAATCGTCGGCATTAGTATCCTTCACAGCATTTAAATCATCGGCATCATAATTAGATCCATAAGCATTATTGTTATAATTATTTTGTCTTTTTTGTCTTTCCATGACCCTTCTTTGTTTGAATTCTTGATACGATTCTTCGAAAACTGGGGCCTGTGGTTGAGAAGACCGAGCATTCATTTGAGGACGATACCCTCTCTGGTACCCATTTTCTGAACAGTTGTCTTGATTTGGAGGATAGTCTTGATGATCACTATAATTTGGAGCTCTTCTGCCCTGCTGGTTTTGTCCTTGAAAAGAATTATTTGGACCCCCGTACTGTTGTTGTGCATTGTTTGGATCATTGCGCTGTTTTTGCCCTTGATATGCATTATTTGGTGGACCTCCACGGTGCTGTTGCCCTTGGAAGTTATTAGCTGGATCCCTATGTTTTTGTCTTTGTTGCTGACTATTATAGAAATTATTTGGACCTCCTGGTGCTGGGAACTGACGATGCTGTGGATGATATTGAGGACCCCGTCTCATTTGCTGTGATGGTGAATCATAATTTGGACCTGGACCTCCTTGATGAGGTAGTGAATCATTGCCATTCATCAGTCTAGCATGGTTTCTAAACGATGAAAACTTATCTTCTGGCACTGACATCATCGAAGCATAAGGCCCCTCGGCCATTCTTCCAGGGTTGGCCGCCATAGTATTATCTTGTTTTCTGAAAAATCCCATCCAGACTATTATCAATATTATTGTTTATGTTTGGAGTACATATATACATATATATATATACGCCCTTGAATGTAAATATAGAACAATGAAACCTTTGTGTTTCGTTACGGCCAAGGCGGGAGGGAAGGGGGCCTGATAAAGTGGTTTATATACATGGGTTGGACCCAAAGATGGGGATCGAAGCAGCATAGTAGCGGGACTAAAAAAAAAAAAAAAAAATGAAGTGTTACAACGCGAGACACATATCGCTCTCCCTTGCGCAAATAACAAAGGGGGACTACCGTTAGTTTGGTGGTCAATTTTTCAAGACATTCATTGGACAGGATAATAAAAGTGGCTTTGGACTTAAGCGAGGGAGGAATGGGGGATGGTATTGTATCACCAATGCTATTTCCATAGTGTAACCCAGGGTCAAGCCACCATTAAAGTGTAAGAGGTAAATAAATTCTGCAAAAAAGACCACCTATGACTCTCATGATGTGACTCATTAAACCAAATAATTGTTTCTGGGGGATTTCATCCATTCCTCATTGAATTATCAGCACTTTTATGATAATATTGTCTCGAGATACCAACGGGACGGGTTTTTATTCCTAAGCACATGCAGTAGGGTGACCATGTATTTATCAACATGCATAAAAATACTCATAAAACTCATTTTTATAGCTAAATAATAATGCCAGTACGCTAAATGAAAAAGAAATTTAAACCAATGCTTTTGCCCTCAAATAAATGGTGGGCAAATCATGCAAAACATCCATGAAGAGTAACGACAAAACACGTAGTATTAGAAGACTCTCATTCTATTGATTAATGTGAGAGCCAACTTATAGTACGCTTCTAAAATAATGCTCGAAAAAAATATTGCATGCCATTAAATATTCTCAATGAATGGCTCCAAAAGCGATTTTTTATCATCTGTTAATCTGTACCATGTATTGACTGCTTATTCGAAATAGAACCATAAAACCACTACTAGTCCAGATAAACAATAAATGGTATGTGATTATTTATACGTAATTGACGATTCAGTAAGACTTCAAATAGATAATAAGAATATAAGGGTAACAATGATGGAAGAATAAGTTAGTTAGATAAAAGGATGGACAGATAAAGATCCGGAAAAAAATTAATCGAAAACTGAAAAACAGAGATCGGACTTCTGATTATTAAGTCAAATCCAATTTATATGAGTCCGTTCAGACTCAACATCAGTGCATCGGCACTCAACTAAATAAGCTCCGAGTGTAACCAAGCGGTAAACGTTCCCTTGCTGCTATTTTTCGTATTAGAATTCTCCTGTATCCAGTTCAACACCACCTCTTGCCATCTCAGTGGTAATTATTGCAAGCCCGGCAAATTTTATACAGTCATTATCCCAAAGCATCACTGGGCCATTGTGTAAAATTTTTGGGGCCAAACTTTTGTCAATATTCAAAAGGTATTCGAGCTTTCGGTCGTATTCTTCTGCAACAAATCCCATCAATTTTTTTATACTATAAGTTTCTTTCCTCAGTTCATAAGATTTTCTGAAATCTTGAGCGAAATCTGGATCATACACCCTCAAAATAATATTCTCAGTAAGAAAATCCATTTTGGGCAAATCTGGAAAGAATTCATAGCAGCGGGCAGTACTCATTGAGATAATATGTGACACGCGACAAAAATATGGATAAAGAACTTTATTGCATTCTTCATCGTACCTACCTCTACTATTTCCAACCAAATTCAAAGGACCGCAATATCTAGATAGCGCTGTCAAACGCTACACTTTGTTAGACTTAATCCTTTCTGTCTCTTTTGTTGATTTTTTCAAAATTCTTCTTAATCTGTCAGTTTTCAATGTTGCGTTTTCAATTTGCTCATCTGAGTAGTTCCCGCAATGATAAATCAAACTGGTCAATGCCAAAATTAATGAGAGCTTCCTGTCGTCATTTTTGAATATTCTGTACGATATCTTTATTGGTATCTTGCGGACTTCCAGAGTCAAATTTTCTACTTCATGTTGGAGCTTCTGCCACTTATCTTTTTTCCCCATCGAGTTTTTTTTGTCATGGATATATTGTTCCTTGGTAATTGTCTTGTAGAGGCTTGTCATTTTCCGTCTTCTATTGCAAACTTTTCTCCATTTCAGGCCAGTTTTTTTCTTAATTTCTCTCGCTTGGGTTTGTAAACCGACATCATTGAAATCATCTTTTAACATGAAAATAATAGTCGTGAAAAAATCTGAAATAACAAAGAAATCGTGCGATGCATTCACCATGTTTATCACTGCCTCACGGATTATTGACTGACTTTCAATAACACCATTATGAATAACCTTATGTAACCCATAGTTTTTTATTTCAAACGACAAGCAAAAACATACGCGTTGATACTTCTCGCCATACTCTATGGAAATATCAGGAAGCACTGCTAGGTTCTCGGGACCTTTGAAACATATTTCAGAGATATCACGACATCCTTCATCAAACTCCTCAAGAAAATTACAGATTCCTTGCAAAACTGTATTTTGGAATTTCATACTTATTGTAGGCTGATGTACATGGCGTGTACATCTTCATGGTCTAACACAAGGCCAAAATAAGTTCGTGTAACGTGAATGCATATTGCTGTATTTAATCCCTTTATCAAACCAAGATGATGAAAAAGTATCTTCATAAAATTCACCCAAACTATCAATCAAACCAAGAAAATAATCTTCCGAAATTTCTTCCAATTTCGCATCAAAATGTTCGTAATAACTGTAAATAAATGGCTGAACTCACCCCAGGCTTCGAGGTTGCGCCACTAAAAGTCAATTTTTTATGAGACAATGGTACGGGCATATTTAAGAAGAGTTTGCATCTCATTTTGGAAAATTCCAAGGCATTTAGCCCATATAATTCAGTTCTATCATCGATATCTTCCTCGTACATACAAAGGTCAACGCAAAGTACAGGGGAATTTCTGATTCTGGCGATCATTTCATTTTTCGCGGATGCTTTTCTTTGTTTATAACTATCATCTCCCATCTTGAGCTGAAATTGTTTGTCCTATACAATTTTCTTGATCCTAAAGACTTTTCTTTATTTTAATCTATAGAAATTTTTTAAAAGAAAGGACAACAGCTTTGACAGGATTGGGGTGCAGCACCTCCATTATTGCAAAGATGACTTGTCACAGGCTTGCTTGAAAAGCAAGAACAATTGAGCGACTACATAAAAAGAAAAATCATACAAGGGATAATGCTATTATTCAATATAAATTTAATATTGTAAAGTAAAAAAAAAGAAGAATCGCAATATATGAGCTTAACTTTCTATGAACAAAAAAACAAAAAAGCTTACAGTGGATGTTTTTCTTTTCTATGCAAGAGACCAAACTTTACTCCCCAGATTTTTCTTCTTTGTGTTTTCATCTTCCCATTCATTTATTACTCCTAGTTATTGAACTTTTCTTCTTTATTTAAGGTACTATCGCTATTTTGTCGACCAAAAATGAATTTTATGAGCATCGGTGTAAGAATGTTGAGGATTTGAGATCATCATTTACTTGGAAAATTGACCCGCTCCTTAGGATTTTATTACGTGAATATATCCTTTTTTTTTTTTTTTTTTCATTTTTTATTAATGCCATATCATTTTTTTCATACGTTCTGTTTGTTTTTTCTTTTTATTTAAAGCTCTACTTCGCGTTGGAAATTGTGATAGTTCAATCAGAGGGTATTTCTGCATCGAGAATTGAAATAATAAAAAGCAAATCATCAGCTGTAGTATATGAAAAAGGTATACGAACCACTTAATTGAAGAGTGAAAAAAGATACTGTAAATAATAATGATGGTTATTGGCTAAAGCAAGTTTGTTTTGGTGGCGTTCCCACTATTTTTAATTTCAATACCCGTTTGGTGTCCTGCATTCTCGCACATTGCAGCCCCTGAAACGTCTATGAGGAATAAAAACCAACGGCCATCAAAGAAAGGAAAAAAACCGTGGAAACATTAATCACTGGTTCATGAAGAAATTATTTTGCATTCTTATTACCTTATGCAATAAGGCTTATTCAAAATATTGGAATATTCCATTGTCGGGAAACTGTTCCGGTGTATATCACAGACCCTGGCGTATATTAAAAGCATGCCAAGCACTTGCTGGAACCCTGAGGTGTAGTCTGTTATAGAGGGTTGAAAATACATATCAGCAAACTTTGGAGAAATTACATAAATTTGTAGAAATCAATAGGTTGAAGCTTGCCGAATCAGATGGTAGGGCAGCTCATTTCACTGAATGGGGTGAATATGCAAATACATTCCCTCCTCTGGACATTTCTAAACGGTGCCAGGCCTGGTATCTAAATCAGTAAAGATGCCAAAAAGGTCAAAGCTCCAGCAATTAATATCAACAATGCAATGTGTCAGAGACTAAAAAGGTTTCATCTAAAAAGGTGAAACTTTCAGTAGTTCGCGACCTATTGAGTTTCCTGAGCTCCAAGAGGACAATAGACACGGAGCTACTCTGTTTAACCATAATTGGGTAATTTATTGTCAACTTTTATCTCATATGTACTATTTTTATTATTATTATTAATTTTATTATCATCTTAAAGTAATTTGCGGCGCATTTATCACCATGGAGATTAACAATGGCTCAATATTGCAGAAAGAACCGATTGTAAAGTCCGTCTGGTAGTCCAATTTCAATATCAACGTTTTTCATTTGTCACGATTCTGCACGGCAGTAATCAACATGATCCAAGTCATCTTTGATAGGATCTACATATCATCCAGAAACGGAAAAAAAAAATAGAAATAACAACCCCGTGGCATTGTTTAATATTACAATCTATCACTATCACTCACCTGAGGTCTCTATGGTCATTTTTCTTTTAATTATTCTGATGTTTACGGTCTCTCTTGCTTGGGTCCCCCTCGATGATTATGACAGGACGGTGCATGTTCTAAGCCTCACTAGTGACAGCTGGAATTTTCCCACCCACCCACTGCAAGACATGCATCTCCCCAACATGGACACATCGTGCACGCCTAATTTCATCCGTAACAATGCTCGACGACTATCTCCAACATTTATTTATATAAATATATGAAGCTGCTACTTCCAAAAGTATTTCACACAAACTATTTTATTGATATTTACTATCTACAAACAATATATATTCAACAAATAAAAAACAAAACCAACAATGAAGTTCATCTATTCTATTCCAGCACTTGCCATTTTGCTTTCAACAGTTGATGCCTCTCCAGTTGCTCTTCCACGTGTTTTCAAAAGAGATTTGGATTTGACTCTCACTCAATCTCAATGTACTTCTTCTGAATCTCAAGCTTCATGCTCCACTTCTGGCTCTTCCAGCAGCGACTCTTGTTGTGTTGAGACCGAAGGTTTGATCTTACAAACCCAATTCTGGGATACAGATGTTGCAGGCTCCCCAGAAAACACATGGACTATTCATGGATTGTGGCCAGACAAGTGTGATGGCTCATACAATTCTAATTGTGATTTCGCTTCTGAAGTTAGCAGTGTTGCTGATGTTTTGCAAGACGCTGGTGAAACTGATTTGGTCAGCTACTTGAGCCAATATTGGTTGAACGACGATGGTGATAATGAAGAATTATGGACCCACGAATTCAACAAACATGGAACCTGTATGTCTACTATTGGTGATGATTGTTATGCTAGTGGCACTGCTTCAAACACAAATGTAGTTGACTTTGCTAAGTTGTTAGTTAAGACATACCAAGGCTTACCAACCTACCAATGGTTAGCTGATGCTGGAATTACACCATCTTCTTCTCAAACTTATTCTGCTGATGACATTTCCGCTGCTTTGCAAGCAGGGTTCGGTAACGAAGTTTATATTGGTTGTTCCGATGGAGTCTTCAACCAAGTGTGGTACTTCCACACCGTTCAAGGTTCCTTATTGGATGATGATTTGGTCAAGATTGATGCAGTTAGCCAATCAACCTGTTCCGGTGATGTTAGTTATCCACCAAGATCTGACTGATTATTTCACAGCCAATTTTTTCATTTCTGATGAAGGACTAACTTCCTCTGTCAACTTCTTTCATTATTCCGCTTACTTTCAGCTCTCAGCTTTTTCTATTTTAAACAATTTTCTTAATTGTTTTCTTCTACTTTTTTTTTTTTACTATTTTGTTACTTTTTTTACTATTTTGCTACTTTTTTTTCAAATATACAATTGATGATGCCAAAGCTATTAATCAACTCTCTTCTTTTTGTAAATCCCTTGGATCTTTTTTACAATCATATTTTTATTAGCCCCATCTTTCGATACTTTCGAAAATAGGACTCGAAATATATAATACGCTAATACATACGATTTATTTAAAGTAGCATAATATAATTATTTTTAGATGGTATAGGCATAGGCCTGTATAGTAATAAGTTTTACTCAAAGTATTCTTAAACCTTCAATATTTTGGACGCTATTCAACGTCAAAAGGAAGCGTTTTTGCATACTTTGATATTTTATGTAGAAGAAATTAACCAAAAAGTGAGAAACAAAAGTACAGCTTCTGTCTCATTATTCAAATTATTTAAAAAACTTTTGGCTAGGTGTCCAAAAAGTATCTTAGCTTCTCGTCAAAAGTTTGGGCGGTGTAATATGTCAGTTCTTCCAAATTTAAACTATATTTCCTAGCTCCATAAGATTCTGTGCAATCTTGAATGACATCTGGATCGTACACTGTCAAAATAATATTCTCACTAGATATGTCTATTTTAGGAATATCAGGGACGAGTTCATAAAAACTAGAAGTACTCATTGAGATAACATACGGTATGCGGGAATAATCTAGATACCAATATTCCTTACATTTTTTCTACCTACCTACCTCTACTTTTTCCAATCAAATTCAGAACACCACAATGTTTTAAAAAGCGCTTTTAAGCTCATACTCTAATTTAGGCTGACTTATATAGAGTGATGGGGCCCATGATGCCCCTGCACAATACTGAAGTATTTTCATGCAAATACTGTGCATGTATTTGGGATAATCTCTTTTAATGAAAGAAGATGCCGAGAAATCGTTAACAAAATATTTCCCCAAACTATCTATTAAGCCACAGAAATATGCATATGGTATTTCTTCCAGTAGTACCTCAAGATCTTCGTAATATTTGTAGAGGGCCGTGCCGATCCCAGGCTTCTTATTGTAACCTCCAAAATCTGAGTCTTGAGGAGGGGCCCCGGTACGGGCAAATTTTAAGAAAAATTCACGTGACAAGCCTTTATTTTCACTCTCCCACAAAGTGTAACAACAACTCTTACACTTTAATGTTACCTGACTTAATTTGCCCATCAATATATCACAACTCTAATCATGAAATTCCACCCGTTGGTTTGGCTTTCGATTTCTGATTTCCTTCAAAGAGAGGGTACTGGTTTGATTGGGCTTTATGGGTCTGCTACGGCGATCATCACGGTGCTTGATATGCCATTGACGGACGATGGCACCATCAATAATGTTTACTTGAAAAAGAAGATCAAGCAGCTAAATGTCACAAATGCGGGATCCCAATTGAAAGGGCTTGTGGTGAAGAAAGGCGAAGTGCAACTTTCCAGCACTCAGAGTCATATATTACAGTTATTGGAAGTAGCAATGGAAGAAGATAATAATAATAATAATAATAATGAGGAGTTGTATGTGCTCGAACTTGACGAATCGGATTTTATCGAGGAAGATAATAACCAAAGAGACGCCAAATTCATTGGCAAGCTTAAATCCCAGTTATATAAATTTGATATATCTACAAAAACCCTTGTGGGGGAAAAATTGGAGTTTGAATCATTGGATCCTGAAAAATCAGCAATTAACTCTATTATCAATAACAATACCCAGATTGATGATTTGCACTCATTGAATTCGGTATTGGTACTGAAAAAACTGGCATTAAGCGCGTTGACCTTAAAACTCGATACGATCATTCATTACTTGGAGAATGTCAAGACTGGAAATAAGCCAGCTGACCAGGACATATTGAACAAGATCGGGGGACTAGTGGCGTTGGTAACTAATGATGGGCCTGATAAAGACTCAGAGGTGGTGAAAGCTTTTGAGGAAAAGGATCTTATTTCCAATTTCGCTTCAATGCTTGGGCTCATGAGCGACAGTTTGCATAAGAATACTGACGTACTTGCCACCAACATGGACATGATTGCCGAACTTTAAAAAAGGACAGACTTCCTTTAGTCGATAATCATAATTATTATTTTATTCTATTTACTTATTCTCTATTACGTGGTTCATATAAGGTTACAGCTGGTGATTTACTTTTTATTATTTCCACTCTTGATGTAGAAATACCCACGAATTCAGTTATTACATTTTTCAAAATAAGGGAGAATCTTTATAATAATAATAAAAAAACACAAAATAAGACATCAAATTCATTCAAAAACATAAATAGCAGGGGGAAAAAAATGGTATTGAAAGAGTAATATGGGTGAATATAAAAAAAAATGACATAAAGATAACTGGAAAATAAGAAAAAGAAGGAAAAAAAATGGCATAAATATAAAATAAAAAAAAAAAAAACAAAAAAAAAACCATTAGCGTAATAAAAACCTCAGCCTTGCTTTCTAATCTTCTTGATAACTTCCAACGCATCTTCTGGCATATTATCAAATCTATTCTTCTTGGCTCTTTCAAATTCGGTAATTCTTTGTGGGGATTTCGATCTGATCTTTCTGATAACCTCCTCGGCATCTTCTGGCATCGCTTTGAAAGTAGGGGCTCTTCCCTTTTCAAATTGGTTGATTCTTTCTGGAGATTTGGATCTGATCTTATTGATGATTTCTGAAGCATCATCAGGAAGCTCATTAAACTTAGATGATTTGCCTTTTTCAATTTGAGAAATCCGTTCAGGAGAGCGAGATCTAATCTTTTTAATGATTTCGAGAGAGTCAGTAGGCATATCGGCAAAAGTTTTTGTGGATTGCAAGGCATTCTTTCTTTCAGTAGAAGAGTTTAATTTACTTCTCATCTCCAACAATTTATCTGATTCAGTGATTTCGTCGACTTTGGATTTTAGTTCCTGTTGGATCCTACTACTGGCAGCAGCTTGTTTGTTTCTCAACTTCACAAAATCAGGAATTTCATCGAAAATGTTATCTTTTTTCAAAGGAGATTCAACTTGGGAAACCTTCTTTAGAGGGATGTTAGTATAATCAACATCTTCTTCCTCTTCTTCTTCCATGATCGCGGCATTCCCTTCATTCAATCTCTTGGAGTTTTCAATGGATTGGTAGAACTTTGGCTTCTCATTGATCAGATCAATCAAGTCTTGTTTATTCTTAGTTGGTGATCTTTGAATAGCACTTCCTAACCAATGGTTTTCTTTTACTTTGATCTTCAATTTGTGGTCGCTCTTCAAGTTGATTTCCTTTTCGATATCCAAATTCTTGGCGAATCTTGATTCGACTCTCGACTTTTCAATACTTGGTTTGATGAACTTGGCATTATCGGACAAGGAAAAGTCTCTTTCTCCAACGGTTTTGGAAACTTCGGTGTTCAATTTTGGAGCCTTGGCAGCAAGGGCGGCAGAAATCGCGGCCACAGAATCCGGAACTGGAATGTATCTGTTGGAAGAAGTGTTTCTTTGTTGGAATCTTGATTGTTTTCTCGTCAATGGGGCAGATTTAGCTGCCAATCCAGCAGACACCGCATCTTCTGATTTAGGCATTGGGTTATAACGGTTAGCAACTTTATTCATGGTCTTCATTTTCGTAGGGGTGCTGTTGTTTTCTTTGAAAGGACTAGGAATGTTGCTCTTTCTCCCAGAAGTTGGGGAGCTAAAAGTGGCAACTTCTTTGGAGGCCTTTATGGTTGGAGTGGAATCATCTTGCTTATTCTCGAATTTACTGGCAAGGGAGCTGATGGACTTTGGAGAGGAGAAATTCCCTGATCTGTTGACCTTAACTGGAGTAATGTTTTCTGTGGTTGGTAAGGTACCATTGTGTTTGTTGATAAGGTCTCTAACCGGGCTGGAACTTCTACCTCTAATTGGGGAGGAGGTTGATGGTGAATCAAATCTTGAAGTGCGAGGTTCTGCGAATTTTGGAGTCTTGGTAGCTGGTGAATTAACTGGCGAAGGAGATGGAGATGGGGATGGTTTCTTTGGAGTTTCAGACAAAGACATTAATCTTTCCAACATTTTGTTTTTCTGAGGAGAAGCTCTGAGACTAGTTGGGGAGGTATGGATTGTGGTGGTATCATCATTATCTTTATCACTTTCCTCACCTTGTTCCTTTTCATCATAGGCTTCTTCTTCGTCCTCTTCTTCTTCCTCGATTATTTGATTTTGTGCAGGTTTCATCTTAGTTGGGGAGGAATTGCCTTGTTTTCCTCTGATACTTCTACTTCTTAAAAAGCTTGACAAATTGTGCAAATCATCATTCTTATCATATTTGCTAACGTCAAACTGTTCTGCAATGGTGTTAGACTTCCCATTGACACTGCTCTCAAAATTAGATTGTCTTTTTGACAATTTGCGTAGTAAAGTCATGGTTGAATCAGAAATGTTTGGGGCAGGTCTGAAGGCATCGGTGGAAGATGGCAATGATCTTGACATTGCGTCAGATTTCTTGGAAAGATACTGTTTTTTATCCGAATGTTGCTTGATTTTGGCGGCCAAGGAGTTAGGTTGAGACAAAGAAAAGATTTCTGGTTCGTCATCTATTTCCTTAAGGTCGAACAATGAAGGAGAAAAGCTTTTGCGAGTTTCCTCTTCTGCTGAAGTCTCCTGAACATCATCGAGATTATCAAAAATGGTAGAGCGTTTCATGGTAGAGGTTCTCATTGGCTTGGAGAATTCGAAATCTAAGTTTGCTTTAATTGGACTAGAACCAGTGGTCCGGGATTTATATGATGAGGCAGAGGAAGAATATTTAATGGAATCAAGAATACTTTCTTCATCGCTTTCAACTTCGGTAATTATTGGTTTAGAATCCAAAGATTTCTCATAATTGTAAGCAGATTTGTACATCAATAAGTCATCACCATTATCATCATCATCGCTCAAATTTCTGTCGTAAGCATGCTTGCGGATGGGTTTTTTGGATGGAGGGGCAAAAGGATGATTTGGTTGTCTTTTGTGACTAGATCTTGGGCTTTGACTGTATCTCTCACGAGTAGAAGGCTTTTCAGTATACTCAAAAGAGTCATCGGACCCGTTGATAGTTGGCAAACTTGGAAGAGCTCTGGCACCCCTAGAAGATCTAGGAGACCCGTGGTTTCTTGATTTTCTTGATGATTTACCTTTTAATGGTGATGAAGGTTCTGATTTGGAATATGCTTTGGCCTTGGAAAGCTTTCTGGCAATAGGTGAGATGAGTCTGATTATATCGTCGATATCCTCATCATCTAAATCATCGATTTCGTCATTCTCAAGGTACTTCTTTGCTCTGGTGGATAATTTCTTATGAAGTGATTGGTCTTGATACCTTTGAGATCTAGTTCTACTTTCCATAAAAGCTTGTTCTTGTTGTTGTTGTTTTTGTTCCTCTTCTTCCTCCTCCTCCTCCTCCTCCTCCTCCTCTTCTTCATCTAAGTCATTTGGATAATGATAAGCAGACCTTGAGCCGTACCCATCATTGATTTTATCATGATAAGCAGCCCTCGAATCGTAACCATCCTGAATATTGTCATGGTAAATTGATCTTGAATCGTAGCCGTCATTATCATCATAATAAACATCTATCTCGTCATTAAATGATTCTTTCTTCATGGTGCTGGATCTTTTTGGGGAATAGTTTCTTGATTTAGAGGAAAGGCTGGTTTGTGACGACCGATGGTTATTAAGGAACCCCCGATTATCGTATCTATCATGAAGATCTTTACCGTGGTCAAAGTTGCTTGATTTACCATAGTCGTAACCGTATTTGTTTTCTTGATCTGAGTCAAACCCATCAAGATACTCATCATCTTTGCGGTATTTTGATCTGGTAGACTGTCTATTAATTGATTTAGACATAGTTTTCATTCTTGATAATTCTGCCTCCAATCTTCTAGCTCTGACTTCATCTTCCCTTTTTCTAAAGTTGGGTTGTTAGTAAGATATATACTGGTGATCACATAAAAGGGGGAGAATGAATGATAATACACGATAACATACCTCTTATTCTCAAGTATTTCTAAATGATTCAAGAAATCAGAAACGTCCACATCGGAAGGATCGTTCTGATACTCGTATAATGACATGTTGTTTGACATCCTTGTAATGTTGTGTCAATACATATATGATGTGTTCGATAAACAAATTACAAAAAAAAAAAAAAAAAGGAAAATCTCATCTGAAATTGTTCTATAATTTCGAGGAGAAAAAAAAATCAAAATAAACTCGTGCGTTAGTGCGTTGTTTACCTTTTACTTAAAACAGAAAGACCCGCGCAGATGGCTCCTTTTTCAATTTATCAACCAAATTTACTTTTAATATTTATTGAATATCGTACAAATACATATTATTTATTAAACATCCCAAGTCTCAAGCCATTTCAAGTATCCGTAATGGAATGAGCTTCCTTCTATTCCAAAGGTCACTGGGGAGAAATAATAGAACATTCCAATCACCAATGTGTAAAGAGTAATGTAGGTTAATGGTCTTAATAAACATGCGACAAGACTATTCATCCAAGATGTTTTCGTACATTCAACCTTCTCAACCAATGGTTTTGCTTCTTCTTTCTCACCTTTTCCTTTTGCGATTGTCTTTGATTTTTGAGACTTTTCAACTTCCTCTTCTTGTGACAAGTAATTGACAGATGTATCAACAGCACTTTCAACAACATCAGCGGCCACAAAGATCGCGAAGAATTCTGCAGGGACATAGTGGTGGACATAAGTCACTCTAGCCATAATAATAAATGGAACAATATGTAATCCCCAGGCAATCAATGGTGCCAATCTCTTCATGGTATATTCCCAAAATTGTTTGCCATTATCTTTTGTATCAAAATTCAATGATTGGCTTTGCCAAAGATAAATTTTTTGACAAACCGATAAAAAGGTCACCAAAAGAGAGAATGTGCTAAACCACAATACAAGCGGATTTGGCATCATGTAATACTTTTTATCGTGTAAGCCCCAACTGGACATTCTAATCCCTCGTCTGGCAATGATCCATTCCCACCATTCACTGGCCAAATTGTCATGTTTGTCCAGATCAGGAACCAATGCATTGTTCGACGCTTGCATGGCAAAGTTCAACAAGATGAAGTCGCGCCAAAAGTTGGATTTTGGAGGATCCAAAATATAGTCTTCATCAGGAGTGAGATCAGGATGGCTGTGATCTTCGACATTCCACCAAGTTGATTTATCACTGGAGAAATATGAGCTCTTACAAATGACCTCCCCTTGTTTGAACCCCCAGGCTGGGTATGCATTTCCGGTAGTGGCCAAATAGCAGCCGAGTTCGGCGTGTTTGAGGCGGAAGTTGGTGGATAAAGGATGGAGAAGGGCACAAAAAGTTTCATTCTTGGTGGCGTCTGGCTCTGCAGGAGATTTCACTTGTTCAACAATCTCTACAATCCAATCATCTTTCAAGTCTCCAATCTCTTCATTCCCATATCCAGAAACTTCGTAAGAGTTCTTGGTAACATGCGAAGGAACCTGATGAGAATGCAAATTGCATGTAAGTTTGTAATGAGCCAATCTAAGTCTATCACCGTGTTTAACGAATCTGATTTCGGAGTTGGTATCAGGGTCATACTTAGGTTCGTTGGATAACCTTGATGGGGTGACGATCCATTCATTATTTTGATCTTTATGACCGTAGGTCGTGACTTGGTGTTGTCTGGAACCTTGAGGATAGAGTTGAACATGAGAATGTAACAAGTTTGGCGAAAGCCCATGCGAGCGGATTGTGACTTTTGAACCGTACGCGACATTTCTTGGAGACAGTTGAATATCTGAGTTTTCTAAATTAACTTGGAAAAGTGATGGCATGGATGCGTGACCAGTCCCGGCTTTTGACAACACCATGAAATGAGCTTTGAACGTGGCTGCGTAAATCACCATTGGGATGCAGATCAAGTTAACGATTCGTAGAGCCCAGTGTTTAAAATAGATTTTGTTTGACATGCTATTATCGAGGAATTTCAAAAAAAGATCAAAAACAGTGTAGATCCCCACCAACGCAGTAATGAATAATCCTACCCACTTGACACTACATACACAACCGATGGAAATCCCGGTGAAGAAAAGCCATTTAAGCCAGGATCTTGTGAATGGTTGGTCTTTGACAATGTTGAATTCATGGAACTTCGCCAAACAATAAAACGTTGTGGCGGTGAAAAATAAAAGCATTGAATCTAATAGAATGAATTTGGACAATACCACAAAGATATTTTCAAACGTCACCATGAAACTGATCAAATATACCGTCCATAAATTGTATCCTAAAGCCTTAGCGGCAAAGTATGCGAAAGGGGCCACGAGGATCCCAAATACTGCGTTGAAGATTCTCATTTTGCCATAATCAACGTAATCGGGATACATTGTTCCACTCTCAAAAAGATAACTCCCATTGAAATTGGCCAAGTATTCGGAAAACCCAATGAGAAGCTTACCCAATGGGGGATGGACGTCGAAATAAAACTCTCGAAGAATATAATAGGCACCGAATTTCCCAAAATGGGCTTCATCCCAGATAACTTTGTCAGCCTTGGAAATCTCGTAGAGCCTGACATAGCCACTCAATAATGTGATGATGATCGGCCCAAACACTGACTCGAGTCTCAAGGCAATTCTTTTCCACCTCGGGCTTCTCAATTCCCCCTTCATTGTGCTTGAGTATTCAGATCAGTTATCATCATCATCAACATCATCATGATAATACTATGTAAACCAAGATATATCAAAATTAACGTGGTGACATTTTTCTTTGCGTTATGAGCCAGTACTATCTTTGTGATACTTGCGTGCTTTTGCATTTTTTTGCATTGTTTTCCGGAAGTCATCGTTCGTGACTTCCGAGGGTCAGGAAAGGGCAGAAAAATTTTTGGGTACAAAAAAATAAAAAAAATTGGTTTATGATACAACTAGCTTTCTTGGGTTTCTATGTACAATCATTTGGTATATTATATATATATTCACCATTTCAACTTTTAGTGCTGTTTTATATTCCGATTCAACTCGACAGTCGCTTACTTTTTACTATAGAGTATCTAACTTCTTCCTGGTGAACTTATTATAATTATCCAATTTTGGTATTGTTTCTACTAACTTGATTTTTTTGTGCTTGTTTTGATTTTATTTGATTTATTTTATCTTCTGGGAAATGCCACCAATTGCGATCAATCACGATAGAAGCAGAAGACGCTCAAGACGACTTAGTAGTAACGAGCTTGCGGGAAGCTTGACCCATGGAGGTTCCAGAGGTGGCTACTTGGTGCCATCGCCATTGAAAAACCCTTGTAAAGGATGCATTAACGATGATGAGATATCTGCAGAGCCAGTAGAATTCTCAATCAAGGACAATGACAACATTCGTGAAACTGTGATCGATGAGACCACTGATCTTTTATTTGTCGATGAGAATGATGCTGGAACTTTTAACTACGATTCAACTACCACCACCAATGACAACCCTGCAACTGCATCAAATACCGTTTATCCCGTGTATGTTTACCATGATGTGGAAAGTAACGATGAATTGACCCTCTTTCAAAAAGATTACACTTCAACTTACGAAGAATTTTGTGTTCTTTTCCAATCGGCTTTCCCATTGATCATCACCTTTCTTCTCCAAAATTCCTTTTCCGTGGCTTCGATCTTCTCTGTGGGACATTTGGGTAAAAAAGAACTTGCAGGGATCACTTTGGGGTCAATGACAGCAAACATCACTGGATACGCTGCCATTCAAGGGTTGAGTACTTGTCTTGATACTTTATGTTGTCAAGCATATGGAGCCAGAAGATATCACTTGGTGGGCATTTATTTGCAAAGATGCGTGGCATTAATCCTCACAGCGTTTGTACCAATTTGTCTTTTTTGGTTCTTTGCCGCAGAATCCACAATACTCTTTATTCTTCCTAAATCAGAACTCGGAGATGGAAACAAAGAGGACTTAGCAAGATTGGCCGCTAATTACCTTAAAGTGGTGTCAATCGGGGTTCCGGGGTTTGTGATTTTTGAATGTGGTAAACGATTTTTACAAGCACAGGGGATTTTTCACGCTTCCACTTACATTTTATTGATCTGTGCCCCAATCAACATCTGCTTGAATTATCTCTTGGTTTGGAATGACACCGTCGGGATTGGATTTTTAGGGGCTCCATTGTCGGTGGCTATTGTTAATTGGTTAATGGCCATTGGACTTATTGTTTTCACTGTTACCACCAAGCACCCGGCCAACGTGATGAAGAGTTGGGGTGGCTTAAATGTTTCATTGGCATTCCAACATTGGAACCGTATGTTCCATTTGGCAGTCAATGGTCTCATCATGGTCGAAGCAGAGTTTTTAGCATTTGAAATCCTCACGATTTTTTCTTCTTACTTGGGGATTATTGCTTTAGATGCCAATTCGGTGGTCAGTTCAATCACTGCATTAACTTACCAGATTCCGTTTGCCGTTTCTATTGCCGGATCTACTAGGTTGGCCAACTATATCGGGGCATCATTGCCTAACTGTGCTAAAAAATGTTGCCAAGTCACTCTCTTGGTGGGCGGTATTGTTGCCATATTCAATTGTGCAATGGTGTTTTTGTTCAAAAGACCAATTGCCAGTCTTTTCACTTCTGATCCGGAAGTGATTGATCAAGTGGTTGATATTTTGAAAATCATCGCTGTTATCCAACTTTTTGATGCAATGAACTCGGTGACTGCTGGATTATTGCGGGGTGAAGGCATGCAACATATAGGATCGATCACCAACCTATCATCATACTATATTATAGGCTTACCATTAGCATACTTCCTCACGTTTAAAATGGGCTTTGGGCTACAAGGTTTATGGATTGGAACAGGGGTTGGATTGTTTTGCATTTCAGTTGTTCAAATTTTCTTTAGTTTACATGTCGATTGGGATGACATTATCTCTGTCGCTCAGAAGAGAAACGAAAGAGAATCGAACTTATGAAAAAAAATTGGTTTTTGTTACCGTTTAGCATTTTTTTTTTGTTTTACTTTATTTTTTTTTTCCGTTTTTTTAGATGCGGATTTATTTGTTCTATCTTCTTTCCAAGGACGATCTTTAATAGCATTATTTAGTTGTATTATTATGATGACGATGATCGTTTTCTCAGCAATTATATATCAGTGACCCAAGTTGTAATGACAGGGGTTGCCCGGCCTGAAGTTGCAACACGCCTGTTTAAAAAGGGCAAAAATTCAGTTCCGTTGATAAAGAGAGATGTGTCAAAACACTGGGATTTTTATATTTAACGATGTCAAACCAATCGGGGATTACTGCTTCACAAGATCTTGTGGACTCATTCAGTCAATTTATTAAGGATACTTCCGGTAACCGGGCGTTGCTTTTGAAGATTGCCAACGAGACCGTGGTAGTTGATCAGCAAATTGCCGGCACGCTGTCATTTGCCAATGATTGGGACCTTGTGGCTTCACAATTGACCACCACTGATCCTCGTTATATCTTCTATAAGAACGATACGGCGCATCCTAGATACTTGATTTTTATTTCGTATGTTCCTGATTACGCGCAAATCAAATCGAAGATGCTTTACGCGAGCACCAAGAGCACGTTGCTCAGACAATTGGGGAACCAGGATATCATCAAGAAACACTATCTTGTGAACGATTTGGACGAGATATCTTATAAAGGGTACCAAGAGCATGAAAGAAGCGAGAAGTTGGAGGCACCATTGACTGAGAGCGAGCGGTCGTTGAAGCAGATCAATGAATCGGAGGTCAACACTTTGTTTTTCAACCAAACCGGATCATCGTCGACTTCGATTAAACGCTCATTGGTGAGAATGGATCATTCTTCTAATATGAAGGGGACAATGATCGATGATGATGTGTTTGAGAAATTACTAGGAAATGGGACTTTTGTCCCAGGGACGCTCGTTTCTACAAAGATCAATTCAAATGAAACGATATACTTTGTGGATTCGTACTCGGGGATCACTCCTCCAGAAGTTTCACAAGCCATTGGAAAGGTTGATGGTCCACAATTTAGTTTTTACAAGAATACTTTGAACAATATTTTTTTCATTTATACATGTCCTTCGGGCTCCAAGATTAGAGATAGAATGCTTTATGCGTCAACTAAACAAGGATTTTTGGCTAATTTGAAAGAAAAGGGTATAGTGATCAATAAGATTGTTGAAATTGGGGATCCTATTGAGATTGAAGTTAGTGATTTGGAAGAATCGCATGCTGCCGCAACAGGTAGTAGCTCTGGTGCCAATCAACAAGGTGGGGTTGATACTAGCTCAATAGCCAGTGTTGTGTCAAGTCAATTGAAACTCAATAAACCAAAAGGACCACGTCGTCGTTAGAATAAGTATATAATAAATAGAGCAACTTTGTTAACACTCAAAGGTTATTATTTTTTGTTGTCCTACCTCTATATATGATTCAAATTATAAATTATAGAACAATTGTTAATAGCAAATGTTTATACAAAACAGATAATATATAGATTGAAAAAAAAAAAAAAAAATAAAAATAAAAATAAAAGACCCAGTATGTTTTGATAGAATTCCATATTGTTGAATAATCAAGATAAAGCCTGTACCAACTGCTGTCCCCCTCTTCGTAATTTCAATTATTATTTGAAAAAAGAAAAAGAACCCTTGATCAAGGTTTTATACCTCAATTAATATTTTGAAGCAAAATGTTTGCTTGTTTGTTTTTTGTTCTTCTTTTCATTTAAAATACCCCTCATAATGCTAAAGAGTACGAATATTCATCTTCCACGCTCTGACTAACCCACAAAGAAATACAACTCAACATTATTGATACATTAGTGATGACATTGGCAACCCCCATCCCCAACGTAGGGTACTCGTTGTATCCTTTAGAAATGAACTTCATGATCAACACCACAAACGAGCCTGCTAAGCCACCTGCTAATAGACTAAACCCTAAGAACAAGATGACCCTTGCCTGATACGTGGTGGATGAGGCCCCGCCTCCCAACGCATCATCAAACAACCGGCTTTTATCGATTGAGGTAACTATGAGCATTCCCAAAGCGGAACAGATTCCGGGAATCCAATCAATGAATGTTACGTGAACTACCGAGGCGTTGACGGTCTTGCTGTAGATGGCAGCATCTATTAAGAACCAAAAGGCGATGGCAAAGAGAGCTCCACTGATATAAACCCCACCACTTCTGACAATAGTCGATGAAGGTAAATGGAAGGGCAAGCGGAATCTGAAGAGTCTATCTTGAGAGTCCATTATGGAGGTATTTATTGGTGGGGATATTAAAATAGCTTAATTGCTAGTCTCTCTATCATCAGGTTATATTTTGTTATTGTATTAATTTTGTGTTGACGTTTTGGGAGCACCGATTATGTCAGCACACTTTAGATTTTACGTAATATTCACGTGCATGGCTGCCTTTTTTCACCAAAGAAAAAATGATTAAGAAAATTTACAATTGGCAAATTTTGGCCGTGGATGGTATAACCATAATATTATTATTATCATCTACAATGTTCAGAAGCTGGTTGTCATCACAGAGTGTTGGGGTCCGCTCAATATCCCAACGTGTCTTTTCTAGAGGTAAGTGCATTACCATATGGTTGTTGTATATGTATTATATGATAATGTTGAAGAAAGATCAAGCATACCAAAATCATTGTTAGTTAATTATAGTTTACTAACTATTCAATATAGAATTCTCTACCTCCAAAATAACACAGGCTCCAGGAAACAATAAAATAGTCAAGAAAGAAAAAGTGGTGAAAAACATCTTGTACTGTAACTTTGGGAGAAACAATACCCATTTGGCGCTTGTGTCAGTTATCGAAGACTTGAACTTCCTTAAAAACAACCCAGAACTCTCTTACAATGACAAAATGCTTTACTACTTACGTTTGCCCCAGAAATTGAGAATCCACTTGTCTTGTGGTAATGTGGGGTTCAGAAAAGCCGCCAGAGGGGAGTACGAAGCAGCTTTCCAAACCACCGTCAAGATGTTCAAATTAATAGAAGAAAGAAAACTCTTTGATGATTTGGAAGTCGATCTTAGAAATTTTGGTAAAGGTAGAGCCGCATTTCAAGCAGCGTTATTGGGTAAAGAAGGTTTGAAAATAAAGCCTTTGGTGACTAAATTGTCGGAATCGACCAAGTTGAAATTCGGTGGTGTTAGATCTCCTCGTGAAAGACGTTTGTGAGTGTCATTTTCGAAGGGTACTGTTTTCTTGGTGGGTGTCCATTTATTGCAACATTTCTTTACTTGTATATGCTTAATGAATTTTCTGTAGTTAATATTAGACTGACTATGATTTATATAACGTGTAGGATAATAACCCAACTATAATGGGGTTGTTCTTCTCGTTAAAATTATTTAATATCTTGATATTGGCATTAATGGAATTGTATAGACCTGGCTAGGCCTGTCAGAATTGTCGATTACTTATTTGATGAGTTTGGTAGTTAATTGCCCACAAAAAAAATAAAGAAAAATGTGTCAAAATCACCAAAACACAAAGGACGATAATGATGTTGATGGCATCATGCTAGGGCGCAGTCCTTGAGAGAAGCTGCAACGGAACGGCAATTTTTTATCGCTGGATCAAAAAAACATATCACATGGTTTGTTGCTGGCTATTAGTAGGGCTAAGTGATCACCCCTGTGACTTCATTTTCGATGAAACAGCTGGTAATGACACGTGATAAAATGCTGGCCTCGGGCACCCCCTCTCCCGCGGTGTGTCTGTGTGTGTGTGTGTCTCCTCTCAGCGTGTGGTTTTTTTTTTCTTTCATGAAAAATTGATTGATGAAGCATCACCACTAGTATAGAGGAACGATTAGACAACAATAATATAGTTAAAAATGGCTCCAGCTAGTAAGTCTGCGAATGGAAAATAGGAAAAGGAAGAACCAAGAGGGATTATAATGATATATTAAAACCAGTAGTGAAGCGGGAGAGATTTTCTAATGGAATGAATTTGTTTGTGGTTGAGAGAAGTTTTTCATTCCATATTAGTTTGAGGACAAATGAAAATATCATCATGAGATAATTAAAGTGGGAACATTACATGTTTTCTTTCAAAATGGGAGTTTCAAACATGAAGTTGGAAGGTTTTTTTTGCAACAATATTAGTGGAGTATTTGGGATATTTTGAAATTTTCATCAACATGTTACTATTCAATCATCATCTACATGGAGGGAAAAGGTTACTTGAAGAAACACTAAATGAGATAATTTTTGCCAAAATGGATAGATTTGAAATTTTTCCAGGAACTTCCATGGACTTTTACTGAAAAAAGTTTCCTACAATGTGGGATAAAAAAAAGAAAGAAAAAATTGTAATATGAGATCAAGATCATCGTCAGCAGCAGCAGCAACAACCATTAATAGTTTCACCACATCAAAATGAATTATTCCATCACAGTGCGAAAGTCAAGTATTTCCCAAGCATCCCTCATCTCACTTTTTCAATCAACTTCATACCCACTATCTCTCCTCTCTTTCTCTCTCTCCCTATCATTTTAATCCCTTTTGTTTCATTATCAAAAGACTTTTTTTAATAAGGATTACAAAGACTAACAATCTCTAGGTATCTCAAAAGCTCAATCTGCTAAGAAGAGTGCCCTCAAAGGTGCTAACGGTAAGAAGGTCACTAAGGTCAGAACCAGTGCCACTTTCAGATTGCCAAAGACCTTGAAGTTGTCCAGAAGTCCAAAATACGCTTCTAAGGCTGTTCCTCACGCTAACAGATTGGATGCTTACAAGATCATTGTTGCTCCAATTGCTTCTGAAACCGCTTTGAAGAAGGTTGAAGATGACAACACCTTGGTTTTCCAAGTTAGCTTGAAGGCCAACAAATACCAAATCAAACAAGCCGTCAAGGAATTGTACGAAGTCGATGCTCAATACGTTAACACTTTGATCAGACCAAACGGTACCAAGAAGGCTTACATTAGATTGACCGCTGACCATGATGCTTTGGATGTTGCCAACAGAATTGGTTACATTTGAATAATTCTATGTTCTATATTTGTAATGTTTTGATTAACGTGTTTTGTCATAATAAAAACGAAAGCTTTTCATATAATAATTGGTGTAAACCGTGAAAAATTATCCAGCAATGGAAATTGTAGAATTGTGTAACACAATAAGGTTATATTAAATGTCATACAATACTATTCACAATACTATCAAGCATCATACCACAAACCCTTAGATGTTGTAATCATACGTGCGGTGATTACAGTGTATAAATGGTATAATACAATATATTAAAATCAACGAATATTTTCTTTAATCTCCTAAATTTTTTTCAAATATCAAACACATATCAAAAGAATATCAATATCTAATAAAAAAAAACATCAAACATCTAATAAATATCAACATCTAAATCAAAACCTCCCCTGGTTTCATAAAATTCAATCAGCATCCAACTTCAATCAAGCTTCTTTGGGTGCTTGATTCTTAATACCCAAATATCCAAGAATGAACTGATTTCTGTAATGATCTCGGCAATAAAGCATCCGTAGATACCCATACTAATACCAAACCCTGCCCAAGCAATGTTATTCACCGCAACATCCAACGCAATTCCCACACCACTGCTCCAGTTCAAGAATTTCACTAGTCCATAGGCGGCAACTTGCAAAGTTGGGAGGTACAAAGTAGGCAATCTGTGAGGGAACTCTGACAAAGTCAAATGGGAAATGATGATTCTTCCCACAGTAAAAGCCATCGAGGTACCGATTTGAAGCACAAATGGCAAAAATGAACTAGTATTGGTGAAAATATGAGGAGTAGAAACAATAAGGAAAGCTACCACCGACGCATAATACATGGCAAATGGAACGAGACCTTTAATTGCTTTATGGGATTCTTTCAAATAATCAATAGATTTATTTTTGGCATAGATTCTCTTCACGTTGTTGTATGCAGAAATGATGTTAAAATACAATGAACCACTTCCCAAAATTATATAAATTGAACTGGCATCGACCGAGGCAAAAGCAGAAAGCAACCCTTCCTGATCAATAGTCAATTGGACAAACCCAAGGTATGAAAGAATATTAATCAAGCCAGATGGAAGGAATGAAACCAAGTTCACTCTGAACCATTCAACAGTCCAAATCAGGGATCCATAATAAGCGGTGGCAAGATAAAGGATAACAATCATTAAGATCCCTTCAACTGGCCCAGAAAATTCTGACAAAAACAAGATATGGGTATGATATTCTTCCCAGGTACTCAAGTAGAAATTAGCCAAAACCGCGAATTGAGAAATAATGAACATCCAACCGTACCCCATCTTGGTCACCGAGGCAAAGATGATCACCGACAAACTGGTGTTCAAAGCATCGACACAATGGTCAAATAACTCACCCAAAGGCCCAGATTGACCAGTTTTTCTTGCTTGCATCCCATCGCAAGCATCAAAAGTTTGGTACATGAAAAGCCCAATGGCATACGAAACAATTGTCCAACTTGGGACATCTGGGTTGTCTAAATATGGATCATAGTACAAACAGGTCAAGATATTGGCCACAATAAATCCAAACCCTGACAAAGTAACAAGATTTGGAGCAAACCAGTGGGGGAATACTTTAACAAAATTGCTCCACCAGTACGGTTTGAGAAAGTACTTGGTGACAATTGATCGGTCCTCCCCTTGATACTTGTAATTCTTGAGATTCTCAAGGTTCTGAATAAAAATCCCCATCTTTTCCTGGTTCGCTTGTGCTTTGGCAATACAGTCTTCGACAGCAATCGATCCAGTATATCTATAGGTATGTATGTATTTCTATTTTTCTTTTTTTTTTTTCCTCGTTCACTGAAAAATATCTGCCGTGTCGGACCTCCGTCCCGGAGAGAGCCTGCCGCTCCACAACACAACAGAGAGAGTGTGTTATTTCAAAGTTTCACTCTGGTGTGTTCGCTGTCCAAATCAGTGTCACTGCTATTCAAAGAACTACTTCTTTCACTGCCCAAGCGATGCTGAAACGTCTGCATTCGTTGCTTTTCACTATTCAAAAGCTGCTGTTTGTGAGAAAAAGCTAAGTGATTTAGCTGCATTTGTAGATTAGTTACTGATGCCATTAAATAGGTAATATTCTCTCCCAATTGGTAATTGTCAACTAGGAGCTGTTTCATGTATAATGATTCGTCACTTGTCAATTGACACTTCTGTGGTTGGTGATCTGAGCCATCAGGATTTTCACCAAGACACTTCAATCTGTCAACATTATTGACAAATTCTTTATTCTCGTGCAAATACGGAATAGAATTTATTATCCATTGGTACTTGTTTTGTATCTGAGTATTTTGACGGCTCAAGTTTTCCAACTTCTCGTCCTGCTGTTTTAATCGTTGACCAATTTTTTCAAATTTGCAAAGTGACGCTGTATGCTCCGATATGACCTGGTCAAGTTTTTGATTGTCATCCTGGAGAATTTTATATACCCAGCGACATCCTAGATCACTATTAGGACAATATACTGTATCATCCGTTTCCTCTTCTGGAAGCTCACTATCCTCTGTTAACTTTACCTTTCCTTCTTCAAACAGGCTTTTTCTTACCAATACTCCTTTATGTAACACTCTGGTCTCCCCACAGGTATTTACTGCATGGTTTTTTAAATCACTTCTCATTCCACGCCATTGACAACCTCTTTTGGAATTGATACATAACACCTCCAAGTCATCCGAGAGAATCTTCAAAACAAGCGGTGCCGGGGTCACTTGCACCGGCTTATCAAAAAAAATCAGGGAATTCCCACTGTGTTCCTCCGCTAATAACAGAGTCTTATCCAAGGGACAAGTGTATTTGGTGGCTACTAACGCCTCCCTGATACAATCACCACAAAAGGTATGTCCACACTTGGTAACGTGGGGCTTGACAAACGGCGTTTTGCAAATTGGGCACAACAAGTAGTCCAAATTCACTGGTTTCCGATCCTCTTCGAGCCCAGGATATACTAGTCCTCGATGGTCAATGTCCTGGCACTGACCTTCAACGATATCATATCCCTCAATCTCTTCCATTGGTAATAAAATAGCTTGTTTGGCAGCTCATCGGCGCCAAAACAATTTGGCACCGCAGGCGTTTTGGGCGTTGCCAAATTCGCTTTATTTGGTCACGTGAATTATATCCCATCATTGCCGTCAAAAATATTCTAATTAACCTGCCATAGTGATAACAACCGAATAAGACATGTATAGATATATCGCCCAATGTTAAGCAATTTGTCATCAAAGAAGTCGCGGAAGACGAGGTTCGATTTGTCATTCTCGGTGATGGACCTTACGAACCTCCCACAACTCACCGGGTTGTGTTATGTCAAATGGGCAGTGAAAGACTCCGCATCGCATCCTATCAGCAAACCACTCTCTACTTCAAGTTCTGCTATTCCTTCCTCGGGATTTTTGTCAACTCTGGGAATTAGATCGGCTTCCTCGACATTGGAGAAATCTTCAAGGGGTTTCACTAGTAGTGCGGACCCTCTGACAGGGGACAGCAGCTATAATTCTTCGATATTTGGAAACTCTTTCAAAGGCACCACCGTCCCCAAGACAATTGATAATCATAAAGTCAAGTTTGATATATCCCAGAAAGTTCCTGCAGTGAAATTCGAAACTAATAGAAAAATACGCAACCGGTTTATCCAGCTAGAAGATCGGTTTTTAATTTTGGATATTTATGTCGAGGCCAATACCACAACCGACAATAGCGCTGTTGGTGAGGGGAAATCCCAAGAAATTGTCCATAATCAGGAGAAAAAGACATTTTTAGGACAAGTAAAGATCAATCTTGTTGATTACATCTTCAAGAACTTCGATTGCGATAAGCTTAGCTTCTCCCATTCTAACAACTTGTCAATTGATAAATACCTTTTGCAAGAGTCGAAAATCAACTCTATTCTCAGTGTGGCCATTAAACTAGAGCTTGTTAAAGGGCATTATCAAGACTTTCTGAACCGTGACTTCATCAAAAACGGGGTGTACGAATCTCTGGTGCCAGCTAATAACACTTTGTCTGCCAATGATGGTGCTCATCTTAAAAAAACCATGTCCAAGAATCTGAGTATTCAAGATGAAACTCTGGATTATTTAGCATCCAATTGGAGCCATCATGGTGATAACATATCCTCAATGAAAAGCGAAAGGGGAAAAACTGGCTCAAAGTTTCTGGAAGGGCTTTCGATCAGTGAAAAGGCATCTAAGCACGGAAGTTCCAATTCGATTAGTAAATCAATGCTTCATGATGAGTTCGAAAACACGATTAATATTGGAGAGAATTCCAATATCAACAATGTTGACATCATTACCAAATTATACTATAAGACATTTAAAGTACCATGGGATGAGCGACCAAATGAGTTCAATCCAAAAGAATGTATCGATGATATTTTTGTTGGGGGCAATGGGTGGAAAAGAACCGTTGATGGGGTCAATCTAATAGATTTGGATTACACTGACTTGAGTAATAATCAAGTTGCAGAAAATAATAATAGAAATCATAACGGTAACAAGGCAAGGCCTTACTTTTCACCGCCGTTAGAAACTGATGAAAGAAAGAACATGGATAATCGACAAAATTCCACCGATGATCATTGTCGATTGAAAACACCCAAATTTACTACGCCAAACCTCTCGATCCCCAGGATCTTTTTATCCAATCATAATGATTCACCTCAGTTGGGAGGGATAACCAGCCCAGATGTCGAATACATTACCCCTTTAAACCCTAAGTTACGTAAAATGAAGGATGGGAGTTCGACAAGTACGAGAATCAAAAGGTAGGTATAGGTGAAATATCGATGGATAGGAAATGCTTTGATGTGCAAATATTTTGGATATCAATACTAGTTTGATTTGCTAATAAACAGTCAGATTTAATTTTCAACAAGTAACATTCAAAAAAGACAAGGAATTTGATTCATTTCAATTGACCAATGCATTTAGAAAACACTTTATGTATAAATTAAGGATTATGGTTTATATTAATAAAACAGTGGAAAAAAATGGTTTCAAATGAAAGGTATGAATATAAGAAAAGAAATATATATATATAAAAAAAAAGGAGGACAAAAATCAATAAAATAATAGTTAATAAAAGGAGGATGAGTGATTGATAACAGAAAGGCAAAAAAAGAAAAAGAAAAAAATGGGCATCAATAGCGTTGTGAGAATCTTCTATTTGGCGAGGATAATGTGAATGCACCGTTTCTAAACCTGAAGTAAAACAAATAATGAAAGAACATACTAATACATCCTTAACTCATCATTAACTGTAGATAACTTCAATATGGACGTGTAAGCACAAACAGAGATCTCTCTCGCAAAAAGATTATGATAAAAATATTATTGGGTGAAAAAAACAAAAGGCGATGTGAAAAAAGAAGATTATAAAAGAGGGGAGGAGAAACCTGCTGTTCAAACTAGTAAAAAATATAGTCATCAAAGGTATAAACAGCAGCAACAAATAAACATAACTAAGAAAAACAAAACAACACAGAATCTTCTCTATTGTTGAAATTGATAGATCTTAGGCAATAACTTTCCAATGAGATCCAACTCAAATGAACTGAAATTGAAGAAACTTGGGGCTGGTGAAGCAACATCTCCAGAGCCTCTAGCATACCACACAAAATCTTTACTTCTTAGTTCATCAAAGAATGAATGAGCCATGATCTCCACTGGGGTAGCTCGCTTAGCAGGATCATATTGGAGAACACTCAACAATAAATCATACCCTTCATCTGTGGCATTTGGGAAAACTTTCTGGAATCTATCTATAACCTTACCGGTGAACAAAGGCTTTGAGAACAACGGTCCTGGATATCTTGGATTCGAATTGAAAATGAATCTTTTATCTGGAGGGCCAAGCAATTTAGAAATCTCTCTCAATTGCAAAGTTGGATCCGACCCTTGGAATACAGCTCTACCCAAAAACATCTCACCCAAGACACAACCAAGACCCCAAATGTCGATCTGAGTAGTATACATGGTACATCCAACGATTAATTCTGGAGCTCTGTAATATCTCGAGCATATATAAGCGACCGATGGTTGGTTTGGTTCTAATCTTTTCGCTGATCCAAAATCACAAATTTTCAATACCCCTGATTTTGGATCGACAAGAATATTTGATGGCTTTATATCACGGTGACAAATCCCCAAAGCATGCAAGTATAACATTGCTCTGGCTATTTGGTAACAATATATTTTGATATGTGTTAAAGGTAATGACTGCTTAACACTGGTAAATCTTCTAATTTCTAACTGTAATGTTTCTGGCAAGCATTCCATTGCCAAGTGCTGATACACCTTATGATCCTGTGGACTTTTGTAGTTGAAAAAGTACATCAATTTGATGACATTTGGATGGTTGGTTATTCTTAATATTTCTAATTCTCTCGATTTATATTCAGTTTGTGCTGGTACGCGCTTTATCGCAAAGGGGCCTGCCCATTTGTCAGAGTCTTTCTGAGTATATGATTCATATGGATGCAATTGAGCCTGAACAACAGTACCAAAAGCCCCTTCCCCGATCTTTCTATATTCTCTAACTACCATAGCTTGACTGATGTTAGTTTCATTGTTGGTGATCTTGTCCACCAAGAACTCCACTGCAGCATCCTCTAAAAAGATTTGTTAGTAAACCACAGAAAAATAAAATGAGCATGAAAATACTTCAAAGCATTGAGAAGTGTCTTCGAATTTGATCAACTTACCCTGGTTAGTTGTTCTGTTGGACATGTTGTTGGTAAAATAATAAACAAACTATTGGCGGGACAATGTAAAAAAAAAAAAAAAAAAAAAGAAAACAAATAAATAATGCCTGTCAAATGGATGGCGATTATGTATAAACTGTTATTTTTCTGGTACTGTATTAAAGGAATGAATTAGCGGCTTTTTTCCTCTTATTCTGCTTCTTCAAATATTACTAATGAAAGTGCTTCTCTTTCTTCCTTCGACAATGATGTTGATGATGCTAAAAAGACTGACGAGATAACAAGCTCACTATCAACAAATATAACACTATTAGTGATCCAACAGGATTTCAACTAGTAAAAACACAAGAAAAAAACGGGGTGAAAAAAATGACCAGGCGCTGCAACAGATAAATCCTTAATTATAATCAGATCACTGATCAATGGTCCTCGTCTTCGATATGTGTCGCCACTACAACCGGTGTGACCTTGATACAACCGTGTTCTATTTTCATTTTTTTTCTTGTGTTTTTTTTCTTGTTACTGCCCGAGCATGCCAGTCAGGGCTCGTGATTATATTTTATAATTAGCACAGACAAGCTACCATACTATTTGGCATTATATTCTGCTTACAATTGACTATGTCGTTGTGGTTTGAAGTAAAATTATAGTACATTGGTTTCAATTTCAAAGATTGGTATAGATTTCAACAAAACGGCCGCCAACAAGCTTGGCCTTGCAGTTGTCAGCAACGCATTTGCTGGGAGCGTATACCGTTGGATTGTGGATGTTTTTAGGAGCTTTGGCATTTTTCCTTGACTCTCTCATAGGTCTAGATGCTACTCTTTGTACACAACGGCCACAAAAAACGTGGCCACACTTGGCATAGTATATTTTCCGACTTAATTTGATATCTGTCTCTGTGATGAAAGGTAGGAGCTGGTACGGTGCTTGACAGCCAAACTCTTGGATCGATTTATGGTACATCTTCTCATTGTCATAGTCCACGAGCACATGTCCTGAATTGTTTTGTTTCTTTTGCTTTTCTAACTGAATCAATGTCGAATAACCATCACAAATTCCCGCTCCCAATATCACCCCACATAACGGACAGAGCAACTCGCTATTTTTGTCGATCGTACTGGTATATCCTTTTGGTAGGACCTTCACGCTATCCTCAGCCCTTTTGATGTAATTCGATGCATGTTCCTTTTGTGTGTCAAATTTCTGTTGCAATTCTCGGCTCTCCATCATGTCAACTTGATGCCAAATATCTTCACTAATATCATCCCTTGAATTTTGATCTCCAAACCTAGGCTCAGGAATGTTGAACCCCATTCTAAATAGTCCATTTAGTGCGCTATGCATAAAGTTCTGGAAACCGCTTCTCGGTTCCTGGTTCGGTCTACGATGTCTTGTGTTCATTCTTCGCTGTATGCGTCCGGTCTGGTAATCTCTAAACCTCCTAGTTGTTAACAGCTCTTCCTCGGGTACAAATTCCTCATCTCTACCACGATCTCCAGTATCATGGTCAAAGTATATTCCTCCGGGGAAGTATATTGGGGTGTCTTGAAACTGTACCGTTGCTCGCTGCTGCCCCAACACTTGGACCTCATCATCACTTTCGTTATCATTCGTGGGGCCTCTATGGATAATATTTCGGTTTCTCCTTCGCTGACGGCGCTGCTCATCAGTATTTACGTTTCTACCATTAATGGGAGGTCTGTGTAGTCCTAGATTCGGAGGGGCTTCTACCACCCTCAAGATCTCAACCCCATCATCATGCTGCTCACCATCACTTTCACTTGCCACTTCTTCCACCAGCCGCAAACTATTGAGCACTTGAACTCCGCTATCAGATTCTGAACCAGAGTCTATTACAATAGCTTCATCCTCTCTTTGGGCCATAACGATTTACTGTCTTCTCTTCTTTTTTTTTTTTTTTGAATATCTTCAGAGCAACTAACTAATTTATATATATATTGGTTTGACATAACATTAATCGTTCTATAGAGTACAAAGTGGTACATTACCCGGCACTTTTCACTTTTTTTTTGGAAAAAAATTTTATGGAGTCCGTAAAGCAAATAAAAAAATATCGTCACAGACAAGATTCGAACTTGCGAAGGAAAATCCCAATGCCTAACAGCTTGACAGTTTAAATCATAGCAGGGCATCGCCTTAACCACTCGGCCACAGTGACTGATGGAAGTAAGTGTTACACTCTGCTTCTTGTCGATGATTGTTCTCGACCAAGAAGATTCAAATTAGGTGATCACAAAGATGATCCTTCTCTTAAACTAAATAAAGGTGAAAACAAGAGGAATGTTGAATCCTTAAATAAATAAAATGATTGAAACTAATAATGGGGTGTTGGACCCGTTCTGGGAATAAAAGGCTAAACATAAGGCGATACGACAAGGATAAGAGATAAGCGGTGGGACATAAAGTGATACCTCGATGAGGTAATGCAGATCATGGTTTCGTATGGTACCATACCGTTGGTAACCAGGATTCAACCCAACCATGATCCAATAATATAACATTATCCCCCCTCGGAGAATGAGTCGTCTCGATCATTATTGTTAGCCAAAAAGTCATCAAGCTCGTCGAGGAGTGTAATCCGTTTCTCATGAGGAATTAAACGGATCCAAGTTTCGGGGACAGGCACTGGGTCTGCCTTCCCTGGGTACATGACAAGGGCGTAGTCCTTTTCGAGATCAACAATCATTTGGATTTCCGATATGTTTTCCTTGTACCACGGGTCGCTTTCCACTTCTGGTAGTATCATGTGGATAGCGTGATATTTCCTCACCCATTGTATATTGGCAGTAATTATCTTCCTGCTTGAGACTTGGATTTGGAAGGCGGTGTTATTTAGTACCTTGACGATTTTATACGGACCTTGGAATGGCGGTAAGAACTTTTGCTTGCTAGTTCGGGCTGTTCTGAACGCGTGGCGGTGTAATAACACATATTCTCCTTCCTTATATTCCACGTCGGAGCGTTTTCTATTCACCTTCGCTGTTGTCTCCTTTTGAGTATCGGCTAATTGTACTTGAATTGATTCCAAGATCCTTTCTTGCCGATGAACAAATTCGTACCCCCCAATCATAGAGTCATCACCAATCGCGGTGGCCAATGGAATATCATGAATGATTTGCCAATATCTTGGATGATAGCCCAAATCAGCAAAAAACGGTGTGGTTCTAATAGCCAGTTGGTACTGAGAGTTGTAGGCAAACTGTGCCATGCCCAAGTACTTAGCCCATTCAATCGCGTGAGAAGCAGCCAACGTTCTCATCAATTGAACCAATACCCTGTTGAGTCGTTCGGTCTGGCCATCTGTCTCGGGGTGGCCAGAGGTGGAGAGATCCTGGGAAACACCTAACATTTTGGTAAGGGTCTTCCACATGTGACTGATGAAGAGTGGGTCTCGATCAGAAATGATGGACATTGGAAGGCCATGGTCTCGGACAACATAATCCATAAATAAATTAGCAACCGCTTCGGCATCATCGGTTTTCTTATGAGGCACGAACACTGCTCTTTTGGTAAGTCTATCCACCACCACGAATATTGAATCGAAACCGCGGCTCGGAGTAAAACCTGTTATAAAATCCATAGTAAGGTTAGACCATCTCTGGGCAGGAATCGTTGGGGTTTGTAGCATTCCCTCCGGGCGTCTATTCGTGGGTTTTACCTTCGTACAAATATCACACTTCTTGACAAACAGGGCAATAGTCTTAAGCATCTTAGGCCAGTAGAACCCACTCTCCTGTAACTGATATAGCATCTTGGTCGTACCCATATGAAGCGCAGCCTCGGCCGTGTGGACGCCTTGCAATAACCGGTATCTGGTTTTCCCTCCAGGCACACAAAGCCGGGGTTTGTCAATCGGAGTCATTTGGTAAATGATTTGTCGGCGTCCTGCCAACTCAGCAAACTGATACCGTTGAATAATGGATTTTAGTTCTTTCGGACACTCCAATTCCCCGTCAAGGACCTTCCATACTTCGGAAAAATAAGCATCAGCCTTATATTCGTCTTCACCAACCGAGTCAATAGTCATGGCATTGATTTTCATTCGCGATAAAGCATCAGCAGCTTTATTGGTAACTCCGGGACGGTATTTCACCGTAAAGTTAAAGTCCGCAATGAAATCTTGCCATCTGAGCAATCTTTGATTGCCTTCATTCTTGGCGGAATTGAGGTAGGTGAGGGAATGATGGTCAGTTACCACTTCAAATGGAGCGACGAGGTAGTGACGCCACTTCTTCAATGACTCAATGATGGCTAAAAGTTCCTTCTCCCTGACTGGGTACCTAAGTTGAGCCCCGATAAGGCCCTTCGAAAAGTAGGCCACCACACCCTCTGTTTTTCCATTCGGGGCCACATGTTCCAACACGGCGCCTAAAGTAAAACCAGAGGCGTCGGTTGTGACTCGGAGTGGCTTGGTACTGTCGAAATTCATAAGGACCGGAGCAGAAATCAATTTCCGCTTTAACTCGCCAACCGCGTTCTTTACCTCGTCACTGTATTCTATCTTCCCGTTGACATATTGATGGACAGGGCGGGCTAATTCGGCAAAGTGCTCAATAAAACGGCGGTAATAACTGGCTAATCCTATAAAAGAATGAGCTTCTTCCGGGGTGGATACCGTAAATCGTTGGATAGCTTCAATTTTCCCAGGCTCCACATGAACACCGGCGGCATCGATCTGGTAACCAAGGAACGAGACTTTAGCCAAAAAGAATTCTGATTTGCGTTTGCTAATAATTAAACCAGCTTTTTGGAGGGTAGATATCACAACATCAATATGCTTACGATGCTCGGCCTCACTTGTGCTGAAAATCAATACGTCGTCTAAGTAGACGACGCAAAATTCTTCAAGCGGTAAAAGTAATTCATTCATAGCCAGTTGGAACGTGGCAGGAGCATTCGTGAGGCCAAACGGCATACAATTCCAACCGTATTGGCCAAACGGCGTGACCATGGCGGTTTTGTGCCGATCAGCTGGGCTGATGGCGATTTGATGATAACCGGAAACCAAATCAAGCTTGGAAAATATTTTGGCGTTCTTGATGAGGTCGAGTAGGTCATCTATTCTTGGTAGTGGAAATCTTGACTTGATAGTTATCTCATTTAAGCCTCGGTAATCCACACAGAGCCGTTTCGTTCCGTCCTTCTTCTTAACAAAAAGCACTGGGGCTCCATAAGGAGACGCAACCGGAAATATTAACTTTTGCCGGAGTAGTTCATTAATCTGCGTCTTGAGCTCGGCTCGATCTTGAGGTGAGAGTCGGTATGGAGCTTTGAATGGTGCCTTGGAGTCGCTCAACACATGTATCTCGTGTTTGACTCTGGTGAAGTTAGATCCTCCTTCTGGTAACTTCAATTGGAAAACGTCTGCATATTGTTTAAAAATTTCTTCTTCTTTTGTAGTTCGAACTTTTTCTTGTTCTGTAGTCACGTGGTCATCCGCGACCATTTTGACCAAAGCCAAATAACATTCAGTTGACTTACTCTTTAAGAGCCGGTTAGTCTCCTCAGCTGATAGGAGATTTAGAGTAAGCAGGTTATTGGTTTGATTTTTGTTCTCTTTAATTTCTTGAAATAATGGTAACAATTCCTGATAAAATTGTATAAAAAAAGGGAGTCCTAAAATGACTTCCTGATCTACGTTCTGGGTGACGAACCCTCTGAAGTTGTAATCGATCTGACATGTATTGCGTGATATACACATGTCAACATTGGACCAATAAGCCAACCGTTCATGTGGCTTCCCAAAGGCGTCAAACACCCGACGACTTCTCTTTAACGGAATTTCTTGTAGTCCTAACTTTTCCATGGTGCTCTTTTTAATGTAATTAGCAGTTGCGCCACAGTCTAATAGGGCGGTTACATTGATTGAACCTACCTTAACATTCATAGTAATGAGGGGTAGGTTGAGAGGGTCAGCAGTAGTGGTAATACTAGCCAACACAACGGGCTCTGGGTTGTGTCGGCTTACCAGTTTTTTGGCCCTTCAACCATGGCAATATCTTGGAAAGGTTCTTCGTCCCTTAAGTCTGCAGATTTAATGGCGGCTTGAGCATCACGAAGTTTTGAGCACTGATGGACCATGTGTCCTTCCTCCTGACATAAGTAGCAGCGCAAAACCCTTCTTGGGCCTCTTGGACCCCTAGGTCCTTGAGATTGAGGTAATGCGTTGATACGGGTCCTCTTCGGAGGGGTCTCCCTCATGCTTGATCGGTATGATGGTTGGGTCCGAGTACCAGCAAAAACCTTCATCGCCAAGGGCGCGCCGAAAGAAGCCATATCGAGGATGTCAGCATAACGTTGAGCCTCCATAAAACCGCGGGGCTCCTTAGCGACAACATGAATTCTCATGTCTCTCTTGAGCCCCTGTATGTAGGTGGCCAAGAGATGGGCGGGGTTTGGGTTGTCTAATTGATTAACCAAACGGTCGAAGCTCCGATTGTAGGCGTTGACGGACGTGGTTTGTGACAATTCTGCGAGTTGATTGAGAAGCATCTGCTGGAAGTTTGCAGGTAAAAAGTAGGCTCTGAAACTGGTGAGCATGTCACTGAGATCGGAGTCGGTTGACTTTTCGTCAGCCGTGGCTAAAAACTTCGCATACCAGGTCATCGCATCCCCCCGGAGTTTCACCGAAATCAAAAGGAGTTTTTCCTCTCGGGATCCGGATAGTTTGGGCATAATAATCTTAAAGTGATCCATCCAAGAGAGAATCAATGATAGGTCGTCGGATCCGTCGTAGACCGGCATGTTGTTCAACAACAACTTTTCGCGTTCCGCGTTATTCATTTTAAACCTAGTGGTGCTACCAAATGTTACACTCTGCTTCTTGTCGATGATTGTTCTCGACCAAGAAGATTCAAATTAGG